TAGCGCTGTTCTATCATATGTTTTTGAATTTTCTGGGTAGTGTACGCTCGTTATCGCTATTTCGCCGTTCTCATCCATCTCGATCTGTAGTGCCGCTTCTCCCTGATCCTCGAGACTAGGAATCAGTTCGCAGAAGCGCTCGGAAAACCCGGCTCGGCGCGTACATGTTCGGGTACAGTGCCCCTTGGATATGTATGCATAGTAACTTTATTGCCCGTGTTCGGACAAGTAATCGTCACTTCTTGGTTGCCAAACCGGTCGTTCGAGACCACCGACTCGCACAGCATATCAAAAGGTCTCCCCAATAATATTCTGAACGCATTGGTGTCCGAAATGTGGCACTGAAGGTATATCGTGATGCCCGAGAAATCAAACGGGATATTGCGCGCTAGGCCCAACGTCGAGTTGATCTGGTTATTGGCACTCTGCATCCGGATAGTTACGGTAGGATCGTATGAAGCGCCCTTGTCGCGCGCGCAGTCTTTCGACATTGACACGATTTGGGAGCCACTATCCAATATGCCTTCGTCCGAACCATTTTTATTCACATTGGGCCACACTGTCCTTAACGAGCCAGTCGAGTCTCCCGCAAAGGTTACCCCCGCTTTCTCGCGCTCAGTGAGGCTTTGGTAAACCTCCAAAGTAGCGTCGACTTGCACGAAGGAACCGATAGGGACTTTCTCGGCATGATGCGAGGGCAGCTCCACAGTGGTGGTAATTAGCTCGTTTCTCAAGGCCTTCCAATCCACCGGCACAACTGGCTCAGTTGAGTCAGACGCTGCGTCCAGGTTTGGTCGGATGCCGTTCGAATAATCCAGCTGTTTAGTCTGATAGGCTTCTCTGATTAGGTTCTTGTAAAACAATTGCCCAAAGTTCTCCACTACCTCGGTACGGCGCGTAAGAGCCTTCCGAAGCAGGTCCTGCAGCATAGGGCTGACCCCCAAAATATCGCGCAGCGAAATTCCGGAGGTATGGCTCTGAGTGTCAAGTAGTTTATTGAGTACGTTCTCGGGGTCCGTCGCTCGCTGTACCGGAGCCTGCGGCTTCGCGGCCGCGGCCGCCTTCTGATTATCCTTGCTGGCTCCTTGCGGAGGTGAGCTCGGTTTCACCGGAAGCGCTGCAGGTCTTTGATCTCGTGGTACAAAGCGTACGTCGGCTATATCTCTAAAAGGGTGCGCCTTCCCGTCCTGACGAGGCGGGGCAGGCCGCGAGTTCGAGCTTTTATCCGGCACACCTTGCGGTGCGCTGTTTGCTAAAGAATTGTTCATATTTTGTATCATAACGGGCGCTGATTGCTGTGGGTTCTCATCGCGCCCCCAGCGCTGGTAGGGATGCTGGGCGCGAATCCCTGAACTCCTCAAAAACCCTGCCGAGGCTGATCCGACGAGCCAGCAACGTTGTACTGCTCAGGCGGACGGTGCGCTTGCGACGTCGGGTAGTAGGGCTCGCTCTGCTCGTAAGGGGCATAAGACGCGCTTCCCGTATACCCGCTGTCCAGCACGAACTCCGGGTTCGCAACTCCAGCGTTCCAGTTTGTATCGTCAGCAGCTAGTCCGGCATTCTGTATATACGACGTGGTAGCGTACGTATTAGTAGACTGCGACTTGATCTGCTGCCATTTCTCTCTCATATGGCTATCCAACGGCCCAGTGCGGCGAGGAATCACTTCCCCCGACTTAGCGCGTATCGTACCTGTCTCGTCGGCTACAACTTCGCCCGACTTGACAAGGTTCTGATAGTCATAGCAGTTGCTCATAATGTGTCCAGGCAGTCCGCACCAATTGCAAGTGAGGGCCGGCCGTTGATAATTACGACCGCCCCCGCCAAACTGGTTTAACGGCCTGTTCATAGCACCGGGATAGTTGGGACGAGCATTCCCAAAATTCGGTGGAGCTCCAGCCGCCGCCGGTCCAGGAGCGCTAACCCCTTGGTTGGACAGCGCGAGCTGGTTGGTCAGACGTTGGATGGTCTGTTGTATCATATCGAACGTGCGGTCACTCTTCTGCATGCCTTGCGAAATTTCGGCCTTCACTTCGGTCTGAAGACTACGAAGTTCTGCCTTAGTCTCGCGACCTTGCTTTGTTGTGCGATCGGACAGTTCATGTAGCTCTTGTTCTAATTTCACAATTCTCGAGTTGGAATCCGGGGACTCGACGATTCGGCTGTCACCCTTAGAAGGGTACAAACCTCCGAGCCCATGAGCGGATGCCGTGTACGCGCGCTTCCAAATTTCTCTCATGCACAAGGCCACGTCCTGCCAGCGGTAGCCACCCTCCACGATAGACGTGTTGATGGGGCGTTCCACCGGGACAGCTGCGTCGCCCTCCTCCGCTTCCACATTCGCTGCACCCGGGACCAGCAACCGGCTGGCTCTCCCAGTGAGGATGGTGTCGAGCGTGTTCAGAAGCTCAGAGCTGCAAACGGACGCGAGTCGCGAACACAGCTCAAAGTTCGTGATATTATGAGTCCCTCTAATCAACAGCATAGCCGTTGGCTCAAAGCGACGGAGGAAAGCATTTCCACGCGCCCCATCTTCGGCAGTCAGGCCTCGGTATTGCGCGCAGATCTTGTGCAGTTCCGCGAGCGTACCTGTCTGGCCGCCTGCTATCTCGGGGTAGCGAGCAAGTATCTCTGTTTCTAGCTCTTCCCAGTTGGTAATCTCCGGCGCAGCGCCGAGTTGTTCCCAAAGGGCGCGTACATGGCGATCTTTGGCGTGCAGGGCTATCTTAGCACGCTGCTGCTCGAAGGTCGTGAGACCATGATCTTTCATGTACGCGAGAAGGTCTCGCAGGATGGTCGGGAGGTTGAGCACGTCCCGCTCCTCTTCGAAGCGGGGCGCGTCGCTCGCCGTGTGGGAGTAGTGACGAGTCATAGTATCTATAGTAGAGTGTTCGGTAGCTGGATTCTGGACAGTAACTGTACGGAGAGAAGTTTCGGGTTCAACGGTCGGTTCAGTAGTTATATCGGGAGAGTGGTTGGAAGAAACAGATAGAGGACGCAAAGGAATCAATTCAGATAGACTAGGAACTGGAGAGGCTGGCACAGAGTGCGCAGGAGAAGTTGTAAGAGGAGTAAGAGACGAAGCGGTAGAAGTAGTGCGATTTGCACCGAGTGTATGAGGATCTGGAGTGGTTGAAGTACCACGAGTGGGAGTTGTGATAGGTGTAGGAGGACGAGTAACAGTAGAATGATGAGGTGGGGATTCTGGGAACGCGCCAGGTAAGGGCAGCAAGGTTGAGGCAGTCTGAGAGGACTGTGTCTCTAGTTGTCTAGCTTGAGCGCGCTTTGATTGCTTCGCGGCGTCGACTGCGGCTAAACGGGCTCTTTCTCTAGCTTTTCGCTGCGACCGGCCAGTTAAGGTACTGTCCCAGTCAGGCTGTTCGGCTTCGAGGTTGGATTTTCGTCCAGGAGCCGTTTTTGTGGTTCTCTACTAAGACTTTGTCTCGATGGTGGTACTCGAAAGTACACAGGATACTTCGCTAGAAGTCACCCCAACGGTCTGTCACTCGACTACACGTCAAGCACAAATATATTCCCTCGCGGTGGGCTCCAGATGATGGGATCGTACGCTTCTGAGAAGTAGCGCGCCTAAGGTGGCAAGAGATCGCTCAACAGTCGCCAAACGACCACACAAACAACCCAAAGACGAGACAGTTACTTCGCCAGAAGCGCAGCGAGTCCGTGTTTTTGTATTGCTAGGGAATATATAGTGCCAACAAATAGACGAGTTTTGGAAGTTCGCGAAGTAGCGCTAGTTCCTCGACCGCGGCAGCTCGTCAGGCTTTTCACAAGTGTTTCTCAGAAGTAGTCACGCAAGGAGATGGTCTTTTCAAGGGATTTCTCAAAGATTTCTCAAGGTTTTTCTGGTCTGATTGTTCTGGTATTGTATGCAAAGTGTGGGCTCTGCAAGGGCTCTGCTCCTGATGTGGGCGAAAGTCCCCGAACTGTAGGTACGTTTCGGTATATATACGGTAGGTAGGGCGGCGCACGGCCGATGCAAAATGACTCGAGTTGGTGAAAACTTCCCGATCTCGGATAATTCCCGCGAGGCGCATCAGCAGCTTCTCGCAATTCCTGTCCTTCCTCCCCTCAACTGGCCTGCCGCGTTCCGTCGTTCCGAGGCCGTCGCACGTTCTCCGGTGAGGCCGATGGCGGATAGCGCTGCGTGTTGAAATTCCGAGTCATATTGGTCCGGGTCCGCCTAAGCTTCGACGCCTTTCTGGTATAGATAGGTTCGGCAGTCGTTGCCTGCCGCCAAGACAGCTGTGTTCGCTTGTATCGTGCCCGAAGCCGAGTGGAAGACCGCGCGGTGAGGCGCGGTACTTCGCACAATTGTTCGGTCGGCGAAGTCCGAAGCACGTGAGTGTTCGAGTTGACACGGTCATGTGACTCGTGCGCGTCCCGGCGATTGGGTGAGGACCGCGGCTGCGGTCCTATGAGGTCCTCGCACCTTGCTACCTCATAGATACAACTGTCCAGTAGCCCAAATTGACAAGCGATAAGACCGAGCGAGGATGGTGTTCGACATGGGTGAGCAGCACGCTAGGTACGCCTACTGCCCGGATGATTCCCCTTCTAAGAGCCAATAGATGTCATCCCCGTCGCACATCCCAGGGTAGGAAAGGCTAAGGGAGCTCTAAGTGGTCCTCGAAGTGTCTTCTGGGTATATTCTCGGTCAGATGCCTCCCAAATGGCCCTTTTAAACAGTGTCTCTCTGATAATAGCTCGGTAAAATACCTACGACGCGCCCGTTGTACAGTCACGACGTCGTAAGGTATATACGAGTCCTTATGGTCACGCCAGTTAAAGACGCCATATCGCTCTGATATTGGGCACAAAAATGCGTTTTTCAGCGCCAGGCGCATCAGCGTTGTTGAACACAACAACGCCCGACCGGCGTATCACTATGTGCAGCTACCTGATCTGGTGCTCACGGCTTGGGCGGCCTACCAGGCGTTAACTCTTATACCTGAGCAGGTCGACGATGCGACGGAGGATGAGGAATAGGAGTTTATTGGCATGACTCTTTCCTGGCACGATGGATTATGAGATTCTGTGCTGCCCAGCTTGTCAAGATGATTGAACCACGATCACAAGGTACAGATAACACGCTGCACGCTGCGGATAAGATGTGTCTACTTTACAGCCACTTGTCGCAAGCGATCCTCCAACACATACATCTGATGACCGTCCTCCGCCAGTACCCCATCCTCTTCCAGTGCCCGGTCTATCTTCTGAAAGTGATTGGCGGCACCAGACATATGAGCAACCTTACAAGCCGCAGCATGTAGCCCGATATACTTGCGAGACGGCAGTGGATATATCTTCTCGTTCGGCGTGGTAAATTCGATTATGCCGTCCGGAGAATATACGTCGCGCAGAAACCCCGTTCCCTTTGTTATACACACGCGGTACCGATGATCTTCCTGAGGTAAGGAGTGAGTACGTTTTCGCAAGAGCGACAGGCATACATACGACATGTTCCAGCCACATATCGAGCTCGTCAAAGTACACGTGCCAGTCATGACACATGGACATGACGTTCTCCAACCTGTGCATGCTCGAACCTTGTAATTCCTCCCGTAGCTTGCCATGACCAAAGCATTCCAATATGCCCCACACGGATGCCGCCCATGCCTATAAAGCAGGTCAGTAATGTCCGTGATGGAGTTATCTGCTCACGCACCTTCTTGTAGTCATTGGTGTCAATGTTCATGTTTGTCGATTCGCTTAGGATGTGTGCGCATTCCAGCACACTCCCGGGTAAGTCGTTCCTAGGGTCTCCAAGGTCTTCGAGCCTCCGGCCGCTCTGAAACGCCGTTGCCGCCTGTAAGATAGCTTGCTTGGTTGCCAGTGGAGTTTCAGTACTGAATATTGGTGATGAAGAATGGAAGCGCTTTGTGATGACGCATTGGTCGTTGTCGCGTTCGCGGGCCTTGTGTGAATGATTAGACGAAGCAGCAGAATATCCGGATGGTCGAGCTCACGCGTCTGCTCGCCGTGCGGTGGTCGGGCGGTGTTGAGATGATTTGATGTTCAAGAGCGTCGCGACGGCGATCAAAGGAAGAGCGAGATGGATGAGAGCTGTCGACGGGAATGGGACCCTTGTTCTTCCTAACTGTTGGATGTGAACAGTCTGTTCGGTGTCATACAGAAGGAACGCACATGCGCGGAGATAATGTTGGCAAAGAAAACGCCCTAGGTCGACTATGATACTGTCATCCTCACACGACAAAACCCATCGTGTCAGGAGCGGACGACACGATAGGTGCAGGTAGACGTAGCACCACCCGATTACGCGGAGGTGCATGATGGATGTCTTGAGAACGCCGACTTTCGCGAGAGCTGGCAGGTCGCCAAGTTCCGTCGAATACCGGCGTTCGAGCTCGAGGACTTTCTCGTAGCCGCGCGAATCTTCAAGCTGTGGAACAGCGTTTGAATCGGGGAGGGCGGTGGGCGACCATGAATCAGACATCTTCAATTTTTTTCGATGGAGATCGAGAGCGTATGTTGACTAACAGGCGAGCTGACGCGTACACAATGGCAGAATGGGACAAGGGGCATGAATCCGGAAGGCGATCCAACTCCGGATATTCCATAAATGGAAGGAGGTTCACACAGGAGGCGCCACATCGCTGGTCGCGTGACAGAAAGGGGGGGAGTAAATGTGTATACCGCGTCTTGTACCTACGACAAACTGCGGTGTAAACTACAGTTGGGGACAGCTCAAGTCGACAAGCATTGATATATGTACACCAAAAAATTTAAGTGGGGGACCCACGGCTCACGCAGGGGCTTACAGCGCGCCTTTGGCGCGCTGGCGGCGCCACGGATGGCCCTTGCCATACGCCACCGCCGCTTGAAAGGCAGCTCAGGACGTCGAGCGCTGTCCTTAGGTCACAAAATGTACTTGCCATTGTCTACCTACAGTGCGTACGACCTCGTTCACCGCTCCCAACAGCGCTCAAGAAGGACCTCCGCAATGTTGCGGTTCCTACGCGCGGCTTCGCTTGCTACCCTTCGCCTCTTCCGCACGGTCCCAAATTCTTTGTACCCCTCCCTTCGGCATTAACATCGCGCTTGTACGAGAAGCCCGCGGCCAATGCAAGACTCTCCCCGCGATGGTCTCCCCTCAGCGCGCCCCTTCCTGCACTCAACATTAAGCTGCCTGAATGCATAACTCGAAAGGCCGTTTCACGGCAGAGCCCGCTACCATTCAGGACCTTGACATGGCTTTGAATTTGCTCTACTCAATTTCTCAAAACCTCTGTATTGCAAGTCCAGACGAGTGCGCAATGACAGGCAACGGAGCGGGCGAAGAAAGCTCTCGCCATTGAATCGTGCTTCCCGCGCACTTTGAGCCCACTGACAAGCAAAGGGGCCGTACACAGGAGCCATGTGGCCAGCATCGCTCCCTCACCAGTACCATCCATACCATGAGCAGCTGCCTGTCGCGTGCCAGCCATGCGCAAAGCTTCATATGATTTTTCTCGCCGCCGCTTTGCAGTAGAATCGGGCAATTTGAGGGAGCCAGAGCATTGGAATAGCTCTGCGCCTATCAGCCCATCGACACTGCACTGAACTTCTGGACTGCTGCTAGACAGTGCTGCCAGAGGTCAGTAGCCATTGTTCTCGCGGCGCTGAAAGTCTGACGCGTTATCGACGCCAGATGGCGTAGGTGAAGTGAGCGCAGGAGAGAAGCCGTCTACGGCGAATGCCGAATGGTCGAGACCTTCGAAGGCCCAACATGTGCATTGCACGTGACAGTCCTCAGAATCCGTCAGTCTCCGCCAAGAGCGGTTTTGCGGTCCGTCCCCAAAACCCACCACCATAAATGGTAGCGGGAATCTTTGTCTTTGCATTTGTCGCTTGACGACAAATTCACCATTCCCTTCCTTCCTGACATCCAGAGCCCCACCAATATCAGTGAATATCCTAGGGCGCCCCTGGGACCGACTACCCTCTTCTCCCTTCCCATTCCCCTCCTGCATCCACATTCAGACTCGACTGCCTCGCACGACTGAACATGGCCGCCGCATACGGGTTGTCTGCCACCAAAATCAGTATTTGCCCTGTTGACAATGTATACTCGGTGGACTCACGAGATTTCCACTCCACGGGAGGGTGCTCAGACCCAGGCGAGGGCATGCTGGCGTGCCCCGTACTGCCCGAGCCTGACGCCGCTTGGTCCGGTTCTGCAGCCACATGCCCTGGCGGCGGCCCTGCTGGTGGCGAAAACGACGGAGGCGGCCCTGCCGGCGGTGCGAATCGCGGACTCGTCGGTGATGCAGCTGCAGCTGCCTGGGGCGGTGGGCTTGATGGAGGCGGACTTGAAGCCGCGAGCGCGCCGAATGACGGCGGCGGCCCCGCAGGCGGCGCATACGACGTCCCCGCCGACGCGTATGGCGACATGAACCCTTCTGGAGCAGCAGGCGGCGACCCTGGAGGCGGTGCATACGACGGCGAGGGCTGGGGTGACGTCGAAGCGTAGGGCGACATGAAGCCCTCCGGGGCATGCGGTGGCGCGTCGAAGCCTGACGGTGGATGTTCCCCGAAGCCAGCTGGCGGGTGTTCCCCAAATCCTGCTGGTGGGTGTTCCCCAAATCCTGCAGGCGGCGTTGCCCGTCCCGATCCTCCTGCACCTGGCATCGTCACCCCTTCAACCGCCGGCATCACCATCCCCTCTACCTGCCTCCCATACTGCAGCCCCGGCTCATAGACCGCCCTAAATCCCGCCGGCGCCGGTGGCGGGCCCATCTCGGGCGAGCTCGCCTCAGAGGGGGCAGCGCGGCCGGCGGTGACGGCGTCGAAGATGGACTTGCGGTACGCGTCTAGCTCAGCGCGACGTTGGCGGAGGGCGGAGGAGGCCTGGGAGGTGGCATTAGTACGGTCATGATTGGCGAACATTTGGGTGTGATGAACGACGAGGAGGAGTCCGACGGACTATCAGATGATGGCGAAGGGGACTCTACTCACCTGCATCAACTCAGCCCCCAGCGCTTCCACCCTGCTACACGCAGCCTGGACCTGCTCATGCAACCTCACAAGCGCGTGCAGGACCTCCTTCTGTGAGTTCTCGATCTTGCCTGCGATAGTCGGTCAGTCACCGGTCGTCGATAACACGAATCGCTTTACTTACTGTGGAACATCATATCCGTGAAGAAGTTGTCAAAGAGCACGTCGCTCAGCATATTGCTAAGGACGCGGCATAAGCACCAGATTTACAGATATTTTCTGTCCAAGTTGACTGACCCTTGCGCGATATTGATAGCCCCAATGGCCTTCACCTTCGGGGACAGCTGCCGCGCTTGTTGGATGAGCATCTGCGCAGTGGAAGCCCTGGAGATGTGGGTCAGTAAGTGTTTTGCAATTTGAAGAACATAGTGCATTTGAGGAGAAGCCCATCGCTAGGGCAGAAACTCACTTGTTCTGCGCGTTCATCAGCGCATTGCGCTCCATCATGTCAGTCATGGCGCCGCCGCCCATCATGTCTGGAAGACGAGTTAGCATTGTTATGGTTCAGAGCGCCTGGAAAGCAGGATAACGCCTCGCGCCCTTGCTGGCGTCTAAGGGGCTACACAACGACGTCAACGATGAACAGATCTAACAATCACCAAACGTCGAGTGCGTCAGCGCCTCCCTGATGAACCGATCACTCATGCGCAGCTCGCCCTCCGCGTGCGCGAGGATGTCGGCGACGCGTGACTCGCTGTTGAGCCGCTTCTGCACGTCGTTGTAGATCTCCTCGACGTAGCGGACCTGGGAAGAGGATTGTGATCAGAAGATGGTAGAGTTGAGAGGAGAGGCGGCAGGCCATAACAAGGACAACAATTGAGCAAGGCGAGAGGGGAAGAAGGAACGGGGGAAAGCTCAGAAGCGGAGAAGGACAGAAGGGATGCGGAAATAGAGAGGATGTGCGAATATTTTGTGGCTTTAAGTGAACTCGCCGCACCTGCTGCTCAATCTCGTCATCGTGGGGGAACTCTGAGAGCGGCGTCAATGCCATGGCGGCGATACGCATCACGTATGAGGCGTACCTTGGGTGGGGCCCTCGAAGATAGAGTTGTACAGGGCAACCAGGTCGCCCTTCAGGCGCTGGTATCTCTGGAGCTTCTCCTCGAGGTCCGCGAGCTATGAGGCGCGTCAGTACACAGCACAGAAACACGGAGCTCCGAGCTCTTCTCTTCGCCACGCACCGTAGCTTTGGCCTCCACGATCATCTGCTCGTTCGTCTCGAGGCTGTTGCGGACCTTCATTTCCTCCTCTAGAGCTTCTATGTATTCCCTAACGATCATGATGAGCTTGCGATGACAAGGGGAACCACAACGGACGCACTTCTCCTCCTTGCTCGCCTTCTGCTCGAACTTCTCCTTCTTTCCCGTAAGCTTGTGCGCGAGGCGCCTTGTCGTCGAATCACGGATGCTCTCATGTTCCTTGCGCTCCTTCTTCGTCTTCTGCACGCACTTGTCAAGCTTGGTCTTCAGCGTCTGCGTGCGGCGCGTCAGCTCCCCCATCGGTGAACGTGATTGTGGCACACGCACCTTCTTCTGCTGCTCCAGCTCTTGGATGTAAGGTCTCTGATTCTCCAGCGCCGACGGTACATAGTCGAGCTCGCCGATCTGCGATAGGAGGTGCGAGTGGTACTGCGCGTTGGCGCGCACGGTGTTTGCGATGGACATGGTGGGGGTCAAGAAGTGTTGCAAGATGGTTGGAGACAAGGGGAGCCTATATAGGCGCGAGGACCTACAGCTTAGCGCCCGATGGACACAGCCAAGCAGTGATATCACGCATCGCCCGCTGTCTCACAGCGGGGCCTATCAAATGAAATGGCCTCGATAGCATGAATGCCGGATTGTGGCGGTCCAGTACTAGGAATTAGAGTCATTGGAGGCAATGCTGGGTATAGACAATAGCAAGTTCAACAACAGAAGCACGAAAAGGCGGAAAACAGACATGAGGCTCTCGTCGGTCCGGTCCGGGGAAGTCCGCTACACGTGCACGTGACTCTCAAGGGAAAAGTCTGCCACGCAGAGGATTGGGACATGCCCTGGGCGATGGAAGATGGAATTGAGATATCACGGAGCGGAGAGCGAGGAGCGGCAAAACAACATGAATAAGTATAAGATTATCGTTAGTGGACGTTACAGGTTCGTAGGTCGTGAAGGGTCATAACGATCGTGAAGGGCTCTGGAAGAGCTTCTCAAGAGTTCGAGGTGCATCCCAAGTCCAAATCCGAGATCTGTGTCCTCCGGCATGTGCGTGCTTCATGCAGCGGCGACACTGTTCGTGGTACCGATACCGTTCACAGCTAACACCGCTCACAACGCCAGTGCACCGCCAACGACACCCAGAGCGGCCGCCACAGCGACTGGTAGCAATGAGCCGAGGCCCACGGGTATCGCAGAAGCGGCGTTCGAGGTCGGTGAGGGCGCGGAGGTGGCGACGCTCTCGTTGTTCGTGACGGAGACGTTGCCGAGGAGGGCGGAGGAGAGGGCACAGACCTGGGTAAGGTGAGATGGGTGAGAATGGGTGGGGTGGGTCGAGACAGATGGGGAGAACCGGTAAGCGGAAGATGACTGAGGGGACAACGTTGTATAACAAAGGATGTAAGAGCGATGTGGAAGGAGGTCGTGGGACGAAGCGAGTGTGCCGTACGAGAAGATGAAGAAAAGGACGACGAAGCTCACCTTCCGCATGCCGTCGACCACATCCGGCAGATTGGGCGCGTCTAGCACGTTACTCTGGTTCGTCTTGATGAAGCTAGCGTCGAACAAGGGGTGAGCATCCGCACGACGAATAAAAGCGATGATAGACTTACCAATCCGCGCACTGGGGGAAGACGGACTTGAACGTGTCTGTGCATGCACAGCGGATGACATCGACGAAGGCGCCAGGGTTGAAGATGATCTGAAAGAGATGATGGATGGATTGGGGACAGGGCTCACGTTAAGGCGTACCATGGAGAAGTTGGCCAGCACGGGGGCAGCATCAACGCAGCCATCGATATCTCCGTAGCTCTGCATTGCTTCATGAGGAAAAAGCACGGTGTAGATCGAGAGGGAACATACCTGTTGGCATATCCCGCACGACTTGGGGTCGTCCGGGAAATACGGCTCCGTGGTGCACTTTTGCAGCTCCTCGCGCGGTTCCAGCAACGAGACGCGCGTCGGTGCGGGCGACGCTTTCACGCAGAGCAGGACGAGGAATACCGTGAGGAGCTTCGTGGCCATGGCGATCATGATCATGGTGGCGGACTCTCGTGTTGCAATGCTTGAACCACGGTCAGTGCTCTTCGCGTGCCAGAACCTTGCTGAGTGCTATGCGAGGGGGAAGGGGAGCGCGGATGTCCGTGGGTGCAGGAGAGGTGGCGAGAAGCAAGCCTGAGGGAATCTTTTGATTCGACCTCACGCCATATGATCAGGCCCAGGTCAGGAGGCCCGGATTGAGCGGCGGCGGGCGCGAGGGCATGTGCGGATGGCTTCCCCAGCTTTTGAGGGCATCTCTGTCGCAAGATTCGCTGGTTGGGGGGCTGCAAGGCATATCTGGACGTGAGGGGATGAGCAGAGCCTGCTCGCTGCGCAGCTCCTGACCAGGGCCTCGCGGCCAGATCAAGTGCGCGCTGCCTTTTTAGGAAACACTTCCGAGGCTGGGGACCTGGGCTTAGGTGTAGTCTGCGGCTCTCAACAGCCTTGCATAACGGCAGAGCACTCTTGAAAACCCCCATCTGCGTACCAACTTTCCTAAGGAACGTCCGTATCCTCGCAGTGAAACTCGCCGACATGCATCATATGGCACTAGACACCCTCATGTACATTGTACAAGTAGTCCACGACAGAGATATAATACAGCTACATTCTTCAGACTTGTTGATGTAAGTCTCCTTCCTGTTGTCGACTTGGCCGCCACAAATTTGCCCATACACTCGCAGCCTCCCATATGTGCTTCACGAAACCCTCCCCGGACTCGGCATCCGCTTCCTCTAGCATCTTGTCAAGCTTAGAGAACTCGATAGCGTACGGGCCGTAGTCCAAATTATCCGGGTATCCGGCAGGGCGTACGCCTCTACAAAGTAAGTCAGCGAACGTGCGATAAGCCGAAGTAAGGTGAACGCACTGCTCGAGTAGCCATCCGACGTTGACACAGACGAAGAGGGAATGTCCCTGACACTCGAGGCGATCGCATGGCTCGCCGCCAAAGAGTTGGGCGAAGCGATACAAGCTACGGTAGCGGTTTAGTACCACCCAGGGACGCCCTCGGGTCGCGTTGGCGAGGTGTACTTCGGCGATTGAGGAGATGAGCGTTCGATGCCACACCTCTGAGTCCTCCGCTTCGGTGTCCTTGTATAGCCGTCGCAGGGCCTCCTCGTATCTCAACAACTGGGGGACGTGACTTGGATGCGCTGGTTCGCACATGCTCGCCATCCATCGGATAGTTTCCTCCGAGAGCGGAGGCCTGATGCTCCTGAACATTGCGTTCCGCTCTCCAAGCAATGCGCCGATGTAACGAGTGACGAGATCCTGCACAAGATGGCGATGAATCGCATGCCGGGCATGTTGGATGTACTCCAGAAGGCGGTTCTTGAGGATGACCAGCATCGCTTGCTCGAGTAAAAGGCCCTTCTCGACGTCGGGCGTACGAGGTGTGGAGAGTTCGAGAATGAGGGAGGCACAGCGGATTGGCAGCTCCACGGTATTCAGCCCTTCGTCCTCTCTTGCTGTGAATACGCTCCTCGTAGACAGGCGCGTACGATGTGGTATGGTCGCCTCAGTATGGACAGTTTCAGGATCGCCGACCGCATCAGATCGCGCCGCCTTGTAAAGGACGAATATCGTCTCGAAGTTCTGCTGAGCATCGTGGAGGAAAGAATAGACAGCCTCGCGGCTCTGAAAGTTTTGCACGCTGCCAGCGCTATCGTGGAATACTCGGCAAACCCGGCGATGGTATTGGGGTGCCAGAGACTGCAGTTCGGTCCAACAAGCATCTGCAAGCCATTTAGGAACCGGCTGGTTGGCGTACCGAAGGTATTCTGCTAGTTGTGCTAGGGCTTGCGCTACAGTGAAATTTCAGAGACACTGTCGCTGCACGAGCGAAAACACTCACGCCATTGCCCAATGCGCGCGCGAGTGGAATCGTTGCCAAGTACGAGGCACAAATAGTCGGTGAGCCGCTGCTTGACGTGACTGTGGTAATCGCAAGCCTCTTGGAGGGTCGCCGGTCCTTCGCACGCTCGATAAAGGGATGTCCGCGACTTGCCGTCCCTCGTTGTTGTCGCGACGCTGTGAGCCTGCGCAAGCAGCAACACGTCTTCGAGCCAGGGCTGGATCGTGACCATATCCTCATCCGTCAGAAGGCGTCGACTCGGGTACCCGCCGACGCCCATCTGCTGTAGAGCGGTCGGCTTCTGAAGTAATATGGTAGGCTCATTAGGCATCCTCCGGCATGCATAGTCCAGCAATAAGTGCCACACCGCCGGCGCCAGCCGCGTATCCCGGTTCAGCACAATCCGCCTGACCTCCCGCAGAAGATCGTCCGGCGCTGGAATATGGCGGTTGTACCGCCGACTCGCTTGCGCAGGGTAGAACAGACGCAGGCAAAGGAGGCGGATGAGCAGTTGCTGGTTCGTCGACTGCGTATCGGACGCCTCGCGCATCCTCTCCGCGACGACATTCCAATCTTCGTGCGTCACGAGGTTTCGCCCGAAGAGGGGCATGAATCCGCCGTGGCGTTCGGTGACGAGGCCGAATGGCTCCCAGGCAATGCAGCATAGGCTGCGCGCCCAGCGCTCGAAGCCAAGGCAGCCGCGCTCATCGTCGAGCTTGCCGGGTGCGGTGACTTCGTGGAGGGTGCTGGGAAGGACCGCGCCCAGACCCATCCTCCAGGCCTCCGTCTTGGGGTCGAGCGCAAGCGGGGACGGCCATCCGGCGCAAGCCTCTGAGATGATGTTGCGCGCTGACAGATTTGTTGAGTTGGTGTAAAGCCAAGTAAGGCTGTCAAACATCATGTCGAGGATCGACTGATCGAGTCGGTCGCCCTGCATCCGGATCGCTGCAACTTCTTCCTGGCCGGCAAACTTGGGCGGTCGTAGGAGCGCTGAGTCAGAGGTGAACACGTTCTTTGTTCTCAACCACATGAGGGAGATAATGCTCCAAGGGTGGGCCCATAGCGTGGACAGGATGACGCGCTTGCGTACGAACCACCGTGCAACAGACTGAGCTAGAGGAGCAATAGTCGCTGGCCAACGCTGAAGCCTGGATACGAGACGCGCAGGCTTGAGACCGTAGTACGCCGTGATAAGGCGCCGCAGCAGATCACGGACAGCGTGAGTGACGGGTGTCCGATACGAACACTGCCAGTGAACCACCGCCAGAGCGTGCGTCCAAAGGTAGAAAAGGTAAGTCATACCTGTCAGTGCGGCGACCGTCCACGTGATAGGCAAGGATAGGGCGTATAGAAAGACGATCAGACCGGCGAGGAAGAGGGCGAGGGAGATATGCAGTAGCACGGGGATGAGACTGATGATGAAGGGAACCTTCCAGCGGACCAGTTCCTTATATCGCATGTGCCGTATCAGAGCGCGATCGCGTGGAGGCCCAGATGGTGTTTTCACATATTCCTGCGCGTCAAAAGAGATTAATGAGGTTGGCATGCTCTACTTGACGGTAAGAATAGTCACCTGAAGCCACTGCTTGACCAGGACTGCGATGAGCACCGTCGCCAAAGAAAGCCCGAGGGTGGTGAACCAGAGCGCATTCACCCACACGTCTCCCGTCGTAGCGGACAGCGAGTCCAGGTCTACGCCTGCTGACGGTACATCGTCAGGAGAGCGCGCACGCTGCAGCGCCACCAGCTCCAGCAAAACGGCAGCTGAAATACGCCCGTAATCGGGTTGCAGCGCCTGCGAGGTCTGGGCGACGAAGGTCGTGACGACGGCAGAAAAAAGGGCAGCCTATACGATCAATTCAGTATCTGGGCAGACAACGAGACTATCAGTCACAAGAGCGACTTACGAATACAAGATGTACGTCCAAGGTGTCCCGAAAGCCCTGGAGCATGTCATCGTCAAACTGCCCGCTCTCGTCGAGGTAGACGCGCCACACGCGCGCATTCTCTCCTACTTCAGCCCCGTATGGATCCTCCGGGTAGATTTCACTGTAGTCGCCGACTACGGTTATTGAGAACAAATGACATTGCGTGAACAAGAAGTACTCACGCCCTCCCTTGCCACCTGATGAATACTTTGGTATGCCAAATAATCGAGAGGTCTCCTCTCGGCCGCCGGTTCCAATGTTCGCCTGTGCGCGCGCCTTACGAGGAATGGGCGGATCCGCGGCGTTGACCTTTGGTTCTTCGAAAGGCCGTTCAGGAGTCTCCTCCTCCTCATGTTCAGACTCGTCCGACATCTTCTCAATGTCTGTATATCCGGCTGGCGAAGACTTTGGTCAATCACCCTGAAAAGGTGCCCGAACAGCGTACCTGATTGCTGTCGTGAGCTCATCGCGGTCCTGTCATAAACGGAAACGAGAAGTCTAGCGAGAGGAAGTACACGGTGCCAGCTTCGTCGAGGGATGTGAAGGTTAGCACCAAGACGCGCAGCGCCAGGCAGCGCCGGGCAGTCTAACACGCCGCCCGCGTCTTGATCATCAGTGACCTTCACTCGATCAGGCTGATAAAGGGAGCATTTGATGGTTTGATCTCAGCAGGTACAGCGCTCAGCCTAAGCCTGAAGCTTTGGGACGCGGTTCGTATTCCCGCACAGCGGACTGGGGCGCATAATGAATGTGGGAAGCATGCCGCACGCGAGAACAATATGACAAGTGTTTATTTGCAGCGGCTGATGCAATGATCCATCCTTGCTCTTGACCCTCATGTCGCTTTCGGCAATGGATATATTCTGAAGAATACAGACATTTTCAGCGACTAATGTGACACTGACATACATCGAGGCAATGGCAGACGTACTGCTACGTCCATGCTGGTCCCCGTGGTCCATCACAGCGGCGTCTGCGGCGTGATAACCCATGACTCGAATCTCCTTATGTTCAGGTGCGCTTCTTCCCACTCCCCACTGACGACGGACCAGGTCTACGGAGAAACGTCAACACTTTGGACAAGAATCCTGGATGTTGCTGTCCGAACGCGGCCCGCTAGCTGGGAAGATCTTCTCTTCACTCAATTCACTAGTCCCACAGCTCAGCCTAACGAACACTGATCTTCGCGTGCGAGCAGCCACCACCGTATGCTCCTGATGCTCGCTATAGTCACCTGGGCTGCCGCCCTCGAAGTCTGACAGGGTAGAAAACACATGCATGGCTGTGCGAAGCCACGGCTCTCTCTGGCTTATAACTCGGTCGTGGGCGACGGGCGACCTGCGCCTCGGAGGGACTTGCCTTTACGCCTCGGAGTAACCCACCATGGCCCGCTTCTCCTCCTTCCTTGCGCTGCTCGCCGCCACCGTCACTCCCGCCGCGCGCGCGGACCCTTACAACACGTTCGACGGTCCAGGGTTTCCCGCGTGCAATGAGGTCGCGGCGGTGTACCACCCGACAACGATCGACGAGATGGCCGCGCTCGTGAAGAACGCGTCTGACAATGACGTGCCAGTGCGCGCGTCGGGGAAGGGTCATATGTGGTACGGTACGTAGCCTGTACGTCTTCCCTAGACCGAGACCGAACCGCTGAGTCCACTCCAGACACGATGTGCACCGACGACCCGAACACGGTCATCATCGTCACCGAGGCGCTCGCGGGCTTCAGCAACTTCACTGCTCCGGATGAATGTCAGCGAGAACCTTTCTTGCTGGCGGGAGTGTACTAACATCGTATAGCCGGTGTCGGCAGCGTCACCATCGAGGCGGGCGTCACTTTCTTCGAGCTCGCAGACTACCTGCACGAGCGCAACACGTCCATCGGCTACTCGCTAGTGAACTGGAATATCACCGTCGCTGGCGCACTCGCTATGGGCGCTCACCGTTCGGCGCTGTCTCAACCCGCCGACGTCGCCGGGGCTGCCGCTGCCATCGACCTGCTGCTTGCGAACGGCACGTTCGTGCACCTGAGCGAGGCAGAGCATGGTGATACGGACGACTGGCGCGCGGCGACTACGAGCCTGGGTCTGCTCGGAATTATCGCACGGGTGACGGTGAAGATCTTCCCTGAGTTCAAGTTGGCAGCGGACCAAAAGATGTGCGTTGCATTCATTTTGCAGAAAGCCTCGAGCTAATATTTTCTCCCAGCCTGGACGAGAAGGACGTACTCGAGGGCGATATCTACGGAATGATCAACCCGTACCCCACCGCCAACTTCTGGTGGTGGCCCGGCCAGAAGAAGTTCCACTACGTGCGCGCGCATCTTACAACAATTTTTCCTCCAGCCTCACTCAAATACGATCTCGCAGCGCACCTACGAAGTCGTCCCCAACGACGCCTCCGGTGAGGGCTTCCAAAGCACCTTCTCCGTCAGCGAATTCGAGGGCAACACCGCCAAGACACTCCTCGAGAACGGCGCCAACAGCTCGCTCATCAACCTCAGCACCGAGACCCTCTTCTTCAGCATCTGGTCCGCGCCCAACTTCCACGACAAGAACACGGACATCGCGGCGCTCTTCTGGCCCGTCAACGGCTGGTCGTACGACTCGCTCATCGGCGGGCTCTACCCGGACACGAAGCCCGAGTGGGACTACAACCTGCGCGGGAAGACGCTCGAGCTCGCGTTCCCGGTCACGCAGGCGAACGCGATGCTCCAGCGCATCCGCGAGCTGTTCGACGAGAGCGAGGAGGGCGGGCATCTGATGACGTCGACGTATCGGTCGGGGATTAACATCAAGTTCGGGCAGGTGTTCGACGATTTATTGAGCCAGACGAGCACGCTGCCGAAGAATACTGACGCGGATTGGAGCAAGGGGACGATCATGTTCGACTTTCCGACCTATCTTCCGGACAGCGGGGTGCGGTATAACGAGCCGTTCTGTGCGTCGAGGTGCTCTTGCTTTGGGATTATTACTCACAGTCTGGTAGACGCAAACCTCGCGGAGACGCTGATCAACGAGTTCCCCTGCCGGCCCCACTGGACAAAGAACACGCGCGAGATCTTCCAGAAGAGCGTCAAGAATCTGGATCCCGATGTACGTTGCTTCGAACCACTGTTTCTCCAGACGTTCTCATCGTTGCTTGCCCCTTTCTCATCGTTGCCTACTCCCAGATCCTCGCCCGCTTCGCCGCAGTGCGCGAACGCTACGACCCCAACAAGACTTTCGCAAGCGTAGTCGGTCAGATCATTGGCGTCGTATGAGTGCATACCTCGGTCCCCCTCAGTCGCAACGACTAATCAAGTGCTCTGCTGAATCTGGAACTGGACAACCTTTGTAGCACATCACATTCACTACGACCACTTCACGACTTCCTACTCCTTCTTTCCCTCCCTTTTCTACGTGTAGTATACCACAGGCGCAATGCTACGCGCCCAATGTATGGAATTCGACTGTGAGCTGTGGGACCATCTCTTCAAGACCGAGCTCGGCATTCGCCGCGTGCAGACCACGTGACCAGTGTTCGACTTTGCCAAAGCTTCAGATATCGGGCAAATATCTGGATACATGATGCATGCAACGAAAGCCTAGAGTACAACAGAGAGAATGATACGATATCTTTCACCGAGTCCCCGAATCTCTGTCTACTGACTGCCTGCGCTACTTTCATTCTCGTCGAGCGCTTTGGAGAACTGCTTGCGCTTTTCCCGCAGCTGTGAAGTAACAGGAGAAATAGGATGGCTTCGCGGCAAGAAAGCTCGAAGGTCCATGCATTTTGGGTAGGAAGGGATGACGATATAGGACTCTTGGGCGTCGCATGGCGAGGGGCAACTGTAGTGAAACGCACGTCAGCGTGTCGACCACTGCAGGCGAGAGCTGGACAAGTTGGATACGCACGTATTCCTCATATCCTCTTCGCTCTCCGCAAACAGCCTCTCAACGCTCTCCCAGTCAAGCCTGTTCCCCTCCTCGCTCGCGGGCTCGATCCCGGCGAGGTCGATGAATTTGACCCGGGCGTCGGTGAACTCGGCCCCATCCTCGTCGTTCATGTACTCGGACCGGCCTCCCTCGTCGTCCATAAACTCGGCCCTGCCTCCCTCGTCCTTTGAAGACCCGCCTTGCACCCCGTATATCAACAGGTTGCTGACACAAAACCCCGACTGGGCTACGTCGCGCTTCAGGCGCGTCTGAAGGCCGCTCCTGCTGAAGCTCGGCAAGGTGTTGCTCTCATGAAAGCCCGCGTAGCAGAGGCCTGCGCGGTGTAAGCGGGCGACGGCGCTGTAGACGAGCTTCTTGTCGCGGGGTTGAACTATACGTCCGGTCCTGAGTAAGATCAGATGGCGAGCGAGTGCCCGAGAGTGGAAAACCTACATCGGTTCTACGAGCTCATAAGCACAGGCGGCGGACAATCGAAGTCCGTGAAAGCTCACCAGTCACATATCCCACGACCCTGTCCTCGCTGGTCATGTGGCCGTAGATCTCATGCGCGTATTCCAGCAGGTCTGCGCGCTTAAGCGCCTGATAGGCATCCATGCCTCGTTCCACGTCGCGCAGAGTGTCGTCGTTCCAACCACGGAAGACCTCTAAGGGAGGATGAGCAGATAGAAGGGTGCACACCAAAGAATGCACGCGCCTATTGGTATTCCCCGACAAATGCCCTGGCGATGGTAGGCGTTGATGAATTTGGTCAAGAACTACGGCGAGACACGGTATCAGCAGAACCAGAGGGTGTATAGGTCGATGTACGCACGATCTCGCTCTCGTCGACCAGTTCGGTCCAACACGGCGTCCTGATGCGATGATTCCTCGAAATCACCCTTGGGATGACTTCCCGACGTTCCCTGTCCAGGTACACCCAAGGGGAGATCTCCCAACAGATGGATTCCAGGTTCTCTTGCTGTGAGTTTCGCGGGTGAGCGCTTGCATTCACAATCTACACGGCTGACGTCTCGGCGCCTACTCACAATGACTTTGAGATCGGCGACCCACTGTCGCTGTGCGTCCTTATGGTCCTTCTCTGTCGTGTCGTCGCTGATGCATCTGAATGGATCTTTGGTGGAATGGTATTGGGCGTACGCGGGGAGGCCGCGGGCGTGGAAGACGACGACACGGCGGTGCATCCGGACGGCGTAGAGCGCATAGTTGCTTCCGATGGAGGTATCTAGACCAGTATGAGATGCACGGTAGTAGATATAAAGGAGCGAGTACTTACCGAGGAGGGCAGCTACTTCGGGAGGCTTGCACGCCATGGTCAGTACAGCGGGTGTATGATGGTCGGGGAAGGATGGGTACAGTGAAGGGCGCCTATCTGATCCAAAGATGAACACAACTTACAGTAACGTGCGCATGAACTTCGAAAAGCGCGTGGAGGACATGCTGTTGGTCCTGTAGGCGCCCGGGTTTATCGATCTTTCAAGGTCTATTGACTAACACTGTTTCGATGCACTCCGCCTGTCCCTTTCCAATAGAAGTGCATATCGTATGTTGAAGTGCACGTTTGTGACCGACAATGACAATGGGAGTTCCATATCGCACTGACTATCCTGGCAAGCGCAGAGCCCATCATGCATCATGGTCGAAAGCTGCAACTTCAATTTGAAGTTCAAAGCAAGCAAAATCCAACCACCACCGGATCAATCCAGACTTCGGCCCGGAGCTGCCGGCGCGGTCGGCGGTCGCTGCCCATCAACGGGCGCCTAAGTTGCGATGCTACAGTATAGCTTGCCTTCGACCTTCATCCTTTCGAGAACACCATGCCTGTATTGACGCCCGGAGGTCTGCAAAGTCGCGTTTTTCCGCCAATGATGTCGAGCCAATAATCATCTTAGAGCCGAAAGAGGTGCCCAGCAAACCGCAGCCCATCGGCAACATACCTCTCATATTCCTCTTCACGCTCGCTGGGCTCTGCATATGCTTCCTCTTGTGGAGAAGGGCAGACGCTCTGCGAAAAGTTGTATCCCATCAGTGCGTGTACCGCGGCTGGGACAGGTATGGACAGCTAACGCGCGTTGCGCAGATTGAAGACGTTGACTGGGCGACCAGATGGACAGATACGTCTGAGCGACGATGATGGACCGACAGTAGAAGAGTTCATCGTAGATGATGAGGATGAGGAAGACAATACGGAGCTCACGACGGCACAAGACTTGCTAGAAGAGCGAGCGCGGTCCATGACGCCCTCCCCCGCCAAGCCGCCGATCACCACCCTCCCCGACGGTCAACATGACGGCGCAGAACCTCGATCATCTAGTGAAGGGGTGTGGTCGAAGTAGTACATCTCGCGGAGCCGTGGAATATCTAGGTGCGCAACAGCAGCCTATGGTATAGCCCGTACGCTAACAGAGAAGCAGAGTACAGTCTCGTAACCTACCTATGCGTACCATCGCACTGTATGATTATTGTCAATGCTTGTCCCTTGGACCCAAGGCCTTCCTCGACCCCCTCCCTCCTCCCTTACCGCCCTGCCGTGCGTGCAAATTACCCCCGCCTCACGGCGGCTCACCTATATAACACCCCCAGCAGCGCCAAGTCCACGTTCCTCAGCCCAGCCCGCGCGTCATCCCGCCCCTGCTGCGACCGAAAATCCGTACCACAGCCTCTGAGAGGCCGGAGCAGCAGCACCTCCCGGGTACCTGGCCTGATATGTCCTTTTCCCCGCAATCGCGGTCACGAGCCCTCCTGGGCGGGGGCGAAATCCGCGTCGCTGCGCGGTCCGGGCAGAGGGAAACGTCGGAGAAACTGCAGATCGCCCTCTGTTATGGCTGCCGGACAGTCGTCTGACCTCGGAGTTCGGGTTTAGAGGACGCGCTAGAAGGGTATATAGGGAGGCGCGCGAGGACGCCCTGCCGCGATTTGCGTTGCGTGTTCGTCCTAGCAGCAGCAGCACAAACCTTTCAGACTCAGATTTGAACGTCAAGATGTTCAGTCGCGCGGCCCTTGTGGCGGCGGCCCTGGCTGCTCAGCGCGTCTATGCCTTGAGCGAGGGCAACTGCGTCTCTTTCGACGCGTCCTCCGGCGGCTTCCCTCTCGTCGGGGCGACCATCATCACCTCCGAGGACGACTTCCCGGGCGTGCATCGCGCCGTGGCCGACTTCATCGTCGACGTCGCGAACGTGACCGGTACCGCCCCCGCCGCCTTCAACCTCACAGACCTCGAGACACTCCCCTCCTCCGCCCTCATCGTCGGCAGCGTCAACTCCACCATCATCTCCCAGCTTTCGAACTCGTACGCCGTCGACCTTAGCGCGCTCACGGGCCAGTGGGAGAAGTTCGCCAGCGGGCCGGCGCCCGACGCGCTCCCTGGCGTCAAGAACGCGTACGTTATCGCTGGGTCGGACAAACGTGGTACAATCTTCGGCGTCTACGAGCTTTCTGAACAGATCGGCGTTTCCCCGTGGTACTGGTAAGTTATTCGAACCTTTCATGTCGATATGTACGGCGTCCCGCGTCTTTCTCTCTTCTCGCTATCTATTCCTTCCCGCGTACTCTATTCTCCCATATAGTTTTCACTTCTGCATGTTCTAATCCTATCTATGTAGGTGGGCCGACGTTCCCATTTCGAAGCACGAGGAGGTCTACCTGCTCCCCTGCGCGCAAGGGCCACCGACGGTGAAGTACCGCGGCATATTCCTCAACGACGAGGAGCCCGCGCTATCGAACTGGGCCAAGGCAAAGTTCACGAATGGCACGCTTTCGGAGCTGATGCACTCGCCGTTCAACCATCACTTCTATGAGAAGCTGTGAGTGTTTCTCCATTCAGATTCCAAGACACAGCGAGGCTCACGGAGCCATTCAGATTCGAGCTTATTCTTCGGCTGAAGGCGAATCATCTGTGGCCAGGCAAGCGAACGCGGCGGCGCTGGATGCTCCCGCTGATGCTGACCAGGACATTCCAGCCATGTGGGGCAGCGCATTCTGTGTCGACGATGAGCTCAACCAGCCGATGGCGGATTACTACGGCGTGGTGATGGGGACCAGGTGCGCTGACTTCCCCCAATCCCCTCTCTTTGATTGATCCTTCCCTCTACCGCTCCTCCCTTTTACTGCGCGCCCTCCCACCAATACTCACAACCTCCCATCCAGCCACCAAGAACCCATGATGCGCTCGACGCCGAACGAGTGGAACCTCTTCGGTAACGGCACCTGGGATTACAGCACGAACGCGGACAACATCTATCCCTACCTCTACGAAGGTGCTAAGCGGGCGTCCCCGTACGAGTCGATCTTCAGCATGGGTATGCGCGGGGCGGGTGATTGTGAGTGCTCTCTTTTTTGGCCGTAGTCAGTTCGTGTAGATGATTACGAGCTGACGCACGCTTGCAGTACCCCTCTCAGACGAGACGAACATCGAACTGCTCACGCAGATCGTCGCGGACGAGCGTCAGATTCTGAGCGATGTCTTCAACACGTCGGACGTGACGACTATTCCGCAGATATGGACTTTGTGTGAGTTGTCCATGGTGCGGATCAGTCGTTCGTGCTGACAACGGGGGATAGTCCAGGAGGTCCAGGGCTACTACGAACAGGGTATGGAAGTTCCGGAGGATATCACGCTGCTTTGGTCGGATGATAAGTACGTTGTCGAGGTCTTGTAACGACATGCATGCTGACCCGCCTCCTTAAGCTGGGGCAATGTCCGTCGTTTCCCTACGCCAAACGAGAGGAACAGGACTGGTGGCGCCGGTGTCTACTACCACGTAAGTCGATTATAGCTATGCCGTAGCCAAACTTGCTGAACGATATCCAGGTAGACTTCGTCGGAGACCCGCGCGACTACAAGTGGATCGAGGTGCGTTGAGTCATCTAACCTCGAAGCGTACCTCGATTGACAGGACTTCAGAGCTCCCAAATCTCCAAGATCTACGAGCAGATGTCCCTCGCCGTCGAGTACGAGGCCACCCGCGTCTGGATGCTCAATGTCGGCGACCTCAAGCCCTACGAGCGCTCCACTGAGTTCTTCCTCACCCTCGGCTGGAACGCCAGCCGCTGGACACCCGACAACGTCGGCACCTTCGTCACCAGCTGGGCGAAGCGTGACTTCCAGGTCGAGGACGCGGAGGCGGAGGCCATTGCAGAGATCATCGCCAACTTCACGAAGCTGAACGCGCGGAGGAAGCCTGAGTTGTGGAACAGCACGACGTACAGCCTGACGAACTATCGGGAGTGAGTCGTTTTCATGTTGGGGCTTTGTGTTAGTGGGTCGGTACTGACGCGGCTCAAAGGGCGCAGACGACTTTGGACGAGTGGAACGCCATTCGGAATACCTCGACGGCGATCTACGACGGACTCCCGTCCGACGTCCAGCCCGCGTACTTCCAGCTCGTGCATCATGCCGTGCTCGCCAGCGCCAACCTCGGCGAGATGCTGATTTTGGCCGGGCTCAACAACCTCTATGCATCGCAGGCTCGCCTCAGCACGAACGACCTTGCGGATAAGGTGCAGGAGCTATTTGAGTATGATTACGATCTCGAGGTCGAATACCATAGCATCCTCGACGGTGAGCTGGTTGTTCTTCGTTATCTGTATCGTCGCTGATGCACCGTGGCAGGAAAATGGAACCAGTGAGTATTCGCTTAAGCATGTTGGAAGTGATGTCTAACCCCGAGCAAAGTATGATGGATCAGACCCGTATGCAACCTTCCGTGAACTGCTTGACTACCACTGACCTTGCCCCCAAGACGTCGGATACTACTATTGGCAGCAACCTATGACCAACACGTACGTGAGTCGGAGTTCTTGCGGAGTATCGTGCTCACAGATGAGATAGTATGCCTGCCGTTAACCGCGTTCAGTCGAGAAGGCAAGCTCTTGCCGGTGTCATGCGAATCATCCCCGAGGGTACAGCCGGTGCTTGGTAAGTCGTGCTGCGAGCGAGACAGTGAATATGGCTGACCAGTCATCTTAGGCCCGGCGACAACCCATACCAGTGCGCGAAAGGCTACGACTGTGGTGACCCCACCATCTACATCGACCGCTACTCTCCCATCTCCGACCGCTACGTCGACGTCTCCGCCGGTGGTCCTGCACCCTTCTCCTGGAACGTCACCAGCAATGCGAGCTGGGTGTCGACGTCCCTTCAAGGCGGCGACATATCTCCTGACAGCAAGGAGGCGCGGTTGTATCTCTCTGTCAACGATTGGAGTGCTGTGAACGGAACAAGCTATGCGCAGCTGACCTTCGTCGCGATCTCGAGCATCGACGATCCGCTGACGGTCAACCTCACGCTGGTTGCTTACAACCCGGGTGCTCCGGCTGAGGGCTTCACCGGTGAGCGAGGGTCAGTATGCTGTGAGACGATGACCAATCGTCACCCTTCCAGGCTACGTTGAGGGTGATGGTGTGGTGTCCTTCGAGGCCTCGCATGCAGCGAGGAATACGCCCGTTGACGATCTCGCGTGGACCGTAATTCCCGATTATGGGCGCACATTGGCAGGCGTCACTCCCTGGCCGCGCGGCGACAAGAACTTCACTGCCGGTACCGGTCCGTCTTTGTACGTTGGCGTCCTGTCCTCACTTTTGTTCATCTATTCACGCTGCTTCGCAGGGAGTATGACTTCTACACCTTCGGCAACGTCAGCAGCGCCAACGTCACCGTCTACCTGTCGCCTTCCTGGAACGCGCAAGGCATGAATAACTCCCTGTCGTACGGCCTGCAAGTAGACGAGTCCGACATCGACGTCGTCGAGTACATCCCATACCCGACGACGATCGGGGGCAAGCCCGCGGAGTGGGCCGGCTTGGACGGCTTCGTGGCGAACAACATCGCCACGGGCAAGAGCAACTTCACGCTGAGTGGTGCTGGGGCACATACGCTCAAGGTGGATTTCCCATACTTCAGACCCCTTGTGACGGGTATGCTGACTTTCCCGGGTAGCTCTGGATGACGCAGCCAACCGTGGTGGTGCAGAAGATCGTGATAGGTGCGTGGATGTGGCTACCCATCGTACTTCGTCGAGCTCACATGCGCCATGCGTAGATCTTGGCGGCGCACTCGCAAGCTACCTCGGGCCTCCCGAGAGCGTGCACGTGGGAGCTTGAGGGTGTTGAAAGCAAGATGTGCTGTAGTATTATGCAGAAGAGAACAACATCATCGTAGGTAAATGTGAACAAAACATTGACTAGTCCATCGTCCTTGAACACAGTATCGCGCGGTTCCCTAACACATACAGAAGCCCTCTACAACACAGCCCACCCCAAGAGCGCGCCAGCGACACCGGCAACGAGGCCATTCTGAAGGTTCGTGCCGCGGAGCGCGGCATTGTTGTCGTCGTCGCTGCCACTGGAACCCGAGGGGTGGCTCGAGCTCGACGTCTGTGAGCGAGTAGACTGGCCGCTGCCGCCGCTGCTACCGCTCCTGCTCGTCGTGCCGTTGCTGCTACCGCTGCTCGTCGCAGTGCCCGTGATGACAGAGTCGGACGCGGTAACGGTGTCCGAGCCAGAGATGACGGTGTCTGATGCGGTGACGCTGAGGAGGTGTGTGGTAAGCATGTTGTGACAGCCAGAAGGGGCGGGCAAGGACAGAGGGCAAACACTCACGTCGCGTTCGACGCTGAGCTCGACGCCGAATAGGTGACATCGGCTGAGCTAGAGCCCGACGACACAGTGGTTGGCTCTTCCGCCGCGCTCGAGCTTTGGGCCGTCGTCTCTACCGTCGCTGCTGAGCTCGAAAAGCTCGTCGCAGGATCGGACTCTCCCGAGGATGACTCCTGGGCGGCGACAGAGGCCACAAAGGCGAGGAAAAGGGCGGCGGTAAGCTGAGTGACGCGCATGGTGGAGGAGTAGACTGGTGAAGAGGATGTGACTAGAGTCGGTAGGTGTAGGCGAGTGATGATCTGTGAGCAGCACACCCGTCCTACCACGTCCCCCACCTTTTATACAGACGCGGATCCCTTCCGCACGCTACGACCCGGCGTCCGTCTAATATTCAATTCCCATGGGATCGCTGAGGGATATCATGCGCTCTCACCGCCACAGTCATTCAGTACGCTTGTTGCGGTCATTTGCCCTGGATTCTTGGAGTGTCACGGTCAGGAGATGCCTTGGCCCCGCTGGTGAGCATGCTTGCGCTGGTCGCGCTCTTATTCACCTGCTGATCATGCCTTGCAGCGAGCTACTATGTCGAAGGCCGCAGATGGCCGCGGCGCGAATCCGAAGCCGACCTGAATACACTCGCAGTCATCGCTGGCCGTACAGTTGACCGCATCCTGTATCGAGAGACTCAAAGCGCACCGCCGTACCAACGCCACGTCTCCAACTTAGAACTGACCAACCGACGTGAGTGCTTCTGGTAGGCTCGTTTCTGCATGTATCTCGTATGACTTTCACAGGGATTGCGCGCGTTTATGGTGTTCATCTCTCGGTCAATTGTTCCCAGCATGCGGATGGTGCGGCGAAGGGGTGAGCTGCCCGCGCTCGGGGCCCCGACTCGGACGTGGGCGCGTCGACATAGTTATCTCATGCGAGCTGTGTCGAAGACGAACAAGAACGGTCTGGTGAGGTGGATACCTTGGAGACGGTCAGGGCCACGATCTATCTGCAGAGCATTTGTTCTCTTGCTGAGCGCTGAGGAAGTCAAGCGCAGTCTAAGCTGTAGGTGCATATCTTTTCATGCAGATATACGTCGAGGCCCTGTCGCAAATCGAAGCCTTCAATAACTTGCCGGTCACCATTCAATCTGTAATGCTCGTGTCCCCCCAATGCGGCATAGACCACTGGGACAATGAACGCACGTGCTGCGGCGCTTGGGAGGCATTCCGAATGAATGCGCCTTGGTCCCGACCGGCATGTCGACGACGAGCTCGAAGGGAACGCCTCACCGTACCTATAGGTTCGTCGGAGCTTCATCGACATAGGCGTGTACTAATCCGCTACGCAAACAGAGGCCACCGCTCATACTCCTTCACCGCCTCGGACGTCAACGAGCTCGTAGAGCTTCGCGCGCGCCAGCGAACCTTCCATGGCGCCTACAGCCGCACGGCGCTCTCTAACCTAGGCTACTCATTGACGATATTGCGTCTGTTCGATGGCAGGTTCCACAAGAGTGAGTTCCAGAGCGTCCTTCGATTTTTTTACGAGCGCCTCTTGATTCTGACGCCGTCACCCATAGTCGGCGTCCTGTTCGCCGTCTTCGGTGTTCTAATGTTCTGCATTGCTTACTACCGCTCGCGGCATTCCAAGCACGACTTCGCCGACAACAATTGTAAAGATAGACATGAAGGCAGGGTCATGCATACGGAAGGCCAACACGGCAAGCGCATATATGGGAGACCATACATCACGGCGGGGAAATTCGTGGTCTTGGTCGCTTTGCTGGTTTTTGGGTTGGAGTTAGCGCTTTTGTTGCTACTCCTCGACGTGCAAATATGATATCCCACATAACTTAGCCCAACTGATCCTTGGGAAGGCAGGCATGATCTGGCCTGCGGGACTGCAGGCGCTGCTTTGTTTGTTCACCTGATGGAACAAACAATGAACATCGGACCGATGTGCCGTATCCTCTCCTCGTCCTCCATCTTGCTCTCGAACGTCGCCGCCGAGGGCGCCGCACCATCTAACTTCAAGCTCGCATCAACCTCTCCGCTCTAAGAAACACAGAAATATGGGGCAGAAAAGGAAGTCGAGAGTCAGCGTCCATGGTATAGCTGGTCTCCTCAAGAATCTCGGCAGCAGCGAGATACTGGCTGTGAAGACAGAAATCGGGGACAGAAACGACATCGGTGATCTGCGCCCACCAAAGCAGGAGGGTGCGCCTGCAGACGATCTTCCCCCTCTCCCCTCCCCATCGACATCCGCGCTGGGCTTCGTCGACTCTCAGCGAAGACCCGAAGAAGCGGAGGCGATCGAGGCGCATATACCTCCTCCGCGACCGACAGCTCCGTCCCCTATACCAACCGCTCAGACGGGGGAGCTGTCGCAGCTAACGACGACACGAGAACGACCTGCAAAGCGCCAAAAAACTGTCCACACCGCGACGAATGCGTCGACGAGCAAATGGGCCAAAAAGTACGGGAAGGCCTGGGTCGATAAGTACGACGCGTCTGGCCTCGTTCCCTACTACAAGAATAAGGCGGAGGTGCCGGAGGAGCTGGCAAAATGTGCGTAGTCCATCCTGATCGCTGACGCGCACGACACTGATCGCGTCGAGCAGACTTCTCTCAGCGCCTTCGGTACTTCTCTCTATACTCTGAGCCCCCAGGCTGCCTTCTGGACACGGAGGGCTGGTTCAGTGTTACTCCGGAGGCGATTGCGAACAGGATCGCTGAGCGCTGCCGATGCGACACGATATTGGACGCGTTCTGTGGCGTCGGAGGGAACGCGATCGCGTTCGCGCAGACTTGTCAACGTGGTGCGTGTTTCTTTCCTCGATCGGGTGCGTATATGTGTCTTCCTCCCCGTTCTGAGGCGCATATATGCACCTCCCCGACAATCCTTACACCTACCACCACCCTCTTCGTGTTCGCGTTGCCCGTATATGTATGCATGCACCCCGTCGTCCCTTCCCAAACCCATCGCGTGGTCCACTCCTTGCTCATTCTATCATCTAGGACTAACTTGATCCACCAGTCATCGCCCTGGATACTGACCCCACACGCCTCGCCCTCGCCCGACATAACGCGCAAATATACGGCGTCGCCGACCGGATCGAGTTCATCCTGACGGACTACGTCGCATTCGCGGAAGCGTATATCAGTCGGAAGGAGATCTCCCAAACGGCTGTAACGAAGCCAGCGCGTATGATCGACGTCGTCTTCCTTAGCCCGCCATGGGGCGGCCCTTCGTACCTCCAAGGTTCAAGTCGACCAGCGTCGCCGGTGAAGGGTGGGTATGTGCCAGGTTTGTCCGTTGCTGAGCACTATGTGATTGAGAGTGCTGACATACTGCTCCCAGTCCTTCCCGCCGACGCGGACGAGATATCGTCAACGGAGCACCCCACGTACTCCCTCGCGTCCATTCGCCCCCTCCCAGGCGGCGAGCTCTTCCACCTCACAAGACGAATATCGCACAACGTAGCCTACTACCTACCTCGGAACACCGACCTGGCGGAGATTGGAGCATTGGTAGAGGCCGTCGATGCCGGGACCCCCAAATCCACGAAGGGCAAAGGCAAGGGCAAAGCGACGCCGGAGCAAGGGGAGAAGATCGAGATCGAGGAGGAGTGGATGGGCAACAAACTCAAGGCGTTGACGTGCTACTTTGGCGGGCTCGCCGCCGGGCAGGGGCATCTATTTGACGCTGTATAGTTGGTTTAGCGCGTACGCGATGCCCGCGTAGGGCATTTACTTGTGTCCCATGGATAGAAGTTCGACTGCGGTTTGTCACATCTTCGTCTTCTCTTTGCTCAGAACTTAAGCTATCCATAGGCTTCTATGTCGCGCGTCCTATCAGTGCGTAAGCGCCCTCGAGGTTACAACATTGTTACGGTCCAAATATCGACAGTCCATATCGTCCATGCATTATCTACCCGTCGTGTTCAATGCTCATGCCTCACGGCACCTCCTCCAGCGTGCCCTTTGGCAATCTTTCCGGCATGCTTCCCAGCACGCCTCTCAAGATTGCTTTCCGCGTGTACTTCACCACTCATACACGCCTTACAGCATCAAGCCCACGAGACCGCCTACGACGCCGACGAAAAGGCCGCCATGCATGTCCGCGAGCGGCAGCGCGCCGTTGTTGTCGCCTGTGGCAGAAGCGGAGGCGGAGGTCGATGACGAGGTACGCGTCGAGGTAGGTGCGCCTCGAGTGGTCGAGCCGCCGCTACTGGTCGGGCGCGTCGTGGTCGGCTGCGCGCTGGTGGTCGTCTCCTGCGTGACCGTCGAGATGGAGGATGTGTCCGCGGTGGTGGTGGGCACGGTGGTGTCCGTCTCCGTCGTGGAGAGGATGGTGTCAGTGGGGCTGGGGAGAGTGAGATGTCTGTTCGCCGATCGTAGGAAGGGGCAGGAGCTCACCTCACGGTGTCCGTGTCCGTGTCGGTGCCACTGAGCGTGGTGGTGTCGTCGCCCGTCGCGGTCGAGCTCACAGGGATGGTGGGGAACGTGTCCGTAATGGACTCGGTGATGGGTTCAGTGGGCAGGCTGAGGCTCGTGTCCGAGATGCTCGGGAAGGTCTCCGTCTCGGCAGTGGTCGTTTGCGCGCTAACGGCGAGCGCGGCAGCGAGAACGACAGCGAGCTTCATGGTGGTGGTCTTCATCGTGGCTGTGTGGGGTGAGCGGGTCGTGGAGGGTCGTGGAGAGCGTTCAGCTGATCCTAACGAGGGCGCGGGTGAACGTGCTTTGCTGGCGGTCGCGAGCAAGGGCGTATGTATACGATCCCGAGGACCCAGAAGGTACTTATAGCTGCGGACAGGGAGGCCCGGATCCTCCTATTGGACAGCCTACACGGTCAGGAAGGCCGCTTCCGGCGTGCGCGCCCTTTTTATGGACCGGCGCGCAGGGGGTGACGTCGATCGTATGAATGTGGGGCTGTGCGGGGACGTCGAGGAGGGGGCGCGCCTGTCGCGCGCTCGCAAAGCGGCAGCGTGGGGCGGGTCTCATTCAGCTGATTTTGCAGGTGACGAGGGCCGCAGCGCGAGTCGGTACCCGGGACCCGATTCGCGGCCAGAAGAATACGTTTGCGAGCAAGCGAGGGAGGGCAGGTGCATAGAGGGCTGGATGGAGGACGAATTGGAACGTTCGGGAACGGCCGCTTGAAGATCAACCGTGGGAAGGGGCATTGGAATACCCCCGTCGGAAACAAACGCAATCTGAACCGCCATTTCGACAAGAGGGTCGCACCATAGTCTACCCTACATGCACAACCTATCGTAAGTGAATGTCCCATGAAGTCCCATCGCATGTTCACCACATCATTACAGCGAATCGCCACCGTATTAGCGCGCCAGGTCCTCCTGACGCCTTTAGGGCAGTACGCGAGGCAATAGCCCGAGTCCGTTAGGGTATAGTGGGCCGCCTCGTCGTAGTTCCGCCACCGCTACCTCCTCACAACCTCCTCCTCATTTGGCGCTCCCTCAGAGCATGAAGCCCATGACGCCAGCGACAGCGCCGACGACGAGGCCGGTGCGCGCGTCGAAACCCATGGCGCCGTTCGAGTCGTCGCCGTCCTCGAAGGGGTCCTTGTGCGTCACGACCGCCGTCTCGGAGGTGGTGGTCCTCGTCGCCGTGGTCGACACCCTGGTCGTGCTGCTGCTGCCGCTCTTCGATCCGGAGCTGCTCGCAGACGAGGCGCGGCTCGAGCGGGAGGAGGCCCTAGAGAAGTGCGTGTCAGCTCGCTCAGATCTTTTAATGGCCGGTTCGAAGAAAGCAGACGTACTTTGATGAGCTCTCCGAATCGCTCGTCTCCGTCTCCGTCTCCGTCGTGGTCGAGTCGGTGACAACGGTGTCGGTCACGGAGACGATGGGCATGTCCGTCGCGGTGGGCATCAGGTCGGTCGTGTCCGCCGGCGCGTTCGTCTCGAAGGTATCGTCCTGCGCAGACACAGCGACCACGGCCATAAGCGCAAGCGCAACGAGCTTCATCATGGTGGCCTTCATCGTGAAAGGAGTGCTGATGCTGAACGCGGGTCTGAAAGATGCGAAAGAAGGTAGGAGAGGGAAGGGACGAACGCCTCTGACTGCTTGAAACCTGACCGCCTGAACCAGGCTTTATAGCGGTGCAGACCCAGCTTCATCGGCGTGCGGTCCCGAGCTCTAATCCTGAACAAGCGTCCTGGAGAAAGCAAGACACTTTCTAGCTCGCGCGCCGACCCTCTCTAGCCCAATACACGCTATATATTGACGTGCATACTGAGGCCAAGTTCTCGCCTTAGGACCGAGTGGGCGCGATATGACCGAGACGAAGGCAGCGACGAGCGCAATACAACCGCGACGAGCGCGCCACGCCCGAATGAATGCTAGACCCGTCCATCCGTTAGCTCCAGACTGACTATCGCCTGACAATATCCTGCGAGGAACGCCTGAGCTTCAGCCTCGCTCGCCTCTGCGCGGCTAGCGACGTGGACGACACCGGGAGAGCGCGCGGACAGCGGCCACAGCAGCGAGAGGCTCTATCTCGACGTATTGAGGACGTCCGAGAAGGCGCGCATGTTACAGCAGAGTACAATATGAATAAGTAACATACACTTCTATCCAATACAAGCATTACAAGTGTGTGGGTCAGTCAGTAGAATAAACAAGAATATGCCTCTTCAAGCTTGTGGGCCGAACAGTATGAAAAATTGAGAAAGAGTCAGTAGCGCCGAAAGCTGAACGAGAGGAAGTCGGGTCGCAGGAATGTTGTTCTCCCCCGCAATGAATGGAAACAAGGCGGGCCTTCATGCATGAGTCTAATCCAAATCCTCGATAGCCTCAGAGTCCTCGTCCTCGTCCTCGGGTTGCTCAAGGAGCTGCGCCAAGCTCTGCTTTTCCTTGGGCTTTGCCATACCGAACAACTGGGATGACGGTCAGTACTCGTCCACCATGCCCTCACACTCGCTCAGTTTCAACTGAGAACTCACAAATTTGATCTCCTTCACGCTCATCTTGTGCAAGCGGGTGCCCGTGCCCTCGCCCAGCGCCGCCTCAGCCAGCCCGACCTTGACGTCCTGTAGCTTGAGCATGCTACACACGAAAGCCGATCAGCACACAGCTCGACTACGCAAGGCACGCCCAACGCACCGCTCCTCGATCGTGTCCTCCACAACCAACCGCTTGATCCACACCGGCTTGTCCTGACCGATACGATGGCACCGGTCATACGCCTGGCTCTCGGCAGCGCTGCATAGGTGGGAAGGGGAAAGGGGATGGTTAGCACGATGTGCCAGACATATCGTTTGTCAAAGTGTACGCACTAGTTCCACGATAGGTCGAGGTTGATGACCCGGTTGGCGGAGACGAGGTTGAGGCCGACGCTCCCGCACTTGGTGCTGATCAGGATGACCTTGGGCCCGCCGGGGCGCTTGAACGCGGCGAGGACAGCATCGCGCTGCTGGCGGTCCATGCGGCCGTCGAAGCGGAGCGCGCTGATGCCGTGGATGGAGAAGACGGTGTCGACGAGGTCGAGCATGGAGGTCCCTGAATGCGAAATTGTGGTCAGCGCTGAGACAAAAAGGGGACAGTGCACAACCCACATTGCGAGTAGACGATCGTCTTGTCCCCCGTCGCATCCCACTCCCTCAGCAACTCAAGCAATTTGAGCATTTTGGTGCTAGGTTCGATATCGTCGTCGCTCTTCGCCCAACGCTCATACATCGCTTGATTGTCATCCTTGCCAACACGCTTCTTGCCCATATTGCTCCCCTTCGTCTTCCGCTTCTTCGGCCGAGCCATGGCAGAGCTGAGGTCAAGGCCAACATCCGAATCCTCGTCGCTCTCATCGTCCGAGCCCTTCTTCTTCGACTTGGAGTAGATGTTCTGCAAGCACGCCCGTCAGCATAAGCCCTCGCCGACAGCAACTTCTCATCGTCCGCGCCACGACTCACCTGCACCCCCTCATCCGACTTCCTCTTCTTCGTCGGCCTCTGACTGATCATGTCCAAGTCCGGAAACTCATCGTCCGAATCGTCCAGCACAATATCCTCGAACGCCCTCTTTGGCGGCGCGTCCTCAATCTCGATATCGCTATCGTCGATGTCCGAAAAGATAGACTGGGGCTGGCGGCGCGCTCGGGCAGCGGCTTTGCGCGCTTCACGGCGCTTGCGCTTCTGCTCCTTGACCTCCTCCTTCGTGGGCTCGAAGGCGGAAGACTTGAAGATCTTGTCGCCCTTGAAGTTGGTCATCTTCTTGCAGGTTGGGCCTGGCCATATATGTTAGCGTCAGATAGATGTCGAGGGATAAGCACATACATGGCCGGAGTCCTTGCGCTACAGCCCGCTCGTACTCCTGTTCGGCTCGAAGGTTTTCCTTCTCGCTGCCCTCGCCGCTATGAGGTTGTTAGCCAACTGCAACAACACCCGAAGATGGAAATTCAACTTACAACACGCCGTCGTGAGCAATGGCTGAGTTTTGCAAGTCCTCCAGGCACTCTGCGAATATTTGTCAGCCTCAGTCTCGACAATGTAAGTTAGGCTCTACGCACCTACGCAAACCTGATGCCCACAAGGCAGTACCCTGCCCTTATCCTGTCCGAACACTATCCCAGATCCATGAGCATCCCTGCGTCATGAACCGCTAGCGAGCACTCACAATCATGGCAAACAGGACAATCCGCGCCCAACGAAGGATCATCGTCATTAAAGCCCAGCTCAGCGCGTGCCATGAACTTGCGCGCGACCTGAGATCGCGTCAGTTTCATGATCTACCACCGCGAAGTTACCATCCCTCACCGAATCAACCCAAGCCTTGCCCATGAGCTTCGTCGCCCTCGAGCGCTCCTTCTCCGCATCCGTGCCTACAATAAGCGACGGGTCGTCGAGTTGGCCAGATTGGGCGAGGATCAGTTGTGGATGGCAGGTGAGCTGCCGCAGGCGGAGGATGAGGACCTGGAAGGCGGTGTCAGCTGTGAGGCCTCAGAGGGAGGGGAGGGGGAGGAGGAGAGGGAGAAACTGAGATGGCGGCAGACTCACCAAAATGAAGGAGTAGTTCTTCACGAGCGTCCCCTTCGCGATGTACTTGTTGATCCGCACCTGCGTCTGCTGCTCGATGTCGTCGTAGATCTGGAGGTTGGGCGTCAGCTTCAGATCCATATGATAATCTTTTTTATAGCTCGGGTCTCATGGCTTCGGCAGAGCCTTCTATCCGCACGTCTCTTCCAATGCGACACAGATATCAGGAGATTACTCACCTGCCTCTCATCCGGCGTAAACTCCATCTTCACCAGCTCGATATCCTTCGGCGGCAACCTCAGAATCGGCTGCCCCTCCAGCATCGAGTCCTTCGTCCGCCGCATGATGAGCGGCTTAAGGATCGCCTGCGCGCGCTGCCCGGCCATCGGCGCGTCCTCGTTCTGCATTTTTATCTGTGTGAGAAGGTGAGTCGGTTGATGTAATTCTGGTGGGAGGACAATAGGAGGTGAGAGGAAAGGGGGGGAGGGGCGCGGGTGGGAGAGCAGTCGGACGACGGCATGGGTGTGAGTGGGAAGGTGAAGGGAAGAGACTCACGATATGCGAGTCAAAACTTGGATAGTCATTCCATGGGCGGAAGTGGCCGAAGCGGAGGAGGCCGTCTGGAGGAGGAACACATCCATTGAGAATTGATTGTCTAATCGACGACATGCAAAGGGACACGCACAGATATCCGCCAACGAGTTCGTCACCGGCGTCCCCGTCAGCGCCCATCGATATTCCGCGCGGACGTAGGCTAGCGAAAGACTAGCCTGCGTGCTGCGATTGCGTATGAATTGAGCCTCGTCTGCGATGACGCGGAAGAACTCAGTTCGCGCGAGGAGGCCGCTGTTGGGGCGTCAGTGTCCGTTGGTAGAACTAAACGGCACCTAGTAGGAACTACACTGCACCGGAACGTGCAATGATAGGAAAACGAAGCAGACATGTACTCACCCCTTCTTCTCCAACCACTTCTCCGTGTCCCAGTCGTTGAGCCCCTTCGGGACCGCGAAGTCCTGGTTCAACGTCTGATAGCTCGTAATCACGACGTCCACGTCCCTCAATTCCCTCTTCGAAGTCAACTTGTCCTTGCCATGATGAATATGCGCGCGGAATAGGCCGTTGGTCTTCGTTTCGATTTCGTCCTTCCATTGCTGCAGGAGCGCGGCAGGGACGACGATCAAGGTGACGCGGACTTTGTCGTCCATGCCAGGCATGTCAATGGACATGGTGGCGAGCATCTGCACCGTCTTTCCGAGGCCCATGTCGTCGCTGAGGGAGATATGAGTGTGAGGGGTGAGGTGCGAGGATATGGGGCGCAGGGTGTGAAGGGAATGAAGGGGTGGATACATACGCGAGGATTCCTCCTTTGGCCCCAGTCTTTTTTTCTTGCTTGACCATCCTGCACCTTGATTAGCGCTTCCCGTCCCTCCATATAATCAAATCAACCCACCACGCCACACCGATCCATTGATGCTCCAGCAAGCGCACCTCCATTCCGGGCAGAATGTCGTCCTTCGTGGTTGCACCTAGGGACTCGATCGCCTTCTGCACCGTCCAGCCCTTGCTGTCGTTCTCAAGCCCGCGCTGCACGTACGTCGCCATCTGCGCGAGCGGGTCCTCGCCCGTGACGTCGATCGCGCGAATGGGCGCCTGGTCGACATTGATGTTGAAGCCCCCCGCAGCAGCCTTAGTAGGTGACCCGAAGCTCGTGCGCGCGCGGTGGAGATGTCTGGAGCCAGAGGCGAGGAAGGCGGCATCTTCGAGGTCGATTTCGCCTGTGGGGAAGGGTGCTATGAGGACAAAGGTGCAGAGGCGCAGTAATTGGCGACGCACCGACCGGACTTTGGGAGAGTTGTGTAGCATTGAATTCCTGCGCGAGCCTAGCTCGTTGTATGGCTGCTGACGCTGCTGCGAGCGTAAATGGGTTCGTAGGCGGCCCGGGCGTCTGTGGCGCATTGGCGCTTGTTGACGGTCGTAACGGTGTCTGTGACGAGCCCGACGCGTCTAACAGCGCCAAAATATCCTGCGTCGGCTGGGGAGTCGCGTCTACTCCCATTGTTACGCGTTCAACGGTCAAGATGAGGGGAGGAGCCAAGGATCGCGACCGCGCGCCACATGTCCAAGCGTGGATCCACAACTGGCACCGCCACCGAATAAGCGCCCAGATACCAGCGTCTTCTCATATTTCCTTGCGTGCTGGCGCGATTTCTGTATGGATCCTTGGTGGTTTCTGACAAGTGTACATGGGCGCGAGAACTTTCAGACCTTTGGGACGCATTTTCCCACTGCGTATTGTACCGTATGGGAACAATCACCGCGAGGGCGCTCATCCTGATCAGTTCTGGCTTGTTTCCTCCCAGCATCAGGCCGCTGTCTGCTCTTCGTATTGCATCCCCCCTTTGACATCACAGGAATGACCTCTGCTCCCATTCCCCTTGCCTCTCAAGTCGGCGGCCACGCCGGCGTGCAGACCACCGAAGACGGATCGCTCCTGATCAAGCCCGCTCTCCCCGCAGAGCTCGCGTTCTATCAGGCGCTCTCTGACGATAGTCCCTTCGCACCGCTGCGGCGCTACCTTCCGAAGTTTTTGGGTACCTTGTCTCTGGCGGGGAAGGTAGAGGAGGGAGAGGATTTGGAGAAGATGGGCCCGCCACCGGCTGGGGCGGAGAAGCAGGTGAGTGCTACGTGGTTGATGCAATCGAGACGGGGAGGCATGAAGGCTTAGAGCGCCGAATAAATGCAGGGATCTTGACGCGATGGGATACGTTGTGGGTGGAAAGAATGATCGCTGACGCGCCACCGCAGTCCCTCGTCCTGGAGAACCTGTCCTTCCCCTTCAAGAAGCCAAACATCCTCGATATCAAGCTCGGCACGATCCTATACGATGAATCTGCGTCGCCAGAGAAGGTCGAGCGGATGATCAAGACCGCGAAGGAGACGACATCGTTGGAGACGGGTGTGAGGCTGACGGGTTTCCAGGTATGTGGCGCGCTGCACTTGCATTCCATTCCCTTTCCATGTCCTCCCGCCCCTTGCCTTTCCATGGCCCTCTCGCGCCCTCTCCCCTCACGTAGATGATCCTCCTAACGGGTCCTCCACCTCCAGGTCTACGACAACCTCACCATCACCCCCATCAACACCCCGAAGTCCTACGGCAAATCCATCAAAGTCACCGACCTCCCCGACGGCATCGCGAAGTTCTTCCCTGTCGCGCGCGGGGCCCCTGCCACTTCCTCCACGGATACCCCAGCGACCGCATCTACAACTGCCTCCTCACCCTCCACTGACCAAACCACATCCTCCACTGACCAACCCACACCCTCCACCGGCCTCCCCTCCTCCACTCTCCTCCCCATCCTCCGCGGCATCCGGCGCGACGTCGCCGCCATCCGCGAGCACCTCTCCAAGATCGAGATGCGCATGGTCGGCGGGAGCGTGCTAATCATATACGAAGCGGACTGGGAGAGGGCGGCGGAGGCGGCGAAGAGGATAGGCACGCCCGAAGAGGAGGAAGACGAGGAGATTGATTCGGATGAGGATGGGGATGGCGAGGGCGAGGGCGAGGGCGAGGGCGAGGGCGAGGGCGAGACCAAAGGTACGCGCAATGTGCTTGTTGACGAAGACGCAGCAGCTAATCCCTCTTCAGCCACTAAACCCGGCCCCGCCTTCACCGTCAAGCTCATCGACTTTGCGCACACGCGGCTCGCGCCTGGCGAGGGCCCGGACGCGGGCGTGCTGCTCGGGCTGGACACGACGCTGAAGCTGCTGGATGGAAGGATAGCGCAAGTGGAGGCGGGGGCGGATGTGGTGGAGGGTGTTTCGTGAGGCGCGCTGGACGACGAGCGCGCCAGGAAGGTCGGCCAGTGCAGCTATGAGAGAATGTGATGTGATCTAGGACGACACCGTGTGTATGTAGACCAAGCTGTATCTATGAGCGAATGGAAAGACGAGCCTGAAGTCAAGCATGTCAGCTGCGTGAGGGCCCCCTTCGTCTACATACATCCAATGTTCGAAGGCTGGAAGGCGAAACTTCCCCTACTGTAGATCAACGACGAGTTCTGCCTGTCAGGCGAGACGATGATAGTGGCATGCAGAGATAAAAAGACGTTTGGCATTAGGGAGGTTCACAGTTCGGTTGGGTGACGGTTGGGTAAGCGGTTGGGTGAAATGTTGGGTGAAAGTTGGATGAGGGGTAGGGCAGTTTACCCAACTTCGATCGTGCGGGCGCCCAGCACACTTCAAACTGACTTCGCCACAAAAACGCAATGGCAATCGGCAAATTCCGCCCGCTGGAGGATGCTCGCTTTCGTCTACCATGCAGTTCCGTTTCCCGATAAGATGCACCTGCACGCGTCTTCGACTATTCAAGGACACTTGATGATTTAAAAATCTTGAAAGCGTCCTGCACGCGCGTCCGGAGGGGGACAAACATGATGGGCATACAACTGATTGAAACTCCGACAAATGCAGCGGGCACGAAACCAAACTCGGTTTCGTCGGGTTGGGCGCCAGCAAAAAACCAAATTTGGTGCGCAAACCCCTCATTCAACTTTCACCCAACATTTCACCCAACCGCTTACCCAACCGGCACCCAACCGAACTGTGAACCTCCCTATTGACAGAGATGCTACTCAACCAGAGTCAATGGTCACATTCAACAACGTATAATACAGATAGCTATACATCTGAGAACGAAGTCAGCCAAATTTCGACTAACGATCATGGTCGAGAAGAGATGCGAGATCAGCTAGCCGATGCGTTTCCTCAACTACCGCACTCGTCTCCACTTTGTACACTGGGAGACTAGGGATCTAACCCAGAGCGCGGCAGGTAGTCAGTCCGCCCATCGAGGTATCATCAGAGGAGAGCGGAGGGGGTGATAAAAAGAAGAGTTATAAGGAAGGAGGAAAACAAGAGGAGAAAGGAGGGAGGGAGATAGACGTACCAGGTGATTGTCAGAGGTAGCAGACAGAGAAGATGGATCTAGGGATCTGAGTGTTTTGTTTAGCGAGTGATCGGGAGCGTTGGTGAGGGGAGGGAAGCGACATGTCAGACAAGGCTGAAATCATTTGGCTCAACATGGTGAGTTCTGAATGTGGTAAAGTATGGTTTGTGTGTTGATCATCACGGTCGCTGGAAGGGCATAGGCGAGGAAGAGATGCTCACCATTGACAAGGGAGATGGGCAGCACGCCGACAGTCAAGTCGCCCTGTAAGTAAGGGAAGAAGAACGAGTGAGGGGACGAGAACAAGAGAGAGAAGGGCAAGGAGGACGAGCAGAGAGAGGATGGAGGTCAAAAGCAAGCGCGATCGACGATCAGCCGAAAGGAATCAATTTATCGGCATGGATATGCCAAACAAGGGCAAGCACTCGAGCGTGGCAAGCAGGGACCCACATGGACCTATGTGCTCGACTTGACAGACTCACCCGGGCTTGGCTGGTATTACGATGGGATTGTGGCCGACGTCAGATGTTGTAGACCGAGCTAAGGTGTCTATTTTCTATTGGAATATCGTGGTTGCTCAGTTCCCGTCGCTGCGTGCTGTACTCTTCACCAGGCTTTGCTATCGTCTTCATAATTCAGAGCGCAAGCATACCTTCGGCGATCCCTATGCAGAGTCGGTTTTGACGTTTCTGCTGTCGGCGCTGCTTGCAGGTACCCCCTTACCATTGAATCACTGATTGTGCCACGCATAGCCGTACGACAGATTGGCGACAAACCGGGGTTGTATGAAAAGGAGAAAGAGGTCGCCACCTAGAGTACTGCAGTCATAAGGCGCGGCAATTCCGGAGTCCCGAAGGACAGGTCCAGGAGATTGGCGTGTGGCGTCGCAACAGATTAGCTTCTACGCCTCTTTTGGATAAGATGAACGTCAGACTCGCTTCCGGATAGCCGTCCGCACCTTTTATGGACGCGGTTACCTCCTCCGTTGCTAGAGGTAGTCCCCGCGTCACGGGGAGCGCGGCTACCGCACTTGCGCAGCGCATTCACCGCGCTCGAGTAGTAGGGCAATTACCGCACTGAATGTCGGGCAATTACCGCGCCAAAGAGCAGGCGTACTGAAGACGGGGAGTACGTCAGCGAGGGAGTTATGTGTATCTTCGGCAATTGACACGGACGAAGACTTGACGTGGAGTAAAGCAGCAGGTCCGCCTGAGCCCGCATTGCCGCGTGTCCAAGTGAGCGAGTCACGTGCAAAGTTCAACCGTGGAAAAGCGCCCCTAGGAGCTCGCACGAGTCGAAGTCTTCACGCCATTGACGAAGCGAGTAACCAAGCATGCGCAGTAGAAGTAGTGAGAGCTCTTGTATCTTGAGGCAGCATCATCTGGTCAATGTAGAGTAAGAGACGTGTGGATGTCGTCCCCGCAGAGTTGGTATCAGAAAATTGGCGACGACTTGCAGGCGCTGTAAGGGAAGTTGTTCAGATACGGTCTGTAACATGTATCTCATTTATCCGCATCGAGATCTTGTCGCCCTGACGTCTCTCTCTTTCGAACGCCACATGCTATGCTCGGAAATTCTGAGCCGACTCAAGGCGCAGCACGACTTTCTTTGGAACACCAAGCCGGGAGCAGAGACATCGAGTCGCCGATAGGAGGCAAAACGCCTGGCGATTGTCCATAGAGGGAAGTGGAGCAGCAACAGTGAGATCGTAGCGCCCTCTGAGGGTGGTATCCATTTTGTCTAGAGAAGCGACATATATCCCAGATATGGATAGCCTTTCTGCCTCAGCGACAGAACCCTTGCCCTACCTAGAGACGCGGCAGGCTATGAGGCTCTAGCCTGGCAAATAGAGTCAATAGACACTGCTGTTGATCTTCAAGCGATCATTCAGTTGGACACCGACGGTTGAACTGTGCCAATGTGGGCGCCCTGGTGAGAGAGCGCAGACCTGGACGAAAGAAGAGCGAGAAGCGCTGGTCACCGCCTCGAAAAGCATCTTCATGATAGAAGTTGAGTCAATTTCATGGCGATCCAGTAGAATGTAGCCGCCCAGGGGCATGCTCAATGTTAGATGGCTGTTTTGGCTAAGAGGCGCTGGCGTTACACCTGGTGACAGTGATCCGGGCACGTGCCAATGTTCAACTTGGTTTCGCGCTGGCCTAAAACCTTCATGATGGACGCTCCCGTCGGTATGTGCACCACACTGTAATTGATATTATATATGAAATGGATACTGAAGTCTCATATCGGGCGTCTTTCTAATCGCTAGCCAGACTGAAATATCGTTCGTACGCGTTTGGCCCATCTGGTGCCTATGTCGATGTCCATTATGCGGTCTCGATGATGCAAGCATGGCATCAAGCACCGAAAATATGCAGCTGCTTTCAGTCGAAGGAAGGCGCAAGCGACACCCCGCGAGAGCTGGACGTAGTTCATCAGGATGTACGCACGGCGGACGAGAAAGTCGCGTACCTCGGAACTGCAGTTCGGGAGCTAACTGTGGCCACAATGGTCGTGTCTCCGTCTTGGTTCTCCTCATGATATATCCGCATGCGTTCCCGCATAATGGGACCGTAGGGATGGAAGCGCGCCACAGTCGACACGGCTGACGTTGCTTCCGAGAGAACGGATGTCGCGCGGGAAGTGCCCGCTTTGGTTCGAGTGTCCGCGGTGTCAGCTTCCGTGCTCTCCAAGCTCTCCAACATAGCCCTTCTGGCTCGCCGGTCACGCCGCGCTTCGTCGCGAATCCACTTCTCTTGCCATCGCTTAAATGCGGGGGACAGCAGGCGTGCGACCGTGAAAAAGTTACTGACGTAGAACCGACTTGGGTGCGGGGCAATGGCGAGTACAGTATACTGGTCCTCTGCATCTTTGGGAGATGGCCAGCTGACGGATTCTACGTCAGATTCATGGTTCTGGAACGCGCGATGGTGCTTACATGTTTGGTATACCTCGACGATCCTCGGCAAAGAGATCATCGATATGCCTCCAGTTAATCTCCTTGGCGACTTCATCTGCAGGCATGATACCAGAGAGATTGTAGAACTTGACCTGGCCGCGATCAATCAAGAGCCCATTCTCGTTGAAACTGGTATAGCATAGGCCTGTACTATGCAGCCGCGCTGCTGCGCTGTAAACGAGCTTGCGATCGCAGTATTCCACCATACGGCCGGTCCTACATGAATAATTCAGTTGTGCTAGGATATGTTAGAATACAGCAAACTGACATGGCCTCTGTTCGAAGATGAGCAAGACCTTCGCAATGCGTGAAAGACGGCGCGTACCGCTCACATAGCCAACGACCTTACCGTCCGAGATAAGATGGCCTACGATCTCGTGCGCGAAGTCCAGACCTCGGCGCTTAAGCGCCCTATATCCGTGCATACTAAGCTCGATGTGAAGCAGAGTATCGTCGGTCCATCCCCTGAAGACCTCTGAGTATGATTATAGATCAGTACCTCATATGAATGCAGAGTAGCGCTACGCACCCACTGTCTGCCCTTTCCAAATGCCCTGCCTATGATACAGGTCAATCACTTTCGTGAGAACCTAGAAAAATACGCTTCCAGCAGCTGCAAAAGTGGAGAGAGAAAGTCCTACAATCTCATCCTCGTCGATGAGCGTCGTCCATGTGGAGCAAGCAACGGAGTACATTTTTCGCGGCTTGGAAAGTTGAATTAATCGACGCCCTTTCCTGTCTAGATACGCCCATGGACAGCTTCCCCACTTGATAGTCGGTATTACTGTTTGCTGTGATCGATTCAGTCGAAGGTCAGGGTGTGCTGTCGGCAAATATCGCACGATGATTTCAACGTCTTCGACCCTCTGTTTCTGCGCGTCCAGAGCATCCTGGAGCGTGGCTTCGCTACTGATACACCCGTAGTCATCAGAATGATGATACTTCGCGTACGCATCCAGGCCCTCTGCCTGAACGACGACGACCTGGCCGTACATTCTCAAGCCGTAGATCACAAAGTTACTCCCATATATGCTGTCTGATTGCTTTCAGCATGAGGAAATGCATCGAATTGACCTTATTCACTCACCGATCAGTACCGGTACCTGAGGGTCTACAGTCGCCATTGAATCCGGTCTGTGGACTCTTTGTAGGTGCGTAGATGGCGGTAGATAGCAAGAAGCGACACGAGGCTACGGCGCCTATCATCAACTTAAAAGCGCGCTACCAGAAACGTGCACATTCAGTCAAGTGTGCAGGGTCATGTGAGACTCGCGTGCTCAGTTCCTTGGCACAACAAACATCTGCAAGGCTTTGTCGAGCATAACCTTGGCTTTGGGAAGGTTCTGTTCAACGACTGAGATGATATCTCGGATTGGAGTGAGGGAACTGACGCGCCGGTATCATCGGTGGGCGCAATCTGCGAAGCCCTGAGACGCCCTCCAAAGCTTTGCCCAAATCCGTCCGACCTTGTGCGCCTACCAGATCCGGGACTAAAAGAACACTGCAGTTTGAGTCAATATATTGACGCTGTCGGCAAGATGAACTTGCGATGCAACAAAGCCATCAAAAGCGACGCATATGGGCAATCATGTACAGCAGCGACGCCCACAAACGCCACACAGTAAGCTTAGCCGCGGAAATTTCAGCATTCCTTACCGGATTCAGCGTCAAGAGACTGACTAGGTGCTGTTGTTGCCCTCTTTCGTCTTGAACATGTCCTGCAGTCTTTCCCGGAAAGGTCAACGACTAGACGCGCAAACCTGTAGAAATGGAGAGCGTTCAGTATTATAGCGAGTGTAGAGAATGCGATGGGGCGAATCGCCCGCCTATGTGCTTTGTACAGCGCTCGAAATGCCCCACATGCCATAGAATAACACTCACCAAGCTCGGGGCCTGCGGTTCCAAGCATGCATACACGCAGAAGACTTGCGGCAAAGTATGCGTAGTCAAGGAGAGCCACGATCGCTGCGAGCTATGCGTATGGATCCAGACACACTTTGCAAGGGCGAGAGTGACTTGGTTCGGTCGTAGGTCCGCAAGGGCAAGCATGGCTAAGCAGACATACCTTGCGCCCACGACCGTCCACCCTTAGGATCGCCACGCTGCCATTACCTGCGCCCTACAGAACACGCGTACGCCCGCGTCATTCGTGAACACCGCTGAAGAGTCCTGACAATTTGATAGATTCATGATCATAGATTTTCTTTTCCGCCACTCGCCGCTGATCCACACTCACACCCCCACTGTATCACTAGCCGCCGCAGCGTTCCCCGTGTATCTTCATTGTGCATTGAACATGTACATATACCCTACCTGTATTGCCTTGAACATTAGGGACTACACATCTTTCCGCAGATTGTTTACGCACTGTACTATAGGCCATTACAGGCCTTTCTTCACTGACGCCTCCCCATCGTGAAACACCCCTCATATCCAGTGATGTTATCAGGACTTAGCGTATCGCGCCAGCGACCGACAAGATTTCCCCTCGCACCGCCGACGAGGTAGCCGCGATAGAGCCACGTTCCGCGGTCGCCGTCGACCTGGGATGACTCTAGTCAGCGCTCCTCAGAGTTACCGCAGGGTACAGCCCCCTCCGACAAGGACGTCCGCTCCGGTAAGAACACCCACTCACATATTCCTTCGAGATGCTGATGAACCCATCCCATGGCCGAATGCGGCCAAACAAACTGAATTGCCCCCACGACGAGTGGCCCTAATCGGGACGCGCCATTAGTGGCACGCAGCACAGGTTCGAACCTACACACCTCCCCGACGATGATGATGTCGCATATAGGTCCCCGCGAGGCGCCGTCCTCAGTCCGCGTCGAACTATCGTCACCCGCCTTCGGCCGCGCGTACCTGTAAACACGCTCATGTGCATCCGTGACTGTCAGCCCATCCTCGTCTTCCTCCATCCGTACGTCGCGCGGGACGTGCGAGCGGAGGGGCGAGCCCAGCGGGACGCGCGCGCCAAAGCTCGCCGGGTCATCCGGCGGCAGCTGGAGATGATATTCGCGGAGTTTCCACGTCTGCCGGTGCCGGACGACAATGCTGCGCTGGAGGGTGTTGGGCGGCGCGCCGGCGAGGAGACGCGCGTACGAGGTGAATTCTGTGTACTGTAGATTGTAGATAGCCAATAAGCGCGTCTAGTAGCTGATGGATGTGGGTCCTTAGGCTTACCGTGAAGAGGCCCTGCCAGACGCCCTCTATGCTGGCACGCAGAGTGAGTAATGAACTCGAAGCGCCGGAAGATGATGTTTGTACCTTTTGGGTTGATAGACATCGCAGATAGACGCGTGGGTGGATATGGGTCTGTCGATTGATCTTGACCAGTCCGCGTCCCATTCCCCGCCGTCGAACGTTGGGAGACTAGGACCGATCCCGTTGTCGGACAATGTGTATCCCGGACGGTTGACGAGGCGATTGACGATAGTGAGGAAGGCGAGAATGCCGGGGGTAGATGCAGGGGGAGGGGCGAGCTTGATGCCTTCGTAATACGTCGCGGTGGCGCGGGTGTAGTCTTCCGTCGCGTCGAATAATCCCCAGCGGAGCAAAGTCGACGGGTACTGCGCGGATCTTCAATGGGTGTGGGTCGCAAGGACGATAGAGATGCGCACGCACTCTATGCGCTCCGAGGGCGTATAGCTTCATCACGTCCACAGTATGCACTTCATCCGTAAAGCGCGCCGCTTCTGACGCCATGGTCAGCAAAGCACCGATCAGACGAGCGCGCCACACACCCGATCCCATGAGTAGCCACAGAACCCACATCGCGAACGTGTTATTGATTCCCTCCTCCGGCCATCGGTCCTGCTTGAGGTCGTCCATCACCCTGGAAGCTCCCTGGTCGCTGAACCAGTACGCGTCGATCCACTGATCCAGACGCGCGTATTCCAGGAGGAAGGTCATGTTCTTCCCCTCATTCTCCGTCAGCAGCGTGTACGCGAAGGACAGAAGTCTGAGTATCGACTCTCTGTTTGCGGTCTGTATTTGCGCATCGTGCCGACTGCGTATGCGCTTCATGCAGAGGAACCGCCGACGCAACTCGTCCGCGAGGAAGGCATTCGTAACACGCTCCCCAAGTCTGCGCTTCAACGCGCTCGAGTCAAAGTAATGATGAAATAGCAACGCAGAGAGACTTGTATTGGAGGAGAGGGAGAGTGAAGTAGCCGTCCTTCGGTCGATTGCGCTGAGAGCGGCCAGAGTGACCGGGGGACGTCGACCGTCGCAGACCGCGGTCGTCAAGGCGATTTCTTCGAGGATCTCTGGGGGGATGCTATGCAATCCGGTCTGAGTAGCCATGACTGAGGAGGACAAGAGAGAAAACAAGTGACTGGCTCGATCCACTCGACGGGCGAGAGTACAATGCTGATCGTCGAGCCGGGCCGGGCTACTGCCGATATTGCCATCATAGCCACGTGACCAGCACGTGACCATGTTCGACTTTCTGAGGACCTGATATATCGGCACGAGGAGCCGAAGTCTTGGTAGTGGTGATATTACGACATAGAGGGCATCAGAATTGTCTTATGATACTTCGCCAAACTACGCCGAGCAGGTGTCAGAATCCAGCTCCACCTGTCCGGGCGTATTGCCGGTAGACTTACTTGGCAGAGTGGCTTTCAAACAATTTCCCGGGTATAATCGGACAAGGACAACAAAGGCAATGTTCTAGGATAAAGACCCGCCATAGATGAAGGCGCAGAGCCCCGTTCTCCGTACCTTCCGCCCCAAGAAACACATCCCAGTCACCGCCGCGCCACAAGATGAGGGTATGTGCGACGCGATGAAATAATTTGCTCGCCATCCTACAGGAAGCGCCTCCGTTCTGGAGTGTGAGATCAGCCTGGCTGCACGCTGTAGTAGACGTTCATCGCGGAGTCAGTCCCCGAGGCGAAACTGTCGATGCGGAGCCAGACACAAGGCGAATTTGTCCATCCTAAGGCAGAAATGCCGCCCTTCAGAGGAGGAGAGTCGTGTTCTCGAGACAAAGCTGGTACGCGGAGTTGGACTGGACCATTGGATATACGAGACCGCTGGACTGGCGCGCCGGGGGATTGGGATTTGGCAGGTAATTTCGTTGGGCGGAGTCCTGGCGCTCACTCGTCGCTAACAGCGTCCGGGCACGGTAATTGGCGTCGCCCTGCCTCCGCATGGCAGTTGACGTCGCTCAGACGGGCTCATTGCCCTTGCCCTAGCGCGATGATCAAAATGGCCCGGGCGAGGGCAGTCGATATCGCAATGAGGGAGTACTCGAGGGCGTCTCGCGGAGCCACTCGGTTGAAATTCGCGGGAGACGATGAGTCCCCGACGTGCGCGGCGTGGCTCCGTCGTCAGGCGCAGCCATCGTACTCGTATGGAGACGCGGTCGGAGCGTAGCAGGCCGCGGGGTCGCCTATCCGTATCGATACGCAGCCATCGTCAGGCGTAGTAGGGTCGCACTCATCGCAGGGCCGAGGGCAGGCAGATTGCGCTGACGTCGAGTGCTAGCGTTTCAATAATCCGCGCCACGCTGTGGGCACGCTGTTGGCTAGGGACGAGCACGCTGTGGGTAATCTTGAGGCATGAAGCTGCCTAGTCCCACCGTCAAAGGCTAATGGCGCGAGTGAAGGGCGGAGATGAACCTGGTAGGCTTCGTCAACCATGGTTTGAGGATGATCTTGACGAATAGTGGATGCTAATGTCGTCGAAGCCGATAGTCGATGGTATGGTTTGATGAATCGCTGAGGGGAGCGTACTCTTGTATATGAATCCACGTGCTATGCACGCAGTTGAAGTTCGATTACTGCATCGGGACTTGGGTCCGCGAACAAAAATATGCGCCGGGTAGCAGGGCATTCCGAAGGCCGTACCGTTTGCAAGGGGACCAACAACCCATCAGAGTATGCGATAAAGCGACCGTCGCGTCAGTTCATTCAAGCACGCGTCAGCTGTCAGTGTCGTGACAGCCGCGGGAAGAGTGGACTGAGATCGTGAAGGAAAGGTGGGCTGCCCATCGTGCCGTGCGCGGCGAAGAAACCATCGCAACGCACGTTCGTACAGTATCCGCCGCGATTTCTCCAGGACAATAGCAGGCGACTACCTCATTTCGATCCCACGACTACCTCCACATCAACCTCAGTAACGGCGCCTGCAATCTGGAATTCCTGCCATATCGAGCAGCTGTCAGCGGCGGCAGCAGTGCGACGCTCAGAGTCATGAACTCACAGGCGCATGCGTATTCCCATGACGATTAAGTGCGCTCCTGCGACGAGATGAGTCACCTGGCTAACCACTGATTTATGGTAAGCGAACCTGCTGATGAGGTGAATACTGCGTTAGCTGAATCGACGGCGTAGGTTGGACATTCTAGTGATGGGTTGAATTGACGGCGTGGTGCAGTCGACCGGCAACTATGACTCTCCGCGCGTCATAACAACCATCATGGCCGCACCGAGGATCAACATAGGCCGGGAAACAGCGAAGATCGACATGGGAAACTTAGGGATTAACTTCAGCGAGGTGAGGTGAGGTGGGATAGATGATCGGCTCTTTACGACATGAGATGTCAGATACGAGTCGCTCGGCGGGCGTGTAAGGACGAAGGAACTTACAATGAGTATGCCCACTGAGAGTGAGGGACGCGAAATAGTATACCTGCGGCAGACGTACGCCAGAGGTTAGTTCACCCGATGGAGAGCGGAGAAGGCGACGCGTTAGGAAAAGCGTACGCGTGTTCATGTTACTACAAATTAGGGAAGAGTCCTACGAATTGGTGAGAGGTGCAAGTTGTACGGAGGAACGGAGAGGACTGCTTACGGATTAGCGGGGGAATTCATTGACAGGTTAACAGGGAATGCTACGTACGGTTGGCGGAGGGAGCCACTGGCGAGGTAATCGGAGGCCAAGGTCTCCCGTATCCAAAGCAATGGAGACTCATTGCAGACCCCAGATCGACCTATCAGTCGAAGCGAGCGGGGATCAGAGCGCTACTGACGGGGTCCAAGATGGAAAGGATATGATCAAGTCGCGACGGATGGGGACCAGGAGGCGGCATTGCGGCTTCACAGGTGAGATGCGTCACTACACGGACGAATGTGATCAGCGTGCGACGGAGAAGCGACAGCGAGAAGGACAAGGCGACGGAGTACGTACGCGCGAACAAAAGGGAGTGGACGATCTCGCGCTCCCCGGGAAGGAAGGACGGAAGGACATCATGATACACGAGTAGATCCTCGCGCTGGTGAACGCCGCTCGCCTGTCGAGAACCTGGCTCGTCTCGAATGGCGGGGAGCACCAGAAGAGCTGCGAGGCCGCGTTCTAGAGAGCTGCATCCTGCGTTCTAGGACGGGCGTGTTGAGGCAGTCGCGCGAGTTCGTCCCGCGCTATACGTATCTCCGCGGCGAGCTGCTCTTCTATGATCTATACGCAGCATGGATAGAAGTTTCTCGTGCGCGGGTGCTGTAGCGCAGGCCGTCGCGCAGGTGTACTTCCTGAGCGAGATACTGATAGGTACGGTTGGGTAATGGCAGACGGCGTTTAAGACGTCAGGTCAAAGTGTTCATTTCCAGGGAGGGCGGAGCTCGAGAAGGACGAAGGCGTGGCATAGGTGCTATCGCGGAAGAACCGACCGTGAGTTTGGCGCACATCAAGTCGAACGGGGATAAGAATGCTTGTCAGGTAGCCTAAGCAAGCGGATCGGCGACCTGTCCAGGACAATGATCATCGCGGCGAGCCATGAACTACACCCGGAAAAAAAATTGAGAACGAGGGTCCGCGTCCACGTACGTGAGGGGTGGTTTACGTGGATTCATGGCCTGGACCTTCGAGGCAACGACGGAGGGACGTCAGGGTGAGAGCGGGAATGAAGTTGAAGTTGGGACTGGGGACGACCGGCATGTGCCGATTTGCCCATGTTGGGCAATGGGCTTCCCTTACGATCGCGGGCGTATTTTTCTCAGGCCATCGATCTCATCTTGTCTCCTGCTCTCATCATCAAAAATGTCCGTTGACGCTGCGAAACTCGAGGCTCACCTGGCCACCCGCTCTTACATCGAGGGGTACGTACAAACCTCACAACTATTTTCCAAGTGATGATCCTGCTATGGTCCGTGTTTCCAAGAGGCGACTAGACACCGCCGCTTCCGCATGCCGAAAACCATTTTCCTAGCTCTCTGATCTCCATGGATCGCGTATCTGTATATCCTGTTTGCTGATTTGTGCCTCAGCTACACCCCCTCGCAGGCGGACGTTCACGTCTTCAAGACGCTCGGCTCCGCGCCGGACGCGGCCAAGTTCCCCAACAGCGCGAGATGGTACAACCACATCCAGTCCTACTCCGCGGAGCACGCGTCCCTCCCCGGCTCCTCGAAGGCCGGCGAAGCCTTCGTTGCCTCTGAGGCGGCGGCAAAGGCCGCCGAGGCGGACGACGATGAGATCGACCTCTTCGGAAGCGACGAGGAGGAGGATGCCGAGGCGGAGCGCATCAAGGCAGAGCGCGTCGCTGCTTACGAGGCAAAGAAGGCCAACAAGCCCAAGACCGTGGCGAAGGTGCGCTACCGTGTCTGTTTACATACACCCGTTGCTGATTCGCCCTAGTCCGTCGTCACCCTTGAGGTGAAGCCGTGGGATGATGAGACGGACATGAAGGCTCTTGAGGACGGTGTCCGCGCCATCGAACAGGACGGTCTCGTCTGGGGTGCCAGCACGCTCGTGCCCATCGGTTTCGGTATCAAGAAGCTGCAGATTACCCTGGTCATTGGTGCGTCTTTCAATATCCGCGCGTGCACTCCGCGGAAGCTGACGGTCTACCAGAGGACGAGAAGGTCTCGACCGACGAGCTCCAGGAGAAGATCCAGGAGGATCTCGAGGAGTACGTGCAGAGCACTGACATCGCCGCCATGCAGAGTGAGTGCTCCGATCATTTACCCGAGGTGTCTTTTCTCATTGTATACAACCCCAGAACTCTAAACAAACCTGTATTTTGCTGTACTACACCCGCCCATGTCACCCTTTGTATCGGTATCAATGTGTAGCCCTTGGATTTGCTGGTGATATCATCTTCGTGAACCCACCCCGGTCAAAAGAATCTGTCACCGTACGTGTTCTCGTGCTTCACCTCGATGAATCTTTCCCCTTGTAGGCCTCATGCGCGATGTCGCCGCTATTCAACTTCGAGTGTCCCGGCTGCTTTCGTCACTACCGGAAATGAACGACGCGTGGCCATACAGTACCTGCCGTCCCGTCGCCGCGAATGATCATCGCTTGATGAAGTCGAATTGGGAAGCGGATATTACCAGGGCGTCAGAGATTGCATGGCTCCGAAAGCGCATCCGTTGTACCCGGGAGCGATCAGCATTTGTAGCCATGGCGGAGTCCGTCATGAGGGCTACCCAACATGCCCTATACCGCTCCGTCTCCCTGGTCCACTTGGTCGCCGTCGGGTCTGAAACGATACAGTGACGCCGTTTGAGCCGCCAATATGCGTCGCGCCGTTGGGTTCACTCCGCCCCTGCCGGGCCACTGTAGCGTAATAGCTCCTACTGGGAATTGTTGGGCAATCAATGACCAGGTACTAGTCCCAGAATAACCCTCGACGCGGCATGAATTGGGTCGGAGAGTGGAGGACACGCCCTAGATCGCAAGTACGCGACCGGGCGCGGGGATCTCCTGATTTGGCCTTGGTCGCAACAGCCATGCTTCTTGCCCGGTGGGCGCCTTTGAGGCTCACTTATAAAAGGCGCTACCTTTTGTCAAAGAGCCGACCACCGCCTCTTAAGCCTCCACCGCCCCCGCCACAACCGCCACAACCACACCCACTACCGCCATGACCACCACTTCTTTCCTCGAGCGCGCCCCGCAGGACATTATCCGCGAGATTGCCTTGCTCGGCGCCGCGTCTGTCTTCGACCCCCAGGACATCGTCTCGCTCCTCCTCACCTCGTCAAAGATACACAGCGTGCTCAACATCCGCAACTGCCCCCGGCTCTATGCCACCGTCTTCCTCGCCACCTACGGCGGCCCGGTCGACCTCCTCCCGTACCGCACCCTCGCCGAGGAGCTCGTCCGCCGTTGCACGCTGCTGCGCCGGCTGCGCAAAGACGACATGACGTCTGAAGGCCTGAAGCACGATCTGCAGACCGCGGTCGGCATGCTTCTCGAAAACAACCCGCGCGCACACGCGCGCTTGACAGGCGCTAGATTCTTCCGCTTCGTCTGGACCCTCTGGCAGACGCGCCACACATCGGGCGCGCCACTCGACGGGGAGACCGCCGGGCTGGCGCTCGTCGCGCTCAGCCTCACGATGACGCATGGTAGGCAGCTTCGCTTGATTGACGCCTTGGTGTGGTTGTTGACACAGGGTTAGATGACCTCGTTAGCATGTCCGTGGCGGACCGAAGGGGCTTCATGCAGTCCCTCGCAGACTACTTCCTAGAGAAGCTCGGCGGGCCGCTCGATGCGCCCCGTATTGCGGGTCACGCCCGCGAGGGTCACAACAGCCACAATATATCCCAGGCTAGCGACACCGCCAACGGCCCTCACCCGCCCTCGACCCCGGAACTGGGTTCCCTGCCCGTGCACCTGTACTCCGCTGCGTTGCTCAGCGCGTACCCCGTGCACGCCGCGCTGCAGCTCTACTGCGCCGCACATTGGGTAGCGGCACCCCCCGCTCCCCCACCGCGCCTGCCCACCACGCGCGCGAGCGCAGTGCAGGTGCAGTGGCCAGGCCCGACGCAGGAGGACTGCCGGGAGTTCGCGCTCGCCTTCCGCACCCCCCTTTTCGCCGACGTGTGCGATCGCGTCGGTGGCGATGCGCGCTCGGGGCCGGGTACCTCGACCTCTGTCGCGCCAGGATCGCTGACCGGCGTCTGGGAGGGGTGTCTTATGGTAAGTGGCGAGTCCACCACTGTTAGGTTCGGGTACTGATGTTAGCGCGTCCTCAGATCCTAGGCGGCCCGACACGCGGGCCCGTCAAAAGCATGGAGTCCTCCTCGGACGTCCCAGAGGTATTCGACTGCATCCGCCCCCTCCAGTTCGAGTTGCAGGAATACCTCTCGAACGGCCCAGAGGCGCTTTCTGGTCCGCTACGCTGCCTCAGGAAGGTGGAGGTCCGTTCGCGCTAGCTCTATACATTTGGCGCGACATGAACTTACCTACCATGAACAGGGCGGCTTTGAGCGGGCAGGCACACACTACTCGTACACGCGCGTCCGCCCGAACGTACCGACGTCCCGCGGTGGCGCGCACTGGCTAGTCACGGGCGAGGCATGTATTCTCTCCTGCTCAACCCACCCTCCCTCTGACGCACACACTCTATAGCCCAGGCCCGAGCACGCAGAGGCGTGGGGCGCCTATGCATACGCAGGCGACGTGCAGGACGACGGCCTGGTCCAGCTGATACGCCAGCCCGTGCGTCATCATCTCTTTCCCAGCATACACCCCGAATCCTGACCACAAAATCCCACAGGCGACGAACACCAGCAGCGAGAGCGAGGCCGAGTGGCTCTTCTCCGGGCGCGTTCTCCCCGGCGGCGCGTTCGTTGGCTGCTACCGCGTGCTCGACGGCGCCGGCCGCGGGGTCTTCAGCATGTGCAGGCGGGCGTAGCGCGCGCGCCGGGTCTGGCCTGCCGCGACGCTAGGGGTCTACCATCTCTACTCTATTCCAGAAGTACTGCAGCGTTCCGCTATTCCCTATATATTATGACATTCTCTCTGACGATGCGCACCACGCCCAGGGCGTCGAAGACGTAAGACGTGCATTTATTCTGGATGGCTGTCGATCGAAGGGCCCGCTGAATGGGAAGACAGGTGTACCGGAAGCACCGGATAGGCTACCTGCGCACTTCATTTACTACATGGCGGCCTGAGGACATGAGAACGGCCCTTGGGAGTAGCGAGGTTTGATGCGGTTGTGTACGTTGAGATTCCCGCTCGTAAGATGAGCGCTTGACTCCCATCTTCCCTTCGTGGGAACGACGGGCTAGAAAAGCGGCCGCTGAAAGCTGCGCCGCAAATTCAGAAGCCTTCTTGACCTCAGGCAACTGTCCTTGTACCACCTGCACGCGTCGATTTTACCTTCTTGACGCAATGGAGTCCCTTTTCATAGGAAAATAGACTGGGTCGCATAGGCAGACCCGCACGACAAACCTTGTCTTCGTGGGATACTCTACGCGGAATTGCCCAGCCGGTGAGCTTGAGACATGGGAGGTAAGGTCAAAGGCTATACGAAAGTTGGTCCAATGAGCGTACAGTCCAGTCCAGCAAGAGACTCCACCCGTCTTCAGCGGTTGGCTGTTAAATCGGCGCAAGAAGGGCCTCCGATCGCTACCCACTAGAAAGTTCCTATGCATCTCATGTGAAGCGTGCGGCGTCCCAGTAAGTGCTGACGTTCGAGCTTTCCCTCAAGTAAAGGCGATTTCCTTTCAATAGAGGCTACCTAAGAGCCAAAATTCGCCTGAGAATGTGACACGGAGAAGGGTCTTAAAGGCCGACGCTAGGGCTCGAAAGTCGGCGAAATTTACGAGGCGCCGACGGCGTCGGCGTGGAGTCGTTTGGGCATGGTATATGTTGTGTGCCTTGGGATCGACCTGCCTATACGATCGGCTCAGGGTGGGAGGCGCAGGCTGGGGATGGGTGGCGGGGTGGTGTCAAGCGGTTGACGACGAACGTACGGAAGACGCGAGAGAAGCGGACGCCGTGGCGCATCTCCTCGCTCAACGGCAAACCCCGCATGAGCGTATAGGTTCATTGAGTCGATGCAGGCGAAAGCGGCGAGGACCGAGGAATTTTGGACAAACGTAAGCCTGTAGCAATCACCTGCCGAGGGCCTGCGAGCCGACAAGTCTCCATCGTGCACCCATGTTCGTCTAGTCAGCACGATGGGCGTAAAAGTAGCATTCGAGGGAGTATGTTTAAAGGACGCTCACTGGTACGCTCAAGCGACGGCAAACACCGTCTCTGTCCCTTGGCCCACGCTACGTGAGCGTGGCACGGCCAAATTCTTTGTCGCCGCTTCAGGGACTGAATAAGCTATGTCAACAGGGTCGAGAACAGCGATCGAGGACGGCTTCCATTGACACTGCGACATTGGTACGAATCGAGGGAAAATCCCTAGAACTCGATTCCACTGAGAAGAAATGTCCGCGAGTCAGAAGAGCAGTGTACGACGGCCCTAGGCGTGAGAGTATGTTCCCGCGCGCGAGGTCAATGACGAGGATACCTGGAGCAGAGTATAGCCCTAGCAATTGTCGCGACATAGTAATCTGCGTTGTTTACGATCCTAGTAGTCATGAGTTTACTGAATTCCGATCGCAGAAGGCAGCGCAGGAGGTCCTAAGTCGCGCGTATGTCGGCCCCACAGAAAGACAGAAGACAGCCTTCGCATAGTCATGCCTTTCGATTTGGAGTGCAGTCGAAGGCAGACCAGCGACAGACCTGAGAACATGAGCGTCAGGGACAAGTTGAACGCCAAGCCTTTCTCCACGTGCCATGATATTTGTGCCTGTTTGTTTTCATCATAGTCAGGCCGTTTCGCTGCTTGACGACGCCGTCCGTGTCGAAGTCTGCTAGCAACGTCCGCTCCTTGTTCCCGCCCATCGTCTCGCCACTCAGGATGATGAAGTCCCTCGCTATCCTCGCCCTCCTTTCAACCGCGGCCTGGGCGCAGTCCGTACGTCGCCAGCGATCACCCCAGTTCCCCACACTAATTTTGGTTTACAGTCGGACTCCGCATCTTCCACCGCCTCCGCGAGCTCGTCCCTCCCCTCGGACGGCGTGAGCAAGTCCTGCAGGAAGTTCCTCAAGTCGCTCGATAGCGACGACTCCCTCGCCAACTGCATCGCACCCCTCATCTCCGCGTCCGCGGCCTACGCCCCAGGCGGCAGCGGTTCCAGCGGAGATGTAAAGGATACGCTGGGGTCCATCTGCAATGCGGATGGCTGCGACGCGTCAACGATGCAGGGGAAGCTCGCCGACTTCTCGTCAGCATGCAACGACGAGCTCACCTCGTCCAACGAGGAGGTTATCGCCGTTTACGACTCGCTGTACGCCGTTGTCCCGCTCAAGAACGCCGTGTGCTCGAAGGGGGACAGCGGCGACTACTGCATGCTGTCTGTGAACAAGTACGCGTCGAGCGACGATGTTCAGGCCGCGCAGAAGTCCCTCTCGTCCGGGTCAGCCGGCAAGGCGTTCTCCGCGTACAACCTCGCCTTCCTCTTCCTCAAACAGTCCACCGACTCTAACTCCCTATGCACCACATGCACACGCAACGTCCTCACTTCCTTCATCGACTTCGAGTCCGACACCCCGTACGCGCCCGGCCTCGGGGCCAGCACTCTCATGGGTGGTCAGTCCGACCTGTACAGCGGCGTCGGCAGTACGTGCGGCACGTCCTTCCTCTCCGGTGCCGTCCAGGCCGCAGGAGGCCTGAAGAACGACTCGCCGTTCGGCAGCAACAACGGCGCTGGCCGCGTCGCCTCCACCGGACTCGGCGCTGCTGCCCTCGCAGCAGCCGCCTCGGCCCTTGTGTTTGCGCTGTAACCGCGAATAGTGCTTGCACTGTACTCGTCGGGAAGAGGGAACATAGACCAGGGATGTATATGCTATGGGGGTTTGTCTTAAGACATGGGTTTTATTATTGTACTGGCCTATTACCCACTGCTAATACAGCACCAATACCCGCTGGGTTCTCGAGTGTTAGCGTGGTTGGTCCGCGTTCAGGGGGATCTGAGTTCAAGGGATCTCAGCCTTCTTGGGCTGCCTTCTCCGTACGCCATTCTACGCGTCCTTGATCATGGCTTCCCTCGCCTCCACATGGTCCTTCCTGCAAGTCCGTCCCGTCGGGCCCAGGTGACGTATCCTGTACTCCTCTGTGGGTCTATGCTTCCGCTGATCTCGACGTCGGTGCTGCGCAGTCGCGGGTAGGACCACGTTCTCTCAACCACCTGGCAAGCCGCAGCGTGGCGTGCGCGGGCAGAGGCGGCTTGAGGGTCAGTCCGGTCACATTTGCGCAGGCCCGCGCTGCATGGCAACGGGGCGTGCCATGCTGTACGACAAAAATGCCATCCGCCGCCTGGCATTGGGACTAACAGAGTAACACAAGCTGGGGGAATCCTGACTTTCGATTTCCTAGTTGTGGAGAGCGAAACTTTGGCACGGTTCTGGTAAGTAAGGGACGGAGAAGCTCTTGAATCATGCAGAAGTCATGGGAGTAAGACATGAGCGCACCGGCAGTGTGTAGTTAGCCAGGCAGGACCAGACCGAGCTGCAGATACGACTGTACGTCAAACTCTTCCTCGAAGATCGAGTGTGGCTGAACGGCTCGCACAGGCATCGTTGAGGACTTTGACAATGAACAATCTGCTGACCTGCGCTTGCGTCGATTCACTGGTCTGCTATCTCATCTCGGCCCCGCCAGGCTCGGGCGCGCTCATGACGCAGGGTGCGTCGAAGCAGGGCCGGGGCTACAAGACCATCACCCTCGGCGTCTTCTCGCTGAGCTTAGGCGCTCTGACGGGTCGTCTACGAAGGTAAAGCCTCTCATTGCGGTCTCCAGCCTTTCTAAATGGTCTTCAACCTACCTACACCTTCAACCTCCATGCACGCACGTCCGGACTCCAAAACGCCATGAAGCTTCCGTGGGTTTGACTGTTTTCCACTAGTATGGCGCACTCATTCTCAGAAAATATCGCACACCCATCTTGCACAGTACATCGTGCACTCATCCTACCGTAACGCCCGCACCGGCGGACGTTGGTGAGCCCCCGATCCATCTTACACTAATATCTCTTACTGATCAGTGACATTCAGCCACGCTTTGGCCAGTCCCGTCAGTCGCGCCAAAGCAAGGGCCTGAGCGAACGCCATAAGTAGACACGCCGCTGTACGCGGCGCAGGCACATACATTCAGTGGCAATGGGGAAGCGTCCGGGGCGTTGAGTGCCTAGCACCGATCGCTGCAGGACGCCGATCAGAGGCGAGTAGACCGCGATCACTGGCTAAAGATACAAGTGGTCCCCGATCACAGACGAGCTCTGGTCCCTGATCAGACTAGGCAACCTTGAATACAGTCGGGGAGACCGTGATTAGAGTCGGAGGGACCGCTATCAGAGTCGGGGCGACCCGAACTCGGTGGAGCACTCGGGAGGAGAGGAATAGGTGCGATCGAGTCGTGGCATTGCAGTAGGGCTCGTATTGACTGCAATTTCAGGTGCTACGAGTACAGAAGCGGCGCGCAAGCTTCTCCGTGTGGGATCGTCGGTAGACCGTGTCGGGAAGATTATGCATACGTATGTTTACTGCTCCACGGGTGAGATATTCTCTCAAGCTTTCGCTCTGAAAATCAAGACGGCCACAGCTCGAGCACACCATCCCCGCGTCTGCCATGTACGTCTTCTCGCCTACGACGGGGCATTGAATATGACACACCGCGTAATCCAGAACATTAGGTGCTGCTGCAGATGCATATGCATCGCAGCGCTTTGGGAGCGAACTCTGCAATTACCCGTCGCCATTGAAAGAGAAGACGGATCGTGTACTGGTACGTGATGATAAATTTTTACAGCTTTCCAATGTATCACCTCTGATTTCTCTTGGCTATGCTCACAGTCATCCTTGGCTTATTCGTTCTATGCTGAACGGGACGCGTCACGCCCGCAGCTTTGCATCTCCCCGCGCAGGACGGACATGATCCTCGGGATCACGACTCACTTCCTGGTCACCGCCTGTGGGTACCTCTCCCGACCTAGGATCCCAGGGAGTGGTACTACGCCAAATTATCTGTCGACCGTCACTTTCAACTACGTGCGCCCTGGAAGTCAGCCCGTCGACCTCCTGGGAACGCTTTTCCACGGTTGAACTTTTCACGTGATCCGTTCGCCTCGGGCACGTGCGGGCTCGGGCTGCTGCTTCACTCCACGTCGAGGCGTCGCCCATGTCGGCAGCGCAGAGATGCGCCATTCCTGACGCGCTCGTAGTAACCAGCATACGAGCAAGACTCTGTGGCGCGGTAAGTGCCCGAGTTCCCAAGTGCGGTGATTATCCTGATCAACTGCAGTCAATGCGCTTCTCAGTGATATGCTCGCGCCATGTGGCGCGAAGATCACTGCTCGCAATGGAGGAGACGATTGCTTCCCGGAAAGGTGCTCGCGGTCATCCCGCAGAAGCGTAGACCTTCAGCTCATCCACAGAGGGTTTATACGATAATCTGTTGCGATGTCGCACGTCAATCTCCTGGACTGGTCGCTGGTGGCTGGATATGGGTAATCCGTTGTGGGATCCCAGGCGCCTGTTGCCTTTTGCTGCTGATGGATTTTGGAGAGTCATATCCCGCCCTATTCTGACCACGATATACAGGACACCGTTTGGAAAACATTCCCGAGACGATCAACTTTCCTGGATTCCCCAGTCGTGTCACAAATCAACATTCCACGTGATGCATCATGTCACTCTTTCAATCTCGCTCCGTCTGCGTCGACAAGCGCCGCCTCGTGCCGCGCTTGCTATCAACCCTCATCTGAGCACCCACAGCACTCATACGATCTCGCACATGGCAACTTTGCCCCTTCACGTACCTGCGCTTGTTGGTATGTGGCCATTTCGACGTTCACATTGCACTAGAATTCAACATTGCACAGATAGCCTCAGCGGCAGCAACTACACGTTCTATGGCATCCGGATGTACGGTCGGGTCGTCATTGTCCAGGCCGACGCACTGCCTGCCTATGCGAAGTACCATCTCCCCGACGACGGGGGCGCTCTACCCCATGAGATGACGCTGCAGGACACTTTAGACGCCCAGCGACAGCGAGTGCACGACATCGATATCATTGTGGGCGTCGTCGCTGCTTAATCTTCTGATGGGACTGATGAACCTTGTAGCAATCTCAACTGACGACGATCAAGTGGCAAACCATATCCTGGGCGTACTTGGACAGGAAAGGATGCCGGCTTATCCAAAGGAACCGAAAGATGTACCAAATCGCCAGCCCCACCTGGACGACCTTGATCGAGGAGGAAGACATAGTGCGCAATATCTGGAGCTCTGATCTACGCTGACACGTGCCATAGACCTTGACGAAGATAATCGACCTTTACCACCGGCAAGGTACTTGGCGAGGAAAGCAAGTCGGTGCGTCTTTATGATACCTTCTGCATACTGCAGCTCAAAGAGTCACAGAAGTGTTCAGGGGTTGGACGGATGAATCTCTGTATCATATAGAGCGGGCCATGCGCGCGTTTCGAGAGCTCGAACGCAGAGGCCTGTTGGATCTCACTCATGAGATACTGGGTCACATAATTAGCGATGGCCAGGTTGTGGGATACATCACCGGTACGGATTCACCTTTTGCGCCATCACACAATATACTCACTAGACCTTCAGAGCCGATGTTTGTTCCCGTCTTTTCTGAACTTCCTCGTGACTGACTATCGCATGCGCAGGACCGGTAGGATGGTAGAGTGTTGCGACCAAAAGCTCGTGTACAGCGCCGTGGCTCGCATGCATTCCGCTGGCCTGAGCTATACCGGCTTTACTGACTCTGGGCTCATGATCACCGACAACAAAGTGCAACTCACGAATTTGCCTGGGTTGCTCATCGCCCGCGAAGAGGACAAGCGACTAGATTGGGAAAGCGTCGAAGAGCTATTCAACCCGGACTGCCGAGGCATTCCAAACTTGTACGCCCGCACCTCGTGTCTTCTGTCCTTGATTTGACCTCTTTTGGTAGATTCATAGCCCCGAAGGATGCGGTGGACGAGTACACCGTCCTCTCCATCACTCCGGATCCGGAGCGCCTTTTCGATAGCAACTTGTTTTCTTTCCAGGAGATTTTGGCTCCTGCCTTTCGTCGCTGGCAGGAGAGATGCCTGCGCGACGAGAAGCGGCGGAAGCGCGCGAAAAGGGAGAAGCTACTTGAAGGCCTCGATGGGTCTACCGCATGCTCAAGTAGTACTGTCTCCGTCGCAGGTTCGTCTCGCGCGGCGTCCATTTTGTCTGATGCTGCGTCGACCACGTCACGCTTCCATCCATATGGCGAAGTTATGCGCCACCGCCTCAAGATATCTGTCGACGGTGAAGAAACTAGCGCGCCTTCCGAAGGCTCGGGCACCCTTGTAGCCATGTACGACACGCATTCTTTTACTATCTTCATATGCTGATATCCAACGCTCTAGCTCTCGGGACGTACCTCTTGCACCATTTTGGGAGTGAAGATTCCCTGTCAAGTTGCCCTCTAGCGTCATAGCGAAAGTTTTCTTGGTCTGTATGTTGTATTCATAGGGTTAGAAGTACGCGAATACTTAAGTGATGTGATTCAATGTTGCATTGCTGGTAGCAACGGACAAGACTGCGACAACCACGCAAAAAGGTGATCCGACAATGTAACCTATGGCAGTGGGTGAACTTTCAACGCTTAGCGTTCTCAACCATTTCCTGATTCATGTACTGTTCCGTCAAGAAATACGTCCGTCCATTGCGAGGGAGCCTGTAATGCTCCCATACAACCCGGCCTCAAGAAAGCTACAAACCATACATCTACCGCAGTAGGAGTCTACTGCAAACCCCTCAAGATCTTCACATTCTTCTTTCGGCAGCTACGGTGAAGAGAATCAGCAACGGATGCGTGCGACTCGTGAGCAAGACCAACGCACTTCTGACACACCGACCCCCGACCCAAAGTACTCGGACCCCACCGCTCGACACATTTCCCATCGCTCATCCGGCCGAGAGCGTTACACTACGAGGAAGCTAGTCATTCAACAATGTCACTTCCGTCCGGCTCCAAATACGCACCTGCCCACAGATGCGCCGCCCCTTCTTATCCGTGAAGTTTGGGTAGATATCGGGAATATCCTCTCGCAGATTCGCATCTTGATCACGACGGTAAGCATGGGGTCCGACTGAAGCGATGCCCACTCACAGCTCTCATACTTCTTCGTCTTCTTCTTCTTGCCTACCTTCTTGGCCGGAGCAGCCGCCGGCTTCGACTTCGTATCATCATCCACATCTGCCTGCTGCCGCTTCAGAGGCCGGCCGCGCCTGGGAGGAGGCGTCGGCGGATGAGAGGAAGGTGCGGGACTGGGAGCAAGGCCAAACTCCGAGCCCGAGGAGGACGACGTAGGCGACGTTGGACGTGGCGCAGGAGGCGCCCGCGAACGCGACGCCGTGGCGAGAGGCCTCGGGAGCGACGAGTCCTCGTCCTGGTCGTCCTCGATCTCGACCTCAGGAAGAGCTTCGTCTTCCTCGAGCTCGGCATGATTGGGAGATGCCGCACGGACGGGAGACGGCGAGCTTGACGCGATCATGTTCCTACGCGCACGGCCGTGGCGCAGAGGTAGAGATGTTTCCTCCTCATCGCCGAGCGACGGTGCCGGGCAACTCGAGCGCGTCGACGTCGCCCGTGCCCGACGCGTTGCGCCGCGAGTTTGACGAACTAAAGGAGGAGACGGCGACCGAGTTGAAGGCGGAGGGGCAGGACGCGAGACACTTGCAGGGGGCTGCCGCGCAGACACCGGTCGGCGCAGACGCTTGGCGAGAGGCGACGAGTCCGGCTCGCTACTACTAGGCGACCGTGCACGCTTCGTAGGGCGCCCGCGCTTCTCAGTGGTAGCCGTGAGCGGAACGGGAGTCAACGGGCTCATCGGCGAAGCTTGCGACATGTCGACATCGAAGAGGGTGGTGTCCGGGTCCTGCTCAGCCATGCTGGCGTCCTGGTCAACCGCCCCCATGACCTGGTTGATCGCACCAGCGTCCATGTCACCGTCCACATCCCACAGAGCGTCGACGGACAGCTGCGACGCAGTGTTGATGTCCACATCCGTATCGAGCTCAGCGAACCTGGTCTTGATGACTGCGAACGCCTTCTCCGCCTCGCCCACTTGCGCCCTCGCTTGTACAGCATGGTCCTTCGACTCTCGACTGCGCTGCTCGGCGAGAACGACCGCACTCGTGGCACTCGATATCAGACTCTGCAACGATAGTCAGCTTCGTCAAGTCATCAACCACGACGCATACCTCAGTCTGCCGAATCTGCGCCTTCAGTGCTGCGACGCTCTTCTGCAACCGAACCGTTGCCTCCGCCGACGCCCCGCCCCTCTGTGCCTTCTTCGCCGCCTTCAGCTCCGTCATGACGCGCCCCAAATTCGCCTGCGTCGCGCTCAGCCGCGCCGCAAGTGTGTCCCTCTCCACGACCAGCTTGCCCTTCTCCACCGCCAACTTGCCCTTCTCCGCTACAAGCCTATCGCGCTCGGTTGCCAGCTGGTCCCTCTCGGCCTTGAACGCCTCCTTCTCCTTCGTCAGCGCCTCCACACCCTTCCTCCCCCGCTCGTTCGCGCGCCGAAGCTTGTCCGCCTCCATCCGCGTCTGCACCAGCTCCTTCTCCGTCTGCGCCACCTTCTCCGCGTTCGCCCTGACCTCCGCCGCCCGCGTCTCCGAGTCACGCAACTTGCCCTCGAGCTCCTTGACCGTCTTCTTATGCTCGTTGAGCATCCCATCGCGCTCCTTGATCGTCTCGTCGCGCTCCTTAACCATCTCACCACGCTCCCTGTTCGACTCCTCGCGCTCACGCACCCTCGCCTCCAGCTCCTCCTGCGCATTCTTCGCCTGCGACCTCTCTTTCTTGAACGTCGCCAGCTGCTCCTGCAGGCCCCACACCTCCTCTTGCATCTTCGCCACGTCGTTGTGCGCGTCGCCGACGGCCTGCGAGGCGAGCAGGTGCGCGCCTTCGGCCTCGCCCTGGGCGATCTCGAGGTCCTTGCGAGTCGTGGTAAGCTCCTTGCGGGTGGCGTCGAGGTCTTTGCGAGCGGTCTCGAGATCCTTGCGTATAGTTTCGAGGTCGCGCAGAGCGCGATCACGAACGTCCTTGATGGACTTGAGCTCCCCCTCCAGCTTCTTCAGCTTTCCTGAACCCTTCCCCTCCCCGTCCTTCCTCGCCTGCTCCAAATCCTTCTTGACTTGCTCCAGCTCCTTCTTCATCTTCGCCAGCTCCTTCCGCGCCGCTTCGAGCTTCCTCGTCTCCTTAACGTCCTTGCTGTCGCCGTGCTTCCCATCCTTGGCGTCACTAGGCTTCGCTAACGCCTCCCTCGCCCGCTCGAGCTCCGCATCCAGACGCTTCACCTCCGCGAGCGCCTCCTCTGCCTCCTTTCGCGCTCGCTCCGCCTCCGCCTTCGCGTCTTCCAGTTCCTCCGCATCGTCGTGTGCGTTGCCGCTGGTCTTCACGCGCTCCATCTCCTGCTTCGACCTCTCCAGCTCCCGCTGCAACCTCTCCACCTCCGCCTTTGCCTCCGCGCACTGCCGCGTCGCATGCGAGCGCTGCACATCCGTGGCCACGCGCCGGCGCCGCTCGTCCTCGACGCGCTGCTTCTCCTCTTCCAAGAGCTTCTTGCCCTCCTCTAGGCTCCTGCGCAGCGCCCCGGCCACAGACGCCGACTCCGCGGGGGTCACGATCGAGAAGCGCGTCGCCGAGGGCGTGTTGCGCGCGTTGTACGCGTCGGGAAGGGCAGAAGAGGTGTTCGAAGAAGCCGTAGACGCGAGGGACGCGTTCCGGGGTGCGGGGTTGGAGGAGAACGCGTCCACGATGGGCTTGGCCGCGTCAGCAATGCGAGTGAAAGTGGTAGTAGCATCCTCAGAGGCGTCAATCGAGTGTTGGGATGCGTTGTTCGAGCTTTGGAACGCGTTGTTTGAGCGCTGGGATGTATCGGAAGTACAATTCGATACGCCAGCGAGATTGGACACCTCAGCAGCGCCATTTGACGCGTCGAATGGGTTGTAAGACGCGCCGCGAGCGTAGTCCAGCGCATATATGCGATCCTTCGACGTGTCCTGCGTCTGAGGCGGGACAGACGCGCGTGAAAGATCTTCTGCCTGTGGAGGAGGGTTCTGCACTCGCGATGGCGGCGCCGATGCGCGCGACGCGTCGTCCTTCCCCTTATCGCGAACCGCTGATGCCTTCGTCGCCGCTAGTACATTCTTCGCCGCCGGTGTCTTCTTCACTGGTGCAAGAGGCTTGAACGGTCGCTTTGCGCTTGCAAGGGTCGCAGGCGCGCCCCTCCCACTCGCAGTGTCGCTTCCCGATGGCATGTCCACGACGATGGTGACGGTGAGAGCAAAATGGCGTTGTCAGTGACATGGGCACGAGGGGACCCCGTCATGTTAGGCTTGCTCAAACCCAGGATAGAAGCGCCGCCAAACTCTGACATTGAGCTGCCAAACGGGGGAATAGGCTGTCACCTGGAGGCATAGACCCACACCGTTGGCCTGTGAGCTACTCGAGTAGTGTTGGCGCTGAAGGAGCTCTTGAAGAGGTTTTCCGCTGCCTGTAAGGATAGGACACAGTATGCAATTGGTTCAGCATGAGTGTTTAGGACAAGCAGCGCAAACACAGAAGCAGACAATGGCCGGCCCTGAAGCCGGAAGCAAAAAGTTCGGAACTCGGCCCGGTGATACCCCACGGGCCACGAGCCGCGGCGCCTATTGGACTCTCACCATATCTTGGACATAGCGTTCATCCCAGATCTGATATCCCTTCCTTCGCCCTTGCCGCGCCTTACATGCACCGATAGCAAACGAAGACGATGTCTAACAGGATATCTCAACTCTTCACGCGCGGCTCCCGGGCGCCGACATCTTCGCCGTCTTCCCCCACCGCGAACCACGATCAACCGGCCGCGTCCACCTCTACGCGCCCCGTCACCCACACCCGGGGCAACAGCACCAGAGGGAATGGCCACTCAACGACTACTCAGTCCCGCAGGCGCTCCACCTTTCAGCAAGCGCTCCAGCAGGTCACGCATATCTTCTCCCACTGGTCGACGCCGGCAGTCGAGGAGGCCTACTGGTGCTCGTCCGACATGATGTTGGGGGCGGGAATGGTGATCATACAACCCGAGACACGCAAGATTGTGTGCGTGTACGAGCGCGCGCGGAAATACTGGTTCTTGCCAAAGGTGTGTAGTCGGGCGCTTAGCCTGTCGATCGCTATGACTGACTCCAAATGCGAAGGGCAGGAAAGATGTAGGACAGTCGTTGGAGGAGACAGCGCTGAGGGAGGCATACGAAGAGGTTTGTGATGTTCTACTACGGTACAGACGTCAAGGGACTCACGTTGCGACCGCAGACCGGATACCAAGCAACCTTCCTCCCACTATGCCACCCTCATCATCAACCCTCGCCTGATCGACCACGCTTTCCATCCACCGAACCGCTATACATCCACGCCATGAGCTGGGGCCCAAAATACCGGGGAGGGCAGATGAGCGACCCAGGCGGCGAATATCTGACCACCTGGTATGCCGGCCAGATCCCCGTCGACGCGGTAAGCCTTGCGCCACTCATCGTTCACATGCCCTTCCTCTCCATTCCCCCTTCTTCACTTCGTATTCGCTGATTTTTATTCTTCTGTTCTCTCTTCTCTCTCTTGGACGCCGCTCACTTCCATCCCAGCCCCACCACGCCAACACCGGCATGCCAGACGAGCTCAACTACGAGTCCCACCTCCTCACCTTCGACCAAGCGCGCCAGATCTTCGGCCACGACGGGTTCTTCGGAATGCTCATCGAGTATGCAATTCAGAACTTCGTGCGTACGGAGCAAATTTTGGCGGAGTGGGAGAGGAGACGGGCCCAAGATGCCGAGGAACAGCAAGCGCAGGCATCTGCAGCGCAACCAGAGGGCGATGCACCGACGGTCGAGCCGCAAGGTGCTCAAGCGGGCGAACCACAAGGTGCCCAAGCGACCAGTTTAACAGCGGAACAGATTCAAGGTGGTACCGTAACTTCAGCATAGGAATGAGGTGCTGTGGCTTCACTGGACCTCTGTGGACGCGCGCATGGAATGTACGGCAATTGCCGTGATGGCCTTTCCACATATGGAAGGTATTGTTCGCGCCACGCGAACGTGCGCATTTCAGGCTGATCGTCTTGCAGCACTGGCGCTCTAATCAGTCTTGCCATCCCACTTTTTATACTAGGTTTGGTGCGTCTCCTCGTGTACAGTATATTTATCTGCCATAAGGCTTGTCCTCCGGAATTTTTGTACGAAATGCGTTCATCTTTTTTTTTTTTTTTTTTTTTTTTTTTTAAACTCTGCACTTCTATACCGCTACAAACTAAGGTGAAGCTAAGACGCGGTCCTCCGCCAGAACTCCCTCCATCCGGAAGCCCGACAGGGCCCTTCGCATACCCGTGGTGATAATCTACAAGTCCCGAGGCTGCTGCTCGTACTGCTGTCCGTCGCGATACTGTGGTTGAGCTGAATGGTGATATAATAGGTAAAAGCACTCTGTGCGTGTGTCGTGTGTCTCGGGGTATCGCAAACGAACAAGAAAAAGGGTGATAAGGGACGGGGAAAGGTACCTAAGCACGGGGTTGGGCTGCCGGGCCTCCTATCCATCCTCGCCGTTCTCGTCGTCCTGTCGTACCTCGGGTTCCTGCTCCCAGGTAGGGAGTGATGGAGGTGCACGGGGTGCACCGGTTTTGGTGAATGCGCCGGACGCCGCTATGAATTCCGTGAGGGCTGCGATCCCCTTCTTCGTTCCCAATAGAACCGGGAGCGAGAGGCCGCGGGATGCGTCACGGAGTAGGTAGCGGTACTCCTCGTATTGTGGGCATTCTGCCAGGATATGTTGTCGTGTCTGTAGGAGTTCCCCGCAGGGGCAGTCACTGTCGACATCACGAAGGAAATCGTTGTAAAACTCGCCCGTGTATCCGTGTCCGGTACGTGTCTGTAAGACGCGACCAAATGCGTTCATCTGTATGCTATGTTCTGCTTTACGCACGCTTTGCTACCTCACCAATTCAGGCTCGATATCATGCTCTGTCTCACACGCTACGAAGGATCTCGACCTTTCACTCAGCGCAAGCTTCAGCCGAACGCAGTCACGATCACCCCTTCTACCCAGGCGCATCAACTAGATTGCCTTTCCACAATCAACGATATATCTCCCTGACCCTGACATGACGGTCCCGGCGCGCCACAAGCTCTATCACCTGTATCCGGCGCTCGCACTTACACAATGGCGGCTTAACGCATGCGCTACGGCACCCATCGCGGCTTGCTGCCTCCACCGATGAAGGTGTACCTTCTCCGACGACATGAGCAGCGGATCTTACAACCAATTAGCGCCTGTTCGAGGACGTAGCGCCTTTCTCAACGACGGAAAGCGCCTTTTTCATGACAGGTCGTGCTGGTAGCGCCTCGACGGACGATATAGCGCCAGCGCCGTGATCTCCTACGTCGCACCCCCCAACGATGAGATGACTGCCTTCAGTTGAGTGATTCTGCCAAATCTTTTGGCGGGCTTACGACTTCCCGCTCTCGATGATTAACGGTGGAGCCCCATACGACATCCTCGCCGGTCTCAATATGTTCGCTGTGATGAGGAGACTTCTGCAGGGACGCCCGCGGTATTCTACGCAAGCGATTACAAGAAGGTACAACGACAAAACCTGGCGACTCCCGAAGCTATCTGCTCGCTACGTTTCACAGCGCGCGCGACTCATGCTTGCCACTGAATACGTATCTCCTCGCGCCCGACGCCGACCGAGAACCCGTCGACGTTCCGCGCCATCTGAGAAGCCTTGAATCCCTGCATCGCCTTCGAATACGCGAACCCGAGGAGAAGGTCTCTACGCTGCAGCCCGACACCGGAAGCGAGGAGGCAAATATCACAAAGCGCTCTGACGCGCCACGGCGGAGGTGGTGCGGGCCTAGGACTATATAGCGCAGGTGGCTGCAGTGGGCTGCCGCTTTCTTTTCGCCACCATCCCCCAGCCCCCTTTCTTAAGGGCGTCGTCGTGGCCTTTTCGAGGCGGCCCGTTTTCGTGCTCTCAGGCTTCGTCGTTTGTGACACTGGGTGCAGTTTGTCGTGTTGCACGCTCGAACACCGAGAACCTCACCTCGTAGCTCACGAAAAATGGCCACGATGAGCAACCCCGCACAGCTCGCGCACGGGCCAATGCTCATCGGCCTGGTCTTCAATGTGCTGCTGTACGGTATCATGATCACCCAGCTCTACCTCTACGTGACGACGTACAAGAGGTAAGTTGAGTCCTCATGTGCGTTCTACCAACGATCACTCGAACTCCATATCTTCCTGTGTATGTCCCGCCGAAATGAACATGCTGACACGCTCGCAGGGATCCGCTGTGGATCAAGATATATGTCGCCGTCTTATTCGTGGCTGATACCTTCAACACTGTATGTTTGATGGTGTACATGTATGACGCCCTGGTCCTTCATTTCGGTGAGTATCCCCTTCTCGTCTTTGACATATGCTGAATAGGTCAACGCGCAGGTGACACTCCCTTCCTTAACACAGCGAATTGGGTCTTTGCGACGGGTGCGTAGCCCGACGTGCTTTGTCTCTTCATCCGACGCTCACCAACTCTCTTGCCAGATCCAGTTATGACGGTAGCTCACCGTCAAGCTTACCGCTCGGTACCCACCTTCCTTACACTGCCCCCAGGCGTTCATCGGGTCTATGGTGCAGTCCTTCTTCGGTCGGTGGCCCGCTACTTCCTCCCCGTCCACGTGAACGCTAGCTGAACTCGAGCCTAAATCGACAGCGTGGCGTATCCGCGTCCTTAATATGAGCTGGATGTTCTGGGTTCCAGCCGCCGTCTGTGGTACGTGCCCTGGCGCGCGCTACACCGCGGTCGTACCCGATTCGAGCTGACTGCGAATTGTATCTAGCTTTCATCGCTGCCGCGGGCGGCCTCTCGACGTCCATCGCCATCCACTTCGTCTCGCACTTCAGCGAGTTTCAGAAGTTCGAGATCGCGGTGATCTTCTGGCTAGTGGCAGCTGCGGTTGGCGACGTCTTCATCACCGTCGCGCTGACGAAATACTTGGTGGGTGCTATACAACATTTCTACGAACGCAAACCTCCATTCTGCGTCCCCTTCGCTCACACAATCGAGAAGACTAATGATCAACGTAGAGAGAGCATTACACCGGCTATCGGGCGACCGACGATCGTATCGACGGTATCATCCGCCTGACGGTGCAGACGGGCATGATCACCGCCATCTGGGCGATCATTGACCTCGGGGTGTACTTGGGAGACCCTACTGGAACGTGAGTCCTGCTTTTCGGCTCGGTCTCTACGTTTAAATACGTGTCTTGTACTGACGGCACTGTGACAGGCACTTGATCTTCAATCTCCCGCTTTCGAAGCTGTATAGCAACACCCTTCTGAGCAGTCTGAACGCCCGCGGAGGATGGAAGCCGCCAGTATCGACCGTATCCTCAGGCGGAGATGCCCTCACCTCACCACGAATGATCGTAGGATCTGGTACGCATGTGCGTTCGTCCGCCCAGATTCATGATCCTGCTACTCGTTCGCTCACAATAACGCAGCCTGACGTCCTCATCGAGCGCACCATTGAGCACCACGGCCCGCCGAACCTACACCAAATTAGCAGCCTCGAGATGTCGACTAAGAAGGCAAACTACACGGTCGACTTCGTCGAGGCGCAACGACACGGTGTCGGCAAGAAGGGCCGGCGAGATGGCAAGAAGGGACCGCCGCTTATCAGCAAGAGTTTTATGAACTCGCGAAGCGCCTCGGACCTGGACTCAGAGTTCGCGGTGATGACAGCGAAGACGAATACGCAGCATTGAGATGGGCGCGGCGAGTTTGAGGATAGGACAGTAGAATCATAGTGGTTGACGAGGCTGGGCGCAGTGGGCATGGTCACGAATTCACATGGCGCGAACGTTGTATCACTTTACCATTCCCAACTCCCTTCGGATACTTGAGTTGTAATATGAGCCGCTGTCCACCTCACATCCTTGCGTTTTCACCCTCCCTTCATAGCTATGGCGCTTGCCCGCAATGTACGAGTATACTTCCACAGTCGCGCTTACGAATAGCTGCATACATGTATTGCTGGTGGTGTACGCCGTTAGCTGACATGTTCCGTATATCTTGGACCCGCGCACCATTCGAAGATGACCTAGAGACGACCACAGTTGAGTACGTTAGACCAGCTCATCCGGAGAGATCTTCGGAGTGCGGGATAGGTAGTATGGATGCTGTCGGCGTGCTGCTCGAGTTGACCACCAGACTGTAGCCCTAGGTTCGATAATCCCCAACATTTGCCTCCATGAAGTCCGTTTGCGGGCTACCGAGCCATCACTGTCATCCGCTGTATGACCTTGTAGTAGATCAGCTTGCGAGTCGACAACGAGGTATGAAATGGAGTATGGCCCGTAAATGCGATTGCCGGCATAGGAGAGGGGTGCTATGCCACTGCAAATACAACATTTCAGTAGAATGTCATCGGTCAGATGAGAGAGGCTCTGAAGCTCACTGGTCCAGCATCCAGGCGACAGTGACAGGAAGGTAAAGATCGTGTCCGTCACAGTCATTCACCCACTTGTCGGCATCCATAATCCTTGCCAATCTTCGCACCTTCGCGTACTCTTCTATAGTGTGAGATTGTGGCCCGCTTTCTGCCCCCATTTGATGACAACGTGAAACCGAGTTCCTGTAGGCATCATGCCAGAAGGGATTATCTCGTGTCCTCCGGTAAATCTCGCGGAAGTATGCCTCGTATCTACGGGAGAGTGCAGGATATGTCGGCCAGTGGTCAACCAGCATCAAGATTGTGCTCTCGTGAAGGAAGGGCTGGAGCGCGCTGCTTCCGACAAAGTGGATATGGAAAGCTGCATACATGAGGCGCTGCGTGACGTCGGGTATCAGGTTTTGTATCTCGATAGGGCGCGCATTCTGGATATAGCGAAGGAGCGCGGGCGCGAGGAGGGGAAAAGCGCTTTCGAGCGGATCATATGTCCCAGCAGAGTATAACCGCGTAGCAAGATGCAAAATCATTGCGGCCCCGCACAGAGGGAGTTCCAGCACGTTCGGTTGCTTGAGCACTATCCCTCTTGTGAGGGATGGCCTACACCACATGTCTCGCTCAGACGACTTGGTGTGCGCGCAGAACGTTTGGTGTAGCAGCGTAATGCTGCAGAACTCCTCCACCCTCTGTCGGATCATAGCAGATGCCGAAACGTCATTCAGCAATCTCGGATTGCCCCCGTGTCTGCGCTGCAAGTCGTTGATGTTGGCGTGAAATTGGGAAGCGGATATTTCCAGCTGATTCCAGAGTAACCTCCGGAGCCACCGCGGTATAGTCCTCTTCCCTCGCTCGAGACAAGTCACAAGGATTGTCAGCGCTTCGGCTGATACGACGAGGATTAGTTGGTCGATAGCCTGAGCATGAATCAGTGAACATACCCCAGCTTTTATTGGCCATAAGAACGAAGCGAAGGTGCTGAGCCAAGCGATGCTTCACATTGACATGGTAGGTGCAGGCGACACGCAGAGTGGCCGGTTCTTCGCAAGGCCGGTACGATCCGCGCGCGGGAATGCAGCAAACGTGCACGAGGTAAAGCACATCGTCGAGCCACTGCTGAACAGCATCTCTCTCTGCAGGTGGCATATCATCGACATTGCCACCGAAAGAAAAAAGGATGGGCGGGCAATCTGGGAGAAAGGCACGCGCGCGAGCAAACCGATCGCACGACCAGTCCAGCAGTAGATGCCAGCTCATCGGTACTAGCTTCGTGTTCGGGTTCATGATGAACTGCCTAGTCTGAGAGACCAAAACAGGATCCTTCCGTGCTTTGCTCGATATCTCAGGGGAGAAGACGATGAAAGGGAGTATGCGTCGAGTGATAAGAGCCAATTGCTGTTTTCCTCCATCCATAGCGATCCTAGGATCCAGAGACTGCACAACGGTACGCCATTGTTCTTCGTTTACCGAGAGCAACTTAGAAAGGGAATCGGCAGATGGGCGAGAAGATGTCCAGTTCTGCGGATCCCAGGTGACGCTCAATAATCCTCGAGTTGCCTTCTCGAGGGCGAGGCAATCACGTTCGTCCCCAAAGCTGCCTTTCTGAATGCAGTCGTGTATATCCTTGATCAATAAAGAGCGTAGATCAAGACGAGTGGACGAGTCGCCCATGTGCGACGAACCCCTGCGCGAGTAGGACAAAGGAGAGCCCAAGCCGGCACATGCCGCCGCAATGACGCTCTGCGCGGAGAGGTTGATAGCATTACTGTGTAACCAGCTCATGCTTTCAGCCATCAGATCTTGGGCTCGTTGGTGTAGTCGTCCTTCATGCACGCGAGTTATTGCCGCTTCGCCCTGCGTCGAGTTCAACGGTGGCCGAGCAGGTGTCTCCCGCGGCGAGTCAGCCTCAAGCCTGGCCGGGTATATTCGAATTTTCACCAGGAGCCTCCGGAAAGTCGTGACGAAGATTCTCGATACACGTAGCGCAGCACTTCGAATTGCAAGAGTAACAGGAGTACGGTAAGGGCATTCCCAGTGAAGGGAACCCAGGACGTGCGTCGTGACATAGAAGATATATGTCGCGCCGGTCAGCACCGAGACAAGGCATGTGACAGGGAGGGAGAGCTTTGAGAGAAACACGATGAGGCCGGCCAGGAATAGAGCGAGCGAGACATGAAGCAGCACGGGAATGAGGTTGATGATGAGAGGAATCTTCCATCTCAGTAGCTCCTTGTAGCGCATATGGCGTATCAACGCGCGGTCTCGAGGAGGTCCAGGGGGCGTCTTAATATACTCCTGATTGTATTTGAGGTCAATCAAGTGCAACCTTCCTAGAAGCCCGACTTACTTGCAGCCATTGCTTGACGAGAACCGCGATGAGGACCGTAGAAAGCGAGAGTCCAAGTGTGGTGAACCACAGGGCGTTGACCCATACGTCGCTAGTAGAGACAGAGAGCGTGTCCAGAGTGACTTTTGCAGAGGGTACATCATCGGGAGAACGCGCCCGCTGCAAGGCGACCAGCTCGAGCAAGATGGCCGACGTGGTACGCCCGTAGTCAGGCTGCAGCGACTGTGAGGTCTGGACCACGAAGGTAGTAACGACGGCGGAAAACAAGGCGGCCTATCAGACAATGTCAGTGAGTATACGCGCCCAGGTCGTGCTGTGGAAACTGACGAAGACGAGGTGCACGTCGAGGGTGTCTCTAAACCCTCTGATCATGTCGTCATCAAATTGACCGCTCTCGTCGAGATAGACGCGCCAGACGCGCGCGTTCTCTCCAAGCTCGGCGCCATACGCGTCCTCGGGATACATATCTCGGTAGTCGCCGACTTGTGGCAGTTGAGTATCGCGCTCACGACGGAGAGGGACGCACGTACTTCCGCCTTTCCCAGGTGGGGTCGCAGGATACTTTGGAAGTCCGAAGAAGCGCGGAGTCTCGTCTCGGTGAGCAGTCGCCGTGGGCTGACAATGGGCCGTAGGCGCGCTCTTTGACCCCGATGAGTGATCCTGTTCCGGAGGGGAGGGCGTCGCTGCGCTCGCATTCGCGAAGGATTCCTGCGTGGCTGGCGAGGGGTCTACAAACGATTCAGTCGATCTCGTATCGCCTTCGCAGCATCCATAGAGCCTACCGTCCTCTCTATAGTGCGCAAGCGCAGGTGGTCTAGGAGGGTCTACTCCGCGGTCTTGATTTCCAATGGACGAGCAGTTGGGATCTCCTGCAACATCGCGTGCTATACCTTGCCTAAAGTAAGAGTACGCCTTGTCCTTTCCAGATAGATGACATACCCTCTGCGTTCTGGTAGCCCGGTTTCGAAGTTGCTTCCTGTATGTTCCCCATGAGTGTATCGGCCGTAGCGGTATGCGCAAAACAAAGGTAGGTCTTGCAATGCTAGTCAACAGCAAGAGGCGCGCTGCACAGCCAGCGTCCAAATCGATATGATCACCGCGATGACGGCGAAGGCACGGTGCCCTGGGAAGACGACGAACTTCGAATTCTCAGACGACGTGGCCAATCGACGCGTGTGGTGCTGCTCAGATACATTGATTATGTGCTGCCTTCGCAGCCGTGTTAATTCAGATCAAGTCTCTGACCCAAAGGATTAGAGGCCATGAACCTTTTCATGTGATGATGGAGGAAGGCAAGCAGCAGAAGCTGTGACAAGGACCGTTCCAGGTCACACAATTTCCATCTTGGTCTATTCCTTTTATGAGAAAAAAATTCGACATGACCCATCCAGAATTTCCGTACTCTTCTTGCCCAAGCCAGGGCATCGGACATCATTTGGCGCCTCAGGTATCTCACACGGCAGATTATTATTAGATGCGCCGATGAAGCCTAGACGAGATACGGCTAAGTCCTCCCGGCGTTTGCCGCCCGCGAGTCATGATCGGGATCAGCGTCTATCGGAGAGATCGTACTTCCCCGCTCCGGTCATTCGAACTTGGACTCGGTGACAATGGAGGCCTACTCAACGTACCAGACACCGCTCTCGTCGCGGTACGCGTCGAAGGAGATGGCGCACCTTTTCTCCCCCGCTATGCGCTTCTCGACATGGCGCAAGCTCTGGCTGTATCTTGCCACCGCGGAGAAGGAGCTCGGGCTCCCCATCCCGGACGACGCCATCGAGCAGATGAAGGCGAACCTGGACCTTACGCCGGAGCAGTTTGACGTTGCCGCGCAGGAGGAGAAGAAGCGTCGGCACGACGTGATGGCGCATGTGCATACTTTCGGGACGGTCGCCCCCGCGGCGGCGGGGATCATCCAGTGCGTATGATGCTCAGTACCCAAAGCAGGGGACTGATTCAATATGCAGCTTGGGTGCCACGTCGTGCTATGTGACGGACAATGCGGACTTGATTTTTCTCAAGGACGGCTTGACGCTCCTCATTCGCTCACTGGTCGTCTTGATCGAACGTCTGTCTACGTTTGCGGAGGTGCGTACTTCGTCATTTAGACCAAACCTGAACTCATAATATCAAACTTTTTCCAGGCGAACAAGTCTCTCCCTACCCTTGGATTCACGCACTTCCAGCCTGCGCAGCTCACTACGGTGGGCAAGCGCGCTACGTTGTGGATCCAGGTTAGACAACACCCCCCTTGCCGTAGATGTTGATCTCACCTACCACAGGACCTGCTCGCAGACCTTCGCAACCTCCGCCGCGCGCGCTCTGACCTGGGCTTCCGCGGTGCCAAAGGCACGACCGGTACTCAGGCTAGCTTCCTCGCCCTCTTTGACGGAGATCACGAGAAGGTCAGTGCAGTACAAATCAGCGCAGCCGTTCTCCAATGATAACCCTCCTTAGGTCAAGGCCCTTGATCGTCGTGTCACTGAACTTGCCGGCTTCGAATACGCGTACCCTGTAGCTAGCCAGTGCGTACTCATCACAGCGCCACCTGACTGATACACTGAACGCATTACCAGAACATACTCTCGCAAAGTCGATGCCGATGTCCTCGCTGCCCTTGCCTCCCTCGGCGCGACCGCGCACAAGATCGGCACGGACCTACGACTGCTGGCGAACTTGAAGGAGGTTGAGGAGCCCTTCGAGGCGAACCAGATCGGCAGCTCCGCCATGGCGTACAAGCGCAACCCGATGCGCAGTGAGCGCGTTTGCAGGTAATTGTTATGTCCTGTCCAGATATTTTTCGACCCGCTCACGATTTTCCTCAGTCTCGCTCGCCACCTCATGGTCCTCCACCAAGACGCGCTCGCGACCGCATCCGTGCAATGGTTCGAGCGCACGCTCGACGACAGCGCTAACCGCCGCATCGCGCTCCCCGAGGCCTTCCTCACCGCGGACATCGTCCTCAGCACCCTCCGCAACGTCTCCGAGGGCCTCGTCGTCTACCCCGAGGTCATCAAGCGCCGCATCGCGCAGGAGCTGCCGTTCATGGCGACCGAGAACGTCATCATGGCGCTCGTGAAGACGGGCGGCGACCGACAGCAGGCGCACGAGGCGATCCGCGTGCACTCGCAGGCGGCGGCGCGCGAGGTGAAGGTGCACGGGCGGGAGAACGACCTGATCTCGAGGATCAAGGAGGACGCGTATTTCGATCCTATCAAGGGTGAGTGGAGTATTGATGAACGCCGGTGTTGTCATTGACGTTGGATCCAGACCAGCTTGATTCGCTCCTCGAGCCTTCGAGCTTCATCGGCCGCGCGCCCGAGCAGGTCACGGAGTTCCTCCAAGAGTGGGTCAAACCCGCGCTCGAGGACAAGGAGGCGCAGGAGGCGATCGCGGGGAGCGCGCGTGTAGAGCTGAGCGTGTAAACGCTTAAGGCGCCTGGTGAACCGTGGCCGCTCGGCGATAGGGTGGCGAAGAATCATGCGCCGCGACGAAGGCGCGGGACAAGAATCAAGACGAATGTATGCTTGTATTTTTTATCTGTAATATGAACTGCGCGTCGAATATGCATGTGGCTTGTGAGAGAGAACAGAAAGATCGGTTTGCCATGCAGGTCGTTGCTTTCGCCGAGGCTGGAAATGAGACGATGGGGAATCCCTTGAGCGCTCTTTCATCAGGATATCCATGCAATTTTACCCTACGTATATTCCGAGTCATAGCCAAAGGAAGCGATCTGTATAGTGAAGCATATGGTGTCTATAAAGTATTGCATACTGAAGGCAGAAGAGACCTCCTGCGGAAATTATACCGTGGAGAATATACCGTGGAGAGGCGATTAGACGGCAAAGGTAAGTACGTGAAGGTTAGGAAAAGAACGGAATAGGTCTATGGCAAGTTAATGGGCAATAATTAAGAGGGGTACTACGGAAGACTAGAAGAAGAAGAATCTACTAGAGCTGCGAGTTCCAGTACTGCCAGTTGATCTGCGGCTGCTGGTTCTCCTGAGACTGCTGAGGGAGCTGCGGGTACTCCTGCTTGGGCTGCTGAGGAAGCTGTGGGTACTGTTCCTTGGGCTGGCTGGCTTGGCTTGTCTGGTTGGGCAGTTGCGGGTACACCAGCTGCTGGTCCAGCTCAGGCAGCCTGGGCAGCTGCGTGTACCGCGGCTGAGGCTGCTCAGTCTGCTGGTGGCCAAAGTAGCGGGGGATCTGCGGCAGGCCGTTGTACAATGGCGCCGGCGGACCGTAGTTCGGCAGCATCTGAGGCGCGTAGTGCGATGGCATCGGCGGCGCATGGAACGACGGCATCTGCGGCCCCCAGGTCGCCGACGCCTGCAGGGGTCGACGGCGAGCCCAGAAGTTGTTCTGGGGCATCGGCTGCGGCGCGTTCATCGACGAGGCGGACGCGAGGTTCGAAATGGACGGAGACGCGAAGTTCGAGATCGGCGTGGGCGAGGGCGTCAACAGGGCCATCTTCGCATAGTCCGGCAGAGTCATCGACGAGAGATCGGGCATGGACTTGTGCGCCTTGAGGGGGAAGGGCGGCACGGGGCGCGGGTTGAAGGCCGGCGCGTTCTGCTGGAAGGCGCTCAAGGGCGTGCCGGACTCCTCTTTGACCAGGCGTCCAGGCGCGCTCGACGCGGACTCTTCGCTCTTGGCAGACAGGTCGCTGTCCGTGGACACATCGCTGCTCGTCGATTGGGCCGACTTGCGGTGGCGCGGGGGCACGCGGTCCGGCTCGTACTCGTCCTCATCGTCCTCGTCGTCCGAGAGGGAGCCCCACAGCGGAATGGGATAACTGTCGGAGCGAGCCTTCCTCTTGGACGGCTTGTCGTAGGGCTTCTCGCGCGGGCCGCGGCGCGTCTTGGGCTGCCACCCGTGCGCGCGCTCGCGGTGGCGGAAGCATCCCGCGGGGTCAGAGAAGCCCTTGTCGCAGCCCTCGTGAGGGCACTTGATCCTCTTCGCGCCGGTGCTGCAAGTCTGTCAGTGAGAGCATCGGCGATAGAGCGAGGGGACGCACTGCTTCGCGTCGACGTGGTTCTCCAGCGAGTTCTTCTGGGCGAAGCGCCTACCGCAGCCGGGATGGTCGCATGCGTGAGGACTGTAAAACGACGGTGTCAGAGATACTGAGTTCGTGGGCCACAGAGTTTAGCACGCACAATCTCTTGGGAATGTTTTCTGGGACCTCCAGCGAGAGGTGGCCCTTAGCATGGCGTGTCTGGTCGCGCGTGCTCTTGACCTTGGTGTGGCACATCTCGCAGATGCCATCGACGAATTTCGGGAGATTGTCCATGGTGATAATCTTCTGTCGGCCACCGTAAGTGGCGGCGCATTGCAGCGAAGTCGATCGAGTACTCACCTGCTGAGGGCTGGAGGACATCTTCTTGATAGTGATAACGGTCATTGTGGTAGTTGTCTGGAGGCAAAGGCTGAGCGTGTGTAGTCTGTGCTGGGTGTGCTGGTCTGAGATGGGTTGGTGAGGCAAACGCTCTGGCAAGCCCCGCCTTTATACCTGCCCGACGCACAGACGCTTTGACAGCTTCTCGATTAGTCGAACTCAGATTATCTCCGAAAAGGAAAGTTTTGTGTTCGTGTATGATCATTGAAAGAGCGGGGTTGTGGCGCGGTGCTTTTAATGAATGACCGGCTATTCCACATGCAAACATAGTCGGCTCCCCGCGAAAATTCTTAGCCCAGCAATGCTAGGTGACCCGCACCGCTTGGGTCTACAGAGTCGCAGCCTCGAGAGCTTATACGCCGCACACAGCAAGGTTCTGAGATCGATTCCCTTAGAGGGTAAGTCTTGCCGACCGCTATGTCCATGGGGCGTGTGCGCGGTTGCCATAGTGATAAGCCTATGTTCTTGGGACAAAGGACGGAAATGGCTGTGTTATGTCCGAGAATGAGTGGGCATGTTGTCGAGGTGCCTTGCGCATGCCGTGGGAGTGTCGCATCTATGTTCGGAGCGGAGACTTTGTCGACGTAGCCGGCTATGATAGTCATGGACAAAAACGGAACAAGAACCGAAGCGTGGGAATATCTCGGCGATAGGTTGCACGTGCTACGCACGGTGCCTCGCAATCAAGTTCAACCTTTGATTCGAGCCTGCCTCAGAGGCTCATAGCTCTCAGCAGGGCCCGACCTCTATTAGAGCACACATGGTCGACTGAACACAATCTCAGTGTTTCTGCTTTGCTAGCTGTAGGGTCACCGCGCGCGCGCGGCTTGAGTCACAGTGCCAGTCGGTGATATGTCACGACGCCTGTGATGTTTGGACGACAAACGCCTCTCACGAATGCTCGGCTTGCTACACGATTCATTCATTCATCGGTGTAACGACTTTATTCATATTCCGTGGTAGGGATGTGATTATCCGGTGCTAAGGTATACTAGAAATACAGTTATTTTTCCTTCCGTCAAGAATCGTCCGTTGCTCGGCCTTTCAACGTGGCGCCTAATCGTGGGGAGCGCGGGCCTGACCGGTGGCGGCGGCCTTGCCTCCCGCTTCGCGCAGCTCGCCCTTCTCGTGCATCTGCGGGTTCTTCGACATCTTGCCCATCACCTTCTCCGTCTTCCCAACGATCTTGTCAGTCAGCTTCGCGTGGCCCATCGGCTTGTCCTCCTGCCCACCGACCGCGACGCCGCCTGTATGAGTGTTAGTCAAGAGCATTCAGAATGTAGACAAGGATAGCGCACCTTGAGACGTCGGCTGAACGCCAAGAGGGCGCTCCTCGGTGAACACCGTGCGCCCGGCTGCGCTGCCCGTGCGTTGCTGGTGCTGCAGGCCCTCCATGCTATCGTCGCGGGGGTGCGAGGATGGCTGGGGCTGCTTCATGTGCTCGCGCTGCCACGTCGCGGGGTCCGTGTCCTCCGCGTTGGCGAACGCGCTGCTGTCCATACGCTCCATCTCGGGGACGCGGGTGCCGATCTGCAGATGCGTAAACATTCCCGCCTTTCCACTGAGAACGAGTGGACGCACCGGCTGCTCATCGAAGTGCTGAACGTGCTGGTTGGACATGTTGTGTTGTACGGGGTGGGTGACGATGTGGTTGTGGTTGTGGTTGCGGTTGATGGATACCGAGGAAAGGTGAAGATGGAGGGCCGTCCTCGCGCCTTTATACGCAGAACAGCGCTATGTAACCATTGACGACACTGAGCGTCATGGAGGAGCGCTCCCCACAAACGGAGGGGTTCTCCCCACGAATCCCCTGCCCATGACGATGGACTTCAACTTGCCTCGACCGTGGTCCTTGATGCCGCCAAAGCGTGAAGCCCACCGTGACGTCATGCGAGAATGGACTTTGCGGCAGGTGCCGACATGACGTCCACATGGACCCACAGCGCCTGCGTGAAGCTACACATCGACAAGGCTTGCGCGGTACGCTTGTGGTTCACGTCGATATTGAAGGCCCACGGCAGTCAAGTTTGAGGTACTGTCCTATGCGCACGAGGGTTCATGTCGACAGGTCCATGGGGCAGCCCCGATGTTATTTCTCGAGGTAACGATGCCCGGTGTTCGTGTGCGAAAGCCTAGCCGCCACGAGACTTGGATGAGATGACCAGGAGTATGATTTTCAAGGCAAGGCGCCGACGTCGCAGTAGTGCTTACAGCAGTATACGACGAAGCCGGGAGGAAGACGGCGGTCATCACGGAAGGGTGATAGGCGCAAGGTTATGCGACGTTCGGGGCCGCCGTTCGCATTCAAGCAGAGACCAGTCCAGTTACGCACAAGTAGCAATCGTCGGCGAGGAAGCACGCCTCAGCGGGGGTAAGCCTGGCCTAGACGGCGTACAGAGGCGGTGCGACTGGCGACGGAGCATGTCGCGGGATGAATTGACAGAGTCGTAGGATGAAATGGCAGAGTAGCGTCACCGGCTTTGACAGAGCTTCATAAGAAAGTCGGACATGCCCGTCGAGAAGCGCGTGCGACGTGCGATTCGGAAGGTCATGCTGAGATCATGAGAAGGAAGGCCCATAGACGGAAAGCAGCGAGCGAGGAGAGTCGTATAGACGATGCTGGAACCGTGTAGACGACGGACTTGTAGTTCCAGGTCAGATGGACGATGCGTAATCCAGTAACGTACGACAAAGAATATTGAGAACGGTCTTCACGCGCATGCCCGGAGAGATTCCTCCTGAGCTCAGAACTGGACTGTGTGCTGCGGCCGTCCAGAGGAAGTGATTCATGCGAGGGGAGCGAGGCGTCGTACGTCGCAATGAGATGCTGCTATCGACAGGGGTGCCCAAAGAGCCTAGTGCAGGGGCGCTATGAAAGAGCTTAGCGCCGGATGCTGCCGTCTGTCAATCGCAGGCCCTGAGAAGGGCGTGAACTTCGACGTGAGGTGATTGTCCAGCTCGTAAGAGAATAGGGTCTCCGAAGCTTCGTTGGGATGGCTTGCGTGCGCTCACCCTCAGTATGAGAAGGAGAATACACACCTGCGAGTTGGGTATCGCTGCGCCCAATGCGAGCGATGAGATTGCAGGCGCTGAACCCGCGAAGTCCGCTGACCCCATCCTACACGACCTGGTGCCAACGTAACGCGCCACTCAATGGCCTGCTATCAGTCAACTACCTGCCCACCGTCAGCTGGTGGCAGGTGTGCGGCCAGCTGATGCAGAGATGGTTGATGGCGCCGCCTTAGATGCAACGAGTGCGACGATCGATGAATACGAAGAACTTCGCGCTCCTGTAGCACGTCCGTGCCCATCGACAGATTGCATGTACGCAGCTTCGGGGCGGGGTGAGCCGCCCAGACACAGTAGAGACGCAGCCAGCGAAGCGACTGGCAAAGACCAGTCTAAGGAGCAATCTGCGCCAAGGGATTGCAGATTCGCTTAGCAAAGGGGATGTTCCGCGAGTCCAGGGGGTCGCCGGCGTCGGGACGCGGGGGTCGGTCGAGCCCAATCCGAGAAGCGTATTGTTCTTGTGGGCAGGGTTTCTAGACCACGAGTCTGCGACCAGCGGAGGGACTAGAATAGCCGTGCTTTGGGTTCAGCCCGGCGTCAGCATCGGATAGCAACGTCGAGCAGGTAGAGCGCAGCCTGGGTAAGAGCTCGTATAGCTGTGCCTGACTGAGGTCGGGCATGCTCGGAGGGAAAATCAACTTGGGGGCGAGCAAAAACTTCAACCGTGCACGTGCACGACCGTTGGAAATTCAGGTGGGCGCCTTTTTGGAGCCGTCCGGGGCACTTTCAAGCCGCAATTCGTTGCAGGTTCCGATGCTTGATCTCAACTATAAGAGGGCCTCGCCTCCATCCTGAAGCCCTTTCCCCCAATCTATCCCCCGCGACGCACATATCACTCTCGACCATACCCATCACCGCATCTATATATAGCGGGTTCTTCTCGTTTCCCCCGCGTCGGCGATGTCCTCCTCGAACTCCCAACAAACCCGGGAAGCATCCTTCGTCCTCCCCTCCGTCGTCGTCGAGCCTCTGAACACGGACGGCCTCTACCCTGCAGCAACACCGCCAGAAGCCACCGGCAACTGGCTCACACGCCGCTTCCCATACGATCAGCCGACGTGCGACTCTGCCCGCACCTCCATCACCCGTGTCAACCTCCCGCTCGTCGAGGAAGAGGAGGGGATGAGCGCGAGCGTCGCCCCCAGCATCCGTAATCCCGCGGAGGAGGCGGAGGAGGTCGTCGACGACGACGATGCGCACACGCAGGACGACGGGCATGCGCACGCTCACGAGAGCAAGACCGGATCCATGACGAAGCTCCCCGCGGACGAGGAGGGTGGCCCGCCCCCAGCTCCGCAAGCTATCCTCACATTCCTGACCGTCACTGCGAGGAGAAAGACGATGTCGTTCGACCCCGAGACGACCGTCGGGAAGGTTAAGGAGCTTGTCTGGGATCAGTGGCCAGAAGGTGCGTGCGCTGCATTTTCCCTCACTCTTCATGACTAACTCGGTCCTTCAGACTGGCAAGAGGAGCGGCCACCAGCGCCGGCATACATCCGCATCCTGTATCTAGGGAAGGTTCTACAAGATAATGATACCCTGTCCAGTGCGTGTCCGCTGCTATCCCCTATCCCCCTCTCATCTCCCACCGCATACGGACTTCGTTGAACACTCCTTCCCTCAGAACTCAAAATCCCCATCCATACCCTTACTGCGGATGTGCCACCCCCGCAGCCGACCATCGTCCACCTCTCCGTGCGAGCGTGCGCGCCGTCAGGTGACGACCAGGATCCGAAGAAGAAGAAGAAAGGGGATTCGGACGACGAGGACTCGAGTCGCGGCTGCTGCGCAAGTTGTATCATATGCTAGCGACGTGCCTCTTGTCCTTTGGTCTCCCTACCCCTCATACCATCTCCTTCGATGCTCCGGTCATTGTTGCTCGGTCCACTACTTACTATAGGTCTTTTAATCACTGTCCCTCATCCGCCTGTTGCTTATCACACTGACGTTTATTCTCCAATGATTCCCCCTTTACGACGTTCATGCCTTCACCATATTCCTTATGGGAAACTACATATCACTCACTCTGTACTATAACTAGGTTGGCTGCGGATTGCATTGCCATCCTACTCGACTGGCCACGGGAACCGAGCCCTTGCTTGCACACCCCGGATCGTTCAGACTGAGACTTGCACTTGGAGTTTAGTTCCGTGGGAAGTCACCAGCTGAGTTCCGTGGGAATCGTCCTGAATCGCCAAAAGTGATCGGAGGTTGGATTCCACAGGATATCCACGGAACGCCAGCGATCAGGGATTCGCTGAGAACACTGGCAATCCCTGGTATTCCTGAGTGGCACCCCGCGTCGTCTTCGAGCATCCGTAACAGCATTGAATACTTTCCCGGTATCTGCGCCCTAATCCTCGTCGACAGGCTCGAACCAGCCACACGGACTTCGCGGCCCGGGGTGGTCACATGCCAATGCCACGTGCGGCACACGTTTGAGGTCAACACTCACTTGCTTCCCTTCGACGCAGCCTGGTTTCTCTGCGACACCCCACGATACAGTGCTTGTCCTCTTTTCTGCCTGATATTCTCGCTTGGTTAGTTAGCGAAGCCAATCTCACTCCCACAGCCGCCTTCAGACTTCACTTCAGCCTGCTCTTCCGAGTCCATGCACTGCTCAATGCCAACGATACTCAAGCCTCCCGACGATGTGTTCAAATTCGTCTACTCTCTTGTATGGGGTGATGCTACGCAGCTCACGCAGCATTTTGCCAGTGCTCTCTTTGTCGGCGTGCCAGCAAAAGATACACTTCGCTCGTTACAGTTCCCGGCACAGCTTTTCAACGTCCAGACGGTCGTCGAGGTCGCTGTCGTATCATGTCGATGAGAAAATGCGCCTCTCATCCTAGGGCATGACTATTAGCTCTCTCCGGCGAAGCAGGGACTCAACGTTGAATGCGCACGGGGGTCTGGGCCTTCGAAAGCGTCCTGTATGCATTTGAAGTACAACGAGAAAATCAGAGGCCGAAGCTCAGGTATCGGTCGGACTCTGGGTCCAACGAGCATAGCAGAGGATGCATGACAACTGTAAGTATACAGCCCGGTGACAGGTATAATCCAAAGGGAGAATTGCGCTTGCCCGGAGCGCGGGGAAGAAAGCCTGCCGAGTCTGAGCATCCTCAACGGACGATATTGGTCTGACTCGGATCGAATTGGTGAGATGGAGTCAGTCGAGCTTCTCTACAAGCGCAGGATAGGTGCGCAGTCCGCGAAGCTGGCGCTTCCGTAGTGCTAGAACATGAGGCTGAAACCCTCATGGTCGTCAACGCAATTCAAAGGGCCGGAATGTCATTCTACTTGAGTATACAAGGCCAGCCTTTGCCGTAAAGAAGTCTGGACATATGTAACGACCCCGTGATAGCCAAGAGATCGTTATATAGCATCCTTAACGCGCTCTCCGTCGCGTCCTTGTTCTCCAGAAAGTCGAACTTCAAGCTGGTTGTCGAAAACAAGGGCGGTGGATCACAATGAATTGCCCAAATGGGGCTATGGCCAGTTACGTCAGTCGTTCGAGCTGGAGCCGGTCACTGTCAACTTGCATCTTGCCAGAGACCACCATCGTCCCTAAATCTCGACTGTCTATCCATCATGTCGGAGACCCCAACAGCTGGAGACGTGAGTGCATGCCCTTGGGCGGGTCGACGCGCGACTAACGCGTTGCCAGGCGGTTCCCGCTGCTCAGCGGAGCAGCTGGACGTCGTTCTTGAAATCGTACGTTGCGCAACTTTTGCAGATCGCAGCATGCACCATCCTCGCCGCAACGCGCCCCATACCCCTTCGCACCATCCTACAAGCTCATGAACGACATCGCTGACGGTCTTCATCGGCAGCATCGCGTCCTTCTCGGGCGATCTGTCGTCCATGACTGCTCCGCCCTTCATCCTCAGTCCTGTCTCCCTCACTGAGTTCCCTGGTGCGTCGCTATACACCTCAGGAGCTGCTTTTGCTTATCCCGCAACAGCCTACTGGTGTGAGCGCCCGGAGCTCTTCTCTGCCATTGCCGATGCCGCAACGGAGGAGGATCGTTCGCTTGCCGTCCTCGATTGGTTCATTGTCAGTCCCCTTCCCCTTCCCATCATATCTTCCAAGTGGGGGAAAGACGCGCCATGCGGACGGGGAAGGCGAGTCTCAAGACCCGAAGTGACGCGCAGCAATCGTGCACCGGCGGTCAGCAGGCGATGACGGCTGTGGGGCAATTTTAGGCTCCGAGCTGTCCTTTCCCCTACCTCTCGCATAGCCCCGCCCCCTTCTATGATGGGAGAATGGGCGGCGAGGACTGACGCTCAACGTAACATCGTGCTGACGACCGCCCAGAGCACGCTCAAGGGCCAATACACGTCTCGCAACGAATCCATGGGTTCGGAGAAGAAGTACGTCTTTTGCACAGCATGAACCCACCCTTCTGACGATATGACCTTCTCGCAGGCCCCTTAACCCCGTCCTCGGCGAGTAAGCGACCCGAACTCAGTCGTGAAGACAACTCACTCACCCCCCGCAGGCTCTTCTACGGTATCTGGCCAAACAAGAATGGGCGCGGGCAGACGGACTTGATCGTCGAGCAGGTGTCGCACCACTCGCCCGTGACGGCGTACTGCATCGAGAACCGGAGCAAGGGCTTGAAGCTGACGGGCCACAACGGTCAGAAGACGTCGTTCAGCGGCGGGTCGATCATTGTGAAGCAAATCGGGCACGCACTGCTGACGGTGAAGCGGCCGGATGGACAGGATGAGGAGTACCTCATCACCTTCCCGCGCCTGCGCATCGATGGGTTGTGGTGAGTGGGCGCGCATACGGCGGCGCAAGGTAGTGAGGCTGACTCGCACGCAGGTACGGTTCCCCGTACATCGAGCTCGTCGACACTTCGTACATCGTCGGGAGCACGGGCTACACGTCGACGATCGAGTACAAGGGCAAGGGCTATTTCACGGGCAAGTCGCACACGTTCAAGGCTACCGTCTCGTCGCCGAAGCTGCACACGCCGTACGTGATCGACGGTTTGTGGCACACGACGAGCACGGTAAGTTCGGGGCCTGGAAAGGGCAAGTACAAGAAGGGCCAGACGTTCCACGATGTGACGACGGCGAAGGAGGAGGTGACGGTGATCGGGGGCGAGTCGAGCGGGGAGATGGGCGAGTTCGAGAGCAGGAAGTTGTGGGGAGAGGTCGCGAAGGGGATCAAGACGGGCGATTTTGACAACGCGAGCAAGGAGAAGACGAAAATTGAGGTGGGTAATGGGGGATGGGTGAGTTGATGAGGGCTATGCTGACGCGCCGTGCAGAATGACCAGAGGCAGCGCCGACGCGACGAGGCCGCAGCTGGCACCAAGTGGCCGTTGAAGCACTTCAAGTGGATCGATAGCGACCCGAACTGTGAGTCCTGCGACCTCTTTGCCTGCCTTGCAGCCGCTTACCATGCTTCAGATGCCCGGTTAGGCCAGAGCATCAACATTGCTCCGCCCATTGAGGAGGCCTATGAGTTCTTGGAGAACTGGCCGGAGCCGTTCGGCAAGGAATGAGAGGCAGGGCCTGCGCGCAACCCCTGCACAGGCATCGCGTCTCGAGGCTCGAGTGTCCCAGGACCCCTTCCCGGCGGACGGTTTGAAGTTCATGTTGAGGATGCGCTTGAATACCATGAGCATTGAGACTGTTTTTATCTACACTTCTATAGCCCTAATTGACAGCTCGCTGAGTTTGTCCATGTTCTTATTGGAACCTTCTTACTGGTCCTTCCCACAGGGCGATGCATAGGCATGTATGCGGTGGACCGGTGGCGTGAGAAAGCGGCCCCTAGATGCGGCTTCTCAGCATCCGCGCACTTCACGGTCCTTCACCTCTCCTCTCACCTGCTAACTAGAGAAGCGTCGGCCCTGCCTCCCGACGACCTTGCTTGCATGTGACACGCACGCTGCGGTGGCCAAAGTTTCTTCTCAAGAAATATCTGCCGACATACATGGCTTAATCCTGTCTTATAAGAAAGGCTTCAGGACGCTCTGCCTTCTCTTTTCCATTTATTCGGGCCCGCTCGAACATACTCTATGCTTCGAGTCTAGTTACCTCAGCTTCGACTGAACTATCCGAGTGTGTGTTCTGAGCCACTGCTCATCTGCTTTCGTTGCTACTGTCGATGTGTGGGAAGTCTATACGGAGCTCCTCCGGGCCCTTAACTATCGGACATGAAGACGCGGATAGTCGTATGGGTTTCAACTGTTCTTTGTAAATACCGCTCAAGAAGGCAAACTTCGTACGTATGTACAAACAGGGGCGGACGCTTCGCGCCACCCTGACTTACCTATTACTACGTGTATATGACAGCGAGTGTCCTACATGGCGCCGCGTGCTTAGAAATTCAACCATTCTTCGTCTCTTACTCTCCTCTGCCTCTTCATCGCGACACCCGCTGGGCGAGGCTGAAGGGACGAGCGTGGTCCTGGGTTGAGTCGCCGTCTCGCACGTTATTGGTGAGACTAGGTGGCGCGGCAGCGTCAATGGGCCAAACGCATCCCTTCTCATCAGAGAACCACTTAGATCTGCGTCTCGCTCAAGTCCCGCTCCTAGAGGTGGCATAGCACCCACAGTCGCCCACAAATCACATGCGCACGGACTGGCCGACTGAGCACTATCCTGCCCTAGGCCTCCGGAGAAAGGCATGATGCTGATATGTGCTAGTTAGAGCGTTAGCGAGTGAGAGAGAGGGTATCAGAGGGCGGGCAAACAAAAAATATATCTGCAGGAGCCTCGAGGCGATGGAGGCAGAGCGCAGAGGCCGACGCGCTCGCCACCCGTGTGACCGTCTACGCGATTCCTTTGGACGCGGCGACGTCGCTTGGCTATTGCCAGGCCACAGCGCCTGCTTCGCTTGACTCGTTGATTAGCTGTTTACTGCACAGATCCATGATAGAGATCACCACCTTGTTCGGAGACGATGCTTAAAGAGGACAGAACAAGAACAACCGTCATATGTTTGTACTTATTTGTGAAATAGGTTCCGCCCAAAGGCACCTGAGTAAGACCTTGCAAGCAAGGTAACAACCCGACGCTTACATGAAGCGAGGGCTACATATCTTCCACCGAAAGGCGGGTCGAGATGAGAACGCGAAGTCGGACCCCAGGCGACGAACGCTATCCCTCACAGGACCCACAGCCCCAGACGGCAAGCTCAAGAACGACCGCCAGTCTCGCTCTTCGGGTCTCCTTCGACGATCACTTCTGCGAGCGTCGAACTCGTCTAGTTGCTCTCGTGATGGACTCGGCGACTCTAGGGATGGAGGGAAGGATGCCAGGATACCCCCACGACGACGAACGCTGCTAGGCAAGCAGCGCGGACCTGGGATGGCGACGAGCCTGTCGATGCCTGACGCGATAGCCTCTTCGTCGGATGCTGGAAGATCACCGCTGGACCTCTCCTCGAATGCTGCGCGCGACGCCTTACTGTCAATCGGTGAAATGGGAGAGATCGCCGACGCGCCCGCAGGCGAGATGATGCACCTTTCAACCCACCCAAGGGAGCCCACGCCTACCAACGCCATATCCACCTCCGCCTCTTCTAAGATCGTCCCTTCGATTATTCACCCGCAGAAGCAGCTCGACGACCTGCAAGCCGCCATACGCGACCTACGCTCCGACAATGAAGCCCTCCGCGCAGAGATCGCTCAGCTGAAGCTCGATCAGATCAGCTCCGTCTCCGCTTTATGCTCCGAGATCGCTCGATTGCAAGCTACGATGCTCTCTCTCAAGACTTCTCTCGCGCCCTCTGGACTGCCGCGTACGCCGTCTGGACTCCCCAATACCTTGTCTGCTCTGCGTTGTGGGCCATCCGCTCTGCCCTTCACGACGTCCACGCTTGCCGCGACATCGTCTGCTCTTCCTGCAGCATCGTCCGCGCTCGCTACATCATCAAATGCCCTTGCTCCGACGATGCCTGGTCCTCCATTCGGGTCTTCCGCATCTTCCTTTCCCGCCACAGTCGCGCTATCCTCATCGTTACGCCAACCACCAAGTCAGCCTTCTAGCAAGCTCCTCCGCGCGCGGGCGACTCTCCTCGCCGCCGAGCGTGCAGAAGCGCTGCTTGCGGGTCTTTCGGAGGAGGCTAGGCAGGCTGTACGGACAGAGTCTAGGCGGGGAGTACGATCGAGCGCTCACGCGAACTCCCGGTTATCTGCGCTGTTCTCTGCCTCCGGGTCGACTTCGAAGTTGCCTAAGGTGCGTGACGCGTACGCATGGTCTTCTAGTGGCCTGATTCTTCTCACGTAGCAGATCGAGCATGAACGACCGCTCTCGCTCAGTCGTAATGAAGCTGTAGACGCGCTTGCAGCTTCCCATGCCATCATGGAGCTTCAGCAGCTCTGTGACCTGCACGGCAACTCGAACCATGGTTCCTTCGACTCATTGCTGTCGGAGGATTCGCGCGGGTCGGGATCTGCTGACTGGCACATCATTGATTCTAACGCCTTGCGCGCCTTGGATTCTGACGGCTTACGTGCTTCGACCCCAATCTCAGCCGACACCGTCTCGGTCTACAGCGCAAGAGGCAGCAGCCCGGAGAAGCTCAGCGTGTCGCCCCTTGCCACCCTTACGGCGACGCCATCCTCGCGGTCTGACGTGTCTTTGCGGACAAATGACCCCTCGACGGTGGAGCCACCGGATGCGCCGTCGGGTGTGCACCCGCTTTCGCTCATTAAGATTCCTTTGCCTTCTGATATCCTTGCATCTGCTGAAGGATTGTCTCCCGCCAATCACTCTGAAACCACCATTGATATGGCCGCAAAGCCACCCTCGCCTATGGTGGTGCCGCCTCACCAGCGTCTGGTGTCGTCGAACTCGAAATCCCGAATACCCATCCCGCTTGGATGGCGGCGCTTGAACTCGTCTTCACCTCCCTCGCCGCCGCTTTCGTTGACGACATTCGCGCCAGGATCGAAATCGTCTAGTCCCGATGGCAGTGCTGAGCGCGATCATACGGAGAGGATGATGGCATCGGGTAGTGCAGGTATTGCACCAGGCAAGGGTTCACGGATGTCGGAGGATCAGCGCGGCTCGCCGATGTATGGTTCAGTCGCGCTGAGCGGCGTTCCTCAACCTTTCTAACTTACGTTTCGAGAAGTACGATGCGACCTCTGCACTTCTGCTCTGAAGGGTCTTGTCAGATCTTTCACCGTATGGCTAAGCTTCGAGAAGCAGCCGATGATCTGAAGCGCTGGTCCAAGCTGTCTGTTTGCTCGTTTGTTCCTGCACCAAACAATGATGCAGTGATCGATCAATCTTTTTCGGCGCCTTTCCCTTCCAGATCTCATTCCCTCCCCTTCACTCCCCCCTCCATGTCCCGCCTGATAGTGAAGAATCTCCCATCCTATGTTACGCCCGACCGCCTACGCAAGCACTTCGAGCAGAAGGGGGCGCCCCATGGCGTGCTCACCGACGTCAAAGTCGCGATGAAGCAGGACGGCACGTCTCGTCGATTCGGCTTCGTGGGCTACAAGACTGAGCAGGAAGCTCAGGCGGCGAAGGAGTACTTCCATAAGACTTTCATTGACGCGACGCGTATATTTGTGGATGCGGTCGAGGTGCGTTCTGACTTCAGGTGATCGGCGTTCGCTGGGCTGATGGTCGGGCAGGGCATACAAGAGCGCCCGCGGAAGCGGAGGAAGCTTGATGGTGAGGAGCAAGTGGCCCAGGAGCCGCCGAAGAAGGACGTGAAGAAGGGCAAGGATGCGAAGGAGTCGAAGAAGAGCAAGCAACTTGACGAATACCTCGAACTCACGCGTCCGCGCGCTGCAAAGGGTCCCGCATGGGCTGACGGCCAAGAGGCGCCTCAGCCAGCAGCACCTGTCGCGCCCGGTACACCTGCAGAGGAGGAAGAGGCGATGGAAGAGGATCCGAAGGACGAGGGCGCGTCCGATCTCGACTGGCTGAAGAAGCATATGTCGAAGGACGTCGACACTGCCGGTCGAGCATTCGAGCAGTCCGATGATGAAGAGGATGCACAGCAGAAGGTGCGCGCTTTTTGGCCTCTCCTTTCGCATATCGCTTAGTCTTCCCTCCAGTCCAACGAACCAAACGACTACGCCGAACCTCCCGAAGACCCCACCATCGCCTCCATCAAGCAGACGTCGCGCCTCTTCGTCCGCAACCTCGCCTTCTCATGCACGACCGACGACCTCACGGAGCTCTTCTCGCCTTTGGGCGCACTATCTCAGGTGAGCTTCATTCCTCCCCATCCCCGGATGAAAAAATATAGGGACATCAGAACCTACGGGTATGCTGATCCTTAGGGAAATCAATAGTAGAAATTTGTGACTGATCTTACCCTCCCTGACCTGTTATCTCTTGAACGTCGTTTGCTGACCTGCTTCGCCAGGTGATTATCCATGTTCTCTCTCCCTTCTCAGGATGTCAAAAGCATAGGGACAACAGACTTTCGAGAATGTTGACCTTCGGGAAATATCAATAGTAGAAATTTTTATCTGACCTTCACTTCACGCGTTTGGTGTCGAACTCCATTGCTAATCTGTTTCTTAGGTCCATATACCCGTTGACGCGATGACGAAGCAAAGCAAGGGGATGGCGTACGTTACGTTCGTCAACCCCGAGGATGCTGTGAAGGCGTACCAGATGTTGGACAAGAAGTCTTTCCAAGGACGGATACTGCACCTATTGCCCGCCGTCGACCGAAGACCGAAGGCGGAGGATGTCACGGACAAGAAGAGGACCGTGAAGGACGAGAAGCAGGCGCAGCGGAAGGCGCTTGCTGGGAAGGAGTTTAACTGGAGTATGCTGTATATGAACGTGCGTCTAATGTGCGACAGCATATTTGTACATTTTGTGACCTCCACCTCCAGAGCGATGCAGTCGCATCTTCCATCGCCGACCGCATGAACATCGCCAAGGCGTCCATTCTCAACCCTGAGGAGTCCGACAACGCCGCTGTCCGGCTCGCCCTCGCCGAGACGCATATCATCCAGGAGACGAAGTCCTATCTGGAATCGCAGGGCGTCAATCTCACATCTTTCTCCACCAAACAGCGCTCCGATACCGCCATCCTCGTGAAGAACATACCCTACGGCACCTCCGAGGCGCAGATTCACGAGCTCTTCGAGCCGAGCGGGGCGCTCTCGCGCGTCATCGTGCCACCCGCTGGCACCATCGCCATCGTCGACTTCGAGAACCCGGCCGATGCGCAGAAGGCGTTCCGCGCAGTCGCGTATCGGCGCCTGGGCAACTCCGTCGTCTACCTGGAGAAGGGCCCAGCTGGCATCTTCGACGGCGCACCCGCCCCTGCGCCCACCTCCGCCGCGCAGGACTCCGAGGACGGCGAGGACGAGCCCGCGCTCGCGGCGGGCACGACTTTGTTCGTGAAGAACCTCTCGTTCGCGACGAGCGCCGAGCGCCTGACGCAGATCTTTGGCGGGCTGCCCGGCTTCGCGTACGCGCGCGTGCAGACGAAGCCGGACCCGAAGCGCGCGGGCGGCCGCCTCAGCATGGGCTACGGCTTCGTCGGCTTCAAGACCGCGGACGCTGCCAAAAGCGCGCTCAAGGGCATGGCCGGCTTCGTCCTCGACGGGCACACGCTGCAGGTCAAGTTCGCGGGCCGCGGCGCGGAGGAGGACGACGTGACGCGGAAGGGCGCGAAGAGCGCGAAGAGCACGACGACGAAGATGATCGTGAAGAACGTGCCGTTCGAGGCGACGAAGAAGGACATCCGCGAGCTCTTTGGCGCGCACGGGCAGCTCAAGTCCGTGCGGCTGCCACGCAAGTTCGACGCGAGAGCGCGCGGGTTCGCCTTCCTCGACTTTGTCACGCGGCAGGAGGCGGAGAACGCGATGGCGGCGCTGAGGCATACGCATTTGCTGGGGCGGCATCTGGTGCTGGAGTGGGCGGAGGAGGGCGAGCAGGATATAGAGGCGCTCAGGAAGAAGGCGGGTGTGGGCTTTGGGGATGGAAAGGACCTGCCGAACAGGAAGCGCAAGCTGGATATGGCGAAGACCACGGAGGGGGAGGTAGAGGAAGAGGAATAATTGCTTGTATCGCGTACTCAACACGAAGGATGATAATACTGCCTGAGGTGGCCTGGAAAGCACAGAGATGGAAAGCGCGGAAACCTACTACTACTAGACGAGGTGGTCGCGTGAGCCTTGCGCAAACCGTGACCGTCACGCACCTGACTTCTCAATAGCAGCGCGTTAGATGCGAGGCACAATACAGTCTTGCGTCAAAATATTCATCACAGCACCAGCGTACGATTCAACAATACTATCGTCTACAACAGCAGGAATTCCGATCGTCTAGTTGCCAGCTTGCTCGTGCAGCTGCTTAGACAAGTCATCCAGCGATATGCTATCGGCATCCGACACGTATGCCGCCTGCCGGTACTTGTCAACTTGGAACCAAAGTCAGTAATCGTCAGCGGTCCAGGCTACTGACGAACCTTTTTCCTTGAGGGCGTTCCACTTCTCCAATACCTTCGCTTCGACGATATCCGCAACGAGAGCAGTGGCTTGACGGATATCGGTGTCCACCATATCCTTCAAGTTCTTGAGGTCGTTGGCAATGGCCTGCCAGATCCCCACCATCTTCTCAACGGTCTGGATAGCGGGCTCGACGAGGCTTAGAATATTGTCCACATGTTTCTGCACGAAGCAACGAAGTAAGCTGCAGGCTCAATCACTAGTAAAATCATGCAGGACGTACGTCAATGGCGCGAAGATCACCGACCACCCGGGTCTCGTCCTCGAACTTTTGCTCGTAATCGGAAATGAGCTTCCTGACTTCGTCGATACGAGCGGCCATCTTCACAGCCTTGTCGCCATAGACTCCCGCAACGGCGGCGGCAGAGATCATTCCGATGAGTCCAAGCCAGGCATACGCGGGTGTAGTGCATGCGACTGTCTTATCTATGGTGACGGTAAAACAAGGACTCTGCGCTTGATGGTAGAATGACCCTACCGTACTCGTACTCAGCCATATCGTTGTTGAGCTCAATGCGGTAGTTCTGCAACTTGGTCTCGAGATCGTCGAGGGAACCGACCTCGGCTTTGAGCTTGTTGTGTACAGCGGTGCTGCGCTCCTGCAAGATAGACTGGTCCTTCCTCGTGTTATCGTGGAACGTACGGAGATCTGCAACCACAGCCTGGGATTTCGTGCAGATCTTGTCGATATTCTTGACTTGCATATCGACGAGCTCGTTGATCGTCTTTATGAGCCTTGCCTTTTCTTCCTCGGACGTCACGTGGTCGAGCTTCCTGATACATTGGAAGATGTACGCTGGGCGACGCTGTCAGGCGCACGAAAGAGGTCACGGAGAGATAAGAACCAAAGCTTACCGTAGTAGGAGTCCTGGCTAGAGCCGCCTGCGTTCTGCGCATAATTGTATACGTCGCTAGCGATGTTGATGATGCCGGGGTATGTCGTATCTTTGAACACCTTGCAGTGCTCCTTCGTCTGCGTGTATCAAGAGAAGTAAGGTATCGGCCACAGAACAAGTAAGGACGATGGCTTACCACGGCGTACGCTTGGACGAGCGGCTTGATGACATCAGAGAGCTTGGTGAAGACGTCGTTCGAAATTTGAAGCCGCGACCGATATTCACTTTCCGTAGAGGGGAGCAATACGCCACCCCAGACATACTTGAGTAGCTGGACGACGTCGGCTTGTTGGAGCATGTAGTTGTCGTCCGAGTTAAGGAGGCCCTTAGGCTCGAAGGCGTCGGAGCTTACAACCATGATGGAGCTGAGTGCACAGCGGAGTAGACGACGAAAATTCGTGGCGGTCTGTTGAGCGATAAAGTTCCTGCAAGGTATATATACTCGAGGGAATATCTTCCTGTAGGCATATTCACAATGGGAGGCGCCCTTGAGTGGTCTTGTGGATGAGCCGCTGGCGCCGTCGAAGCGCATATCAACGAACCTGAATGGAAGCACCACTTAAGGGCCGGTACCCTATTCCGTGTTGTTCTGGGACATAATGCTGTCCACTTGAAGCACTAACAATGTCTAACATTGATGCAGTCTCCTCCTGACGCCTGTCGAGACCGCCGGTTGCGGTCGCCGGTCAGAGATGTAGAGCAGGTCCTGTGTTCAGGCATGTCGGTGATCCGGCGCTTCCAAGAGCGATGCCTCTCTTCGCGTCCATACTCGACGTCCAGAACGTAAACGTCTGTCGATAGCTATGTGAGCACAGTGTCAGTTCCTCATGTAAGAGCTTTGTACGTGTGAAAGCGACAGTCAACATCGAAATGCTCACCATGAATGATCATCCACTTCCCGTTCCAAAAGCGCCCAGTATTCCGCACCGGGTTCAAGCTTGACTCCTCGCGCATGAGACTCGTTCTATCAGGCCCAGAAATCAACGTCCAGACTCTGGATGTGGTCGTACTCTGCATTGATACCTTTCCGCAACAATGACCGTCAAGAACAGGTACGTAGGTTAGTCAGGCACGCCACACGACATGATTAGTTTGAACCAACTTCCTGCCGCCGTTCATGCATCATGACATGAAGGTGTCATGGCCGGCTTGCATCACCACCGGACACAGTATCCATGAGAAGGTCTTCGCACCTATCGCAAGGGCGCCTCAATCGAGACCAAGCCACCGACGAACCGTCGGAAGGATTGATGGCCAAACAACGATAATTCTACCTTCGGCTGGCCTTGGAATACATCGCGCTTTATAAAAGGGTCTAGAGGTAGGCTACGTGCTGCAGTATTGTCGCCAAGCTCCACGACCGGCCTCGCTTGAACTCACACGATGTCTGACTTCATTCCCTCGTCGCCGCAAGGATGGTCCGCATGGGCCAGATCAGCGGTCGTGACAAAAATTCCAGCCACCAAGAGCTTCGAGCAGACTTCAGTCAACGTACGCACTTCATACTCTTCTCAGTCACTATCACTTACACTCCCTTGGCACAGACATTCGTACACGATGTCTTCGTCGACTTGGCTCCCGTGAACCTAACCCGATCTGATTTCACGAGTGTATACACCGATATACTCGCTCTCTCTTCGAAGGCAATCATGCAGTTACTTTTGCCCAAACTCGCATTAGTACGCCTCTACGCAAGGGTGATCACATCGGACCAGCCGACCATTCTCGAGCTATGTCCCTCTTCGCGCGACTCCGCGGCGCAGGTCGTCCTCTGGGCTACTTACCTTGACCGACCGCTATCTGTGGCGCTTAAAGGGCAGCAGCCGCAGTTGCTCAACCTAGGCCCCAACTCCGACCACGTTGGCGTGTCCATCGTCGTAAAGAACGGGGTCATCTCCCTCACCTACCTCCCGAAGTATGTGACGCCGGACCTGGATGCGAATGGGCACCTCGCCAAGTTACTCGCCACTCAGCTGCGCATCGCCTCTACACTGTTCTGGACCCAGCCCGCCGTCGCTTCCGCGATTGCGTGGCACGTCGTGCGCGCTACCGCGCAGTCCCATGACTCTGCCGCCCTCAATATTCAGGCCTCCGCGCTGCAACAACAGATTGGCGCATCTCAGCTAGCGGGCCCGGGCCTCACTTACGCCCCCGTCCTGAAGCTGGAGTACTACAAGAACACAATCGCTCCCGTTCTCGACGCTGGTGCCGCTTTTCAGCAGCAGTACGACCGCTTCACCGACAAGGCGGCGACCCTCGACGATCAGCTTCAGGCATGGGATATCATGATCAAGCAGGCGGAGGGCGCGCTCGTGATGCTGCAACAGCTGGCTGATGACGCGAAGGCGAAGTGGGACGCTTCGCGGCAGATCCTACGCGCGGCGCAGAACGATATGCGAAGCCATCAGCTCACCCTCGAGGATAGGGCGGCCGAATTCCGGGCAGGAATCGAGGTGTGGAAGGTGCATCAGATTGTCGAAGCCGTTGTCCACATCCTCAAGGCCGTCGTTAGTGAGTTTTTCGTATCGCTGGACGGACGTAGCTAACAGAGTATCGCAGCGTTCGCCATTGCTATCGGTGCGATGTGTGTTGGCGACCCGGGGCCAGCCGCCGGCGCCCCCACGGAGGCTGCTGAGGCTGTCAAAGAGGTCGCCGCGGCAGCTGAGGCCGCGAGCGAGGTCACAAAGATCATCTCGAAGAAGACGCTCGAGTCTCTCGAGAAACTCATCGAGATGCTCTCCTCCCTCCTCGAGACCACGATATTGAACGTGAACTCGATCATCTCAGCCACCAGTGGAGGCGGGACACTCTCGCCCTTCCCCGCTTCCGAGAAGGGGAACGAGGACCTCGAGGAGCTTGCCGGCGTCGCCGCGTGGGACAAGTGGACCCTCGACATCGAGGATCAGATGCAGTTCGCGGTCTCGGAGGACATCGGGGGCGCATCGGCGTACCTCCTCGAGCTCAAGAAGCACGCTATCGACGGAAAGCTGGTGACGCAGGCTAGTGCGCAGACGATCAAGGCTGGGCAGGAGTTCGTACAGGTCCAGCTCTCCTTGAAGCTTGCGCAGGCGGACCTAGCGCGCTTGCAGGAGTTGCGCAAAAGCTTCCAGGGAGAGAAGGACCAATTTGAGTCCGCTCGGCTGTACTTCTACGATCGCCTGGACAGCATGCGTACCAGCGTCCTCATCGAGCTGCGCAACCTGGTATGGGCGTTCAAGTTCTACACGCTGACCGACAGCAAGGTGGTTCTTGACCCACTGAAGGCGATGGAGGATTACAAGGGAGATCTGGCTCTTCTGATTCAAGAAGTCGAGAAGTGGGAGGAAGGCTTCGCAAGCGACAAGTCTCGTCAGTCCATTCTGCCACTGCCTCTATAGACACTAACTTCATTGTAGCCATCCACTTCATTAGGGAGGTCAACGACGTATGTGTGCAATGATCTCTGGAAGGTCGTCCGGCTGACATTTTTATAGCCATGCTTCAATGGCATAGGAAGTGGCATCATTGCCTCCCTGAAGGAAGAGTACAAGGCTACGTTCGCCCTCGCACCCAGTCCCTCTACCGTTCCATCGGCCACCTATAACGCAGGACCGTTCACCGACGGGAGCTGCTTCCGCGTCTTCGGCCTCCGCGCCTTCCTCGTGGGCGTCGTCCCCAAGCCAGAGGCACTCTCGCAGGACGGTACGGCTCTCGTCTGGATGACGATCCGCACTTCGGGCGCCTATCAAGACATCCGCGGCGATGATATGGTGCTGGGATTCACGAGCATGCCCCAGGAGCGGCAGTTCAAGTATCGGGTCGATGAAAATGGCCAGGCGATTCCGGAGCCCGACGGCATCGAGGTGGATAGCATCATCCCGATGGGCAACCATATGGATCCGCCACCATTCACGCAATGGTCTATTACACTCAACCAGCCAGATCTCCTGGAATTGGAGGGGCTGACAGGTCTCAAGCTGGAGTGGATGGGAGAGGCGTACCTGTAGAACATATATGTGAGTTCGTTCTCAAATGGGAATCACACACGCTGACAGCTTCTCAGACGACAGATAAATATCCTCTTTACCGAACTCCATGCCGAGAACGAGTGTATAATGCAATCTGGGCGATTCTCCAAAGGTCAGCGTAGTGCAGGAGAAACGCGTGCTGCTACATATGTCGGTAGAAAGGGCGCCTAAAGTGACTTCGAATTCTTCCCCTGGCTTGTCGCCACAATTTGCTTCGAGCCTGACACGTCCACAGCTCGTAGAAGCTGAACAACGCGATAATTGCATTTGTATATACCAAAGGAAACAAAGACGGACTGAGAACCATGTGCATACCGAGTGCCAAACGAGTGCAAGATTCCTGAGTATGAGAGGCCGTGAGAACAGAAATGTACCTACGATGTATGGGATGGATGGTCGTATCTAAATATGTAGTAAGTAAAAAAGGATGGGCGGGATAGCGTACGATGGGTGCGGTGACCAACGGAAGGGCGACACAACAAAGCTCCGACTCAAATGATGAGGCTATCGGACTCGGAGGAGCGGGGACACCAAACGGTGGCCGGCATTAGCAGGAGCAAAGCAAAGGAGAAAGGTATCTGTATATGTGATGACTAGGTGCCAATGATTATGAGTATTACCCGGAGAGAATGCCACTGCGAACCACGCGAAACCACGGCGGGGGTATACGCGGTGCGTCCTCTGCCCTTCCTTCCCTTCCTCAGCCCCCAGATCATCTCCTGCGACCAACTCATGGTTGCTGCAGCATCAAACGCCTGCAATCACCATCAGTAACGCAGACATACATAAGAGGGAAGGCACATACTCTCTGACGGTCTCGTACAGGAACTTGTAGCTCTTCAAGCCACCCTTCAAGCGGCGAATCTCGATCAGGAACTGGCCCTCCAAGTTCTTGAACGCCGTGATCTCCAGCGCGAAGCGGACCTCGTCAAGCGCGTCGTGCGTCGGCGGGCCGTACAGCGGCTCGACTGCGCCCTGCATGGGCACAGACTCGGCATCGATGGAGAGGTCGACAGCATCATCGTCGAAAGCCGCCGTCTGCGAGTTCTGGCGCCGCATGAGCATGCCGAGGCCACGCAGGCCGCCCGAGAACGAGCGGTCGGCGCTCGCGCCAGGAAGAGGCAGCCCGCGTCTCTCGGGACCTGGGACAGGGAGACCGCGCCGGTCGACACCGTTGGAGCCCGCCGCGCCCATCATGGCGACAGCAGCGAGTGTGCTGCCGCTCGTGCTTGCGCCGTCCATGCTGTGGTTGTACATCTCGCCGCCGACCTTCTTGGGGCGGATGCAGCGCAGCTTGCACTCGTGCTCCACCTGGATTTCGAGACCCATGCCGGCGAGGACCTCCTTGGCGCGCGCGATGACGACGGCGGGGTTCTATATCGGTGTTAGCTTTGTACCTTGAGAAGCGGACGATGGGAGACTCACCTCCGTCGTCAACATGCGCGTATCGAGGGCGCCTGCGTGCGGTCGGAGCGCACGAAGAGCATAGGAGGCTGAAGAGCGCGTGCGCGGCGTCCGCTCCTTGCTCGCCATCCGGTCCTTTTTCTTGCCGCCGACGGTGAGGGACTCGCGGAAGCCCTCCTTCCTCCCGGTGCGCTCCTTGTCCTTGCTGCTGGGTGTCCTCCCGAAGGATTGACGCACACCCGCGATGCGTGCCATGAACGACGAGTCTGTCGCTGAGGATGGCGTCCTTTGTGGTGCGCCCGGAGCCCCATGTGACGTCGAGCTTGCCGTCGACGACATGGGAGGTGGCGCGGAGGCCACGGAGGGTGTGGAAGCAGCCACACGAGGTGTCGTTGGCTCGCGCTCGCGCTCGTCGTCCTCGCCAACAGGCGGATGCACAAGCACGGACGGGCCACCCCAAGCGCCAGAGTCGTCCGAAACATCGCCCGTGTGGTGCGAGCGATACTGCGAGTCGTCGTGTCCCTGGGGGAACTGGCTGCTCTCGCGCGCCTTGCTCTTGGTGCGGAACCAGTCCATGACGCGGCGAGCCTTGCTTGTCGACGCACCATCGAATTGGCCGTTGACCTCGCCGATCTCGGTAGAGCTTCCTGGAGGGCTGCGAGCGGGGACATTGGGAGGAGGCATGTCCATCGCATGCCGCTCACGTTCGCGTTCGCGCTCGTGAGTAGAGGCCTCCACAGCTGAGGAGGGCTCGCGTTTGCCCCTGTTGGTAGCACGACCGACCATGACGGTGAGCGTGCTGCGACGCTCCTTCTTGGCTTCCTTCCCGGCCGGCGGCGCGAGGTTCTCCTGCTGGGAAGCCTCGGGCTCGCGGTCGCCGTTCTGGGCGAACAAACGAGTGACGCTGAGGCCGCGCTTGTGACCCTGTTTCTCGTAAGCACAGCGAACAGAGGTAGCCGCGAACACTCACCGTCTGAGAAGCAGACCTTGCCGGAGTGGCGAAAGCAGGACGCTCGTCGGACCCCTGTATTGAATGAGGATACCGCATGCCATCAAAAAACACAACACTGACCTTCGTCTGCGACTCCCTCCTGCGAATCTCGTTCGCCTGCGCCGCGATCCTCCGCGCATTCTGAATGATATCCTCCGCATTCTGCACACCACCACTGTGCGACCGGCCCATCGGCGACGCGCGCACATCGCCATGTCCATCCGACGAATCCGCATCCCCGCGCGGCGGCGTCGCAAACTTCACCGGCGTCATCGGCACCTGGATGTCGTGCCACGCCGACGGCGGGCCTGCAGACGGCGCCGGGGAAGGCGAAGGCGGGAGTTCCTTGTGCTCCCCGCGAAGCGTCGCGACCGGGCTCGCCGACGGCCCACGCGCCTTTTGCTTGCCCTCGATCTTCTCCTCGCGGTCCATGCTCGCCTCTGCACGCTCCATCTCCCGCTGCGCGGCGCGGTCGCGGTCTGCGGCGCGTTTGCTGTCCTGGCGCGCAAGGTCACGGTCGGCACGCTCGCGTTCCCTATCCACACGCTCGCGATCCGCACGCCGCTCGCTGCGGTCGCCGTCGTACTCGACCTGGACGGTGTGGCGGAAGCCGCTTTTCTTCTCGGCGGCCTTCTTCTCTGCCGCCTCCTTGCGCTCGATGGCCCGCTTCTCCGCCTCAGCGGCGGCGCGTCGCTCGGCCTCACGCTCAGCAGCACGGCGTTCAGCATCTCTGTCCGCAGCGGCTTGCTTCTCCGCCTCCCTATCTGCGCGCCTCTTGGAAGCTGTGCGACTGACAGACGCCTCTGCGGCTTCCGCGTCGTACGCGGGATCGCGGACGTAGCCACCAGGAATGTCGCGAGGATCCACAGCGTCTGCACAAACGATAAGTTCAAACTTCCATGCAGGCATCGAGGACAACATACCAGTCGTCTTGAACGCATTGAAGACCGCCCCACTAGGCGGCGCGAAGGGATCGTCGTCTGCGATGGGCTGCGAATCTCTAAGCCCCAGCTCAAATCGATACATGACTCTTCACTCACCGGCGCACTGTCGGACCGGCCACTCGTCTCGTACAGGAACTCGGGCTCGCGGTGCTTGGGCTGAGGTCAACAATCAGCATGCATCAAACTTAGTCATGCCAACCCACCTTCTCCGTCTGGCTGCGCTGTACGCTGCTGGGTGTCCGCGACTCCCTGCTCTCCTTCTCTCTCGGTTCGCGGGTCGACTTGGACGACGAGCCGGGCATGGTGGAGGCAGGGCGAGCTGTAGAGCATGTCAGTGATACAGCTGAACAGAGGTGCAAAGCTGGTCTTACTCGATCCACGACTGGACGTTTCGGCGCCGTTCGCCCTCGCCCTCTGCTCCGCGAGCGCGCGCATCTGGCGCTGGTACGCCAGCCGCTTGGCCTGGTGCTGCGACATTGCCTCCTTCTCCAGGTCTTCGACCGTCCGCCCAAATGCGGTGCCGGCAGGCTTCGCGCTGTCTGGTAAGGGTGGTGCGTTCTTGTCTAAAAAAGACGTCAATTGGTGGACTCAGCACATATATTGCAGTTCCCTTACCTCGCTTCCCACCAGACCCCTCTTCCCAGAACGCGTCCAGCCAAGGATGGCGCATCACCTTCTCTAGCGAGGCGCGCCTACGCGGGTCGGGCTGCAACATCAGGCTGAGGATGCCGCGCGCGGCATCGCTCACGTAGTCGGGGTATGCTAGGGGAGTGGAAACTATGTACTTGTACAGGAGGTTGATGTTGTCGCCTTGGGAAGCGTGAGTAAGTGTGAACAAGAAAAACTCATAAGAGTCCCGTACCATCAGGATTCGCAGGATCATCGTCGAAAGGCAGGTACCCAGCGAGCATCGCATATAGGATAACGCCACAACTCCAGACGTCGACGGCGCTGCCGACGTATAGGCCCTGGGTGATGATTAGATACTGGGACAGGAGAACATTGAGGCAAATCTGCATACCTCGCTAACGACAAGCTCTGGCGCCGCATAACATGGGCTACCACAACTGGTTTGCATCAGGTCGGGTGCTACGGAAAAGGCATCGGCGTCGCCATAAGCCTGTGCAGGGTTCTCTTCTCCGCGTCGGGGTGCGCTCTGCGGGGTGAGCGTGGAGAGGTGGGTCATGCGGACAGATATTCAGGGCGAGGCGGGGTACAGCGGTATGGGCGCAGGTCGTCGTATCATGTTATAGGAGGAAGGAACAGAGGGGATACGAGTGAGGAAAGGGAGGAAAAAGAAGGGAAGTGAGGAATCAGCATGGGCGATGGCACTCCTGAAGATTGCGACGCACCCCGAAGCGGTTGGCAAAGCCGAAGTCGGTGATGATCACGTTGCGGCCCTTGTCGAGGAGCAGATTCTCGAGTTTAAGATCTCGGTGGACAATCCGTTTCTGCAAAGGGCGGATGTTAGTTGGTCGCTGGCGCGATTCTAGCGCGGCCACGCACCTGGTGGATGTACCATACACCACTTAGTAATTGTGCGAACAGCTTCGCCGCATCGCGTTCGCGAAGGTATCTGACAGGCGCATGAGCCGACTATGCGCCCCATAGCAACACCCGCACGCACCTGCTAGCCAGAATATGGTCGAACAACTCGCCCCCGCTCGCGTACTCCAGGATGATACCTGTCGGCGCAAGTGAGCCTACGCTGGCCCTGTTTTGAGGCCATCCGTCCACGCACCGATATACTTGTCCGTCTCGATTACGTCGTAAAGGCGCACGATGTGCGGGTGCTTGAGCGTGCGGAGGACCTCGATCTCGCGCTCGACCTTGCTCATGCGCGCGTCCGAGTCGATGCTCCCCCGGCGGATGAGCTTCACCGCGACCTCCTCCCCCCACTGCGCGTGCAGCCCGAGCTTCACCTTCCCGAACTCGCCCTCGCCGAGCGTCTGCAGCAGCAGGTACGGCCCGAACCTGTTCGCACAGCACATCAGCGTCCGCCTCACCCAGCTCGCATCCACGGCGCCTACTTGGGTATCGTCCGCCTCGGGTGCGCGGCCGCGTACGCGACCGCCGCCGGGTGCGCGTACACGTCCGCAAAATGGTGCGCGCTGCTGCAACGGGGAATCAGCGCGGTGCGGCGGCGGGAAAGCACCTGGGCACGCACGATTCCGGGTCGTCTCTATTGGGCGCGCTGCGTGAGGACACTACTTGCTGGGACGCCGGGCGCCTCCGCCCGGGCGTCGAGTCTGCCGGCGACTGCAGCGACGTCGCTCGCGACATGCTCGTCGTCGTTGTTGACCAGGGACCACCACGTGCCGCGTCCTGACTGATTTGACCGCGTGAGAATATGCTTCCGCTTGCGTGCTCCGCCACAATCTTTATGCATGGTCCCGACCTCCATCCACACCGACTGGAATTCCAGCGTTCTGATAGCGCGCCCTTGGTCGCCAAGATATCGCGCACAAGTCTCAGGTTCCCCGAACTTTTTACTACAAGAGGTGAATATTTACCCACGCCACGACAAGGAAACAGCTTTGACATGTAAAGGTACATACAACAGTCAGTCTTCGCAACATAGACGATAAATACACAGGGTCAGATACATAGCGAATTGTTAGTACAGGTTCATATAGCAGCGTCAAGATTCTCTTTCAAAGCAATCACCTTCGAGATTATGCTCTTCTTCAATGTCCGAGCGAGCGGGCGATGGCGGGTACGTCCCCTGTTCCATCCCATCTTGCCCGCCCCATGGCCTCCTCTTCCCCAGGATATATGCCCGATAATCGATGGTCACCTCCTCACGTCCCCTTACGCAAACGCCCAGGGACCTCGAGCTCAAGGTCTTGACCCGCTCACGAGAACGACCCGTGTATCAGCGCGTCCCAAGCGCTCTTTCCCTGCAACGTGTCGAGGAACTTGGCTCGAGGCGTCCCAGCACCAGACGAGGGCGAGCCATCCCCTGCATGGGCGGGATGCGCGCCTCCTGATGGCACAGAGTGTGGGCTTGCCGATGCGACTGCCACGGGCGCCGGGGCATGCAGATTGTCCACCGCAGGCAGCGTCGCGAGCTCGCCAGGCGAGGGTGGGTGACTTGGATCGTGGAGGTCATCCGCGTGCGCTGCGTGAGCCCGCTCAGCCGGACCCTCCTCTCCCGCGCCCAGCCTCGACGGCGTATGCGGGTGGTACGGGTGGTGCGGGTCCGAGTGGTACTGGCGAGGTTCGGGCGGATGAGGATGATGATACGATCCCGGCCAGTGAGGATATAGGTGGTGGGTATGTGCGTGTTGTTGAGGGTGAGTAGATCCGTTCATCGCATCCGATGGTGTTTGCGCTCCCGTGTTTGGCCCCGTACTGGGCCCAGTACCAGTGAACGGCAGCGCATGGAAGAACGCCGGACTCGCAGTGCCCGAGGCCGGATGGGACGTCGACGAGGGCGTGAAGGGGCGTTTCTGAGGTGGGCGTTAGTTCACGATTTATGAGGTTGATGGACTTCAGAGGGAAGAGAGTTATGTTCTTCGATGACAATAGGATTCATTGTTCAGACAAGCTGAACAACAGGAGGCTGCCCTCCGGCGTCGGCAACGAAGCAGCCCACTCGACGAACCACGACAGCTGAACAACCCACTCACCGGCGACAGAATACTCCCCAACGCCATCCTCAGCGCCTCGTTATGCTGCGCCGTATACGCATCCCGATGCGGTGCATGTACGGGATCGGACGGGCGGCGGGAATAGGGCGGCTTGGTGGTGTTCAAGGGAGGGTGAGGGTAGGAGTTGTTCGCGCCAGGCCTAAGGTCGTCGCTGCCACTCCTCATGCTGTCGGCGCCGCCCTTGAAGGCGTCCTCTTGGTAAGGTTTTCTGACGACTCGGGACTGCTCCTTCCCATTTGCATCCGTGCCGTGTAAAGGTCGGTTCTGGTTCATCGTGGGCTGTAGGGGGAGGGAGGTCAGCAATTGCGTCGAGTGTGTGGGCGAGGAGGAACGCACCATGGTGGTCTAGCTATGCTCTGCAGTCTTCAAGGGTGCTGGCTATCGTCGTGGGATGGCGCTCAAGTCGGTGGTGACGTTCGAGTAGATGGTGTCGTCCGGGCTTCTTGTACCCAGCCAACGCACGTTCACCACCTGTCCTTCTCGCGGTTTGCTGATGTCGTATTCTACGCCCCTGCGTATCCGCTGTATTCTCCGCGCTTGCGTATCCGCTGTATTCTCCGCCCCTGCGTATCCGCTGTTCTATCCTCGTCCCCGCGTATTCTTGGTCACAGAAGCGCTCGATAACTCGGCCAGGCCCTCGCCCTGATATAGGTCTCGGTGGCGCGACGTAAGAGCCCGGTATCGATCGTGGGGAGGGTCGTTCCCGGGACGCGTAGGGTTCCTATGTGGCGCGCGCGGCTTCGTAAGGAAACAAGAGATCAAGAGAAATCCGAGGGATGAAGAGATATCCGGGGGGATGAAGGGATATCCCAGGAGATGATGTCGGAGGGAAGTTCAGGATATCGCGCCGATCTTTGGAGAGGGACCTTGTGAAGGACACGATCGTCGGTGCGAGAAGTCGCTCGTCGGTGCTGAGAACACGACCGTCGGAGCCAACAACGCGTGAAGGCGGGCGGACTCGGGGCAGGGTCCAATTCAGTCGCAGTCCAATTCAGTGCCCAGCTGGTGTCGGGCCGTCCACTCGAGCCAAGGGAGTCAACAGACGTCAAGGAGGTCTGTTGACCTGCTGGGGGTCTCGTCCAGGCCGACACAGACAAGGCGCGATGATGCAATGTTGGTTTCCCCACAATTTCCCCATGGGGCGCGTGATACACGTGGGATGGACCTACAAAGTTGGATTTCGGAGGTAATTCAAGGATGATGACGATACAAAGGATATGGTACGAGGGTACTGGATACAGAACTGAGAGGGATCCTAGCAGACGATGTCGCAAGTTTGATACCACGAAATCGAGGCTTGCCCTCAATCAATGGAAAACCTCCATCCCACCCCATTCAATCACTCTGAAAAGCCTCTCATCGAGCGTCTCCTCCAAGTTCACCCCAACTACCTCGCGCCACATATCGACCGCTTCCGCCGCCTTCGCCTGTGCGCCCTCCCACTCGCCCAGCTCGACCTCCTTCACGCCTCGGAAGAGCATGAAGACGCGGGTCACAACGTCGGGCTTCGGCGACACGTTCAGTGGCGCAGCGTGCGCGTAAGAGACTTGGTCGAGGAAGCGAAGGGCGACGTGGGTGTGCTTCAGCATATCGGGAAGCCAGTAGCTATGGTTTGAGATCAGTACAGTGTTGTTCAATCTGAACGCAACAAGGCACTCGCGTTATGAACGAAGTGCGCGCTTCGACGTGGAGTCCGAGCACCGCGAGCGCCTTGTCGAGGTACGGCGTGATATCTGCAACGGGGAGAATGACTGAGTTCTCATTGGAGACGCCCGTCATCCCAGGCCGGAACACTTCGCGCGCCTGCCCGATGGCGGGAGACGAAGGCGGGCTGTCTACGACCTTGTTGGTCCTGAAAGCGCATCACGGTTAGCACCCTCGACATCGATATGCGTGCAATACTCACAGCGCTTCCCAAAACAGGTACGACACGTCCAGCCCGGTGTTGATCTCGCGAATCGTGCCATCCGGCCTAGTCTGTACCTTCCACTCCAGCGCCTGGCCTCCGTCTTTGTTCGCGATGGGGACGATGGGGTAGATAGCCGAGAGGGACCAGTCGTGAGTCAGGGACAGCCGGACGATCGCCTCGACGGGACGCGGAGAGAAGAGATAGATGATTGGTTTACCGCCTCGCAGCCTCTGGACCAAGTTGATCGTATCTTCAGATTGAATGCCATGATCCTCTAGGGTTCGGTGTTCTTCCAATTGCTTTGCTCGGAAGATGAGGCGTTGCTGACACGGCGATATACCTGTCTTCTCCTCTAGGAGGCTCATTAAGCTCTCTACCGTGGCGCTGCTCGTCAGAGAAGAGATCGTAATCGTCCTGTCTGTCGCTCCCCTGATGAAGATCTGGAAGTATGGAGGCGACACAGGTTGCGCTTGCGTTCGGTTCTCCATGTTTCGGGTCCTTTGCGCTTGACGAGGAGGAGGAGGAGCACCGAGTCCTCCGAATGCTATACGATTGTTTCTAGCTCTTCTCGCAGTGGAAGACGGCGGGGGAGCACCAAGTCCTCTGTTTAACATTTGGCCGTTCTCACCTCTCCCTGCGGCAGGAGACGGTGGAGTGTAAGCAGGGGGCGATCCGGTTGCAGGCTCGTGTTCAGGAGCACTAGGAGCGCGATCACGCCTCTGACAGTCTTGGATCAGCCAGTCCACGTAGACATCGAGATCGATCCAGGTGTGCGCATTGACAGGGGACATGCTGCGCAGGCGTAGGATGGTCGGCGTGAACTTCTGCAGGTAGGTGAGCGCCGCCTTCGCGGGCACCGCAGAGGCATTAGTGGCGCACCTCGTTGATATACTGCTGCAGCTTCCCCTCGCCATGCTCTGCGATAAGCGCATCGAGGTACTGGCGCTGGTCGGTGCAAAGGGATACCATGTTTGGTGGGAGGAGACGAGCGAATCAAGTTGGTGAGAGACCGGAATGAGGGTTGCAGAAGAATCAGAGACTCGCAATCTGCCGGTCGCCGCCTCGAGGATGCCACGGACCACGGTAGGTTCAACAAGGCCAAACCTTACTACAGTACTAGGATTTCGATGTCGGCGAGTATGTGGGCACATGGCGAAGGCGAAAGTGATGTATTCGATACATCTTGGCCAGAAGCAGCCGGCCCCTTCTGATTGCATGAACTTTCGAACATGCAAAGTCTGGAATAGTGCTGCGTGAAGGTTGGGAATCGGGACCATACAGTATCGGCACAATTTAAAGTTCAAGTTACGGGCTGTCACGAGCGTGTCACGGTTCGAATTTGCGCAGCTCAGCCTCTTAACCAGCCATATCAAGGGGTGGTCGATCCTAAAATCCGACACATCCCCCGGTGCACGCGAGTGATTGACGGCCGTGTTGGCTGAGCAATGCCGAGCACTCGCCGAACCCAGCTGAGCGGCGCCTGCCTGGCTGCTGGCGAGCATCGAAGCGGCGCCTGCCTGGCTGCTGGCGAGCATCGACGCGGCGCACGCTCGCGAGAAGTCCTGACGAGCGCACCACAGATACGCTTGCTCATCATGATTTCTTGTCGATGATTCGACGATAATAGAGTCCGATACCGGTATCGAAGACCACCGATATAGGCGCTGGACAAAGGAATCGATGTGTAGATACTAGGCGGCGAAGTCGCCGACTGATGAGGAACGCGCTCAATTGCGCCTCTATGGCTTGTTCTCGCGCCGCTGTAGCGAACTGCGACTGGAGACTGAGGCACGGTGTCACTTCCAGCAAGCGAAAGATCGTTAGAGACAAAAGCGCTGGTGGAGCGCGCGTGATTTCAGCTTCTGTGGAGCGCCTTCAAGCTCGCGCAACTAGGCGAGTGGGGACCTTTCTCCCTCGAGGTTTATTCCTATCGGCATGTGCGCTTCATAAAAGTCCCTTGCATTACCGAGCGTCCTAGGTAGCAGAACGTCGTCAGAGGCCTTTAAATGTGCTGGGGGATAGCCCCACGTGTTGCTCCACCGAAGCACAGATCACGCACGCTCCAACTGCACTTTCGTCTCTATCAATCTTTCGCTTGCTGTCATGGCCAGTGCCGACTGAAGGCAGCCAACCCGCAGGCGCCGCTCAGCTGGGTTCGGCGAGTGCTCGGCATTGCTCGGCCAACACGGCCGTCAATCACTCGCGTGCACCGGGGGATGTGCCGGATTTTAGGATCGACCACCCCTTGAGCCATATAGCGATAAATGCATCAAACGAGTTAGAAAAGAGCTCCTTCGGAGTCCCAGTATGCGTTCTCTTTTGTTTGGGACTTTGACAGATTGTATGTGCAGATCATGGAAGGCCAGGGTTCCCTCCCCCTTGGCTTCTCCCCATGTGGCTTGGTCTACGAAGGTACCGAATGCAGAACGCTTTCACTATTTACCCATGCCCTCAGTGAGCTTGCGAAGAAGACCGCAACCTGTTTGCCATTGCTTGACTGATTGGCGTTCCCTACACGTGTCAACGGATCAGAAGTGCCACATGGGCAGCCCCGCCATCACACGTCGGTCGTGGCCCCGTCGCGCGATTTCCTTGACACTTGTCCTGGACGCTCATCTTGTCCACTCTGACCCCCTCTGTTACGTCCCGTACGTGTCCTGCACCTCCCTGCACGTCGTTGACCAGACAAGAATCCTCTGCTCGACTCGCTGCTGCCTCCATCCTCCAGCGATCATCCTTACACTTGATTGACGCTCTGCACCCTTTGATCGACGCCTCCCACGATGTCGCGCGCCTTCTGCATCCCGGGCATCTTCTTCATTTTCGCGGCACTCGTGCTCAACTTCTTGGTGTCCATCTCTTTGCCGTACCTCACCGCCCTGGACGTCGCGCGCGCAACGGTAAACACTGGAATCTCGGCGGGGAATGTCGATAGTGGCGTGCGCGAAGTTAGGGTACGTGCATCCCACGACTACGCGTTATGAACGCGTGCTGACTTCCTCTCGCCTCTTGCTCTTACCCTCGCCTACGTACCCCACCGTTCTGCTCGCTGTTCGCTTGCCCACGAATGGTGCCACACATGAATCTCCTCACGCGCACTTCCTCCATTAGTTCGGCGTATGGTACGTCGTCAACGCGTCATCACCCTCAAAGACTCGCCTAACTAGCGCCTAGGTCTTCATGCGCCTACACGGACGATGGCACCAAAACGTGTCGTGATGCCAGTGAGTAGTGTCCTCCGCTTCCAGCCCCTTCGTCGCCGACATAGCGCCGTACTTCCTCCTTTCACTTTACTCCTTTCCGCGTCTTCCGCCATATCAACTCTTGCGTGACCACCTTTGCTAACCCCCACACAGAGCCCGCCTACTCTGTTGGCTTCAGCGACCCTAAGGAGCAGGATGTGAGCGTCACCGTAGGACCGTCCTGGACCCGCGGCCTCGTCTTACACCCCATCGGTACGTCTCTTCGCCCTGTCGCACCATTCCCTCAAACCCCCCATTCATCGCGTTTCCTCATACTCTCTCCCTTCCTCCGCAGACTGTTGACTCCTCGCTTCCTCCCAACTCTTCCTCTCCTCACATACTCTTGACTAACCCCCCTCCCCAGCCACCGGCGTCACCTTCATCGCCCTCCTCTTCTCCTTCTCTACGCACATCGCCGTCTCCCTCATCGCCTCCCTCCTCTCCTTCCTCTCCGCGGTGCTCACCCTCATCGCCTTCGCCATTGACATCGCGCTCTTCGTGTACGTCAAGCACCAGATCAAGAAGCTGCCCAATGTTGAGGGGACGGGAAAGCCGGGGCCGGGTGAGTGTTTTTTTTGGGTTATTTGTTCGGCCGAGTGGGGGAGTTGTGCTTTGTTTGGTCGCGTTGAGGAGTGCTTGTCTGGGTTGTTTGAGCTCGGAGTGGCTGTTTGCTTGTTCGAGTTGGGGAGCTGGGCTTTGTTTGCGAGATGGATTTCATCCTTCGTGCCACCTTGCGGCGTATTAATCGTCTGGTGGAGCCATTTGTGGCGTCGGCAAGCCTTTCCCCCATTCTTCCTCGTCTCGCTACACAACCAACAAACCCCGACTTACGCGACCTCCCAGGCTTCTGGATGACCCTCGTCGCCTTCGTCATCCTCCTCCTCGCCGGCTGCACGGTGTGCTTCGGTCGGCGGAGGCAGCGGATGTCGAGCGCGACAGCGTACCCGATGACGGAGGCGCGCGCGCCGTTCTGGAAGCGCGCGTTCAGGCGGAACTAGAGGGCGCGTCATCTATTCGCTTTGGCGGCCAAGTGAGGATTGCACTGAGGCGCAACTAGACATTGGCTCTGCACTCATGGCTTGGTGGCAGCTGCTCAGGCGCGTACGCGGACGACTTTGTTCGATCGCCGTGCGGCTTGGGCTTCATGACAGACGACTGACGACGATGGAAAATTGGCGAGGTCACTCGCGTCTGCGACGACTTTTGATACCTTGACACGACTTCTATATCCCACTTCATCTACGCATATACCTCCTCTCCCCTTTGCTCCGCGACTCTGATCCTTCCTGCTTCATCAGAACTCTGCTACATTTCGACCGACCTCTGCTACGCCCCGTCCTGCACCGCTTCCCTTCCCAAACACCCATTCGCCATGATGCCTTACGATACCTTGTCTACGCCTTGGCCTTCGGGTCTGACTTTGTAATTTCGTGCTGTGCGCCGCCATTCATAATGCCTGCCTCAACAAACATTACCTCAGTGCTAGTCGACCGTTCAATTGAAGTTGTGTGGTGTTGTTTTGCTCAAGTATTAATGCTGCCCATATCTCATTCTTCCCTTCGCGACTGTTTGTTCACCGCGTAGAACGCGCCAAGTGATATCCTGCATTTACTGTTCACTGGCTGGTTCATTATACCCGACGACGACACAGCGCCTCTGTCTCCATCATGCTGTCCTTGAGATGTAGACGGACGTCCTCATTAAGGTGGAGCGACGTATGCAGGCAAACTGGCCCGCCCACTCCCAACGTTGCTCTCGAATAGGTTTGCTAGTGCTGGACAAGTTGTATGCTCCTACACCTACAAGTCTCGAGGGCATATATAACGAGGATGGCACACCTTCCACCGCTGCAGAAAACCTGATTCTCACTCGCCCAACAACCCGTCCGCACCATCCCGTTTCCTCATACCCAAGAAGAATGCCCTCCCATCCCTTCTTCACCGCCGTCGACCAAGACACCCGCGCGCGCAGAGTCTACGAATTCGGCGTCAACACGCGCGCCTGGCTCATCGAGTACCGCGCGCGCCACCCGCACGCCCCCGTTGACGAGGCGCGCATGCAAAAGCGGCACGACCGCGCCGCGCGGGAGGAGCTGGAGGAAAGGGCCAGGATCCGCCCGGCGCCTGGGGGTGTCGATCCGGTGGTGACGTTGACTTCCGTGGTGAGTAAAATTGGAGGCTTGGTTGAAAGACTAGCAACGATGCTCACAAGAGAGGGTAGGCCAACTCGGAGCACGAGCTTCAATACCTCATGCGAAGGTTCACGGAGTGGGTGGTCGCGGAGACTGCTAAGGACAAGCGCGGCGGTTACTACCAAAAGTAGGAGTAGGACGAGGGAACATGGGCGGTATTCATCCGAGCACCTCTCGTCCACCTTAGATTCTAAGCCTCGTGCATATGAGATTCTGCTTCTTGCATTGAGATCGCCCTCACTGAGGACTGTAACGAGGAGCGCAAACACTGCGCACGTGCTATGTTCGACTTTTCGGGCTTTGCCGATACGTCACGTTACCTGGCGGCTTGGCTGATCGTATGAATCATGATGGCAAACCTCTTCCTCCTCCCATACAGACCGTCTACACGGCTATACTGACGAAGGCCGTTATGCTACGCAGAAGTTACGTTAGCATTCTGTCCCCAGAATAGTATGTCGAGCTAGATATAACTGATGATCTTCGGCCGATACAGTAGAGGACCCGCGGTTGGGCCACCGGTGCAACAAACACGATCCGTATACTACTCGCACATCGATAACCAGCGGCTCCTGCAGATATCTTGAGTATCGAGAGAAGGGTATCCTTCCAGACGATCTAAGCAGCTTGTTCCCTCAACTCTGGAACCCTGCAACAGCAACAACGATCAGCTTGTGCAAGGACTGCGTTCGAGGTATAGTCAGTGACATTCCATTATACCCGCGCCGTGAGAACACTCACCGGAAAGCGCCAGGCGTCCGATAAGAGGGTACTCCCGAGGGGAACAATAAGAAGACCAATTGGGTCGATGCGTACATCGCCGCTGCAGGACTGCCCGGAGGACATGGTCATTCTCCACCCGCCACCGTCACCTCGAGAAGACTCAACAATCCGCCATCACATCAATTCCAGCTAATCCGCTTTGCGAGCCGGACCATTCCACAGACTCCAGCGACGCGCAAAGCGACTTTCTCCGGCGTCATCCTTACGATAGACTCGCTAAGTTCGACACCTTCGTCAAAGGCTGTTGCGGCAAAACGCTTACCTACTCCGTTCGCCCCACGCGCTCAATTCAACATCTCAAGCAACAAATGTCGCGTCACAATTCCGGCATCGCCGTGGACGGCATGCTTTCACTTTTCGCGCGGGGCAAGCTCGAGATTAATTGGCTGCTCCATGGGCTGGACGTCGCGTAACTGGTCCTACAGGCGTAATGACCACAGTCTTTGCATCATCTAGTACATCCCTTTTCTTCGTATATACACTCTTATAACGTCCTCTCGTCGTATGGCGCAGAAGGCTGACCCCACGCTTCAGTACAGACGCCACAATTAATATCCCGCTCCCAGATACTCATGTCGGCGAGCGGAGGGAGATTTTTCATCCCCGACTATATCGGCGTCTTCAATCGAGAATTGATGATCTTTTCAATTGTGGAGGACCTTCGCCGAATCGACAACGCTCAGGGACTGCACGTCGAGGCGTGCGCATTCTTCATAACGTGCGTACCGACATCCCTCCTCTTGCGGCACAAGTCTGACCTCTTATCTAGCTGCTGACCCTCTGATACGTTCAAATATACCCGCTTCGCTTGACAGTTCCTCATAAGGTCGCCTGCGCGTCGCTCCGCTGAAAATGTCCACGAAGCTCGTTGCGACGCATATCTTGGTCCTCGCTACGCTTTCAAGAATAAAACTTTACATGCAATGTAGCGCCTTTCACCATTTGTCAATAATCCAAAAATCTATACCCTACTTTTCAAGTCCCATCTGTATACGCTCATCATTCGGTCCTGTCGTCGATTGCATAGTTCTCTTTGAGGCCTCGTCAATTGATCAAGCTCAAAAGTAAGTTCTTGTGGCACGCACCGTCTTATGGCGCTAAACCAGCTCATATGATGACACCGGTGAGGCACGACTCGGACGAGTCACGTAGGACGGAGGCTGACAACGTGCGACCATGGCGGTATACCAGGATTTCAACGTATGGCTCAGGCTGCGATCGTCGCGGCGCTTCGTCGTCCGTACGGGACCGGCCAGACGACTGTCGAAGTCGGCATAAGGAATCATATACGGTCCGTAGACGAGCTTGTCGCCACATGTTAGGGGTTTGGCACCGCTGGAGGGTGATCTGAGCATACAATTTCACAAAGAGGATCTCGCACTCACGACTGCTGCAAGTGTAGGACAGTTGTGGGGTAGTAAAGCGCGTGCCGCTCACAGTCATCTGGCCCCCATTGGTTGACCTTGAGCACTCTCGCAAGACTAGCAAGTCTCGCACACTCCCGCCTTGATGTTGAGGACCATAAATCACCCTTGCCCGCAGCCTCACGGTGGAGCTTGTCTAGCGAGGCCATGTATATGTGATGAATAGTACTGGTATCGGAGGGCGTCATGAGATGAAGTTGTCGAAGTGGCCCCTCGCGCTCGCGTGACTGTGTCGTCGTCGCAGAGGCAGCGCGCAGGATTTCTGCCAGCATTCCGACTCTCTCGACATCGAGGAAGACCTGCACAGCTGTCGGTTCGGAAGCCTTGACATGGGCAATCGCATCGATGAAGCGATGAACGACGTCGGATTGGATCTTCATCGACAAGCTCGGATAGAAACCCTTCACTTCCTGCAGGAACTGGAAAAAGGACTGCTGCATAGACGCTACAGCGATGCGAAGGGGTTCAGTCATCCCAGCGGAGTGGAGAACCGTAGCAAGTTTCAAGAGGAGCGCGATGCCACAGAAGGCCGATTCCACCGGATCCGGTTGTTTGCGTCGTTCCGTGTCTACCATGCACTTGTACACGAAGTCTCTGTTCCACTCAGGATAGGATTGAGCACTGTGCATCAGGTAAAGATCCGAGATGACGCAGAATGCCTTAACTGGACCCTTGAGCGATCTAAACACCTCTTCACTGTTGAGTGATTGCAAGTTCTCAGTGTAGGTGCGGTGGAGCCGTTGGACAGTGGCATGGAACTGTGGAGTCAAGGTCAGGAATTCGGCCCAAAGCGCGTCCCTTAGCCATTCAGGGACAGGCTTTTTTGCCCAGCGAAGGCACCTGATTAGAGTAGTCAACGCTTCAGCTGCGAGGGTTGAGTCAGATCGTGCTTCATGAGACAGAAAAGGACGTACACCAGCTCTCTGTGCGCAAGATAGAGGCAATGTGTTGCGTCAAGAGTTCCTTCACATCGGTATCATAGCCGCATGTAAAGAGCAGGCTCGCAGGTTCTTCAAATGGCTTGTAGGAAGGAGAGGGGCACGGGGGTCGCCGAGAAACCTGCTTGGGGCCATACCGCGCACGAACGAGCCATAAAACATCATTCACCCATTGCTCTACTAGCGGCACTTCGTCGGTTGATGGCATGAGTGTGGTGTTGTGACGGGCGAAGAAGAAGCCTATAGAAGGGGGAGCTTCCATAACAAAGGCGCGCGGGGAGGTCTCATAGAGGCGCGACCAATGCAACAAGAGGTACCAAGTTGCAGGTGACAGCTTCGTATCAGGGTTCATGACAAAGCGGTGCATCTCGCTAATCGGCAAGGGGAGGGAGAACCTGGGTCTCCATGGGTGAAAGGTGACGAAACAGAGCACGCGCTGAGCGAGAAGTTGCTGACTGCCTAAACTGCCAGTGGCGAGAATAGCGGCCAAGGCATCTGTGGCATCGGCCCACTGGTCATAAGACATCGGAGGATTCGCATCATACCCCAGCTTTTTGGAGGACGGCAGCCGCGGATTCCACGGACCCCAGGTGATGCAAGAGAGTGCCCGAAGAGCCCGGTCGAACGCCAGACAGCTACGGTTGTCTTCAAGCTTGCCCTGCGTGAGAGCTTCTTGTAAATTCATGATCAAGATTGTGCGCAGGTTCCCCATCGACGAGACATCCTGCTCAGAGTCGGCCACTCGATGGTCCCAGCCAGAAAACGCTTCGGCAATAACGTGATGCGCGGAAGGATTTGTGGCATTGTCGTATAGCCACGAGACGCAATGAAATATTAGACCGCGAGTCTGCTGGTCTAATCGTCCCCAGCGTAGCCGAACAATGGCGACCTCTTCCTGCGCAGACCCCGAAGGACGAGGCGCGACAGGCTCTGGACAGGTGTCCGAGGCGTATTTCATTGGCAGTAATCCAAACTTCGAGAACCGTGCAGTGAGCCATGCAACGAACGCCCTCCAGCTGCGTTGCGACAACTCGCGTGCCGCTAGAGAGATAGGTGTTCGGTAGGCGCATTCCCGATAGACTGAGCCAAGAATATGAGTCGCGATGTAGAAGATGTACGTTGTGCCAGTGAGGGCCGTGACAACGCATGTGATGACAGGCGACATTCCGGAAAGAAAGACGATGAGTCCCGCTAAGAATAAAGCGAGAGAGACGTGCAAAAGCATCGGCACGAGGCCAATAATGAAGGGGATCCTCCATCGTATAAGCGCCTTGTAACGCATATGGCGTATCAACGCGCGGTCTCGTGGAGGTCCGGGAGGTGTCTTGGCATATTCCTAGATCAATAGTCGGGATCAATGGGGCGTGTTATTGACAAATGTGAAGACGCACCTGCAGCCACTGCTTGACGAGCACCGCAATCAAAACCGTAGAAAGCGAGAGGCCGAGCGTAGTAAACCATAGCGCGTTGACCCACACATCGCCCGCTGAGGGCGCAAGCGTGTCCAGAGTGACGTTCGCGGAGGGCACGTCCTCAGGAGAGCGCGCACGCTGCAAGGCGACGAGCTCGAGCAGAATGGCCGAGGTTATGCGCCCGTAGTCGGGCTGCAGCGACTGGGAGGTCTGGACGACGAAGGTGGTCACGACGGCGGAGAATAAGGCGGCCTATTGAACGACGTCAGTGAGTATCCGCGCTTGGGTAGTGCGATGGACTGACAAAGACGAGGTGCACGTCGAGGGTGTCTCTAAAGCCCTTGATCATATCATCATCGAACTGGCCGCTCTCATCGAGGTAGACCCGCCAGACACGCGCGTTCTCTCCGATCTCGGCAGCGTAAGGGTCTTCGGGGTACATATCGCGATAGTCGCCGACTAGGGAGGTTGAGAGGTTGAGCATAGCGCGGATGATCGAGTCAAAGCACTTACTTCCGCCCTTTCCAGTCGGTACCCCGGTATACTTGGGTATTCCGAAGAACCGCGGCGTTTCGTCTCGATTGGCATTGCCGCCGGGTTGGTTATGCGCTTGCGATGGGAAGCCCGAAGGCCGTGTCCCGCCATCCTGGGCCGCATGATTGGGCTCTGCGACGTTCGCACTCGAGGGCGCTCCTTGAATCGCCGCAGAGGTGGCTGCGGAGGCGGGATCAGAGCTCATCGCTGGTGGCGTTGTAGATTGTCCTTACCGTGAACCAGGTTTTCAGCTTTGTTGTTATGTTCAACGGAGGGGCGATTGTGATCGCCTGCATCCCCGGAAGCTATATGGATTCTAGTCAAAGCAGATCGCGCTTTAGTTATCGAACGACCGCATACCCTTGGGGTCTTGACCGCCCGTATGCGGAGTCTCCTCTAACATCGCCATCGATGTATCGTCCTGGTCGTATACTGCAAAGTGAGCTATGGTCCGCGTGGTAAGAGGTCAACAGCAGAACCGAAGCTGCACAGCCAGCGCACACATCAGCAAGACGGGCAAAGGCCCGGGTCCCGGAAGCAATGAGAGCTTCTCAAAGGCATGTCCAACCGACACGTGCGACCCAGCGTGTTGTAGCGTATGGTATCAGATAGGTTTTGTTAGCAGTGAAGTTGAGCTGTCGATAGCAGTGAATTGTGTGCCATTCTCGCTGCCGTGATGACGGTCGTGAACAACCCGAAGGCGGGCATTATTCTGACAGTGACAGGGGATTTGTCTCACGCTTCGAAGGCGACCGGATGCTCCTCTTTAGGCGTATGTACAGGCCATTTTGTGACATTAATGTTATTAGAGAATGAAGAAATGTTGAATACCGCTTCGACGAGGCGTCTTCGACAAACACTGGTTACGACCTTGATTTTGTTCACGGTCTGCTTCATATAAATGGATGGTGTCCGTCGTCCGAAAGCTCGTAGCCCGCCCTCAGCTGTACCTTTATCCGCCCACGTCAACTCCACACAGAAATGACCTCTCACCCATTTTCTGCTGCAGTGGATCCAGATACCCGCGCACGAAGAGTGCACGAGTTCGTTGTCAACGTGACGCGATGGGTGACCGAGTATCGAGAGGACCATCCCAACGCGCCAGTGGACGAAACCTATAGGCTCAAGCAATTCCGTCGCGCCGCGAGTGCTGAAGACGAAGAAGCGCGTATTTTGCGTCCGACGCCTGGGGACGTCGATCCCGATAGCACGATCGCTGCAGTGGTAAGTCGAGCAAAAGGATCGAAAGCATATTGCCCGATATTAACAAGATCTTGTAGGCAAACTCAAAGGAAGAGCTGAGATACCTCAGAAAGCAATTTGCGGAGTGGGTGGCATCCCAGACCACAAGCGACAACGGCGGCCATTACTATCAGAATTAGGAGTAGAGGGCGAAGGGCAAAGGGCAGGGCCTATGGACGATAGTTCTGGAAGAGCGCATCTCTTACGCTGTCATGTTTTGTGTTATTGATGCGTGCTCTCTCACTTTATCGTGCAGCCACCTTCGTTAAAGCGCGCGACGCATAGTACAAACATCGAACACGTGTCAAGTTCGACTTTTCGGGCTTTGCCGACACATCACGTTACCTGCCGACTTGCCGATCGTGATGGCAACAATACTCTTTCCTCCTCCTCCCAAAAGCCACTTCCTCGTCTGTGCAGACAACGCTCATGCTATGCAGAGCGTCGAGACCGTGATGCCCATGCAAGTCCATGCGAAGATAACCCACCGAGCTGGATATGGCTCGCAATCTCTGGCCGGTAGAGGACCCGCGGTTGCGCTACCGGCGGCATCAAAGACGAGGAATATCCAATTCGCCCATCTACTCAGTGCCCGCCCCCCTGCAGAACGCGAATATAAAGAGCGGCACTGCTGCCAGACGATGCCAACAGCCTCTCGCCTCGTTTCTCTGACGTTCGGACAACCCGTACAACCACAACACAACTGCGATGAGCTTCTGCAAGGATTGCGTTCGTGGTGAGTCACGTTCTAGTATACCCGCGTCGAGCCGTCCTCACCGAAAGGCGCCAGGCGTTCGATGGGAGGGTACCCCTGAGGGGAAGATTGAGAAGATTAATGGCGTCGACGCATATGTCGCTACGCCCGCGCAGGACTACCCGAAAGACAAGGTCCTTCTGCTCCTCACCGACATCTTCGGCGTCCCGCTCGTCAACACTCAGGTATGCGTTACAGACTTCCTTTACTCGTGAATATCGACCTGACCAAATTATTTCTCCAGCTCCTCGCCGATGATTATGCCGCTAATGGCTTCCGGACCGTTATTCCCGACTACTTGAATGGCGATCCAGCACCCGCGAATGCGATGGCGCCCAACGTGAATAACACCGAAACATGAGTGTCTTCCCACTTTCTGACTATGTACAGAGCGGCTGGAATGTACAAAACTGGATACCGAATCACGGCCCCGAGCAGACGCGCCCGCCCCTTGACAAGGTCATCGCCGGCCTGAAGGAGCAGGGCGTCACTACCTTCGGTGCCGTCGGCTACTGCCTTGGTGGTACGTTCGTACCACCACTTCAGCCCACCCTCTTCTGACCTTACCACCTCTGCAGGCCGCTACGTCTTCGACCTCGCCTTCGACGGCGTCATCAAGGCCGCCGCCGTCGCGCACCCCTCGCTTCTCAAAGTCCCCGAAGACATTGAGAAGTACGCCCAGACGAACGTGCCGTTGCTCGTCGAGAGCTGCGAGACGGATATGATGTTCCCGCCGGACCTCCAGGCGAAGACGGACGCGATTCTGGGCGATGGGAAGTTCGCGCCCGGCTACAGGCGTGACTATTGGCCTGGGTGTACGCACGGCTTCGCGAACCGCGGCGACGGGAGCATCCCGGCCGTAAAGGCGGGGAAGGAGGGCGCGTTCAAGGCTGTGGTGGAGTGGATGGCGACCCATCTGTAGATTTGAAAAGCAGTGAAGGATCTTATTTACGATGATACGAACGAATTTCCTGTTAGTTTCCGAGTGAATCCGACGTCGAACTCGGTAAGTATTATGAGCTTTACGGACCGAGTCCAATGTAGCACTGGGGGTGGCGTATCCTGCCCAATGCTTTGGTGCGTTGCCTGCTTGTTCCTTTGGCGCTCGCGCTGACCGTCGGCTGTTATATTCAGCTCGCTACGCATGCAACCTCTCCACCTCGGCAACTCGAACTGCAATACTTGTGTGTGTGGCCGCAGTTCTATTGGCTCAGAAGCGCTTGTTGATGAGGTCGTCTGACTTCGAAGCCGTCTCCTACACTCGCCCCTTATATGCGAACCAACCCTCGCCCAATTATGAGGTAGTCCCGATATTCCGCAAGGCTGTCAGGAAAACTGACATCGAGTCTGCGTCAGACGCATACAATGAACGGTTGTTCCTCAATATGATACGCCGAAGAACATTGCGCACGGTCATGCCCTTCGCGAGGCGAAACTCGAACCCTCGGCGGCCTTGTCGGACAACGTTCTCCGAGCGTCGGGAACGTCTTATCCATCTGTTGGCCTTGCTTCGTAAGTGCCTTGCAGCGATTCGAGTACAATGTCGTTGACGATTTCCAGCTATGAAGGGAGGATGGCACATACTAAACCGGCCTCTGCGACCATATGAGGATCGGCAACATTCAGACTCGGCATCAAATCCCACGTTGAAAATATTCCCCGGTTCTCCCAGGCTGATCCTCACCTCCGTGCGCACGTTGCTTGACTCCGAAAGTCACGGTCATGCCCTGCAGGGAGGTGAGGATCGAGGTGGTACATGGGTTTATCGATATGTGTATGTGCTATCGCCGAAGAAGACGCAGCTGGGAGCACCGGGATGGTCTAATCACTGAGTAGAGAAAGGCAAGTCTTGGAAGGGTTCAATGCACTTCAAAGGCGGGATGTAAGATCCATTCTTTCTGAGTAAACTTCTCGCGCTATGGACTGACCTTGAGAAGTTCCCAGATCGCCAGGGGATATGTATCAGCGAAGCTCAATATTCACGGCCTCCGCGATCCGAGACTGAGCTTCAACCTCGTCAGACAAAAGGATCTCGCTTGGCGATCGTCGCCGCCCTATCGCACACCAAGTATCGCCTCGCAAGAATGATGTGGGCCGTACCCATCCGGGTCCCGGCCATCTCATCTCGCCACGATTCGTCGCCAGGTCCGCCAGAGGTCCGCTCTTTCCGACCGCGTTTCGCTCAAACTCTCCGGTCCTGGGCGACGGTCATATAAAATGGTCCTCTCTTCAATCGCTCCTGCTCTTCACCGTCGCTTCCTCTCGTGAAGCGACTTGTTTATCCCGCCTCTGCCCCCAGTCACTCTTCATACCGCAAAATGCGGCCTACACTCCTTTTCACCGCGCTCGTTTCGACTGCCATCCTCTCCTCCCCCGCCGCGGCCCACCGCCGTCGCACGGTCCACCGTGTCCGCCATGACACCGACCTTAGCCACCGCGCGCTCATCGAGGCTGACGTCGAGGCGTGCATCCGCATCGGCGGTTCAGCCGAGAGCTGCCACTCTGGCTCCGAAGACGGTAGCTCTCAATCGAGTATATCCGGCTCTGCTTTAGGACCGTCCTCTGGCGCTACCTCTGCTACTGGTGGTGTCTCTACGCCTGTTGTGACTGCCACCAGCATCGTAGGCGCTCCAGGCTCAAGCGGCAGCGGTGGTGCGGTGGCCTCAACTGCGCCAGCCACCACCGTCGCCGGCTCCGCTCCTGGCGCGTCCATCACTGGAAGCGCCCCTGGATCATCTGGAACCGGAGCTGCTACTGGAACTGCGTCTGGCCCGGGCGCTGTATCCGGTACGGCCACTGCTACCTCTGGAGCGCCTTCAGCGACTTCATCCGTTATCGCGTACGATGGCGAGAAGTATGCGATCGTTCACCATATGCTAGGCAACACGTGCGTCTTCCATCTAGTTGTGACTTTTGTACTTGATGCTCACGAGTGTCATAGGTATACTTACCGCCTTGCGGACTGGATCACCGACCTCGTTCTCATTCAGGAGGCTGGCTTTGACGCGGTCGCGCTGAACACTGGCCCGTAAATATTGCTCACCAACTATTTCGACGGAGCCGACTGACGCCTTCTTAGCGACTGCTGGCAAAAGGCGTCCGCGGACCTTGCATACCAAGCCGCAGCGATCCTGAACACCCCGCTCAAGCTATATTGGTCGTTCGACATGAACACCTTCCCTCAGGCCGGCGACGAGGACGCCGTGAAGATTGCCGCGTATATCAACGAGTACGCGACCAATCCGTACACCTTCAAGGTCAATGGCGTGCCGTTCGTCTCAACCTTTTCCGGCGATCAGTACTCTTCCTCCTTTGGGAAGTCTGTGTGCGGCGGGTGAGTTCACGGATCATCAATGCGCTTCTCAAGCGACTGACACGCTCACCAGCTGGGACTACGTTCGCTCACTCGTACCCACCGACATGTACTTCGTCCCCGCCTTCTTCTTCGCCAACAACCAGACCATCGCCGGCGTGAAGGACTGCGTCCAGGGCCTCTTCCAATGGAACTCCGCGTGGTCGATGGACGACGGCGAGGTCTCAAAGTCCACTGACCACAACTGGGCGACGCAGCTCGGCGCAAACAAGACGTATATGGCCGGCATCTCTCCGACCTTCTTCTCGCACTATCCAGAGGAGGGACTCAACAAGAACTGGGTTTACCGCGCAAATAACAACTACGCGAAGCGCTGGCAACAAGCGACGGAGATCAATGCGCCGATGGTGCAGGTCATTTGTGAGTACACGGCATGCTCTTCGGGGATTCACATCGTTGAGGACTGGCGTTTGACCATCATCCTCAGCTTGGAACGACTTCGGCGAGTCGCACTACATCGGTCCGCGCCCCTCATCCGTCCAGCTCCAGCCGACGAACACTACATGGGTTAATGCGAACAACCACCTCCCCTGGGCGCGCATCACCAAACCGTACATCGAAACCTACAAGACCGGCAAGCCCGCCGCCCTCGGCTCTGACCTCATTGTCTGGGAGTACCGCACGCATCCGGCGAACGCGACAGCGAGGGCCGATCCTATGGGCCTTCCTGAGCGTGCCGAACTGCTCAAGGACGAGATCTACATCACTGCATACTTGTCTGCGCCTGCTGAAGTGCGCGTGCAGGTTGGGACGTTGGAGGGCAAGTTCCAGGTGAGATGCAAGTCGCTTCCATATCCTTAGCGATGCTAACCTCCTCGTCAGGCTGAGGCCGGCCTGAACCACTTCACCCAGCCGTTCGAGCCCGGCTTCGTCACTGTCGGCATGTGGCGCGATGGCGAGAACGTCGGCGGTACGCTCACGGGCGAGCGGGAGATCGTTGCCGAGCCGACGCTGTATGACTTCAACCCCGTCGTCGAGCAATTCTTCCACGATCCGGCTTGGGAGGCGTGCAAGGCGTAGAGGACTCCAGTTGCACTTGCGCATACACGACAGAGTGAAAGTGTGGAACGCTGTACAAGTGCATAGTCCGAGCATACTGAACCATAATGGATATCTGCGCTTTCAAGTTAAACTCGATGGAAGGGAGCTCGAGCAGCCAGTGCGCGAAATCGTGTTCGGGGAGAGCAAATGCATTTCAAAGTGCGAAGATAGCTAGAAAACATGCATAAATATTGCTTGCAGGTCATGAGAGGCATTGCGATGACAACGACGCTGGAGCGCTAGAGGATGGTAAATATGTGAACATGCAGGAGTAGCTAGTAGATGATGCAGTGAGGACGGGTTCTTTACAAGCCGAGGTCTTGGAGAAGCCTTTACGAATGGGTGTAGTCACCGACGCCAGCCCTGAATAAGGCAAGTCAGACGAAGCCCTTAAAAGAAGGGATAGGTGGACTTACATGACGGCAGTTTCCCCCTGGTAGGTCGCGCGGTAGGTTCCGAACTTGGCACTTTGAGGACGTCAGTAACATGCATCTGATGTAGGACGACGCGATACTCACGCAGTCTTGCTGGACCCAAGCGCGCCCTTCGCGCTGTACGTCAGTAACGTCTGCTTAGTCGCAGCGTCAGTGACCGTGTATATGATCGAGCCTTGCTGGCCGTATGTGATACTATGGCGGTCGTCAGTTATCAGCTAAATGTGTGTAACACGGCATACATACCTCATAGAATGCAGCGTCGTCCGATCGACAAATTGCGAGAGCGGAATGCTCGGGCAGCTGCTGCCACTGCTCCCACCGCCGCCAAGACCCAGCAGGCCTCCACCGGAGGAAGGCTGCGACTGGCAAAGCGTCTGACTCTCAATGCCCACCTGACCATTCCTTGCATCAAGAGTGACCACCGGCATCCCCGTCGTATCGTCGAACACCTGCATCAAGTGGAAGAACGTCGAGCCCGTGCCCGTGCTCCCGTACAAGTACATCTTCCACCCATACGTGTGCTTCTCCCCCGCCACCGCCCACGGTACGCGGAACTCGTTGCGCTGACGCGGGGAGTCGAGGTGGTTGGTGTCGAGGTTAGCTTTCGGGTTGGCGGAAAGTTGAAATGAGTAGCAGGTGCCAATGGCGACCTTAGGGTCAGCGCAGGGGTATTTGATGACTCCTGGAAGAGGGAGAGGTTAGAAAGTCGAGGAGTGGAAGGATGAGGGTTAGGTGCATACCTGAGGAGTCGTAGGAGAGCTGACCACCATAGACGGTACCGTACTTCAGTGAGCTGCCGTCGTTCAGCGTCTGCTGAGCCGGCGCGGCGCGGCAGGCGGAGATGAAGAGGAGGGCCAGAGCCGACGAGTATAGTGAGGTCTTCATGGTGTCTTGGATGGAGTTGTGTCGTATCGGCGAGTTATGTCTTGTCGGCGAGTAGTGCTATGTTGAGGTAGCGTTGGTTTTAAGATGTCGACCCCCATCTCGGGAAGCCCTTATATACTGAAGAGAACCATTGCCCAGGACTCATATGTGAGTAAGTCCATACACAGCCGGCTAATCGACGGGTAGCGGATAGAGGAGAAGTGCAAGTCTCCCTCAGGCGAGGGGCAGTGCATGTCTCATTGTACGCCGTCATAGAAGTTAAAGAGATATGATGGAGATGTCAGCGACTATGCTTCTGAGGGTCCTCTTGCCTGCTATGATATTCTCTCCCTGGGATATAGATGCATTAGTGGTGTTTGGGTCGAACAGAGGTGATGGCCATTTGCCAGTTGTGCGCAAGGATTGTGAGCGTCATCGTAGTCAGGATGCATACACAGCAGTAAGGCAGTGTCGAGCATGAGACGCGTCGTCTTAGTTACCAAACCCTTCGCCGTCTTAGACAGAGCGTGGCCGTGCTGGTTTAAGGCTCGCCGTGAGACTTCACGGGATTAGCCGACGGCGCCCACGGTCATGTGACGAGACCAAAGTCAAACCGCGCCGCAAGAAAAAGACGCGGCTGCGCTCAGAGACTGTAGATGGAGAGACCAATTGAGACGAAAGAGCTAGTCTTATTGAGCAGAAAAGCATAGGCGACAACGGCATAACGTAGCGTAGTATACTTATAGCGGAGGGCAAGTGAACGACAGCAAGGTAAATAACAAAACTCATGGGTACACGAAACAGAAAACAAGCGCGGCCCTTCTCCTGAATCAGTTCTGAGTGTAGTCTCCGACACCAGCACTGGAGAAACTCGGTGAGCGGCCTGAAGCATACATAGTGCGGTGGATCACTCACAGTACAGCAGTCATCCCCTGGTAGGCGGCGCGGTAAGTACCGAATTTGAGTCTGCATCAGTATGTTAGTACCGGAATCAACGCTCTGAGTAGATGAATGTGGGTAGACGGAGAGAAGGAAGGCGTGATTTATGTGGATGAAAAGGATGGCGACGTACGCGGTCTTGCTCGTGCCAAGTGCCCCTTTTACCGAATATGTGAGTAAAGTCTTCTTCGTCGATGCGTCAGTGACGGTGTAGGTCAGTGATCCAGAGGGTCCGTAGGTGATCCTGCGCGGGCAGTTAGCAAAGCGGTCAAACAAGGGGTAAACCCGCTCGAGCGACGAGGCATCGCGCACTCACTTCATAGTATGCACCGTCGTTCTATCCGTGTAGCTCGACATCGGGATACTCGGGCAGCCGCTCTTGCACAAGTTGGTACTCTCAACCTGTACGCGCCCGTTCCGTGCGTCGAGCGTGATCACCGGCTGAAGGGTGTTGTAGTCGAGGATCTGCATGAGGTGGAAGAACGTGCTGCCCGACCCGGTGCTGGTATAGAGGTACTGCTTCCAGGAGTATGTGTGGGTCTCCCCTGCGGCGGCGTAGGGGACACGGAACTCGTTGCGCTGGCGAGGGGAATCGAGGTGATTGGTGTCCAGGTTCGCTTTTGGGTCCTTGGAGAGGGAGAGAGAGTAGCAGTTGCCGATGGCGATCTTGGAGTCAGTGCAGGGGGTCTTGAGGACGCCTGCGTGAGTGTAAGCATCGCACGGGGGTGACCGCCAAGATGGTACGCACCCGAAGCTTCCCAGGTAAGCTGCCCTGCCTTGCCATTGCTCAACTGGTTCCCATTGTTCAGCGTGGTCTGCGATGGTGCGGCGGAGCAGAGAGATGCGACGGTAACAACGATTGACGCGAGAATGGTGGTCTTCATGTTGAGGGTGGATGAGGCGCGGCGAGAGATGATGAACAAAAAAGTGGCGTCGGTGGGATCGGCTTGAGGGAGAGGGGCAGTGTCGCTTGAGGGGGAGTCGGGGTACAGATAACCTGGGAGAAGGACCACCTTTTATACGACGATCCTTTTCGACGGGAGCAGTACGAGCCAAGAAGTTGGGTGGAGCTGCCAATTAGAGGTAGGACATACTCAGTCTTGGTCGTAGTCAAGCGCGTTGGCAGTGCAAGAGTTCAGCGATAGCCGGGACAACCTGCAGGAACCTAAGACATCGGGAGAGAGTGACATGAGATGTCCCGGATGGTTGCTGTCTAAGGACGCGACTGTTGCCATTGTTTATAGAATTTGTTCAAGCAATGCATGAGAGCTAGCCTGCATGATATACTGCGTGGACACAGTCCCTATACCATACGAGGCAGAGTTCAGCAAGCTGCAGCGGTCGTAACTTCGACATGGCTGTTCGGGATGAGCTACGCATGTGCCTTGTCTCCGGCTCACGTGGCGTGACGGTTGAACATGTCACACCCGGAATCAAAACCCAGCCAGTGGTTTTAGCTTTTCACACTCGAACAATGCGGGTACGAAGCACAGCAACCGATCCAGTCTATCTAATTGTTCCAAGATAGCAGAGAAATAGGGAAATAGGTCTATGATAGTAAGCGCCAGTCCGTATCTTCCAGTCTTGATGATGAGTGTGTTGGGGGAATATATTCGTACGTGCTCCTGTAGCGGGTATGAGAACATAGGGTTGATTCCGTCCAATTAGCGCCTCCAGAGATTCTGGCGGTCGATAAATAATAGCTCTTGCCGCTGGTTCATACACAAGGCTGCGCGGGTTAGCGGGCGAGAAGACAACTGAACACAAACGCGCACCATTACAGTCAATTCTACATCCAAGGGGCTCACCGAGACCCGATCTGTCGCAGAGGGATCGCCTCCACGAGGGCATCCGGCTTGCCTGCGTGGTCGCTTTCCTCAGTGCTCATGGCGCTGGGGGCACCTTTCCCGAGAGCCGTCGCGCTGCCCGCTATGGTGGCGCTATGCCCTTCGGTCGTGCTCTCCTCGGACTTCTTCTCTTGAGAAGGTTGGCCGTCGGGCTTCTCCTGCCCCGCGCCGTCAGTCGCTGGCACACTGCTCTGCGTGACGAGCTCGCGCGGGAGGAGCACGGCGCGGTCGACGGCGACGGGGAGACCACGATGCCGGCCCCGTACCCTGTGAAAGTGATGAGAAGAAAGGCAAGGGTAGGAAAGAGCTGCGTACATGATGATTATGACTACAATCTTCGATAGTGGTCGCATGGCGCCGACGAAAGCGTAGTTATCCTGCAACCGCAGATTAAGTATTCAAGCACAGTATCAACAGCTTGACAACTCACACTCGGAAAGCCTAAGCTCAGCCCGATTCCACCGAATGCGCTCACGAGCTCGAAGATCTGGCAGGTGTCTGTCAGAGCGATTCTCGGACGACAAAATGTTGACCAAACGATAGGCCGGTGACGCGTACCACTCGGAAGAGGTCAAACCACTTCTTGTCCGGGTCGATGAGATGCCCACGCTCGATTACAGCAACAAGGAAGACGCCCCAAACGAGCCACCAGATATCTGTGAGACGTCAGCGGCGAACGGTGCGACCCAGTGATGACACGGAATCAGGGCTAGCTAAAGAGACGAGTACACACCTACGGATACCTGCCTCCTTAGGTGCCACCCGACGTACCGACCGACCCGCTCGCGAGGTGCCAGTTCTCGCATGTCCTGGTCGACCTATGCAGGGAGTTAAGTGATGAAGCTCGAGGGTGTTGGGCGGTGGGGATGCGGATGGACGGGGAGAGTGCGGATGGCCAGCGTATAGTAATTGCCTTAGCATATGACGGAGATAGAGATAGATACTCACCACATCCGGCTCATCATCCTCGTCCTCCTCCGGGGCCTCGAACACGCCCAACGAACGCTCTTCATACACGTTGGTCGATCGAATGGAGAGAGCGACCTGCAAAAAGCGTCAGTCCCGCCCAAAGTACAGCAGTCAGCGAGCAAGGGGGCGAGACCAAGGAAATCAGATAAGCACTGACCGGATACACAGCGATATACATCATGACCATGTACAGGAATCTAGCCACGGTGAGTATCCAGAACTGGGTCCGGCGCAGGACTCACTGCAACGCCGGCGCGATATCCGTCATCGGCACGATGGGGAACCCGCTCGCGCGCGCAGCGAGGCCCTGGAACAAGCCCGACACCGCCCTCTCCGCGGCCGGGAGCGCGGTGTAGAAGGGGAGGCCAGAATCTGGGCGATGCGAGTCAGCCGTGCAACGCCAAGGTGGCAGATGCGGGTGAAGGCGTACTGAGGACCGGAAACATCAGCCACTCGGCCGCGCTGAAGACAACGAGGCAGATGACGAGGAACCAGGTCTGCGGCGCGGGGAACCTGAGAGTTGGCTGTTTAGCTCGGGAGCATATGCAGAGCAGAAGGGGGTGTAACGGTGAGCATACTCACAGGTAGATGAAGCACCGACGGGGGTACTTGAGCAGGAATTCGGTCGCTTGGGCCAGCTCGCTTCTGTCTCCGGCTGTCTTCGAGAGGACCCAGCTATGCGATACAGCGTCAGCGGGCTGGCGGCAAAGAGGTAAGCGGTCACTGACATTGTGAAGCGGAGCCTATGTTGTTTTCTCAGCTAGCGAAGGCAGGCATGTTTTGGGCACTCACAGAATGGGCTGAATGCGACATGAGCGTACGGCGAAGCACAGGGACCACAGGCACTCACCATAGCGTGATTGCCTGCAAGGATGCACAGGCTCATGCCGACTGAAGAGTGTCAGCAATGCGTCGGGTCGGCGATGCCCTAACTAGACGATTCCATCGACTCACCGATCATCGGCCACGCATTGCGGAAGGGCACCATGCCAGCATCCACCAGCGACATGCCACCGCCTGTATACGAGCTCATGACCTGGAAGACGGAAAACCTGCAGGCGCGATCAGACTCATGCAGCAATACAGTAGCACAGATGCACGCACCACCCTATGGTGACCGGACGCACTTGCCCACCCGCTTGAGCGGCTGGAATGGCATTGCTCGTCAGTGGATAACCGTATATACACGCTCGCCCACTGACCAAAGACGTCCGCGTATGCATTCGTCGCCGCAAGCCATGGTGCGAAGATCAGGCACGAGACAGCCTGGAAGCCGATGAGGTACTGAAGTCGACCGTCAGCCTCATCGTGCGTCGAAGACGGGAAGCAGACAAACCGCGGGAACCAAGTAGGACAGCAGCCGCAGCGCGCGATACTCCGCACCGCCTACGGTCAGTCAGTCAGTCTGAAGCCGACGCCGCAGACCGCCGCTTCACGCACCGATCTTCTCCACATCATCCTCCGTCAGCTCGTCCGTCTCGAAGTACCCGTTCCGCCAGACGCGCAGACGACCCCGGAGGTCTGCGAGGAAGGAGTCGTGGCCGGTGTGGTGCTCTGTCTGACGGGCGAGAGCGTATGTGATGTGAGTTCGCTGTGTGAGCTGACGAAGTAGTGCGCCCTCACCTTCACCTCCAGCGCATTCTTCAACTTGTCCGTCACGCCCGGCGCAGCCGCTCTCGCTGCCGCTGCCAACAGCGCCGCAGGCCCAGGGAAGCCGCCGAGCCCGGTGTACTTGTGCGGAGACTCATAGCGGGTGGAGAGCGGGTCGGCGTAGGGCGGGCTGGGTAGTGGAGATCAGCGGGGTCGTCAAGGTGAAGAGGGGGAGGACAGCCAAAAGCAAGGCAAATGAGACGAACGACAAATAATGAGGTGAACGACAAATTTGGTTCAAATGAAGTGAGAAGACACCTCATATGAAAGGTCAGAAGACAGGCGCAAAGTTAGCCTGTATCAACTGTGACGGCAGGAATATACAGTGTGACGAGAGGGATTGAATGTGAGACGAAAGGGATTGAATGTCTAACGGAAGGAGCCAAGATGACGGATAGTAACAGACGCCGGAAGCACGCAAGTTCACGTACCCATTCATATCGACGGCGTTCTTGCGCGCCGGTGTGTTCTTGCGGGTGGGTTGCGGGAGATTGGGCGGGTAGACCATGGTTCCTCGAGGTGCGAGGACAGTCGTGCCGCGACGAGTGGGGAAGCGTTCTGAGACATGTTGAGCAAATGTGCAAGACGGAAAAGTTGCGAGGAATCAGCAACTCACCCATCATCTTCTGCTGTCTCTCTACCGCGTCTGCAAAAGCTACACCAGTACCCTTTCGCTTGGCCGCCCGACTCCTGTGCCCCAACGACACCCCGCTAGCGCGCGAGGCTACTGGCGTAAGCTGCGGCAGGTCGATGTTGCCCGACTGCGGGGATGAACTAAGTATCTGCGCATCTGAAAGGAATTGCTCCTCCGCCGTGTCCGAGTCGGAATCGGAGTCGGCGTGCAGCAGATCGTTCAGAAAGCCGGAGCGATGGCGGTCCCTCTCGACGAGGGTCCCCGCAGGAGTGGGGCCTGGCGTCGGGTGCTGAACGCCAACTTTGGGTGTCGCACGACCGTCGGAGGGAATGAGGGTAGCATGGGTGGAGGGGGCCAACGCAGTGGCCTGAGCGGAGAGCGTCGGCTCGGTGGTCGTAGGGGCAGACAACTGGTCGATGATGCCCTTCTTGGTGCGCTGCATCCACATGGGGAGCCGACGGTGCTCCTCGAGCTCCTTCTTGACGACGTACTCGCACTTGACGCGGAAGTAGCGCATGCGGACGAGGAGCATGCAGTAGGAGACGGTGGTGATGTTGCCGCAGAGCATTAGGATGTACAAAATGACCTGGGGGTATACGCGTCAGTTCGTCCATTGGTGAACATAGGGAGCGGGGCACACGACACGCACCTGCTGGACCTTCGATAGCGCGCTGAGGTTGGCGGTTGCCAGGCCGCACACGGTCATAGCGCTATAGCACAGGAACAGCGCGTCGAGGTAGGCAAGGTTGATCGGCTCATCTCCAGACGTCGTGGTCGTTGTGGACCCGTCATGCGGGCCAGCCGCATAGAAGATGCCGGACAGAATGAGGGGAATGAACGTGAACGCTAGCAGATGGACGCGGAAGAAGTTGAGGTCGCTGATCTCGGCCCAGATGGCTTTGAGTCCCGTACGCGGTGGGGGGCTGGGATTATCGCCACCTGCCTGCCCGTCGGGGCCATGGCCGTTCTCCACGTCGGCGGGGGAGGACATTATTGGGTCCGCGGAGGCAAATGTGCCTGTCGATCGTTGTCGCCGTTTGCAGCCGCTGCTCTTGTACGCCGTGTCCTGGACCGTGGGGCGCTCGGTCGACTCCCCTTCGTCAGTGTCGGATCCACGTCTTGCAGATCGGCTCTTCGTCCTCGCGTAAAGTTCGTGGGCGGTGTTCAGGAAGCAGACAGACCCCGGTCCTCGAGGCGGACGCCGGACGCGCAGCGAAACATCATCGGCCCGGAACAGAGTAAGAATAGGACATCGAGACTGGTCATGATGCATGATGAATCACCCATCGCTGATTCGTATTCATCTCGTCCATCCCCTCAAGCTCACATTCGCGATTTATTTGCAGGGACGAACCGACCCAACTGATTCTGACCTTGCAGTGGTTCAACGTTCAACTCGCAGCATATCGCGTACAATCCTAACCTTGTCCACCAGCTGATGCATGGGCGCAGCCAAGAATGCGAGGGAGGCACCTTCAAGCCAAGGATACTGACATATACAAGAATACCATTTTGCTACTGTCCCGAGCGTTGGCAGGGCCTTGAGATGAGTTGTTCGCAAAATGAGGATCGCAACTCGCCATGCAAATCTTCTGCCCGACGAGCGCTGTTTCGATCTATATGCAAGCGGGTACAGATGGGTAGAAGCCAGTCTATCATCACGTTGGCGATGCGGCACGTCCCCGAGGCCACTTTGCGCATCCAATCGCGCCGGCTTCGTAGATGGCCATCGCGTGCTACGCGTAGGCGGAGGCGCCGAGGCATCTTCGTGTGTCCCAGTACGCCCTCCCACATTCGCACCGACTCGTACCAATCCAGCCGAACCTGCCCCATTCCCCGCATCGGACGTGCGCTCGTCCCCGAGGTCCACATCTCATAATGCAAGCCCTCATCTATGCGATGAGCCGCATGACGTTCTCGTACACCGTAAACACGATGCCTCCGCTGCACTATAGAGATCGTCAGCAAATCCAACCTTGACAAGACCCAGCCAGAGCGGCCACAAGAAACAGCTTGAACATCGTGTACTCACCACCAACCGCACCAACCGCGGGCCCGTGCCCGTCCAGAAGCGCAGGATGCCCTCTTCGGTGGCAATCCGGTACGCGCAGTGCAAGACGCCGCGGTATTGTGAGCGCGCGTCGAGGGATTGCATGCGGGTCTTGACGACGCTGAAAAAGGGGGGTAAGCATATGTTCGTTGAACAATTCCAGGGTAGACGAAAAATGGAAAGGAGGAGGTCAGACAGCACGCATGGCGCACATAGGTGAAAGAGGGAAGCACGAGGGAGTTCGAAGACTCACTCTAGCGGCATCGTTGTGTAGACGGTGACCAGCCCCGCGACAGCACCAATACCGAATGTGATCGTGGACGGTAATTGCTGGCCGGGACGTGCGGTGGACTTACATGCAGGGTGAGTATACAGCCTCAAGAAGGATGGGGAGGGCCACACACCTGCACGAACTGCTTAAGCGTCGTGTACGTCGTGAACCGAACGGCCGAGTTCGCGCCTTGTCGGGCCATCTAAAAGAGATATAAGTGTCGCTACTCCAGGAGAGCAAAGGTCAATCTTCATGAGCACCCACCACTGGTATCAAGCCGCGGTATATCCCCCGGATGCCCTCTGTGCGCACGATGGATATAGTGCCGTGCACGAGACCGCGGTATTGGGGGTTCGGGCGCTTCGCGTCGTCGATGAGCTTGGTCCTTGAGAGAGGTATGAGTGGGCATGCTCTCATCAAGAAGGAACAGACGCGCGCACTTGATAGTTTCGCTCGGCGTCACCGCAAGTACCGCCTCGGCCATTCCCGCGCCCAACCCCGCTGCAAGCCTCATGAGCGGCCTGTCCCCCGGGCACGACCAGTCCCAACTCACCCAGCAAGCTTCTCGGCGCGCTCACTTTGCCCTGCATATCAGTTCAGCACTCTCTCCTCACCGCCCGTCACCCCTACTCACATTTTCGTCCGCCAGCATCGCCTTCAGGTGATCGTAGGTCAGGAACCTGACCCCCGCCTTCGCCGCGTTCCCCACCACCAGCGCGCCGCACCCCGCGTACAGGCCCTTCACGCCATGCTCCTGCACGGTGCTGCGCAGGATGCTCAGCGGCGCCTCCCGCTTCCCGCCGAACTGCGCGCGCGTCTTGACGAACTCGGTCGGGTAGGTGATGAAGGCCTCGACGGCGCCCGCGGTCGCGCCGGCGAAGAGGGAGTGCGCGGCCTTTTCGCGCTTGGGTGGGGAGGGGGCGGCGGAGGGGGAGGGGGAGGCCGCGGCCGCGGCTGCGGTGGTGGCGGTGGTGCTCATGGTGGGAGGAGAGGGCGGTGAGGGGGCGCCGACTCACTGACGCGCTCGACGCCACGCGCGGTGATCGTCGATCGGCGTGGCGCGCATCACGACGATGAGCTTCGAGTTCGACTCAACCTCGACCTCGATCCCCATCCCTTGTAGTTCGTCTAACAGCACTACCGTATTGACAGCTTCTGATATGGCGTGTTCGTCCTCTCTTCACCGCTGGACTTTATCTGTCCGACTCTCAACCTACTCGCACAGTCCGGAGATCAAGTCGACTTCACTCGAAGGCGATGGTCATGGCCCTCTGAGATGAACATCGATTTCTCTTAGGGTAGCAGGAACATAGTCTTCTATACATTTCAAGCTTTCCCTCTAGTTAGGATATGCTGGGACAAGTCAGGAGCTTGTGCCAAAGGCCCAAAGCAGAGATTCTCGGCATTTGCCGTCTGCGGAAGAAGCCGAATGCGATCACCCTTACCTAAGTTCCACGAGACGTGCTCTTGACTTCAACACCGAACAAGCAAAAGCGACTTGCCTCGCGACTAATCTTCTTACGGTCATTTTCACCCAGTAAATTTCGATCCAGGGCGCTGCGTATACCTCAAAAGCGTCACTCGCTGAGATCCAGGCTTCGACAGTTGAGCATATTCAAGTGGCGCTGAGCAAACAACAAGGCATCTTGTTCCGGACGCGCAATACGAACGCATCCGTGGGGTAAACCGAACATAGAAAGTGTAAGTGTAGTCTATATATGCCAGTCAGCTCTCACTATCTGGGTTTTCTTCGCTCTTTGATGTCTTTTGGCCTCATTCTAGCTGGCTTCACTTGTCCTTTACCTCTAAACCCTGTGGTCTTTTACTAATTTATCCATCAGTCCTGACAGTTCTCCCCATTGGCAAACCAGGATGGTACGAACATACGAGAAGTTCACTTACTCCGGCTCTCCCTACTTTCCCGATCGCGGCCCGTATGGAGTGGCAGAACCCATAACAGAACGAATCAACGTGAGTCTCCCTCCTCTTCAGCAAACCACTTGCACAGGCGCTCCACGGCGAGGCCTTGGTAAGGTCAGGATGTATGCTGATCCTAATTTTTGCAGCCGCACTCGAGACCCGCTGTCTCGTACTACTTCCCAAAGGGCGTGGGCTCTTATCATTTCGGGGTGAGCTCTGAGAGTTCTATAAGTTTCTGTCACACTCAAATACCCTCCGCAGGAACTACATCCCATGAAGCCGCATAGGCTCACGCTTACCAACGCGCTCGTCATGGGATACGGGCTCGACAAGCAAATACACGAGATCTTCGACGCACGACCAGCCACCCGAGAAGAGCTCGAAGTATACCACGACGCGGATTATATCGAATACCTGAGCAAGTACGTTCGGCTCTCTGCGACTCTTCATCTCCTCGCCCATCCTCTCGACACCCGACTCACCCGACTCACTGACTCACCCACCGCGCTCCAGAGTCACCCCACAAAACCAGAAATCCATGAAAGCTGAGGTAGAGGCGCACAACTGCGGCGAGGACTGCCCTATCTTTGCCGGCATGTACGATTTCTGTCAAAAGTACGCCGGCGGGACGCTCGCCGCGGCGCGTAAGTTGTGTTCTGGGAAGACCGACATCGCTATCAACTGGTCTGGCGGGCTTCACCATGCAAAGCGAGGCGAGGCAAGCGGGTTTTGCTACGTGAACGATATTGTGTTGGGTATTCTCGAATTGCTGAGGTTAGCCCTACTAGCTCTTCACATCGTCCAATATACAGAATTGCTAACCGAATCTAGATACTACCCACGAGTGCTATACATCGACATCGACATCCACCACGGCGACGGCGTTGAGCTGGCATTCTACCACACGAACCGCGTCATGACACTCTCCTTCCACAAATACACCGGCGAGTTCTTCCCGGGGACCGGCAAGCTGGACGACAACGGCATAGGTCTGGGAAAGCACTTCGCCCTTAACGTGCCACTGCAAGACGGGATTGACGATAAGATGTATCTGGATCTATTCAAGAGCATCGTGAACGACGTGCGCGACAAGTACCAGCCTTCCGCTATCGTGTTGCAGTGCGGAGCGGACTCGCTAGGTTGCGATCGCCTCGGCGCGTTCAATCTGTCCATTGCAGCCCATGGTGCGTGCGTCGGCCACGTTCGCGCGTTCGGTATACCACTGCTGGTCGTCGGTGGTGGCGGGTACACGCTCAACAACGTCAGCCGCTGCTGGACATACGAGACCGCCGTGCTCGCCGGCGCGACAGTGCCCGACGCCCTTCCCCGAACACCCTACGACTCCTTCTTCGCCGACTCGCGCTGGACGCTGCATCCACCACTCACCGGGCGCGTCGACAACCAGAATACGCCGCAGAGCCTCGCGAAGATCACGAGCGCCATCCGCGGCAAGCTGCGCTACCTCGAGGGCGCGCCCAGCGTGCAGATGCAGGAGATCCCGCCCGACCTCGAGGGCCTGCTCGCCGAGGAGGTGCGCACGGCGGAAGAGCAAGCAGAGGAGCGCGGCGCGGAGTCGGCCGGCGAGTTTCGCGAGGCAGAAGAGAAGGCCGAGCCTGAGGGTGCCAGCGATTCGATGCGCGTTGATTCCGAGGACGTGGAGGCGGACACGTCGGGCGTGTACGGGCGGCGAACGGGCCCTGCCCGGCGAGCGCGTACGCGCACCCGGGCGAACGCGGTGCCACATCCTCACACGGACGACGACAGCGCGTCCGACGCGCCCGCGCCAGCAAAGAGGGGAAGGGGCAGAGGGCGCGGCCGCCCGCGCGGTCGGGGGAGGGGAGGCAGGGGGAGAGGGGCGCGGCCCTCAGCAGCAGCCAAAGAGGATGCCAGCGCCGGGGCAGAGTCGTCCACGGTGGACTCCCCGGCGCCGGATATGGAGGTAGATAGCTGATCCGGGATCTGCCGATGCATAGGCACGGAAGTTGAAGTTGCGTCACGCGTGACAACTCTTCTTGCCACCGACCACTGCGACCCCCGTTGCTAGCCTCCTGTCGTCTTTCACCCACTTTTCGTCTTGCCGATTGTATACTACTTGGACTATCTCGATTGTACTCGGACTCTCATCGCATTTGACGCCTGCTATGGACCGCCTCTTCCTCAGCAAAGACAGCTTTCTCTATGACTTTCCGCCGGCTGTCGCTTTGCTTGGGAAAAACCATGACCGAGCAGTCGCCAAGCTGACGCCATACCTCGAGGATGGCTCACTATCTCAGAGGGACTTCGATAGCACCCTAAACCTGGTCGACACCGTAATGGACCAGCGTCTTAGTGTGAGTGTGCGAACCTTCTCGAAAAAATGTACGTTATTCATCCATATCGCAGCGGACGAACAGAATCCTCCACTACGCCGGATTCTGTGCAGTCAGCATGCTTGCTACGAACAGAATGCTATCGCGGCGACGACATCAGCAATCGTACACGTCTCTGAGTGGACTGAGTGGCCTGATTCGTCTGATTTGTCTGAGTGCCGCGATTTTCAGGCCCGTTCAGACCAAATACAGGTGCAGATATAATTTCTCAGACCAATTAGCTGCCTGCTAACCAGGTTCGTCTGGCGCTGGTCTGACTCTGATCTGAATCGAGTCTGATAGACAGCTACTAGTTATGTGCGGTATAGTAGAAGTACAGAAGGTCTTCGCTATGCATGCGAAAGGGATCTTAACGATGCGTAGGGTACGAGGGACGATGAAAGGAGTGATATCTCGCAGCGAGCGTACAGTGCAAGGCCGATAATGAAACCGGCCGAATGCGCTCGGCATCGCGGATTGGGCGCGCGCCGTCGCACGTTGCCGCGCAAGTCCGCGACTGGAAGCTGGTGAGGCGGGGAAGGTCGTCGGGGAGCAGCGCGGCGCGAGTCGCTGGGAAAGCGATGAGGAAAGGCAGATGCGGTCACGGCAACCAATGCGGCGAGCTATGCCTGCTGGTCAGAACAAGCCGTCGCGGCGAGAGTCTGCTTCATGCGCCACGACAGCGAGAAGGTCACCGATGCGGCGAGACACTTGTGCATGTAAAGCACTGGGATTTGCCCACGGGCACGGGGGCGCGGCGACGGGTCAACGCAGTCAATGCAGAGAACGAAGCTTCATGAGGGTAAGGCGGGAATTCGCCAAGTCACAGGGGGTTGCCCTAAAGTCGATCGTCTGATGACGTTGTCGCGTCAGCGCCAAACAAACAAGCCTATCCGCTGTCCTCGACTCCCGCCCTTTCTGACCTCCTCAACGTTGTCGTGCGGCCCGGATTACTTTCCCTTGTCGTCCTCGCTGAAGCTGCTCGTTCCCGGCAGGCCCGGTCGTCGACATAGGATTCCCGGTCAAGTACGGGAATCAGGGAATGAGCATGACTGTGTCAACGCTTATAGGTGCGTGTGCTAGTGTACAACCGGTGCGTCGTCACTCATTTGCTGCAGGCTCCTCCTAGGGCTGTATGTAGGGGCGTGTCGCCCAGCTCTCTGCACGACCCATTCCACAGACGCGGTGCAGTCGCTCTGAAGATGGTGCGTGCATCCCCAGCTTTTCTAGCGTCAAGTATAATCTCTGACAATGCTCCTATGCCAGGTCGACTTGGTAAGCGCGTTGTGTTCGGCCATTACCTGCATAGCACAACCTTCGGGCGTGTACACGCGCGTCGTGTTCTCGTAGGCTTGCGCGATGCACGCTAGAGTGGTAGCTTTAGAAACAGTATATCCCGTAGTATTCGTTGTATCTAGATAGCCTTCAATACATTCATTTTCGATGCAACTACCGTCTGATTGGAATGGCCTATAAAATGCGTGTTCTGAGGCAATGAGACGGCCTGGCTACGGCCTATGAATGACCTGAATAATGTCTGTGCGAGCGACTGTACGTGGTCTGTTCAGTCTGAATTGTCGACGTCTGAAAGGGCTGGTCCCAGAAAAGTTGGGCTGAACTCAGGCAAGAACCTGTAGAAAACAGTCCACCTGCCTGAGCGTCTGATTGGTCTGAACTGGCCTGAACGGCCTGATTTCAGACCAATCAGACAAGTGCACGATTGCTGATGGATGGCCAAACCCCGCGCGCGCCGTAGTCAATATGGTGTCAGCAGCAGCAGTAGCCGAGCTCTATCTGGTGAACCGAGTAATCCTCGTGGACCACACTAGATGGGAAGGCGGCCTCGCCAACCGTACGCGCATGCGTGGCATACTCTCCGAGCTGGCTCACTTAGGTAATTTCGCTTCTTTACCGCGCCTACACGACAAAATCTCACGCTTCGACAGAATACGGCACGGACACAGCGGCTCAGGCTGAGCAATCAACAACACCCGAAGCTGAACAGCCTGTTGGGCGATGGGCAGAACTCCGCAGGAAGTGGGCGGCCTCGAGAGCGACGCGAACCTCTGGCGCCCAGACAACTGCCCGAGCCACCGATTCCGATGCGCCTGTAGAGGTCGTGGCGTAACCCATACCAGCACTTCCGCACGAACCTGCCGCGCTGACTGCAGAAGAAAGGCGATTCAAGGAGCTCGTAGACATACGGGAAAGGACTTCGTCGTACTGATCTGCCCTTTGAGGTTGTTAGATGTACTTTCTAGATTGTACATCTCCATCATAGACGACCCAGCCCCCTCTCGACCACTGTATCTCGACATCACATATCCATAGATAACATATAGCCTAGTACTTCCCCTCGATATCTCATTCTCGTATACAGCACGGATGCCCTCCATACATCAATCCCCCTTCACTACCGACCCATCCCTCATATGAATTGTATAGCCTCCCTTTAAGACAGCTCAAAGATTAGACGCTTCTCACCGGAACTCACTCTTTACACGACATACACAATCACCGTGCGGCGGTGAGGGGTGCGCATTGAGAGTATGGACAAGTATGGGTCCGTATGAATCGCGCGCACGTGCTCTATTACCGCACGGCTTCCGACCGCGTCCAGTGCGGTCATCTTCCTTCCTACCTTCACGCCGGTGAGTTTGACGAGAGATCATACTGTGCAGCCATAAAGAATAACCTAGCCTCGAAAAGCCTGAACAGACGTGAACCATGGACCCCTCAGCTGGGTCCTCCTTCGGCGCTGAATCAACCGGCAATGGCGAGCCAGACCGGCGGATGCCGTTTCCTCTAGCAATTCTGGGCACGCAGCGCGAGACCGCTGCCAACCTGCTTAGGCCCTATATCGAAGAAGGCCGCTTGAGCGAAAGTGATGCAGCGCGCACGCTTGACCTTGTGTCAGCGGACAAGACGGTATGTATTCAGCTGTCTGTTCGTCAATACCTAAATACGGCACGAGCACCTATATGTCGAACGAACTGATGATTCTATGCAGATTTTCCACCGTGCGGTCGTCCCCGCGGCTGTAGGTACCGCGGTCTCTGTTGTGCTATACTACGCGATGTCCCGCAGGGGATACTCCCTGGGCAAACGCGTCATGGTCCCCGCTGGCGTCGGCACCATCCTGGGTGAATTCATCACCATAAAGCGCCTTCGGGACGACTACGCGGGCTGGAAAAACGGACTGACCGACGAGCCTGCTATGCGCGAGGTCCTGCGCGAGCTGATGTATGCTAGTAAGTTGGCTCATGTTCATACGCGCTCAGCATTCTGGTTCTGACGCGCCACAGACAACCGCCGCAGGGAGGCGCCAGGTTCGGGACCCGCGCCGGCTCCCGGTCGCGTCCAGCAGCAGGTGCAGGCTGACGCACCTGTCGACCGCTGGAGCGAGCTGCGCAAGGAGGCGGGCGTGACGCAGCCGTCGTCCTGGGATACGCTCCGGCAATCGAAAGGGCGGGCGGGGCTGCCTCCGCCAGTGGCGCCAGCGTCGCCCATCGGAGCGCAGGCAGCGGCAGCGGCGTCGCCGCCCGCGGAGCAGCTGGAGATGACGCCCGAGGAGCGGCGCTTCAAGGAGATGATGGACAGAGAGAACAGGCCGTCGATGTAGCGTGCTGAATGCGACGTAACTTGCGAGCAATCCCCTCTCTCACTACTGCTGGGTATGTTCAGTGGCGCAAAGAGACAGTGCGGAACTAGCAATGTGCGTCCAAGAAGCGAGCGTCATGTCATTCGTGGCGTATAGGACAACATAATTCGTACACAACAGGTATCAAGTTCAGTCTTCGCTAAGATAAGTCCATCGCACGTAAGTAGTAGATACTCAAGAATGCAGTCCTCGGCCGCAGAGACACGGACGCTGTAGGCTCTTACACGCGCGGTGCATCCCCGCCCGTTGAAAGCACCCCATCATGCCGACGTCTAAGAGGCAGCGCAAAGATGCAATCACTCATGAGTCGGCGTACAGACGCCAAAGTCCAGGAGGGTTTACATCGCCTGCGTCTCCAGCAGCGCATTCTGCACCAGCCTCAGCGCCTGCTCCGAGCGCGGCTTCATCGAGCACTGGAAGGACTTGGGATGCCTGCGAGTTGCGTTAGCAGCATGATTAAGATGGGAGCGGTATGTAGGATCAAGGTGGCGAGCGGTCCCGCGGAGCCGGCGCCCCGACTCTGGGGGACAGTCGCTCAACTCCGGGGACGGTCGGACGCCCGATTTAGGGAACGTAATCCCCGATTTCGTAGCTCGTGTGCCCGATACTCCCAAACTCCCGCCCGATGCCCGATCCTCTCCAAATAGAGCACTGACCTGACGAAGCCCGTAGAGAACTCATTCGAAGGCGTGATCTCCGCGCCAGTCTCATCCCGCGCCTTCTCGAGGTTGAATACGGCAGAGATGCGTGAGTTCAAGAGCCAGAGTGCCGCGTCTGCGAGGTGACGACCAGGGCTGAAGACGTTATGGTCAAGTTCACGCGATTCATGATCGCTCCGCGGTGTACATACCATCGCCTACAGAGAAGAATGAGTGAGCGATGGCCTCCGAGCACATACGATATGTACGTACCTTCGTCCGAAGCCAAACACGCAGTCTGAAGCAAAGAAAGAATGGAAGTCCAGGTCAGCACCCGACAGGTATCATCACGACGGAGACGAACCGCGTGGATCTCGCAAGTCAGGATTCTCGAGGTAGCGTTCCGGGCGGAATTGATGGGGGTTCTCGCAGTCGTAAAGCATAGCGCTGGACATATCAGATAGCAGCAAAGGCGGAAATTGCTCGAGACGTACTAGATGTTGGGTAAGACGTATGCATCTTCTGGGATGAGGTAACCCTTGTAAATGTCGTCCTGTCGCGGGCGATGTCAGCCCTAATTCGGCAACCAAAGATGCTCATACCTGCATCAGGCGATGGGGTATCGCAAGCGGGACCGGGACGTTCCACCTGAGAGTTCAATCACTGAATTTGACTCTTGCGTCTTACAGCGATATGAAGCGCACCTGTAACACTCCTTTATGACACACTCGAGATACGGCATCGATGGGCGATCCTCAAAAGAGGGAAGGCGGTCGGAGCCAACGACGCGGTCTATCTCCTCTTGAACCTTGGCGTAGACCTCTGGATAAAGAACCATAGCTAGAATGAACACTTCCGCCATGCAAGTCGTCTTGGATACGTTAGCCACATGGAAAGCGCGCAAGACAATGAATCATACCGTATCCTCCGCGGCTGTCACCTACTTAGCACAACTCCCGCAATCGAAGTCCTCACGTACCCGCGAAAAGCGTTCCCGCGGCGCCCTTGATGTCATCTTCGTCTTCCTGTGACAAGATCCCCTTGCCAGCCGCAGTGTGCTGCTCGAGCATCTGCGCCGTGAAGGATGGCTGCGCAGTACCGACGCCCTGGCACATCATCAGTCATCACCCTCTAGGACGATTCGCCGCGCTCACCATCTGCTGCTTGACCTGCTCGAAGGGGAGGGTCATCATCTTGTCGACGGCTTGTCGGGCCTCCTCGGCTTGTTTCTTGAATCCTGACAGCGGCGCCCAACTCGGTAACTTCCTGTGCATGGTTTGAGTAGAGACATACGAAAGTCAGGAGCGCTCACGTACTTCAAAGACGGGAAGAATTCGACTAAATTCGAAATGGGATACATATTGCCAATCTGCACTGTCAAGGTAGAGGCATGGTCGACTGCGAGCTGACGTTAGAGCGTACGCTATCGAGGGGTTCTCATTGCACTTACCGATCTTGACTAAAGGATCATCAACGGACGCGACATCGTGACCGTAAGCAACCTTGAGCATAGTGCCTGCTGCAAATCTGAAACGACATGAGCTATCGGCTAAAGGCCGTCCAGCCCTCAAGAAGCCGCACCCTTTGATATGGTCCATCCAATTATCTGGGGTCTTCAATAGGTTATCGAGCGCGATAGCAGTCTGGCGCAACTCCAGAGGTGTCATGCTGTCGACGGCCTTCTGGTTCAAGACTTGTTGAACGAAGCGCCGGTGCTTTCGGAAGCGCGGACCGCTGCAGGCACATTAAATCGACGTTGGGTGAAAAAATGAATGGGCGTACTAGTGAACGTGAGTAGTGGCATTGCCCCATCCCATCCTATGGCATACGGTTAGCACCATGCGAAAACCACAAGCACATCATGACTGACAGTTCAGCAAGCATCACGAATCGAGGACGGTCGGAGTAGATGGCGCTACGCCTCTCCATGAGATCCTGAGCAGCCTCGAACGTGTTGAGTATGATTATATGTTTGCCGAAAATTTCCAGATGGACGACGTCGCCTGGCCTACAAGTCAGCCTACTGCAACCCACAGGACCCGGCGCTGCGCCGCATCTCACCATATTGCTCCCTCCACTGCATGAACGTGGCCTCCGGCGCCTGCGTGGGCATGTCAAGTACATTGCCTATGAGCGGCTTCCGCCGCGGACCAGGCGGATAAGGCGGGCGTGAACTCCCGGGTGCGTACAACAGAGTCGCAGCACCGACGGCGCAGGCGATGGCGATGGCGCCCGCGGTCGTGGATGACATGGTGGTGGTGAGAGAAGACATCGAGTCCCACGCCTTTACGCATATGAGCGTGTCTCTTTTATACCTAGTAGACGGCATGTCACGCGGGTCTGGGCGCCCACATTTTGAGCCATCGGGGGTCGTGCGTCCCGATTCTCTTCCTATGAGATCGGGATCGGGCTTTCGGATGATTGAACAAGACAGCTCATCGATCAACTATCCCAGGTATCCCCTGCAGTTGTTTGGTCAGTCGTCTTCACCCGATAGGGTGGGCGGGGAAGCGTGGCCATCTGTGGGAAATCAACGTACCTCTTGTCTACTCTATTCGAGCGTGCGAAGTACATGCGGCGAGACCAGTATCATATTCTTGTGGGAGTCGAAGGGCGGTGGTCGAGAAGCGGCAGAGGGAAGTCAAGCTTGGGCTTCACGCCGCTGAGTCCATCCCTCGACCGTAAGCCTCCCGTTGCGGCTGATACCCTTCAAGCCCCCTCGGGGCTGTGAGTTAAGCGACATCTCTGATGTATCGGCATCAAAGCCCGATTCAGGTCGACTAGCGACGTGATAGCAGCGTACGTATTGTAGCGTACGCTTGCGGGCTGCGCAAGAGCAGCATCGGCCCCGGCCCTGATCCCGATACTTGGAGAGTTCGGCGCGGATCCTGCCTTTCGTCTGGCCTGCCAAGACCGGACTGTTCAACTGCTCGTCAGTATTCAGTCTAACAATGTCAGCGAGAACAATAACCCGAACCTTGAGAAGGGAAGCATAGTCGCTCTTCCGGATGCGAGACGTCGAGAGCCTGTCGAGAGCTATGCCTGTCAGGTGCTCCCTGTGTATGTCAGACGCCCGCCACCGGAAGATACATGGGAAGTACACCTAAAAGCATCAGTAGACACTGGTGGCGTATGTATTGGGTTAGCACGAGGCATCATGAAGATCGGGGTGCTGATGCACATGCACCCATGCGCGGGAATGAGGCTTGCTCGCTGGTTAGTGCATGGCAAGGGGGTTTCAATCCGCCAGTGTTGAGAAACTATCTCTGCATTCTGTCGGCGACGAATGGGCAGTGGGGCGCCATGATTGTTCGTTGAAAGGTACATGGGAAGTTGCATGTCACACTGGTCACGAGATACGGTGGCGCGTCACATATACGGCCCTGCCCGCAAACCAGTACTGCTCCCCCACGAAGGGCCGCCCGCTGCAAGGCCGTTCGCCAGAGGGAAGCTCTAGTTTAGTTTTTATCGTGCTTTCGGCCTTGAATTGATTGAACGCGAATTAACAGGCTACAAAGTCTATAGGTCCCGAGGAGCGAAGAGGCAATGGGTCTGACGGTATGACAGAAATTATGAGGTGTAGGCCAGAAGAATGAGATAGCCGTACTGCCGATCCTAGCCGATACACTAGGCGGATAGCTTGTCATCTTCCCTTTCAGGTGAATATGTACGACTTGCAACCAGCGAGCAGCGACACCATCGCACCACTTGCTTGAAGGGTACTCGCATCGCGGCAGCATTCCTCTGGGAAAAGCACTAGAAGGTCTGTCATCGTGATTCTACCACGGTAACCTACGGTGAACGCGCCTAGGCAAAGTTGCTCTACGTGCACAAGTAGAGTAGCGCAAATTCGTGTATGTACAGCGACGGATTCACCGATCGTGCATGCCTCGGGCGACAAGCAGTGAAGGCGAATACATGCAGGACCAGGGGAAGAACGGGCCAATATCATTCGCGCCAAAACCGCGGGTCAAAATCCTGCTTACCTGACCTCCTTCATCATCGGGTCTGCGCCGTACTCTGCCAGCTTCCTAAATCCATCGGGACGCTTCCTACATCCATCGGGACGCAACCAGGCCTTATCGGCCTGGCCAGCACGCAGGGAACTTACGTCCTGGCGCGCGCTTCTGGCCTTCCAACTGCTCCCGCGGAGTCTACCTGGGTTTCGCGGACTGTGGGCGTTCCCTATGGCGCAGATGGTCCCTGCATATGGCGGGCCTTGCCAGCGAGCTGTCGGCCGTCTCATAGCTGTCGACCGCCCCTTGGCAGACGACGCGATGCTGGAGACTAGACGTCTGAATGAACAATTAGACGGCCATCGGCTTCGCCCCTCGCACGATCCTTTGCTATTCATTTGGCGGACATTGCCGTCCCGCGCGCGCAGGGGATCGTCCCAGTGAGGACACTACGCCGGCTCAAAGTGCCGGTGACCCATAGCTGATCGCCCGATTGAGGTTGGCGCACCATATGAGGTTGATCAAGCATGCTGGGTAGCGCGCATGAGGCGCAGCTGACGTGCGTTCCAGGTTCCACCCTGCGTATTCGTCGTCTGCGCCTTCCCGAGAGGCGGTTACATGGGCCAATAGCGACCCCCCGCATCGCGTGAACACGCTTACCACCTTGCAAAACTTACAGCACACGGCACGATGACCAAGTGGGCGACGCACTAGCATGAGGGGCGCGATAATCCAACGTACATCGGGATCAACGGCGCCCTGAGAGATGTGCTCTTCTTGGAGATATCAGAGAAAGCATATGAAATGTGGGAGACATACCTGAAATTCCCGCTGACTTACGCGGTTTGTCGTGGCCTGAAAGCTTCGAGCGCATGCCAAAGGCGTTAGTTTGAGTAAGGAGACCTGGCGAAGGTGAGAACACGCGACACATGGCAACAGCACCAATTTGGGGAGGATTTTCTTTGGCCAAGACACCGCCCATCGGGATCAACGACGTATGTAAACAGACCTGGGTACCATCACCGTCACTCCCCCACGATCGACGGCTTTCTGAGAAGGATGTTCTGCTTGGAGATATCAGTCAGAAAGGAGAAACAAGAATTAGGGTCGGTGGCATACTGAATTCAAACGTCCTCCGCGTTGCGACGCCATTACGGGACGAGAACACGCTAGGCACCCTTTCGTGTGAGTGGCGAGGCCTTTAAGGCGAAGACCTCACCCTGGAAGCGAGGCTATAGGAAGGAGGGCGTAGGCTTGGAACAGCAATGCGACTCTATTCGGAAGTCTTTAAAGAAGTAGCAAGCTTGCCGTCTACGACGGTGCATGACCTGTGATTCGCCCTGCTGGGAGTATGGTGTGTAGAAATTCCCTTCGAATGAGTGAGAAAGGGTCAGCTACCTGACAGACTACACCGGATAGGAAACCGATACGAAGCCTGTTTCCCGGTCGCTCACAGGCTCCCAGAAGGTGCGAGAGTGGTGATGCATGCGTCTCCTAGACCCTTTAGTAAGCGCTTAATGAAAAATTTGAAGGCGGAGATGATGTAGACGGCCGACGATGATATAGACGGCACGGACCTCGTCACAAGGAATCCTTGACGACACCATCTTCGCTGAGCGCCCATACTTTCCCAGTGGTCTATCGATGGGAGAAGTGCGCGCGAGCCGTTGCCTATCGACCCTCTGACCCTTCGCGCGCTAGAAAGCCTCCTCCGAAGTGGCGCAGCGGTAACGTCAAGCAGCTCATGAGTCCTCGAGCAGATGCGATAGCAATCGAACTTCTGGCAGGAAACAACTCTGAGTACGTCGATGGGCCAGCCAATGGATTAAAATACGACAGTCACGTACGGATACAGCAATCGCGACCAGGGAACGATGCCCAGGCATCTCAAGCGCAGACGTCGCGGCTGAGCACCGTTTCCGCTGTCCGAGCTTTCACCTGGAAGTTACCGGTCAGCCCCATGGCTAACCGACTTGAGGTTCGAAATATCCGGCATCGAGGATAGTTATGTCGACATTACCTCTCATACGGCCACAAGAGCAGTCGCTCAGGCGGCGGCCACATATCATACAGGATGACCTGCATGAGCTCTGTCGGACGCCGAGAGGCTATGCTCGGTACCAAAGTGTCGACTGCACGTGCTAGCATTTCTCATCCAAAGTGCGCGCCGCAATTTCCTTGCGCCTTGGCATTCGACCGCGGCGTAGTTGAAGCTGCGCCCCACGACGGGGAGGCGCACAGCTATTCTTGGGCTTGCGACTTGGCCACGCGTCGGCTTACCAGAGTCGCTCGTGCGTGAAGAAAAATAGTAGAGCCTTCAGAAGGGGTGTCTTGGTTGCAAACATAGCGTAGCTCCGTTGCGATTCGGAGGCTTGATTAGTTCCGTGGACGGAGGAGGAGAGAGATGAGATTTCCGCCTGCGGGCACTCAGTGATCGCGGTCGGTGATTGCCGATACATAACGCACGTGGACGAATCTCCGTGATCCCGAGTTCCTGGATCTTGGCAAGAACTCATACTGCTCCCTCACATACGCTGCGATGGACCTTCATCGTGAATCTTCTTGGAATAACACTACCCTTCTGCTCGAACAGAGAGAATAACGAGCCGAAGAAGCGCACGGGGGCGCCACCGAGACATCTTCGTCAGGGCTGAACACCCGCCCCGCCCTCGATCTTCCGCAGGTTCCAGTTGCGCTTGCTCAGTCTCCCATCATGAAGCCAAGACAACTCACTTCTCCTTAACACCATGGCTGTATAAGACGCGCACAGCCTGGTTTGCGGGGGCTTGTACTCTTCAACCCTCAAGTCGCTTCATACACATCACTATACAGAAGGGTCTACCCACAACCACCCAGCATACCCCGACCATCAGCTGCCCCGCAAGTACGTCCAACTATACCCTTCTTTTCTTCCCCAGACTCAATAAGCATACAGTCGCATTCGCATCGTCATGAGCTATAACGACACCTTCAAAACGTTCCCCCGATCAAGATTTATCTGGAACGAGTACGATCGCATAGGCAGCGGCTCTAATGGCACCGTCACCAAGGCCGTAGACCGCGACTCTGGCCGCGTTATTGCGCTCAAGTTCCAGCGCCGCGATCGACGACCAGGAGCTCCCGTCCTTCGACAGCAAAGAAACGAGCACATCATCCACGCCACCCTCAGCGATCACCCCCACATCGTCACCCTTATCGACACCTTCGTCAACGAAAGTCATGTCATCACCGCCATGTCGATATGCAAGGGCGGCGACCTCTTTGCCGCCATCTTCAAGGACCACTTTCGCCTGCGCGTCGACGAGCTCAAGGACGGCTTCCTCCAGCTTATCAGCGCGCTCGAGTTCATGCACGACAACGGCATGTACCACCGCGACCTTAAGCTCGAGAACGTGCTTCTCTGCGAGGACATGGAGACCTGGAAGATCGCCGACTTCGGATGGGCGACCACGAACGAGATGACGGAGGAGCCAGGCCTGGGCAGCACCTTCTATCGCAGCCCGGAGATTTTGCGCGGGCACTATTACAACCGCGACGCTGACATCTACGCGCTCGGCATGATCTTCTTCGTCGCCGTCGCGCAGTGCAAGCCGTGGTCACAGCCCAGCAGGCGAGACGTCGACTTCCGCTTGTACCTCAGCCAGGGGCCCGCGTTTCTGCAATCCGTCGCTTGCGTCTCGGACGTGTTCAGCGGGTTCGTGGGCCAATTCCTGACCGCGGATCCGCTCGACCGCATCACCCTTGTCGAGGCGGAGCGCGAGCTGGATTCGATGAACTCTATCCACCTACGATGTATGCCTGCCGGCTTCCTTGAAGCGCCCCGCGCACCCCCACGCCCGCCTCGTAGCGCGGCCCGCAAGGCTGGCCAGCCTTCATCACTTCCGATGCCCTCCCTCGTCCGCACCACTTCGGTCGACACATGGAGTGCAAGCTCGTCTATCGAGCAGCCTTCTACACCCCCAGCGACGCCGCCTTCGACTTCTCCCGCCTCTGAGCCCGCCCCCGAGAAGGGTTTGCGGCGGACGCCGGCCATCCGGCGAGCACCGGCGATCCTCCCGGACGACTTTATGGCCACAGGATATATGGCGACACCGTCGAAGGTCATCGTGCACGAGGAGCGCGTGCAGCAAAAGCTCGGGCTGCGGAGTCGCGTTGGGGCGACTCTGCGGCGCGCGATACAGAGTCTCCAGGGCAGGAGAGCGACCTTCAGCTCCTTCAGCTTGCGCGGGTCGGAGTCGGGGGTTGCATGTTGATGAGGAATCGTCGCTTACTTTCCTGTGTACGTTTACGACCTGATTTGTGGGACTATGGATTATTGGAAGGATCGGATGCGCATCATGTACTCCTACTATCACCTTCGACACCACGGACATCACCATGCACTATGCACCCCTATTCTACTGTACTGCTGCCTTGAGCAATAATCAGATTTTCTTCTGCTGCTCAGCCGTCTCCTCGCGCCGTGACTTCGTGTCCTTCTCCGTAAGTCAGTAAACCCACGACGGTGCTAGCCACTACAGATGCCTTCGAGAACATTCGTGGCCAAATTGCCCGCTACTCTTATGACGCGCGTTCTTCCCCTTCTCTCCTTCGACTATCACCAGCAGCGTCTTATGCTACACCAGCAATTCGCTCTAGGACCTACAGCATGAGCAACGACAACGCCGATTCTACCAAACCCGCCGAGCCCCTGCTCCTCGAGGACAAGGCCGCGAACGAGAGCGTGACACGCCTCGACGTCGATGGAAACAAAGTCCCTCTCCTCGACGAGCTTGGGCCGATGGTGGTTAACAGCGATGGGGTGAGTATCTGAGGCTCTCCTATCCAGGGATAGGAAGGAAGGGATGATGCTGGTGTATGGGTGTGGTGCAGGGGATGCAGAACTAATGTCGTCGTAGACCCTCTCAAGGATAGCCAACTGGACAGAGATGACAGAGGCGGAGAAGAAAAATACGCTTCGTGTGCTTTCGAAGAGGAATCAGTGAGTGTCTTTCGAGCCGTGGACTGGAATAAAGAAGCCGACGTGCGTCAACTAGATTGCGACTGGTGAATGCGAAGGAAGCATCAGGGAACGCTGCAGAGAGTGCATGAACTTGTATGACAACGTCGACAAATTATATTCGGGGTCGAGAAGCAATGCTATTGTACAGTAGGCAGAAATTACGAGCGAAAAGGAAGGCAAGCATATATACAATGGATTTGAAAGCCACGAAAGGACAAGGAAAGCAGCGTAATAGGTCGCGAGACTGGAAGAGTATCAAGGTAGTAGGAGCCAAAAAGATAAAACATAAGATTCATTCTAGGGAAACCGGCCGTTCACCCACAGTTGCCAACCCACTAGGCTTTCTCACCGGCGTAGGTCGCCTTTCCTGAGAGAGCACGCGCGGATCGAACCCATCTTGTCCGCCACCCTCATCGCCGACACTGTCCCTACGCTCCTCCGCCCTCGCAACTTGAACATCCTCGCCACCGACGCCTCCCACATATCGCGGCGGCAGCTCCACCACCCGCGTATCGTCGCCATGGTACACCGTCACCGGCGCCGCGCCACCGTCGTGATGAACCACATAGAGGTTCTGTCCGCTCGGTCGAGGCGTGTCGGCGGGGCTGAGGGGACGCGGCGCTACAGCTGTGGCGCCGATCGAAGTGCCCGGAAACGCGCTGGACGACGGCGACAGCGAGAGGGAGGATAAGGCAGTAGAAGAGTCGCGCCGTTGAGCCGTGAAGGGATACACGGGCCCGGGCCCTGAGTCGCCTCGCTTCGTTGGGCTATGCGGTGTCTTGTTAAGGGTGTGATTCGGTGTCACGGCAGAATCTGGTAGGTGAGGGTCTATCCAGGGCGTAGGTTGGGCGTAGCTCGACGGAGAGTCGCCGTGGAGGTTCAGCGCTCCCTTCTCTGAGGTTTGTTGGGCTTTGTGGCGGCGAACGCCGAGATATGCCGCCAGCAAGCCTACAACGAGGCCTAGGACGAGGCCGCCGATTCCAGCTCTGAGAAATAGTCTTCACGAAGGTTAAGGTTTACAGCGGCATCGAAACGTACCCCGCAGTCGCTCCCGGGGAGACTCTGGTCGTTGACCTGCTGTACAATCAACTAGTGCAATAAGGAACTACTAGAGGAAGACCCAACCGACCTTCCCTCAAGGCAAGAAGTCCGGCCGTCACCAACGTGCGCTATCGGACTGGACCACAAGTTGAAGTCGGAGTCAACGATCTGAGTGCACCTATCAGCATCTTTTTTGTCAAAAGCATAGATAAAGGCTCACGGATACGAAGAACGGTTGCCCTAGGGCAAGGTTGACCGCCCAGCCTGGATGAATATTGAGCTAGAGGTTACGCGCTCGGCAGGGCATGGGACATACTGAAGGTATCCATTTCATCCACGGACCCGTTATACGGCGGAAGCAACGGCGATGCTACCTATGGCCTGTGAGTCTACCGTCGACCGAAGCGACGCTCGACTAACGCTCATCGTATACGGCGGGGTGCCATTGCGCGGTGTGAATTGTAGGTCAGAGCACTGAGGAGGTATTGGTTAGACACCATGCCCTAGCACGCAGCCAAGATGCAGAACGACCAACTCACCTGTCCCGGCCATGGCGGCCACGAACCTGATGCGTCGACTGCATCAAGGTCCAAAGGGCCCCTCAGCCAGTTGAGCGTGTCGTTCGTGCAAGACTCGCTGAAAGCCGTGGTGTTGGGCACGATGTTGATGATGGCCGAGCAGCCGCCGTTGGAACCGCTGGAGTCGAACTGGATGTAGAGGTTGGTACGCTGAATAGAGACCTCGAGACAGATGCGCACCATGCACATAAGCATCTATAAGGTATAGGGTGAGAGGGTGTCAGACGTGAAGACAAGGAGTGCTAGTGAACGCTCACTTCAGTCCCAGGCGCGAAGGGAATGGTAAAGTTGTATGTTGGGCCGTTGCCGGCGTCGAGGAAGAACGGCAGATCGTACGTCCTACAATGACAGCCGGTCAATTGCCCGGGGGCACGAACAAACAACCGCTGCCTCTTGACATACGCGGTATAGATCAAGAACGAGTACGGCGGCGTACTACTCGATCTTCGTTTGAATGAGCAAAATCGAGAGCAAGTCGGAGAACTGCATTACATACCCTGACGTCCGACTCCATTTCACGTACATGGTCTCGCATTGCTCTGAGTGGCGCCGCCTCTAGTGAGATGTATATTTCGAGCATTCCAATACGCACCGTAGACGGGAAAGGTCTTCGTCTCGCTGAAGTTTTTGTCAAAGAAACCGAAGATCCAGGACTGAGAATGTGGGGATCAGTGAGTATCTCGTCTCCAGAGATTGGTCGCGCACCTGCTCCGCGACTTTCAGCACCACCTCACTTGCCAGCGTACCCGCGCAAAGGGCGAACCACAGAAGGCCGCGCATGGAGGCGAGGCTAACAATCGATGATGGGGAATTGGGGAATGGGCGAAGAAGCTTGCACCGCCGTTCGCGGGCGACCTGATACCTCTCATATATATCCCCGCTCATGCCGAAGGTTTGGCGCCCGGCGCCCCGAGCGCACTGAATGTCAAGGCAAGGCGTGTATGTCTCGAAGTCATTCTAGGAGTTCGGCATCCCGCTGCCCTCGCTGCGCCTTGATCAGCGGCGTTATATGTCGGAAAGAGCAGTACAAGGCGCTGATGAACAACCGCCATAGATAAACAAATAATAAGGGGACGTACGCACTCAAACTTTGGGCTTTGCAAAATCCCCACCTCTCAACCAAGATATTCTTGTAGCCATGGCGCAAGGCTAGTGGGATACGGTCTTGGGATGAACATGACCCGGGAAGCCCAGAATCCTTCGAGGATGGACGATGCGGCCCGCGCGAAGGGCACATTCTGCGCACCTTACGAAAGGGAATGTGGGCGGCCTTCCCGGCAATTCGTCTACCCCGTGTGGCGTGAAGCTAAGCCTGGTAGCAACGGAGCGCGAGTCGCAGTCGAGATCGATCGTGCAGCAGAAGCACCCTTCCGTATCATACTCACCACCACGGGCGCGCCCTTGTAGTTCAAAGACAATGCATGCATTACCTGCCAAAGGCGAAGTCAATCTGTATCACAACCCGAAGTACGGGATACATGCGCCGTCAAGCTTTGTGGGTTACTTACTGGTTTCTCTTCAAGCAATAGACGAGTCGATAGAGGCCGCGATATCAAGTAAGGGCTTTCTTAGTCGATGGATCGCTGAGGTTAGGGCCTGAGATCTGAGGGCCAGGGTTACACAGCAAAGGTCGCAATTGTGGCGTTGATTGTAGAGTCTTCAGACATGGCTCTTGACCGTTTGCGGAAGCTGTACACGGTCATGGTGCATGGGTCACGAACACTCGTGTGAGTGAGTATAAGCGACGCAGACGGCGGAAGGCTGATCTTGCAAGGCATTGAATGTGGTAAAAGTTTTGAGGACTCGAACGCACGCAGGATAAAGTGAAAACACCATGCATTCCATACACTCGATTCCACCCCACAGCACATCAGGCGTACCGCTCTAGTGGTGCTCGTGCTCCTCGACGACCGGGTCGGCCTCGAGCATCTCCAGGAACTCCTCCGCCGCGCTGGCAGCGGCAGGCGCCTCACCAGCTGCCGGCGCAGACGCGAGAGTCGGCTCAGCAGCGTCGTAGGCAGAGAGCTCCGCGGCGAGGTCAGTCGGGAGAGCCGGTGCAGCGGGCTTCTGGGGCGCAGACCACGAGCGGACCTGACCGACGTGCGCGTCCTTGGCCTGCGAGGATGAGTGTCAGTATGTCGATCATGCGAAACGCCAGGTGAAGGTGGTCGTGGGGGTGATGTAGGGATGGACGCGAGTAGGATAGACACGCACAGCAGGGGCGGGCTTGTACGACTTCAACTCCTTGATGTAGAGCTGCTGGACGATGTCTGCGAGGCGCGTCAGCATGCGGCCCACTTCCTGAGCTGGTAACACGCACCTGCGCGCGCGGCGGCAGACGTAGCGAACGCGCGGGACGCATTTTGGGCCTGCAAAACATCGGTGTCCACTCCCTCCGCCTCAACCGAGCGCACTCACGACCTTGGGCGCCTGCCTGAGCATGAACGACATGGTGGGGATGACGGGCGGGATAAAACGGCGAGTGCGCACGTGCAGCGTGATGCAGCCGCCGTGACCGCCCCGGCGTGACGCCCGGCACGCAAACAGCGCACGGAACAGAGCAGAGCAGAACACCTTGAACTCTTCTCTGCACCCGAACACGATGCTCGCTGCTACCAGGCTCACCACCGCGCGCCGCGCCGCGCCGCAGCTCACCACCGTCGCCAAGCGCTGGACTTCGAGCACCAAGGAGGGCTCGGTCGCGCAGTCCAAGGAGTTCTCGTGAGTTCGGCTCTCCGCGTCCCGGTTTTACGCGAAGGCTGACGCGCGACTGCAGGAAGAGGGAGAAGGCGCAGGAGGGTATGTTGTATGGTGCCCTGTGTACGCTAGATCTCATTCCGGCGCAGACAGCTACGCTCGCAAGCACGAGCAAGAGCTCCTCAAGAAGATGCGTGACGAGGTGTGTGGGGTGGAACAATGATTGAACCTGCCGGCTGACCCAGTGATTATAGATCGAGAAGAAGCGCAAGGAGCTGGTGAGTGCTTGCTAGCTCTCTGAGGATTGTATACTGACACTCATTGCAGGAAGCCCTTGAGAAGCAGCACGCTGATGAGGTCGCGAAGTCCAACAAGGACTGAGCGGAGGGCGGGAAGGATTGATTCTTTTGTGCGTCCTAGCCCTTCATATCCTCGCCTCAGGCCTAACGGCTGCTCCCTACAGCCTTTCTTACTCTCATGGCTGTCTTCACGCAAACCAAGGACGGATAAATACTCACCGATCTGTACTGCTACGTCCGTGAATGCCCTTCATCGCCGTCTTCTTCGCAAACCATGTCTGAGCTCTTGGCGTTTTCCGCACACTTCTTCGGATGTCTCTCGCTTGTCCTACAGCCCTCGCAACCCTGCCGTTCCTCCCATTCTTAATCCTTCCACCCTCTTCCCCCACCCGTGTCCCCGCTCACCTCCCGGCTTGCTACCCCGCGCACCCATTGCTCCAGGCCAAGGCCTGGAGTGCCTCGACCGCGCCAATGCGTACATCATGCGCGCCGCGTGATGAGCTTTCTATTGAGTCCCGCGGAGGATCGAAATGAATGTTGGGGTGACGTATTTGGGTCTTTGTGCGTATGCCTTGCCTGAAGGCTCCTTACAGTTGTTAAGGGCACCTTCTAAGGCTTCCTTCCCTTCCCGCGTAGACTTACCCTAGGCACCCTACCTTTCTATGCGACTGTACGTAAGTACAGTATGCGACTATACATCCATCATGCGGACCTCGAACCGGGTGAGTCTTCGAGTGAATGCGAAGGTTCTGACGGGTTCTGCTAGGTCCAGCTTAAGAGAAAGAGGGAAGCCTCGGATCCTGCAGCACTTCTTGGTCGAGGACGGGATAGGCTGAGCGAGCTTGGGCCTCAGGCGAGTCGTTGAGTCCTCGGTTGAACGCGAAGGTCGCCGACTGAACGCGAAGGAGTCGACTGAACGCGGAGGCGTCGACTGGACGAGGAGGAGCCGACGGGACGCGGAGGAATCGACTGGACGGAGGAGTCGACTGAACGCGGAGGAGTCGATAGGATCGTTGGCAAGATTTCGACCGACTTGAAGCGCGGTCGACCTAGCGAAGGGTCCGTACCTAGTGAAGGCACGGATCCTCCAGCTCTGTTTGCGAGAGATACAGTAGAGTTGGAACTCTCTTTGCGCATCCCGCTATCGTGACGGGCGCTGTTCCCAATCGCCGTTGAATGCCCTAGACGTTGGGCGCGGGACGAGCTAGCCGCGTCATACAGGATCAGGTAGCCGCCTCACACAGGACCAGCTACCCGTTCAGGCTACGCTTCCTACTTGGTCAGGACAAACTATCGATGGTCCAGGACCAGCCAACGTCGTGGCAGCCTCGGTGCCCATCTCCACCCGTCGTCCTATCTGCGGAACAACAAGGAGGAACGGCGGACATCTGCCATACAGAGAGATAGTGCCATGTGAAGAGATGGTGACCGTGCGTACAGTAGGCTGACGGGCTGCGCCAGGGTCGGTTGTCTGCAAGTATGTCTCGACTGCTGGAGGGTGCGTCCTCTTTGCCCACCTTGAATGCGCTTGCGCTGATCGCCTGCTTAGAACGTAGATCCCCGCAAGCACATCTGGCCTGGGTCGATGCTCCTCCCGGAGACTGGAAGCTGGGCGTTTTTGGTATGCTGCCCACGGGCGGTCGTATACGCAACACATGAAGTGATCAGCGTCGCGTCAATGGCATGCCCACCTCTTCCCTTCAACGGCGTACCCACTTCTTCCCCTCAATGGCGCACCCACTCCTTCTGCGTAGCTCTATCAAGATACTGTCATCGCAGGTAGCTATGAACAGGCGCTTTACTGGTATTGAGTGCGATCAGCGCGTACCACGCAGTAGTGCGCTCTCGAAGCGGGTGATGCAGTAGTGTGTGCCCATAGCGGGTGATGCGAACGCGGACTTGTACGATGATGATGCCGTTGCCGCGCATCGTACTGAGGCGCCTTGCTAGCTTGTGCGCCTTCAGCAGCAAGGGTACCGTAGGAATACCCAGCGTTCTGCAAGGGTTTGTGTAAGGTCTTCACTGGCAACCTGGAATCGCGCGCCTCGGATATAATCCATACAAGCAGTCAATTCGTGCGTGTGGACCACTAGACGAAGGCAGAGTGAAGGTGGCAGTGGCTATATGCATCGGAGGTGTCAGAGAGTGTCTGCAACGGGCAAGGAGAGTTGAAGGCGCTCTTCAAACGCACCCATCATGATCATCCCGTGCACGATACCGGTGGCGATGTCTATATAGCGAGGAGCACGGATGGCCTGCTTCTATCTTCGTGAAAGTCTTCCCCTCCTCCCCTCTCCCTACATCGACTCCCATCCTCGCGTCGGTGCCGGGTACCTCGCCGCGCCTCGGTCCTAGGCGTCGATCACCGCGTAGAGCCCGTTTCACCCGAGCGGCGAGCGCGTCACAGGCGCTCCTGCCGACGAGCACGTCGCTTGCTCACGCGCGGCTCTCTGCCCCTCCCGACCGCAGAACTCGAGTACAAACATCTCCCTCGTCGTGGTCGCCCTTCGCGCCAATCCCCCGATCAACAAGGCGGGCTCGACCACGATCTCGCGGGGTGCCCTCGATCACGATGCGCGCGTCGACGGTGCTGTGGCTGCTATGGGGGGTGCTGTGGGCGAGAGTGAAGGCAGAGGTGCTGGAGGCGATGCAGCAGGTGCGTTGACTGTCCGTCGATCGTGGGGTGCGCGCTCATGAGACGTTCCCCGCATGGCTCCTCCTTCCCCACATATCCTGCTTTGCTGAACAGTCCTGGCGGTTCGACTTCTACGACGACAGTGGGAATATCACGACGTTTCCCGTCTATGGCGCGTCGTGCTGCGCGCTATGCCCACCCGACGGGTACTGACTACACTCCATCTCGCAGAGCAATGCCAATCTATGCACGTCAAGTGGGGTCGGAGTAGTGCTACGGGGTCTGTCGTGCTCTATTGTTTCCCCCCTTAATCGCTCACATCTCCTCGCAGGCCAAGTGCAACGGCACCGTACTCATTCCTGATATACACCTCGTACGTCGAGTCCTCTCCTACTTCCCAACCCCCCTGATCTCTGCCTACTCGTCGTACATACGGGCTAACAAGTATCGCCCTTCAGAATATATCAATTCCCCTTCTTCCTTGATGTTGGCGACAGCCTCTCATACGACTTTGAGATCCCTTTCCCTCCAGGGACGCAGGTGAGTCTCTGTTCTTGCTTCCTCATCGATTGCCTAGACCCCCCTTCCTTTCTTCCGCCATGCCTTCCCCTATCCTTTTCCACGTATCCACCCTTCCCTCTTTGTTCTTCTTTGCCCCCGCCTAGCTGACCCTCCTTCCCAGATGCAAATCTGCATGTTCGATGCCAATGGGTACACCGGCGGCTGCCAATCCGTCGTCAGCATCGTGCCCAGCACGACCACCTTCAGCCGCACATGCACGAACGAGACGCTCAGCTGGCCGGAGGGGCCGCTCGACGTGGAGGCGGGGGACAACCAGGGGCCGCTGTCGTGGACTGCGTGGCCGGAGCAGGTGGGTGCAGTAATCTGCGCCCGGGCACAAGATTGAGCGTTCCTCTCTCTTTTTTCCAGTGCTCGGATCTGCAGTTCACGCCGAAGAACGGGACGCCGCCGTATACGCTGCAGATCGCGCCCGCGTCTCATCCGCCGTACAATACGACGCTGGACGATATGAGTACTTTCAGTGAGTCGTTTGGGGCATGGGCGAGGACTTGCAACTTACCTCATTGGCAGATTGGACCGTCGCGCTGACTTGGGCGACGCCGTTCTTCGTTTCTGTAAGCACCGCAGTCCCATGTTGCCAGAGGCATGAACTGACCCTACTACCCAGGTCGTCGACGCGGACTACAACTTATGGTCCATCGGCATGCTGCACAGCGGGGATGGAAAGGCGTCGTGTCTGGGTGGACCGTGAATAGTCTCCCATGTTCGCATATATCGACGAATGCTGACACCTGCGATTCAGAACAGTCACCAAGGTCTCTCCAGGCGCCGCTGCAGGGTGCGTCTCTCTTTGCCTCAAGCGCGTCGTCCCCGTGCTTATGCGAATCCTTGTGCTGACCCCTTCCCTCACCCAGAGCCGGCATCGGCGGCCTCGTCCTCGGCCTCACCCTCGGCGCTCTCGCCACCTGGTTCTTCCTCAAGCGCCGCCGATCGAAGAGAACCTCGTTGTCTTCTGCTAATGTACCCTTCGCCGCACACGATCCTTCGTACCCCGACGGTTACCCGTCACCTGGACTCAGCGCAGGCTACTTCGAGCAGCGGCAGTCGCACGTGGATCCGTACTCGCCTACGGGGATGGCAGGGGTGGGTTCGGGCAACGGGATGCCCTCGCCTACGCATGGCCTGGCTTCACCAATGCATGGTCTCACCTCGCCGACGCACGGAGTCGCCTCGCCGACGCATGGAGTCACCTTGCCCTCGGGAGGCATGACGCAGACCGGCGGGAGCTCCGTGCTCGCGTATCCGGGCCCTACGACATCCACGTACCCGAACACAACCACGTCCACCACATCCCGCCACCGCCCGCCCGACAGCACCGGCTCGGACGGCGGCCTCCAGAGCGGGCACAACGTGTACGTGCTGCACCACGACGGCGGCGCGGCGCCCGTGACCGTGTTCCACGGGGTCGTCGAGCTGCCGCCGCTGTATGCGGGGGATAGGGAGGCTGAGGGGGATGCGCGGATGGCGGACTTGAGGGACTCCAGCAGAACAGCGAGTCGCACGGACCTGCGAAGCTCGAGTAGAACGGATCTCAGGAGCTCTGGTCGGTCGGAGGAGAGCGAGGGGTTCGACCCTGGGTTCGATGAGGATACGAGGAGGCATGAGGTGGGGAAGCATGGGAGCTTCAGTCCGCGGTCGCTGGTGGACCAGAGGCGTCCAGTTGGTGTGAGGAAGCCGACTGGGCCGAGATGAGGCATGGGGGATCCTGTGGTCTTGGCTTGCTTATATGGGTTCACGACAAGCGATTATCTGCTGACGTCTGAGTGCTATATTGTTATGTGGATCGCTCTAAACACCTGCTGCGTCTAAGTTAATGTATACTGAACAGTACCGCCCTTGTGAGGCGCAATGTAAAGGTTTACTATAGCTAGTACTGAATCAATGACTCGTCAGAAACCAATGGCACACCGACCTTGGACAAGCCTCTTTTCCTATACTAGGTCGCATATGGCTTCTAAGAGAGGAGAAGATCCAGGTACTGGAAATTACGAGATCATTGCTCGCTATGATCGTGCTCGAGCGCAGCAAAACAGGAGACGGCCGTAAAGTTCAACAAGTCAACCACGTGTCTTCGGCAACTGCCGTCCAATTCTCACCGACCGCGTGAATCGCCTTGTCCTCGACTATCATCTAGCGATTCGCAGCAATTGGTATCGCATTCAAGAGGATTTCTATCTATTTCAGCAATACTCTGACTGGACGACGATCAAATATACATGCCGTGCGAACGCCAGGGGCATCAAGACCTGACAAGCGCCGCTTGCTCCTTACCTCCGACATGGCTCGAGCAGCTCAATGAAAAGCTCTCATGAGGCGCTCTGACCAATGGCGACGCTAGAGTCAAATTGCGAAACAACAGCCCGATGATAGCAACATGACGACCGTCCCCTCCTTACAGCCGCCTACATTAGCGCCTGACCTGCATCAACATCGCGCGGGAACTCCGAGCGAATGAACGCCTTGGCTGCTATGGTGAAAGCGTGCCTTCTTTCGAGCCGAGCTAGTGGGCAAGAGGGGCAGGAAGACATGGCGCTGACCAGTGTCGAGGTGTTGCTCCGGGAAGGCTGATGGACACGCGGGATTACGCGTTTGGAATCGATGAAAGGATGCAGGAAGCGCGTGAGGAGATATATGTACCTGCTCCTTCCTTGACGAAGCGCGTTGCTTCCCCCGAAGAGCATCGGGCAGCTCGGCCTCCTTCTTTTCGTTCACCTTCATCCTCTTTCCCTCCATTCTTGCCCATGTACGCGCTGGTTGTCGTGCTGCTTTGGGCTGCGCTGTGCGCGGGCGTGCGAGCCGTGGTCACTGATCACTTGCCATTGGTGAGAGCCGGTTTCACTAAGCGAATAGAGAGACCGCGCTGACCTTCGTCCATTGCCTTTCACTCTGACGTCCTTGTACTGACCCCCCAAATGCGCCGGCACCGTCCTCCGTCTGGTCCATCCTGTTGAATGTGGCACCTAGTCCTGGACGTTCGACTTCCTCGATGCGGACAACAACATCAAGCCCATCCCGGTGTATGGTGCGCACCTCATCTTGCTCGTAGCGGGCGTCACTGACCGAAGCTCGATGTGCAGAGCAGTGCGAAACGATGCACGTCAAGTGGTCGCGCGGATCTGTGGCAACGGGGTGAGTGCCTTGTTCTCAGCGCGGTGTCGACTCTCGTCGCGGTGCCTTCGCTGACTTCTATTCAGGCCGTCCGGAGTTGCGCCTTACTCCTTCTTAATCTATACATCGTGCGTCGGACGCTTCCTTTCCTCCGCTTTCCCATGGAACTGAGGTGGTTACGCGCTTCAGGATCCATACTTTTCCCTTCGTTATTGATGCCGGTAGTGGGTTGGACTTCGACTGGGAGGTACCGTTTCCGCCGAACACGCAGGTAAGCACTCTACGCATCGCTCTCGTCGCCTCGAAGACTGACTAAAATGTCGAGTTCCAAATATGCATGGTACGCTTCATCCTTTGATATGAACAAGAACGAGTCCTCATGGAATCACGAAGTTCGACTCGAATGGCAACACCGGTGGATGCCAGGCAGTCATGAGTGTCGTGTCAAACACAACGGCATTTTCAAGCACGTGCTCCAACTCAACGCTTAACTCGCCGAAGCAGCTGGATGTCGAAGCCTTCGACTCGCTTGGCGGAGAACTATCATTCACTGGGTGGCCAGCGCAGGTAATTTCCGAGCGCCTCTCGGAAACTGACAGCTAACCGCTCGAATCAGTGCACAGACATCCAGTTCGTACCAAAGAACGGTACTGGTCCGTACACTCTGACAGTGAGCCCTGTTGTTCGTCGACCACTTGTTCTTAAATGACCGAATGAAAGATCGCACCGCCGCTTCATCCGCCGTACAATGTGACTCTCGAGGATATGAGTGCCTTCAGTACGCATCTAAATTATACGCGCTCCGGCAAGATCTGATCATCCCCAGACTGGACAATCGCCCTCGGATGGACGACGCCCTTTTGGGTCTCGGTAAAGCATGGAAATATCTATGTCTCGTCCGTACTGACAAATGCTCACTGCAGATCGAAGACTCTGCCCACAACTCGTGGTCGAGAGGCCTTTTGCACAGCGGCGAGGGTGACTCGTTCTGCCTACGAATGTGAACATTCTTCCAACGGTTTCCCTTCCTTCGTCGTCAGCAGCTGACTCATTCGCAGCGTCCCCAAGGCCGTGTCCCCCGGTGCTGCAGCAGGGTGCGTCCATAACGCTTCATCGTGTCACGAAGCTCATATTTGTCCTTAGCATCGGAATCGGCGGCCTCGTCCTCGGTGCAGTCGTCGCCGCGCTCGGTTTGCTACACCGCCGTCGCTCCAAGGCAACCATGGTCGACATCGACCCGTCCGACCCCGCACCACAAACCGTCGAACGGCGCGTATCCGACAGCAACCCGGAGCACAACTTCTACCTCCTGCACCGGGACGGCGGCTCAGCGCCTGTAGCCGTCTACCGCGGCGTCGAGCGGCCGGTGATGGAAATGCCGCCACAGTACTCGAGTGAAGGCGATCCAAGCGTGACCCAAGAGTCACCGCGCGCCGAGGATTCGTTGGGACAGGCGGGGACGGCTACCCCAATGCCTCAGCCAGCTCGTCCGCGGAAGACGAGCCGGCCCTCCGAGAAGCTGGGAGTCGTCAACTGAAATCGGGTCATGCTGCAGTAGTTTGAATTTGGGACATCGTAGTACTTCCTCCACTTACGTGACGCTGTATCAACTGTATATGTACCAGTGTGTACACTCATAGCAAGGTATCGCTCTCGCTATCCAGCTTGATTAGTTCCAGTCGCACCTCTGGCCACCGTCCCGTCGGCCAATCCATGGCGGTTGTGGGGCTCTCGTCCCACTCCCAGAAATTGTCCTTCCATCTCTTGTACATCCCCTCCCTCGGCGGCTGCGAGGCGAGGCTGCGTCCCCGCGCGAAGACGCAGCGAAGGTACCGCGCCACCGCGGACGGGTCCTCGAGCGGCGAGTCAGCGAAGTGCATGCGAGCGTGCTTCGGCCCGCGCAAATTCTCAATATCTACATCCGTGCCAGTGGCGTGCTTAAGCTCGGGAACGCTCGTGGCGTCGAGACGAATGCACAGACCGCACAGCTTCGGACACGCGCGCGTGATTGCGGGGAGCACGCCGAGTGTCGTGCGCACCTGGCGCGTCCCGGCATCGAGCCCTAGACGACAATTCATGGCGTGCGTGTCTATGATGAGGTACTCGAGCTGGGGCAGTGCTTGAGCAAGCGCCGCGAGGTCTCTGTCGCATGCGTCGACCCAGCAGTCTATGCCTAGGTACGAGAGGTTTGGATACCGGTAGGCGAGCTGCAGGACGTGCGCGCCCGGAACGGGACCCCATGAGAGGTCGATGTCGCAGTTGTGGTAGTACAGAATCTGCTTTAGATACGTTGGATCCAGGGCCTGCGCGAGGAGGTCCAAGTTGCGGTGGCGAACGTCGATGTTCAAGTTCGCGTCTTCCTCTTCGTAGCACACAGCGTCGAACGCTGTTACTCTGAGAGGCGTCTGCACGACCGCGAAGAACCTCTCAAGCCCAGCCGGGTCTTCGAGCTCAAGCTTGACGTGACGCATGGCATTCGGAATCTGCAACGATGGTGACGGCGGAGCCGCTCGATCGACCTGGTTCATGAACGTCTGGGTGACGCGCAAATCCAGTGAGTGCAGAGATGAGAGTTTGTCGAGGCACTGGATGGTTTCGATGCTGAGGTGTGCCATTGTCAGACTTTCCAGGGTGAGAAGTCGCCGCAGCAAGTCAGGAGGAGGAAAAAGTCGAGAGCCCTTGCAGTCCATGCCAGTGACGCTTCGCAATCCAGGGCAGAGATTCGGGAGATCTCGCAGTAGCCACTCCGAATGAGCAGAGTCACCGTCCCATAGTCCCGCCGTAAGAGATGTGATGGACGGAGAGAACAGCATTGGAATGAGCGCAAGAGATTTCGGCTCAAACATGGAGCAATCGAGATGGAGAAGGCGGGGAAATATACAGTGAGGTCCCGCATAGTCAGATACGCTTTTCAGTGCACTATCGTCGATCTGCATGTCGTAGAAAGTATGGTAGGAACCGGAGCCACGAGATTGAATGGCCCCTCCTTTGCGCCGATGGAGATTCAGCAGGATTATACGCGACGCGTAGTATTGCATGCGCGCCCATCCTTGCGGTGATATGGGCTCCTTGATAACCTGCAGCGACGAGGTCAGTCCCATCTTCAATCTGCCGCCAGATCCAGCAATGAACGCACAAGGCGCAGCTCCCGGCTTGAAACCTCGTCGACTCGATGCTGGGGTAAGATCTTTAGGAGGGGTACAAGGCTGCGCTGTTCCCGCCAGAGTGCATCAAGCGCAACTTGGCATACTAGGCGGTCGGTGACCGCGAATGCTGCCAATGATCCGAACGAGTCAGAGCACTGAAGTTCTTCGCAAATGTTGCCGACGATCTCCGGTAGGTCCAGACATCTCAGAGTCATTGCCTGTGTTTAGATGCGCAGATTATGCGTGCTTGATATGCAGAGAAAAGGCGGGTCGGACATCAACAAGCGGTTCGGCATGATGCGCGACGTTGCCAAACACCCACAAATTGGGGTCGGAAGAAGCCGAGAATGTGCTTCATCCTCGACTTGCATATCTAGGTCCACTTCGTCAACATGATTATCTGATGTCCAGATACATTGTGCTACTGCTCGTCAATTGCTAGTGAAAATGTCACGGGCCTTGCTTGCTGATCGCATTGACACGCGATCATCACGTTGGCCTACCTGGTGGGATTCAGACGTAATTTTTTCCCTCTCTGCTTCCACCCTCGTGGTTCAGGAGCCAAAAGGTGCATCCCTTGGCCAAGCACCTTGGTCTGTCTTCTCTGGACGCTGCTGTCAACTCCCCCGCCCCCAATCGACTACACAACTCGCAGTATACTACAATGGGACGCTTATCGCAAGAGGACCGAGTCCTCCTTGACGAGCTCGTCAGGGAGAACGGGATAGATAAACTCAAGGAATATATCTCCCACGTTCCCACGTAAGTGTGCACTTCTACCACACCGCTCTGGCTCGCTATCCGCCCTTGTATGCGTACCGACTTTCTTTCTTTCGCAGACCTTCACGCCGACCCTCATCAAGATTCGCCGTATCACGCCCGAGAAAGCACATGAATGGATTGACCTCCAGGCGTTCGCAGCATGGCTAGTCAGCGACTGTCAGCAGCGGCTACGTGACTCGCCACTTCCCGATAACCCCGAGTTGCCTCAAGGGCGGCCAGCACCTACAGAGACGGGAAGTAACGATCGTACCGGACAACAGCCTTCGCCGCCTCCGTCGCAACGCAGGCCTTCGCACGCAAGGCGTGAACTGGAAACCGGGAGAGGCGGAGAGAGATCCAGAGCAGATGAAGGAGATGAGGCATATCGGACGAGTTTCCAGATCCGTAAAGACCCAGAGGTATATAACATTCGCCATCGTCTGCGAGCTCAGCTGTTCTTACGAGCCTGCAGCAGACAAAACGGCGGCGAGAGACGGTGTCTGCGTCCGATGACTCGGAGTCAGAGACGGATACGGAGAGAGAGGAACGCCCGAGGGCAGCGCCGGCCTCATCCCGTTCTCGTAGCTCGGGCAAGGTAACGTAATCTAGTTGATCAGCGACCACCTGAGGCTATAGCAAATCTTCAGACATGCGTGAACTGCAGGAATCGCGGCGTACCATGCGTGCCCCGAAAGCTCACATCCCGCTACGCGGCCGGATGCCAGCGTTGCTACGACGGCAAGACCAAATGCTCCCTCGTGGAATACCACCGTCAGAGGAGGTAATCAGGGGTCCATTACTCTAGATGCTACGCATGTCACTGAAAGTTGTAGGGCAAATATTGAGCGCAATTGAAAGATACCTTCGAATCTCTTAGGGACGCTATGTAGTTCTGCACAGCCCCCAGGTTCCTTTGAGGAGGACAGAAATGGACAGAAACCCGCCTACGCGCGCGCAAGTCCTTTGATGATAGCTTGAACGAAGACGTGCCTTCGTGGGTAGAAACGGAGTACTCGTGCGGTGTTGATACAGAACTGTTCTAACAGTGTTTATACAAGAGCCATAAGCCTGACGGTAAGCCTAGGGAGCTCGATCCGAACCCTGCATATGAAGATAGACTCCAAATCACACCGCCGCTCGCTTTACTGGCATGCAATGAGTAGGAGTAAATCAAGTGCATCATACGATTGTCCTCACTCACCATCTCGGCGAGGCTCAGCATTATTTTGCGATCTCAACTCGTTTACCGTTGATCTTGATCTTCCGAGTGGCGCCCGGACTTGAAAGCCAAGGGCCCGAGCTAACGCTCTTTGGGGGACCAGCATCGCTTCGATGGGTCGGCCTCCAATTACCGGCGGGAACCGGCCGCGGCAGCCAACTTAAGTCGATGGCGGGCCTGCATTCCATGCCATCAGTAAGACGACCTGGTTCAGGGGATGAAAGCAAGGTACATAAGCGCTGGATTTCCGTTACGAGAGGCGGGAACGTGCGAGCAGTGAATGCGCAGGCAGCTGCACTGGAAACAGGCCATAGCGCGATAGAGGCCCTTCTGAGGCATGCAGGGGATCCCCTGCTGTCTGCAGTACGAGCATGGCTGGAAGGATGGTCCACGTCTGTCAGAGGAACGTGCTAGGGGAGTGAACGACCTACGACGTCGAATGCTTTGTCCGTATCTTGAGAAGAGCCAGAATGGCCGATAGACGTCGTGAGTCTTGAGTTTTGGGAGCTTGACGCTTGTCTGGAATCCTCTTCGTCGAAGAAGCTCGTATGCTGCCGCTTTCGCTGGAGGATATGAGTCCCCAACCTACAATGAGGATGGGATAACATACATTGCGCGATTCGCGTGCCCCGCTATCGCCGGTGGTCAGCGGATCGTCGCTCTCGGGATGTGCCGCTACATCTTCAAGGTACGACGGCCGATCACGCTTCTGAAATTGCCTATACATCGAGAGCGGCAGCGAGGGTGGTCTTGGGGTACTCTCGGCTTGTGGCTGCTGCACCTCAGTTGTTCGCGATTGCTGCACCTCAGTGGGGCGCGGCTGCTGAACATCGGTACCCCGCTGCTTCTCGACGTCGGGCGGCGCAGGATCTCGAGGAGGCGTGGGCCCGCGCAGCCGCTTCTGGCAGTCCTCGACGAGCCACGCCGCGAAAGCGCTCAGATCTATCCACTCGTGCGCGTTTTCGGGCGTGATGCGCCGTATCTTGATGACTGTGGGCGTGAAATTCTAGGATAGGGCCGAGGTTATTCAGAATGTCTTCTCGCGTAGATAACCATTCCAAGTCGGAGTGCTTACGCGAGAGATGTAGTCCTTGACCTTGTCCGATCCGTTCTCCTTGATGAGGTCGTCGAGGAGGGCTCGGTCTTCTTCATCAGGAAACTGACGCTGTCCTGCCGCCGCCCACGTCCTTTTTGATGTGTCCTGGAGCATCCTTTTCCTTTTGAGCTTCAGCCTTTTCAAAGTAGTCACATCCTGTGTACGTCCTCTCGAAATCATTATAGACAAGTGATTCAGCAGTGTATATGGGCTACTGTGACTAATAGGCTATCTCGAAGGCGTGATGGTCCGCATATTTATTGACAAAAAATGCTTTAAAGCAGTCCAATGAGTTCAAATGTGAGAAGCGAAGGGGTATCTCCTGGCCACCGGCAGCACCAATGAGATGGGCCCCTCGAAGGATAGCATCGACATGGATGACATCCATGATGCGCTCGCCGGTCTCGTCGATGTCAGGTTCGACCATCCAGAGACCTGTATCCGGATACGGGGCATCCCCGATCGCAGAATACCACGCAACAAGCGCGCACGGATACTCGACGCCCTCGTGACGGAAGGAGAAGAAGAGCATCACGCGAGCAGCGTGAAGCCCGCGGAAGCCTGGTTCGTCCTCGTTTTGGGTCACAAATACGCAATCGCGTCGCGGGGCGCCGCCTCTCCAGGATGGTACCGAGCGTATGCGCTCCCGGTGCATCCCACCCGCACCGCATTGGTCGCTAGGCGCGTAGAACGTGGCTATTGCTGAGCCAACAACGTGTAGGTTGCCGTCAAAGGAGGGGTATTCGGAGGGAGGGATGTCGATCGAAGGAATGTCGCTTTGGGGATGAGCCTGCTCGTACAGGAAGCGTTGAATGAGTAGGCGGAGGGAAGGGAGGTTAAGGCGATCAGATAGGGCATCAACGTTGCGCGGACCGAGATTTCGAACTGGTACGGGATTGAGTAGTCTGTCGACAGGAGGAGATTGACCACGCACCTCGTGTCTTTGCCAAAATGACCTCGCCCATGACTTTCCTGCTTTCAGATGCGCCCGCGTCGTCTTCGTCATCTCCGGTAGCAGCCGGCAAAGGGAGGTCGTACGCAATCGGCCGTTGTTGAGGGGACAGCATGTGTCGAGATTCGAAGTCGGTGCGACACGCCGAAAGCTTGTCGATGCGCTCGTTGATGACCAGCATCTGACGAAGCGCGTTGTACCGGTTGCTGCGACGCCATGGCTTCTTGACGGCGCGAATATGCGCCGACTCTGTGATAGATGAGCATAGACCATTGAGCGCGCCGAACTCCTGGATAACGTGGACGTAGTGGACGAGGGCATGCTGCCGAGGAATCGAGAAACCGCCATCAGGACGCACTCCTTCGAGCTCGAAGACCACTCGCTCGCGGTGGAAGCGCTCGAGCGCGGCTTGGATTTGCGTGATCGCATCCTCGTCAATGGTGTTGCGACGGACGAGATAGCAAAATTCCAAGAATGAACTGACCGCCCGGACCATTTGCGCCGGCACATAGCCTTCGATGGCAGGAAGGATGACCTGGGAACTCGTCAGTTGGTTTTACAAGTCTTGAAAGCCAGCTAGCACACCTTCATGAGGGCCTTTGAGTCGTCGCCCGTCCATTGCTTGAAGCCGCGTCCTTGGGGGAATCGCCGAAGGCCAGGAAAGCTTGGAACAGCGGCTATACGGCGATCGATATCGGCTATGATGCGCTCTGCAGCCGCCTTCCCGTACTTGAGCTCGAGGTAGTCGAAGATCCAGGTGATAAGGTGGTCCTTGAACGTGCCCTTGATGCACTGATGAAGGAGGTCGGAGGTCAGGAGCTCGTGGATGTCGGCGTATGGGAAGTCGTAGGTGAAAGGCTGGTGTACATGAGTGAAGGGAAAGCACAAACAGATGAGCAATCAACGTACCTTGCAATCAGGGATCACACCATAATCGTCCCAGAGCGTCTTCGCATCGAACGCCTCGAGAAGGGCGTCTGTGTGGCTGTGCTTGCGACGCGTCGACGCGCCGTCCAAATCATCTGGATGAGCTGTACAGCGGGGACACCAGCCCTGTACAATACACGCCAGCAGGACTTGCTCCGGGTAATCGGCAATGTAGGGCCCGATCCCATAGATAGTCTTGCGGTAGTGTCCATCGCCATAGCGCACGATCTCCGGTGTCTTCATTCCTGGCCTGAGTCGAAGGAGGATGAACCGCAGCGACGCATGAAGAAGTTGCCGTCGAAATGATCTGAATGTTGCGCTATCATGGTGCTCCTTGTCGGCTGAGCAGGGCATCGTTAGTCAGGCAAAGAACAGATGAAGCAGAGGGACGCACTTTTCGGAATAGACAAAAACCCGATCAATGTTACTGCACCACGGTGACCTCGTCGGACGGTGTTGTGCACAAGCCCGTTGGACATGTACAGAGGGTAGAACTCATTCTGCCCAGTTGCGACAGAGACCGTTGTCTTGTCGCTCCCGAAGATGGCAGGACAGTAAACGGCTCCGTCCGCTTCTGGGACCTCTTCGGCAACCTTGTCCTTCATGAGAGTGTGAGATGTCTCTCCTTAATGGTGAGGGAGCACAGTACGTACAGCTTGTCGCCAGGGATGGTTGCCTGACATGTAGTCAGAGAAGACGCGCTTCTCCCGTGCGTTATACAGCCGCTTCGGCGCAAAGTCCATCTGGTCTGCGTAGTCGGGATTCTGCAGCTGCGTGTGAAGGACCTTTCGAGGGCAGCGGAAAAAGACCTCGTATTCGCTGGTCTGCCATTCGGGAGGGACGTCTGAGTCGAGTTGGCCGTCGAACGTCATGGTGAATGATTCCCAGGGGACAGATCCGTGCGGGATGGCGTCAATCGTCTCGTACACGTCCTTGGCGTTTGCGAATGGCGGCTCCATGTAGTCGGTGTCGGACAAAGTCGAAGCCCAGATATCGAGGAGCTCGTTGATGAATGGGGCTGACACCTGGCCTTTTCTGTACAGGAGGTCGGCGAGCTGAAAGCTCTCACGCGAGTCGAACGGGGACCAGTCGTTGTCAGCGGGCTGCGGTGCGTCGTCCTCAGGCGGAGGCGCATTGGGAGGGAGGAAATTCCCGTCCTTGTCGCAAGGGCGGCCTGATTCTCGAATGAGCATAGACTGAGGTATAGCTTAACTGTAGACGTACCATTCAACACGGGGTGGTAGCGTACTTTACCGCCATCCTTCAAAGGTCTCCATCCGTCGTTGTTGCCGGTATTGTCTTCAGGACCACGCGGCGCGCCCGACGGTCCAGCGGAGGCACTTTCTTCGAGATTTAGAGGTGGAGGTGATGGAGAAGACGGGGGAGGAGGCGAAGAGGACAACTGGGGTTGTTCTGATGTCGTAAGCCGTAATCGCTGCTCGTCTGGGGGAAGAACGGCAACTCGATGTCGAGCTGTGATGTGCGATCCAAGTCCTGTCTTGTTGCGGAAAGGCCCTGCCGTGCACCCTGGGTGGGGGCACGGGAGGACGGCAGGGAGGTGAACTTTTCGGATTCTTTTTCGGGGGCCTTCACTGGACATGACGGGCAGAGGACGGAGACTGGATAGCACGTACAAACAAATGGATACACGACGCCGGTAAATAAAAACACTCGCCGACTGGGATTGCTGAGTCAGCCTCAAACCCGAAATTCGCCAAGTCGTGCGCATCCTCTTCTTCCCCAACCACATTCCTTTCCTTTCCTCCAAGCACCAAAGTCACTCCTTTCATGGCAGGCAAGCGAGGTCGAGGCCGCGGGCATGGCCGCGGGGGTAAAGGTGGCGGCAATGGTCGAGCTATAGCAGGAAAGATAAGTGTCGAGCTTCCGCCCGGCGTTGAGCCCCCGCCCAGCGTCGAGCTTCCGTCGCGCGTCACACGCGAGGCAAACAAGACAGCTCACCCGGGTCTCCTTGACGCGAAGCAGCCTCGGCGTACTGCCGCAGAGATGGAGGAGGCTCGTGCGGCTGAAGTCGCGCAGGATGCAGCCAAGGAGCAGCAGCGCCAAGCGGCACTGCAGAAGGTCGCCACCGAGGAGGACGCCATGAGGCGCGAGGATGCCAGGCGCGCCCTGGAGGCATTCACGGGCCCCGCGACCCGTCAGGCTGTTAGCCAGCTAAAGGGTCAGTCGGCATTCAGTTGATGCTCGAGAAAATGCTGATCTAGCAGCAGAGGCCGCCGAGACAAGCGCCGAAGTACCTTCCTCCACTGAGGACAGTGATGTCGTGATGCTTGACGGTAGCTCGGATTCAGCCAGCGAAGTCGTTTCCAGCCCAGACTCTGACGCCTACGTGCCTCCACCAGGGGCTGAAGTCGAAGAGTCCGTGGCGAAGGCGAAGACGAAGAAACAGCACAAGAAGTTGACGCGGGAGGACGTGCGGACCCAGCGGCAGACGAGCGACGAACCGCCCGTGAGTAGTATCGTGGCCGCAGGAGACAAGTCGAACAAGCGCAAGGCCGCGGGCGTCGCCGAGTACGTAATGAACGAGATCGGTTCGCACGCGCACTGACCCTTGAACTCGTCCTTCTGTTCTCCCCAGTAATCTGCCCGCGAAGAAATGCAAGAAAGCACCCCCAAAGCCTGGGGGGATCGACACGAAGGCCCTCAAGGAAGTCAAGGACGCGGCCGATCACGCGAAGAAGACCAATGACGATTCGATGGTTCGCGTGGGGGGCTTCGCTGAAGACGACTAGTAAACTGGCCGTTCGGCATGTACGAGACCTGCGAGTGGGCAGTCCTCGGAAAAAAGCCGAATCCGGACGAAGCCAGTCGCGTGCCTCGTACTGTAGCGCTGTCTGACGGTGCTCCTGCACTGAAGTTACATATGTACTGTATATAACGTATCAGATACATACAATCATTTCAAGTCTGCAGATTCCGCAGGAATATGTGTAGTCATCACCACCCCTGCAGATCCCGTAGTTGCGAGGAGGGTAAGCAGCGTATTGAGGGGAGAGGGGGTTTGATACGGAGTGAGCATGTTTATACGTGCCGTGAGGGAAGGTTGGCTTAGATTGGGGGTTTGTGAGGACTTGGTGCAACAACAATGCGTAACCCGTCGCGTGCGCGTAGAAGCGTGGAGAGAAGTAGGAAAGGGATGAAGGGGGAAGGAGATGGTTAGGGCGGCGCTCGTACGCAGATCACGCGGGACGCGCATCGCGCGCGGGAGCGATCGGCCCCTCGCTCGTCGAGTACGCGTCCGGACGTGTCGCGAGGGATGAAAATTGGTCGGCAAAGAGACAGGCACCCATTGCATAGCGAGCACTGGAACGGCTAAGTGAGGGGGGAGAGGAGGGAACGGTGAGGGAGAGGTAATACGCGGTGCGTGCCATGGGTGTCAACGAGAAGGTGGGAGGGAGAGATAAAACCCCACTGCTGGAGAAGGAGGGGAGGGGGGGCTGCGGGTCGCAAAAGCAAAAGGGGAGGTAGGGTGTGGGGCGCAATGTAAGGGGAGGGGAAACGGGTCGGGGCGGAGACAGATGCGAGGGCGAGAGCGTATCCGACGTTACCATCGTCGATGGCGGGGAGGGAGAGATGGCGCACACTAGCCATTTCCGCCCGATTGTCATTGCAGATGCGTGTCAAACGTTAGCAAACACCGTTGTAGCTGGAGAGGGTGTGATTACGCACCTCCTTGCCTCCTTGCGCCGGACTCGTCACCGCAACTGGGTTGTAGAACGGGCCGAGCGGCGTAAAGGTCAATAACACAATTTTAAAGATGTTCAAATGGTGAAGGGGTGGGAATGGTAGCAGACGGCGAGGGGGAAGGTGGAAGGATCGCGGTGATGGTGGTGGAAGACTGCAAGCAGAGGGAAAAGATCAATACCGGACCGATCACCGAGGGTCGCGCGGCAACTCCCGAGGACGAACAGGAGTTCACGAAGGCTTCTTGAGCGCATAGAATTGTAGTCGACGATGCATGAGTACCTCAGGAGCATGCACAAATATTTTGATTGATTTAGGTGGAGGGAGACGTTCGCTTTTCAAGCTTTGAGGGGCCCGTCGAATATTGTGGCTGTGCAGGCAGACTCGGACCGGTCGTGCACGTGCTGAGGTCCTGCTAGAAGCGCAGCCTCTACGTACCAGATAGCTTTGAAAACGCGGGATACAGTTCGTATCGCATACGGGGACATACTCGATTTTTGGCGAAGCAATGCAAGCCTGAAGAAAGTGAAAAGGTGACTCAAACAAATCATCTCGGAGATAAGTTTGATGAACCGCTTGGACGTCTGATGGTGATGAATCCCGGTCAGGTAAAACGAGAGCTCTCGCAAGCTCGAGCAGGTCTCGTAATGAGGACGATGGAAAGGAGCGGGAAGGGATTCAGGGTCGCGCGAAAGGTGAACCGAGCGTGGTCAAGGTGCGTGCTCTGTTCCTGTCGCTCCACCCTCTACTCAAGATAATGCAGATCGCTGTCCCCGAGACTACTGTGCTCGTCAAGCAGGAGCCGATCTACCAAGCCAAGACCAAGAAGGAGGCGCGCGGTGGCTTGAACAAGTGGCTGACCAGTCACCTCCCAACTGCCCATCAGTCGACATTCCGTCTCCGCATCACACCGCACATGCGAGCGAAGCAAGGCACTCGACTGCCATGGGCGTCTGTCTTAATCGAAGATGTTCAGGAAGCCCTCGACATCTACGCACCAGGGGAGAAGGCCGTGCGAGGTGGCCCGTTCGTTGATCTCGTGCGTGACCATCTGTACATTGTGTCCATCTACTCACAACTGTCCTCCAGGTTACATATCGCCTCAATGATTCCCGTACGAACATGGCCAAGCACGCCATCTCTGTCGTGCAAGAGCTCTTTAGCGACGCACCATTCTTCGACAACGCCGACCTCATCAAGAAGTATGTCGAGCACGCGTTGAAGGTGGTGGGCGAGGGGTCGAAGGCGACGTCGCCCATGTGGTGGCAGCATTGGGGTGACGACGGTAAACATAAGGTGCGTGACCTGCCGCGCTCTCCAAGCTCGTCCTGAACCTCTATGTGCAGGGATTTCTTCAATCAGATCTCATCCTCGCAACCTTCTCGATCCACCTAGCTGAGACGGTGTACGCTCTCCCTGCCGACAATCCCGTGCCGCCGTGCTCTGATCCGCCGATTGGTGCACTCATACTTGCTGGGCAAGCCGTACGTGACAAGCCCAGTGCGGGATCTCGTACTCATGATCTTCTCAAGGTCGAGCATGCCCTCAAGACATTCAAGACCGGTACCTACAAGGCCCCCACCTCCCACTTCTCTGCAAGCAACTACGCTGATTACCACACTTCCGAAGACGGGGTGCTCAAGCTGAAGCGTCGGGCTACGCGCTACGTGCGACGTCTGCAAGGTTGGTCAGACGAGACGTGGGCCGATGTTCGGCGCCGCGCGCAGGCATTCCTCGATCCCAGCATCACCGAACGCCCGGCGGAATCAGTGGCCACCCCCGAGTCGAACGTCGAAGATGATGACGACTTTGATGTCGAGTCGGATGATGAGCTCCCCGAGGCGGACTGATGGGGGAGGGATCTGCATGGTCAATGCTCGCGATGAGCGCGCTGGAGTCACGGTCATCGGAGATGGTATGGCTGCAGTCCGCATGGCTGCCCAATATTTATATGGACTTGAAGGAAGGCTTCTCGTTCGTTCATTCGTGCATCTATAGACTACATACCCAATGATCCTGTATTACATGATTGTTCAGGAATAATATGCTCATCCAGCTCAAAGCGAAAGGACACGCGTGATTCACGAAAGGCTCATGACCGTGACGTGCAACGCTGGCTTGTTGCGGTTGGACGGCGGCCTGTCATGGGACACTGACGTCCTTCCCGTCCTGCTCAGGCGGAAAAGGAAAGTCGACCTGTCCCATACAAGATGCGTTGTCTTTTCGTCCTTTTCGTCCTTTTCGTCCTTTGGCAGGACGAAAAGGACGAAAAGGACGGGGGTGTCACTTTCCTGATGTTGCGATAAGCGTACCATTGGTTCACTATCCGAGGGCGAAGCTCAAACTACGCAGCGAAATCAGTGAGAGAGGCGTACCTTGGGCTCTTGTATGCGACGAAGGTAGAGAGCAGAGTGCGGATAGCTTACGTTTGGATCCAAGCAGGCAGACCAGCGTGATAATCGCGTGTGATCAGGAAGCACGGCGCGTGAGAGCGTTCCACAGGACGGTGGTTTCGAGGCCAAGTTAGCAGTGCAATTAATAGAAGCAAAACTGGATTTCGTGAACAAGTCATCCACTTGACAGGCGCCGAACACGAGCCGGGATGGGAATCGAGGAGAAAGTCCATACAGTATTCGGCATTTCCCGTAATTTGAGAGTTACTGTCACTTGTCACGCATCCGTCGCTTGACTGACTTCCACCATCACCGTCCTCTCGTCGGCTAACCCACCCTCGCTCCTCTACGCAAGTCTATCCAAAGCGATGTCTCTGAGATGTCTTGACCTACCAGAAATTCTCTCTATGATCTGCGCGGAGCTTCAGCATGCCCACTGTTATGGATCCCTGGCCGCGTTCGCTGCAGCGAACACCCTCATTTGCGATATTGCACTGGATGCGATATGGCAGCACCAAGATAATCTCGTATATCTTCTGATGACTCTACCTGAGCATCACATCCAGGGACTACATCCCTGGGATGATTTGCGACTGGTACGTCTTTCTTCAGTGCTCTTCCGTGCGTCCGTAGCCTGCTCTGCGCCCACGTCTTGACACACTTCCTTTTCTCGGTGTCTTAAGTCTTCCTTTTGTATGCACATCTGACTTGAGGCAATTCTCGCAAAGAGACTACGCTCACATCCGCCACGACAGGTCATCGACGGCCCCATAACCCCCGAAGGATGGGCACGCTTGCACTCCTACGCCTCGCGAATCGCTAAACTCGACCTTAGGTATCACAACGGGGGCATTTCCGCATTCTATACTGTCCCGGTGGAAGGCGGTGGGGTCATGTTTCGCGACTTAGATATCAGCATCACAGCTTTCGAGCAGATAACCTGCTATGCGAGGAGTTTGTCGGCAGATGAGAAGGGGTATCCAGGAAATGCAGCACCTTTCGGGACGCCAGCGATACCGCATACCCTCTTCCCCCGTCTACGCAACTTGGACTGCACTGTGTTCAAGCCCAAGTCGCTATCGAGATTCCCCGTCCTCCTCTCCCCGTCGATCACATCCCTGTCAATCAGGATATCAAAAGACGCGGAGTGGCTGGTGCGGGATCTGCCCAATATATGCCCTGGCCTCAGAACTCTGTCTTGGCACGGGTTTGCGAGTTTGGGAGGAAAAGGTAGAGATCGTGCCTTGCCACATCCGCCTCCCGAGTTGCTGAGACGGCTACGCACTCTAGAGACCCTGATAACCTCCGACCTCTGCATCAAGATGGTCGAATGCGCCACCAAGTTGCCATCACTGCACTCGCTGCAATTCTTCATTGGGGGCGATTTCGTTCGTGAAGTAGACGCCTTTCTCAAGACGCCAGCCGGTACACTCGGCATGAGCAAGGTCAACGCGATGACGCCTCCTTCGCCCTCGCTGCACTTCTCGAACGCCATGCGGCACATCAAGCTAGAACTTGAAGATCGTGCTGGGCTCGTCATGTTCTTCAAAATCGTTCAAAACCCTTTGAAGGTCACCGCCTTCGACGCCGAATGCTACGAAGAGGAGTACGACGACGGCGCCGATGTTCGCGTCAAGAATCTGGCGCTTCTCGCGCAGACCTTGGACCCTGCCCATCTCCGACAGCTCCTCTACTACCACGACTGCGATATCGAGCTCTCGCGGGGGCCCGTGCCCGTTGTGCACGTCCTGCGGCTCGCCCAGAGGTACCCCAACCTGTCGTACCTAGGAATCGACTGCTGGCTTGATCTCGCAGATGCGGATCACATTGAGCTCGCGCGGGCGCTGCCCCAGCTCGAATATTTCGCCCTCGATACGCACGCGATCGACAACGGGGAGTACCTCGACATTGGAGCGCGCAATGTGCGCACGACGCTGGGTGTGCTTCCCGCTTTCGCACATTACTGCCCGCAGCTACGCAGTCTATGTATCCGGCTGGATGCGACAGAGATACCCGCGCTCGACGAAGGGGGTGAGGAGCCTCGCTTGAGAGGACACGTACGCATGTACTTCGCGCACTCAGAGCTCTCGGACCCTGTCGCTGTCGCCCGGTTCCTCCGGCAAGTCTTCGTGCGAGGGTGTAGCATCGCGTCATGGCCGCCGAGGGAGGGGATGTACAAGAGACGGCACGATCAGTTCTGGGATGATGCGGAGGTACCAAGGAATTGGGCGGTGGGTCAATGGCTAGAAGTGCGCAAGGAGCTTGTGATGTTGGAGCGTAAGCAGAGTACTGTATCTCTTCGACCGTAGGTTCGCGTCACAGGTCACAACGACCTTTGAATTGAACCTAACGGCCAACTGTCACAGGTCACAGCGGTCCCCGACTCCCCGAACTGTGTGACATCTCTTCATCAAGGAAGTAGCCGTAACAGTCACGTCTTAGTAGACGTTCTGACTTCCACCATCACCGTCCTCTCGTCGTCTACCCGCCCGCACTCCTCTTACGCTAGTCTATCCGAAGCAATGTCTCTGAGATGCCTCGACTTACCGGAGATCGCCATCCTTATCTGCGCTGAGCTTCAGCGTTCTCAAGCATACGGATCCCTGACCGCGTTCGCGGCGACGAACACCCTCATCTGCGACATCGCACTGGACGCACTATGGCAATGGCAGAATAATCTGGTATTTCTTTTCAAGACGCTGCCTCAGCACCGTATCGAGGAAATACACCCTTGGGATTTGCGACTGGTACGTCTGTCTCTCCATCTCCTTCTTTCCTGAACACCTCGTTACGTTCCGCAAGCGGAAGTCGATACTCTTGCGTCTATATTACCAGAAATTTATACTTATAATGACATGCACAACGACAGGTTATCGACGACCCCATAACGCCCGAAGGATGGGCTAGGATGCACTCCTATGCGTCACGGATCACCAACCTCGACCTCTACAAACCTAATGGGGGCACTTCCGGGATCTATCCGGGCCCGGAAGTTCGCTGTCTGGACAACTACTATGACCTGGATATCGACGACGGGGCCTTCGAGATGATATCTAGCCATGCAGGCTGGATGGCGGATGGCGCAGGCTTGGCGAACTGTCCTAGATTGAAGGGACATGGGATGATCGCAATACAAATGCTCACACCAGCAACTTCGACGGGCACGTCCGCGATACCACAGCCCCCACCAGCGAGAGCCCACACGCTCTTCCCCCGCCTCCGCAACCTCGACTGCACCATGTTTGCGCCCAGATCGTTAGCGCTTTTTCCCGCGATGTTCTCCCCGACTATAACATCGCTCGCGCTGAGGATGTCGAAAGACGCGGAGTGGCTGGCGCGCGACCTCCCTGATCTCTGTCCGGACCTTAAGACTCTGTCATGGAGGAGCGATGTGGGGCTGAGAGGGAGCGAGAGAGATCGTGCGCTCCCACACCCACCGCCCGAGCTGCTGTGCCGACTGCGGGATATGGAATGCTTCATAGGAAGTGGTGTGTGCATCGAGACGCTGGCGGGGCTCGCTCGACACCCGGCGATACACTCACTGCAATTCCTCGTCGATGAGGAATTCATTCGAGAGGTTGACACATCTATGAAGGACGACGTTAACGCCTTCCCACCGTGCTTACCTCTACAATTTCGGAACACGATGCGGCACATCAAGCTCGATTTGGATGCTCCCGCTGCGCTTGCCAGGTTCTTTAGGGTCGTTCAAACCCCTTTGCAGGTCATCGCCTTTGACGCCCAATGCTGGGAAGTCGAGGCCGACGACCCACACGACGTCCGCACCGAGAACCTCGACCTTCTCGCGCAGGCGTTCGATCCCGCGCACGTCAAGCAGATCCTATACTACCACGACCGCAATATCGAGCTCTCGTGGGGTCCCATCCCCTTTGAGCGCGTCCTGCGGCTTGCCAGGTATTATCCGAGTCTGTCATACCTGGCCATCGACTGCTGGCTTGACGTGGAGGACGCGGACCTCGTTGCTTTGGCGCGGGCGCTGCCCCACCTCGAGTACCTTGTCCTCGACACACACGCGATGAATCACCGGGAGTACCTCACTGTCGAGAGGCGGGACGTGCACACGACGCTGGGCGTGCTACCCGCTTTCGCACACTACTGCCCGCGGCTGCGCGGGCTATGCATCCGCCTGGATGCGACGGAACTACCTGCGCTCGACTTAGGGGCCGACAAGCCTCGCGTGCAGGGGCATGTGCGCATGTACTTCGCGGATTCGAAGCTTTCGCATCCGGTGGCTGTCGCCCGGTTCCTGCGAGACGTCTTTGCACAGGGGTGTAGCATCGCGTCGCAGCCGCCGAGGGAGGGAATGTACAAGAGGTGGCGAGATGGATTCTGGGATGACGCGGAAACCAGTGATTGGGCGGTGGGCCGATGGCTAGAAGTGCGCAAGGAGCTTGCGACGTTGGAACGCGAGGTAGATCGATGCCAGTAGCTGAGGTTCAAGTTCTTGTCTATTAGGCTTTGGCCCATAAGAGGGCTGCCACAAATAGTCAAACATAGGACCTGATTGATTTGCGGGCCTCAGACGAAAGAAGTTCAGGAAAGCCTTCGCATCCGCTCCAGGCCATAGTCAAAGACAAGTAGACGGTGCGGTGAGAGGTTGGTGTAAGCGGGCGGCCGCGGCCGAGGCGCCGACGCCACCCCCGGCCAGCACCGCCACCCCGCCCCCGCGCACGCCCGGCCCGTTCACCCGGTTCCCACCGTCGGGCGCTGTGGGCTGGCATCAGTCCAGCTTGATTCCGCCACTCGTGTCCTTGGGCGCTTGTCCTCCTCTCCTCCTTACCCGTGCTGCTTGCTCTCTGTCTACTGGCGCTTGATACGACTATTGTCTACCGGACGTACCTCAAACGCGAGCAATCACCCCCGCCCTCCAACCGAGCGCGCTCCAGCTATCGCCGGTCACCCTGCATCAGGGTCAAGTTGAACGATCCCACCAAGACGCCTACTCACAAGTCTTCAACCATGATGCGCTCCGCACTAAAGCACTCGGCTTCTCGACCGTCGAGCCAATATACACCTAGCCAGCCGCCGAGCCAAGTGAGGCGTACTTTCTAATACCCTTTACCCTTCATCTTTCCCTCCGTCGCGCGCCTCCCCATCGAACTTCCGTACATTCGATGTGCAACTGTTATTGGGCACACCCTACCCCCTACACTCCCCGATCCCCTCCTTACAAGGACCGCGAAAGTAAGAACATGCGCGCTAACGATAAGTCCCCAGCACACCCCCTCGCGCCCCCCATCACCAACGTCACCCTCCGACTCACCTATGATCTCGCGCGTGCCTCTGCCAAGCTCGCCAGAGGGCGCTCATGCTACACTACCGGGTGAGTATACTACATGATCACACTGTATACCCTTATGCGATCGCACATTCATTTATCCTCCCCGTATTCCCCTCCTTGGCCCGAAGGGACTCATCCTTGGCTCGCGCAAACCCTTACAAGCATCTACTAATGTCCTCTCAGGTGCTTCCACGTCGACCCTTGGCACGTATCACGCAGGAATCGCACACTCGTCGAGCGGATTAGGGTTGAGTGGGTGAGTTCCTGTCTCTCTTCCTTCTCATACGCGCCATTGCTCCACTGGAACCGCAGTTTCATGCAAAACATCAATCCAGTTACTGCTCATTCTCCGTCCATCGCACCTTTCTACATCCTACCACCCAGGCTGACCTGCCCTTCCAGCCACAACCCGCATCACCACGCACCGGGCACGCTCTCCAACCTGCCGACGCCAACGTTCAGCACCCCCGGGTATGCGATCTTTTCCCCCACGTAAACAATGTAGACGCTGACGGATAGTACAGGGGCCTGACGCCGGGAAGCGCGTCCGCGTATGGCGGGCTGACGCCTGGGTGAGTTGTTTGCTCGGCTTTCATGTTCAGCTTCGGCTTTATGGTCTTTGTCGCGCTCAACGCGTACTCCCTCCCCCCCCTCGCGTCTCCCGTCTCATCGTCCTTCCTCACTGTTGCACAACGACCGGCTACTGACCATTTTACAGAACCCCTGGCCCCCACAGCGGCCTCCATACGCCAATTGCGCTGCCGAGCTTCTCCCCCAAGGTCTCCTTTGACACCTTCGAGAACCCGGCCGCGTCCATGTTCTCGTTCACGCTGAGCGTGAAAAGCGAGGGGTGAGTCATGGGTTCCCCTTTGACTTGCATGGCCTCGTCTACGAGGTTGCAGTATGAGGTTTTTGGGTGTTACCTCGGAGGTACTCTCAGAGCGTAATGCACTTGCGTTCGACTTCTTGACTTGACGAACCTCAAATCCATATACTAACCCACGTCTCCAGCTACACTCGCACCCGGTCTACGCGCGTCTTCCTCTGCGCGGCGAGCGCGGACGAGAGTGGAAGGGAGGCGCTGGAATGGAGCTTGGAGGTGAGTTGTGCGTTTCTCTTCGCAAATCTCTCCGTATCCTTGTCTTCGTGGCAACAGTCTCTCGTTGTCGGCCTATCTATGGCGGAGCAGGGCGACGAGGAAACGGAGCAGAGGGCCAGAGGACTAACATTGACAACCACCATCAGACCCTCGCCCAGGACGGAGACGAGCTGATCGTGTGCAGGGGCGTGGAGGAGGAGGTGCTGGGTAAGTCGATGCTTTTGCTTTTGACTTCCCACGTCGCGTTGGTCGACGTATCGTTGCCCATCGTCTGCTCCCTGTTATTCGAGATGTTGCAAGTAGACGCATATTGACCCCGCCTGCAGAGAAAGACCACGACGAGGTGCGCGAGGAGGCGCGGCAGCTCATGATGGAGATACAGGCGAAGAGCGTGGAGTACGATGAGGGACGGAAGGTGAGTGAGCCTTTGTCCCATGCATGCGAGCGACGTGGCTTCAGGCCCGCGAGCGACGTGTGCTCCAGGCCCGCGAGCGACGTGTGCTCTAGGTCCGCGAGATATGCCTGCACGGACCTTCTTGATTCACGCCAGTGATTTATGTAACTAACACCACCCTCTAGCTTTCCCTCATCCTCGAATACGTGCCCACGCGCTCGATCACGAGCACGCTCGACCGGCTCATCGCGCTCTACCGTCCGGACTCGGTGGTCGTGGGGACGCGGGGGAAGTGAGTGTTTGTTTTTTCCCTTGGTCGCGGTGTGGCAATAGGTGCGGTTAGGGATGGTGGAGAAGGGGATACATGGGTGGAGAAAGGGATCCGGGGGTGGACGAGGGCGGTGCAAGTTGATGTAGGGGGAGTCGTGGACTGCAGAAGGCGCTCCTGCGCGCAAGATGGCATCCCAAAACTCATCCTGACCATCTCATTTCCAGGCGTACGTGGACGAACGCCCTCGGCGGGTCGTCGATGGGAGTCGGGAGTGTGAGCAAGTACTGCCTCTCGCACTCGCCCGTGCCGGTGATTGTGGTGAGGCCGGAGCGGAAGGTGAGTTTCGGTGGGGTCATTCTCATGAAACTAATTCGCATGATGGCTCGTAAAATCCTTTGTGCTGACGACCCCCTCCTTCAGGTCCGCAAAGCGATTGCGAAGCGGCGCGCCGATCCCAAGCGCGGACGGCATTTCGACGTCTAAAGCGTCATCGTCCTGTCAGTTATCATATTTGTCGGACACGTCTTCGCAATTGCATGCACTATGCCTCGTTATACCTGTAATTCTCACGTACCAAGAGGCTCACTGGCAAGCCTTGTGCATGTTTCTTCTTTTCCGGTGGTGGCCAGCTATTAGAATACTCACGCTGTAGAGCGTACACTCGAGGTTGGATGCGAGCCTGCATTCAGACGTTTAGAGGGTTGTGTGTCGGTCGCAATGCCAGAATTCGAGCCCCTCGAAGTGTCCCGTCGTAGCGCAAGGATCGGGTTGATGAAACATTGGATATTTTCCGGAGTAGCACACCGGCATCTGCCTGCAGGATCTATGCTCTACTGTTGTCCATGGATTGAGATATGTTACCTTAGTTCGAATGGAAGTACCTGCGGAGAGCATGTATAGTACTGATGCTCTACATCCTCAACTAAAACTCAGGGTTGCTCCGAAGCATGAACAGGCAAGTTCAACATTCGGCAATCACCGAAGCCTCAATAAAGCCGTGAGAATCACCTGACCCAAGCTATACAGCACCCTCGGCACTTGCCGTTACTGTTCGCGCCCTCACGGTTGGCCACGCCAGCGACACCGCCATCGCCGACAACGCCGCCAAAATGCAGATCTTCGTCAAGACGCTGACGGGGAAGACGATCACCCTCGAGGTTGAGTCGTCGGACACCATCGACAATGTGAAGGCGAAGATTCAGGACAAGGAGGGGTGCGTGTGCGATCGACCTTCCGAAGAGCGGATACTGACAATATCTGCGTAGCATCCCGCCCGACCAGCAGCGCCTGATCTTCGCGGGCAAGCAGCTTGAGGACGGTCGCACGCTCTCGGACTACAACATCCAGAAGGAGTCGACTCTCCACTTGGTGCTCCGGTGCGTATATTATAACCTCTGCTCGTTCGATCAGTGACTAACAATCTGCTTAGTCTCCGTGGCGGTATCATCGAGCCCTCGCTCAAGGTGCTTGCCTCCAAGTACAACTGCGACAAGCAGATCTGCCGCAAGTGCTACGCGCGCCTCCCGCCCCGTGCCACCAACTGCCGCAAGCGGTCGTGTGGGCACTCCAGCCAGCTCCGCCCGTGAGTTCCCTGCACCTCCATCACCTCCCCATCGCGTTACTTACCATATGCCACAGGAAGAAGAAGTTGAAATAGTGGTTGTGCGCCAAGCACCTTCTGTTTCTTGCCCTTCGCCGCTACGTATGCTACTACGGCTGCGCCTACGTATGATATACACATGTACATCCCCCATGAAGCATGCATTCCGCCTTCCATGAACTCAAGCCACATCTGCGTGTCTCATTGCTACCACCTGCACGCAAGAGTCAAGACCTTGACGAGGGGTATGTATTTTCCCCTCCGCCGACTTTGATGATGTAAGAAGGTAGATTTCGTCTCACTGCTGCCAGGCTCGCTGGAAGGCCGTTTCGAGGGAAGGACATCTGAGTGCCAGCTTGCACGCTATACGCCGTCGTTTTCGGTCAAGTATCCGACTCCGAGGCCTGTTCAGTGCCGTACTCCCAGGGATCTCACTCGCGTACCCGCTGATGCAAGCGCTTTCAGGGCGGAGGCTGCGAATTGTCGGCTTTCTTTCCCCCCTTGCGCTCACTTCGCAATAATTCCTTCTTCCCTCTTGCAATCATCTCCCTTCCCCGAGGAACGCAAGCCCTGCGGTTGATACATATGGCAGTCGCCGCCCTGGTCGTTGTATATGCCGGCTTCTTGGTCAACGACCATATATGATGCAGAGTGCGAGGCCTATTTCCATTGCGTCCCTTCCGCTTCGTCCTATCCCCTCACGCCCTTCCGCATAGAGGGGCCCGCCCACGTCCCTCCTCCTCGTGGCCCCCTGCCACGTCGTTCCCGGTGAACGAGCGCTCCCGTCTTCCACTCCTCTTAACGTGAGGCGGGTGCCATGGGATGCGGTAGAAGCGGAACTGGTAGAGAGGTGGTTGAGTAGCGCAATCTACGCAACGTCGGATATGGTGTAACGGCCAACATTGCCGCCTCTCACGCAGTGCGCGGCAGCTCGGGGTTCGATTCCCCGTATCCGAATGGGATCATTCTGACACCCTTTTTTCTTTTTGACTCACGTCACTGCTCGTGTATACAGTATGCTTTTTGGCGTGAAGTCGCGCAGGAGATGTCGATTGACTTTCGCTCAAACTTCATATACCGAGCCACTTGCTTTATCCTCGCCCGCTCCTTACCCGTGGGCGCCAGGTCCCAGGTCGCTGTAGAAGCATGCCAGTCTCGGATGTAGTGATCCTCAGCTAGTTCGGTCATACAGAGCCAAATCGCTAATGAGTGACGCTTCCTGCTTCATAACGGTTGATGCTTGTAATTACAGCGCGTCCTACTAACTTCGTGGTGTGCTAGAACCTGTAGCGGGACGCGACTGAGGTGTCAATGAGGTGGCGCGAGGCGCGAGGCTGATAGGCGCGTGCATGTCGATAGGAGTTCTGAGATATAGTAGCTTGGGGCTCATTGCCTTCCTGTCTCCTTGCGTCTCGTTCGTCCTTCCAGGGGTGCGCAAAGGATGTAAGGTTCAAAGGTGAGTGACTTGTGGGTGCATAGATGATTTCTGCACGTGCGTTTGCTACTTGCCCAATAAGGTGATCTTTCCACGCGCGCGCCAGATCATCCCCGCGCACCGGCCCGTGAACGCGTCCTTGTCCTCGTCCCTGTTCTGGTTTGCCATCAGCACTCCCTCTAGCTCGCGTCCGAACCTAGTGTTCTCATTGACTGCAGCGTCCTCCGACAGAACGGCGCACGACCTCGCCCGGTGTCCTTCAAGCGTCAAGCGCGCTAGCGACATCTTCAACCCAAACCAGTCCCCCACTTACTCACTATGGACGCTCCCAAGTTCACGAAGTGCGTACAACAGTACTTTCATTCTCCCAGAAAAGCTAACGTCTCCTGCTCCTCTCGCCATCCTCAACTTGTCAACCCTCACATCCCCCACCCTTCCGCCACCATCTCTCAATTCTGCCTATCCCTCGCCAACAATAATTTCCTCGGTCACAATGACCTCCCCTCCAACCTAATACCTCCGTCTACACGTCGAATGACTAACGATCTCACCAATGCTATCGACGCACGTCGTCTGCCTGCCTTTCCAGAAAGCGCAAGCTCACGAGCAAGTCCCTCCCTGCCAGTCTCGCGCAGACGCCCGAATTTGCGGAGGAGTCGCAGGTGGGTAGCGCACCATATATCCTTCCAGATTCTTGAGTCTCCGCCTCACGCAATGTGCAACTTTGATGCTACTCGCTCCCCCCTGCGCCAGTGCTATGCTCATGCCCTTTCTACCCGCTTCTGCATTCTCTTGCCCGCCTCATTCCGCCCGTTCCCTTTCATTGACATCATAAAAGACGCTCGCTGACACTCCTCCTTCTAGATGTACACTTCCCTCCTCGAGACCGAACGGCGGCTCGACTGGACATTATCGCGAAAGAAGGCCGAGGTGCAGGACGCGTTGACGAGGGTGGTTGGGGTGGGTGACCTGCTTCGCGCGGTGTTTGAATACTGATAGACCTCTTCGATCCTTCGTGCATTCTCAAAACCTCTCTACGCCATCCTGAACCTTGACATCTCGCACTCAACCGTAACCCCTCATCTCCTCTCGACTTAACACCCCATCTTGCTCGCATTACGCCACCAATCTACACCTTCCAGACCACCCGGACCCTGCGCATCTTCCTCTCGCATACCGTCAGCGGGCAGCCGTGGCAGACCGGCGGCGTCCCACCCGAGAACACAAACTTCGAGACCGGCGAAGGCATTCCTGCGTGGTCGTTCCGGATCGAGGGCAGGTTGTTGGAGGTAAGTGGGGGTTGGTTGGTTGATTTGATCTTCTATCTGCAAGACGGTCACCGAATTATCATGGCTGTGGCGCCTCAGCTATCACGCCCCCGAGTCACAGCGTCTACGCGTTCTTCTTAAGTGTCTCGACTTTCTTTCCCTCGCGTGTACTCTGTCCATTCTAGCTCTGAGCCGTTGATGCACGCTGTCAATCTCGACTTAGCCAGTGCTGACCATCTCTTTAGCCGCCCAACGCGCGAACGAAGGACAAGGCGGCCACGACGCGCAAGTTCAGCACCTTGATCAAGCGCATGGTCGTCGAGCTGGACCGCGACCCGAGCACGTATGCGGATGGGAATGTGGTGGAGGTGAGTGTAGGCCCCGTTGTGCTCGAAGGGCGTCCTTGTGTCCAGCCGGCGAAGGCTCTTCCTTCCTCGCCAGCGTCATAGCTCCACGCCCTGTACTTCTCTTGCCTTGTTAGAGCTGTACTTGTCGAGCGGCTCGATCCCGATCCTGAAGGTTCAATCCAACTCTATCTAACCCTTCCCTAGTGGCCCAAAACGCCCGGCGGCGCCAACCCGCAGCTGGATGGTTTCACAATCCGCCGCACAGGCGACACGCCGGTCGACATCCGCGTCGTGCTCTACCTCGAGCACCAGCCGGAGCAGTTCAAGGTGGATGAGCATTTAGGTGAGTGCTCGGGTGTGGTAGTTGACGGCGCCGTGGACCGCTTCTTGCGGCTTTCTCGTTGCGATACTTGGCTTTAGCCTTCAGACAGCTTGCTCATCTCTCTCGCCCCCTCAGCAAACATCATCGGCATCAAGCAAGAGAGTCGCCAGGGCGTCATCCAGGCGCTATGGAACTACGTCAAAATCAACGGGCTGCAGGACAAGGTCGACCGGACGATGATTCACCTCGACGGGCCCTTGAAGCAGCTCGCCGGCCGCGCCGACATCCAGTTCCAGATGCTCCCCGCGCTAGCGAACAAGTTCCTCCGGTCGCCCGACCCGATACTGCTGCGCTACACCCTCGATCCGAGCACCTTCCCCCCTGACAAGCCCCTGGCGTTCGACGTGGAGCTGAAGATGGAGGACACAGCGATGAAGGGGCGGATGCAGGCGGTGGTCGCGCCGAGCAAGGAGCATCTGGCGGCGCTGGGGAAGTTGGAGGAGGAGGTGAGCGCGCAACCGATTTCGGGCGTGCTTCATGGCCTGCACTACCCAATTCGTATTTATTCGTATCTAACCCCCACCCAGATCGCACTGCACGTCCAATCCCTGCACAACGCGCACCTCAAGCGGTCGTTCCTCTCCTCTTTCGCGGACGACCCGGCGACGTTCATCCAACAGTGGTTGGAGAGCCAGAGTCGGGATCTGGAGAACATACTCGGGAGCGGGCCGTCGATGGGGAAGACGCTAAGGGCGGAGGAGCTACGGAGGGCGGAGTTCTTCAGGCTGCCGTGGGTCGGGGAGGTGAGTGGGGTGTTTTGCTATGCTTCCTGGCGCTGGCTATATTGCTGTGGGCTGGGATGTTGGTCGATCTCTTTGGTGCACCGGCAACGCGGTCGCGCCGGATGCGTGGACGGGTGGAATAGCTGCCCCACGTTGCTGGCCCAGAGCCTCGGGACGGCTGCGGAACTCCATCGTCGTCGTTCGAATAACTTTCTAATCACCCTTCCACAGGCTGTCGCCATTCAGGAAGGGCTCCGACATTCGCAGAAGGGAGTGCAGAATCCATAATACGCTGCGTTGGAACGATGTCTGTCTTGGGCGATGTCTGTATGCACTTGTACTTGCAACGCTCCTTGTACATGCTCTTACTGCTCTGTATCCTCTTGACTGCTTTCGTCGCGTCCTTGACTTTGCATGCATGAGTTGCAAAGTACATGAGCGTTCCCCTCGGGGTAACTCTCTCATGCCTCGGGGCGAGGGTCAACGACATGAACAATTACGCTCCGGGCCGGAAACGCCGCCAACAATGGGCCCATCTAATGCGCATCTAATCATCGCGCCCTTGCTTCTTGCCGTCATAGCACAGATATCTTCTAGTCATCTCGTTATCCTCACTTACCTCCACGTCAAGCGCGCAGCATGGCTAGCCGACAGGTAAGCAACCGCACTGGTGGCACGATTCTGGTTACTCAACGCCGTCATCTCCTCATTGCCATTGACGATCCTCGACCTAACCATCGAACGTACGATTGCTCCGACTGTCTTGACCTCGACGCTTGACGACTTGACGACGCTTGACTGGACGACGAACCTACACACTCTACCAACACCTCACTCTACGCATGGAAAAGCTGGGGAAGCTGCGCCAGTGGGCCGGCGAGGTGATCGCGTCGCGAGAGAAGACGACCGTGTCGGACGAGTTGCAGGAGCTCGAGCAGGATATCGAGCTCCGGCGGGCGGGGGCAAAGAGGTGAGTGCTCGGATACACGGCTTGGCAATGCAGGACCACCACCATCATCATTGCAGGACGCACCCCGTCCATTCTCCCTGCCCGCTATCGTCGTGATACGGCTACCTTTCCCCCATAACCCCTCACGCCGCCCAGTTTCCACTTGCACTCAGTGTGCATCAAAGCCAACCTCTTTACACATAACGACCGTTACACCCGACCCCCTTTACACCCAACTCCCGCTATGCTTGACCAGCGCTGACCGCACTCCAGACTCGTCTACGCCGCGGAGGGCTTCGCGCACTTTCTTGCAAAGAAGAAGGCGAACGAGGCGATCGACAGCGGGGAGAAGCTGCTGCCGATCGACACGCTGGGCGTCGCGCAGATCACGCACGGGGAGGAGTTCGAGTCGGAGTATGGTGAGTGTTAGCTGGTGCCGTGTCCTTGCGCCGAGCGGGTTGTAATGGGTGCACTGGCTGGCTTGAATGTACCTGGTCATGCAGCACCCCTCCGGCCGCATAGTTCTATCACGAACAGGAATTCGACGCCAAGATCGCCCTCACATCCGTTTCCCATGCCTCGCTACAGCCTCCTCACCTCATCCCCTACCTCGCTCTATCTCTCCACCATCGCTACGTCGCTCTTCCTCCTTATCCCCGCTATCCTTCCTAATCATCTCACCATTCTCAACCACATCTTCATCTTAGTCCTACCTATGTGTTCTACGTCTAACCTAACACCTAGGCGAAGCGCTCACCAAGCTCGGCCGCGCGCACTGCAAGATCGCGACGCTGCAGGAGACGTTCGCGCTGCAGTTCGAAGACACGTACCTCGCGTCGCTGAAGTCGCTGCTCGACGACATACGCGAGTATGACGTGCAGCGGAAGAAGCTCGAGAGTCGAAGGTTGAGCTATGATGCGGCGCATGCGAAGGTGAGCAACTAGTTGGCGCGAGGGGGGAGTAGCGAGGGCTTCAGAAGCGGGGGAGCTGGCGTACCCGAGAGGAGGAACAAGAAGGCGCGCGCGAAGGGATGGATACTGACGCCGATACAGGTGGAGAAACTGAGGGGCGCGGGCTCGAAGAAGGACAAGGAGAGGAAGGAGGCGGAGGAGGAGCTGGAGAGAGCGCAGTTTCGATTGTGAGTGCCGTGTTGCGATCGGGAGGGGGGTTTGTGCGTGATACAGAGGCTGACTGGAACTTCCGTAGTGAAGAAGCGGAGGAAGACTTGCGCGCGCATATACATCAGATCCAGGAGTCGGAGGCTTCGTTGTTGCGTGAAGTGACGGTGTCGCTCGACTCGGAGATCAAGTACGTGAAGAATTGGCTAGAGATCCTGGAGGAAACGAGGGAAGACTGGCCCGAGACGTACGTATCCAGAAATATCCCTCGACGCTTAAGCTGATCCGGTCTACAGCAAGAGCATCCTTGCCACGAACAATGCCCCAACAAGAAAGCTGTCCACCTCACGCGCAACTCACAACCGGCAAGCCTCCAGCCTATCGCGTGCCACTGCGAGTGCCCTGTCTCGTTCAACTTCCTCTAAGCGCTCGGATCGCCCTCCAACGCCGGACTCCTCGGATGAAGAGGATTCCAAGGACAGCAAAGCTCGTTCTCGTGCAACATCACTATCTCACAGTCGCTCCGGATCGCGCGCCGACGCTCGCCCTCCCTCTCGTCCCCCTTCGCGCCCCGGATCTTCGCTAGCCAGAAAACGCGCGGATAGCAACGTTACCGCTGGTGGCAAGGAGGACCGCGAAAAGGATAAGGACAAAGAGAAGGAAAAAGACAAGGAGAAGGAGAAGTCCCGCAAGATGAGCGTGTCCAACTGGGCCGCCTCCCTCGGCCGGAGCAAGAAGAAGCCCGAGGAGCCGGAGGAGAAGGAGCCTGTCATGGCGCGCGACGAGCGCAAGAAGTTCGCCTCGCTCGAGGACGTCGCGCACGACAGCGACTCCGCGGCCGCCAACACTTCCACGTCCTCCTCGCGCGTCGGCCTCCCGATCATCGGGCGCAAGCAGTCGAACAAGAGCATGAAGAGCAAGTCGCCGGCGGCGTCGCCGAAGCCGCCAGCGCGTATTCTGAAGGCGCCGAGCCAGCGCGGGATGAAGCGCGCACGGGCGCTGTACGACTTTAGCGGCGCGGCGGACGAGCTGTCCTTCCGCGCGGGCGACGAAATCGCGGTGGTGAGCGAGGTGCTGGACGAGTGGTGGATGGGCGAGCTGGACGGGCGCAAGGGGCTGTTCCCGTCGAGCTATGTGGAGGTGCTGGATCGGCATGCGGGGGCAGGGAAGGGCGGAGCTGCGGAGAGCGATGGGAGCCGCGCGTCGTCGCCCGTGGAGAGCGACTTTGATGACGATCTCAACGCGCGGCCGATGCAGCATAACGACGCGGGGATATCGAGCAGTCCGTTCTTTAGCGTCGGCGCGAGCAAGCGAGAGTCCTTTGCCCCCAGTATCACGAGCAGTGCGGATGGGGACGAGGGCAGGGGCTTGCTAGGCGCGCGGGATGATGACGACGAGTATGGGAGCTCGACGCAGGGGCATGGTTCTCACTCGAATCATGGCCACAATTCGAGCTCAGGATCCCTGGTCCGTGGCATGTTGAACGCGGCGCCGGCTATCACGCGCAGAGCGACCACCGGGGAGGCGAGCAAGCGCGCGCCTCCACCTCCGCCCCCACGTAGAACGACTGGTGGCAGCGGCAGCTTGAGCATCCCGCCGATTCCTCCGCGTCGCCCGCCATCGTCGCGCAGCCAGAGTTCGGCAAGCTCCAGTTCGCTGGCGTTGGGACTGAAGCCACAGCAGAGGTATGCTAGAAACGTCCATGGCGTAGAATAACCGTACTAATCAAAACATAGCGGCCACGACTACGACGTCTCGCCTTTCGAGAGCGCGTATGACCTGGACGCCATCACGCCAGGCAAGACAGGATGCGACCAGTTTAAGCAAAACCCCTTCAAGCCACAGGGGTTCTGCAATAACTGCTTCCAATTCCACACATAGACGTGGCTTTTGTCGAGGAAAGCCCTGCACGTCAGTGCTTTGCTGGGATATACTTTTCTCGATGCTTTTGGTTGTTAGAAACGGACACTTACACACGATAGACTATCCCGATAGGACTTTACATATGATACTACTGCCTATCCGAGCTGGACTCCTTACAGCCGCGTGCAGGCTGAGCGAACGAATGCTAAGGCGTCAGCTGTTTTAACACCGAGAGTCTGTTGAGACGCTACGGGGGTTGCTACCAGCCAGTGCGCAAGGAAGGTCAGTCTTAAACAAGAACAATAGCGCGGCAATGGCCGACGCATGGGCGACACCACGTGGGAGCCGCGCGAAGCCGCGTTTAGCAAGGTGCGTTGCTTGTGATTAGCTGTCACTGGGCTTGCTCCTCTGTATTATCCTCTCGTCCAGAGACAGGCAGGGCGCTGGAGTCCAGATCCTCTTTCTCATGCCCCTCATACCATGGCCAGCGAGCGCAGATGACTCTTCGAAAGGCAAGGACGACGAGAAGGACATTGCCACGAAAGCGAAGGTTTGGATATGTGTTTCCCGGCAAGAATGTTGCTCGGTACTGACACATCGTAGGAACTATTTGCACTAGCAGGAGAGATACCTCCAGAATACTTCTCAGTCGCTGCTTTTGCCGCAGGGTCGTTATCCTTAGCGGCGAGCTACTTCGTGCATAAACGTTACTTTCGGTCAGTACAGAGTCTCTCATAAAGGCGTACGTACACTGAAAACACTACGTAATACTAACATCAGACGCATACCCAATGCAGAATGGGTGTCTCCAAATCACCTTGCGCGCAAGCGCTGGATTAAAGGGCGAGTGACTAGGTAAGTGCTAACCTGCCTTTCTCATTCGCGCTTCAGTCCATGCGATGACCCTCTTGTATTTTATCCCCCACTTTTTTATGGCTAACACGACCTCAAGCGTCGGCGATAACGACAACTTTCGCTTCTACCACACACCCGGCATCGGCTGGCGGTGGCCTCTCAAGTTCCGTCGTGTTCCAACGCTAACCAAGGGTGGTTCTTCCACTGATACCGCAAGTGCAACAGCTCGCTGAATCCCAAGCAGAGCTGAAAGATCAAACGATTCACGTCCGCATCGCTGGCGTAGACGCGCCAGAGGTGATATCCTTCTCTCACCTACTTTCTTTAGCTTTAAGCTCCCTTCTCTTGCCCTGCTTCCTTCAAGTTTCTATGGCTTTTGCAACCCCGCCTGCACGTTTCTCCTTTCAATAAACCGCTCCAATCCTCCTTTACATAGCCCCTGCTCTATCTCTTCTCTGTCTGACACCCCTTCCCCACCCAGAACGCCCACTTCGGTCGGCCCGCGCAGCCCTACGCCCAAGAAGCTCTCGCCTATCTCCGCGCACGCATCCTCGGCAAAACCGTCTTTTGCCAGCTTATCCGGCGCGACCAGTACGGGCGGATGGTCTCGCACGTCCGCCTCGCGCCTCGGTTTCTTCCAGGTACGTTCGCGTTTTGTTCTATCCACATTCGCATTCCCAATTGCATACGCTTTCGTTTCCTCCCCATGCGCCATACGCTGTACCCTCCCTTCACCGTTCGTCGGACCCACCCTTCAGCGTTACTGACCCCCGCACAGCTACCCTTTTCCGCGGGCCCAACCTCGCCGAGGACATGCTCCGCAAGGGCTGGGCGACGACGTACGAGCAACACGGTGCAGAGTATGGTGAAGGCGGAGTTGAAAGGTACAAACAAATCGAGCAAGAAGCGAAGGACGCGCGGCGGGGGATTTGGGCCAAGGGTGTGCGAGGGGAGACGCCGGCGGAGTATAAGAGGAGGTGAGTGGGGTATTTGCGCTCATCACGCTAGCAATGTTGAGCACGCATGCTGATCCCCCTTTCAAGATACGCCCAAGCCGCAGACGGCGGTGAGCCGCCCTCCAAGGCGCGCGCGGAGAAAGAGCAGAAGAGAGGCTGGTTGCAGCGCTTGTTCAGTTGGAAGTAGCTACGGCTGGAAGTAAGTATTGAGTAATGGCCTTGGTGCGCGAGGACGATTTAGAGTGTATCTCGCATGGAAAACCCGCATGCAGTGCTTTTCTTGGGGTTGACTTGAGAAACCAACCCTTGGAGAAAATACAAGGTCACTCATCATGCAGGCATTGGTGGCAGGCAGAAAGATGGATTCTCGTTACTATATACCAGCGGCGGATCTCGAATCAAAATGTGTACAGGAAAATAAGCACGGCTCTGAAGAAAATTCGCATCTCCCGCGGAACGTCATCAAGACAGAGGCGCGGGCAGAATGCAAGCGCGCTCAGGACTAGCCGAAGAGCGCGGGGACTCAAGGGATCCCGTAGCTAGCTGGGGATCGCTGAAAGGGGTGAACATCAGTAAAGTTGCGGACCCTTCACGAGTGCAAATACCACTCACTTTACAGCAGAAGACGCCCGAACTTGCCGTCGCGCTTGGCGCGGGCGGCCATGTTCGTGTTGTACCGAGCGGTGCTCAGGCAGGTGTCGCGCGTCGCGCCGCAGCCGGTCCAGTCGGGGTTCGGCTGCGACTTGGCGATGCATTGGTTGTACTCGTTCATGCAGACGTTCGCGTCGCCGGTCGCGGCGGAGGTCGTCGCGGCGGGGGCGGAAGTGGCGGCAGCGGACGTCGAGGCGGCGGCGGAGGTCGTGGGCGCTGCGGAGGTAGCGGCGGCGCTGGTGGACGGCTCCTCGGGGGCGGCGCTGGACGAGGGCGCGGCCGGGGTGGAGGAGGCGGCGGCCGAGGTGGCAGGGGCGGAGGAAGCGGCAGGGGCGGACGACTGGACGGCGGAAGTGGCAGGGGCAGCCGCGGAAGTCGAGGCAGCGGCAGACGTCGCAGCAGCAGATGTGGACGCAGCGGCCGAGGTCGCCGCACCACCCGAGGAGCTGCCCTCCTGCGCGGTGTCATAGCTCGCCGACCCGTCCCACACCGCCGGGCCCGGGATCACGTACGTCGACGCGTCCGTGCCGTAGATGTTGAACTGGATGCCCGGCGTCGTGTCCGTGTACGCGCCTGGGAACGCGACGCCCGCGGGGAGCGCCGTGTCGCCGCCGGTCGCGACCGTGATCTGCGAGCAGCTCGGGTACAGCTGGATGCCGCGCGCCGAGTTCGACGCGAGCCCGTCCGCCTCGTGCAGCGCGAGGATCTCCGCGCGGAAGAGGTAGTCGCCGGGCGCAACCGAGGAGGGGATCGTGAAGTCGAACTTGCCGCCGTCGGCGATGAGCTTCTCGACCGCCCACTGGCCGTTCTCGTAGCCCATCTCGCCGATCTTGACCCACACGTTGCCCTCGCCGTTGGACTCGAGCGGCGCGAGGTAGGCGACGATGGGGCCCTTGTGCGAGGCGTCGATGATGTCGTCGCCACTATTCAGAGTCAGCGAATTGACCGAGCGCCCAGTAGTACGGTGACTTACCGAGTGTTGTGGAACCACTCAGTGCTGACGGTAGAGCCGGCGTTCACAGAAACCTTCTGGGGGACCGCAACGTTGTTGACATTGCAGGCAACATCAGCGCTGGTCAAGTCCTTGACCGGGCTGTTGCTAGGGGGCTGGCGGATGTAGACGCCTCCACCCTCACCTGAGTTATACTGTCAGCACTTGCTCTTGGCTCGCGACAAGCGGATGAAACTCACCCTGGTCAACACCGTCGACCCAAAGGGAGAAGACACGGGTGTGCGCCGAGACAGAGCCAATGAAGGCGCTGGCAAGGAGAGGAGCAATCAAAGAGTACTTCATGGTGCAGGTGATTCAAAGAAGGGGCGTGTGGTGATCAAAAGGAGGCTGCTGCTTGAGCTTTCGAGAGGACGTGCTGTATACAGGGAAAGACACAGAGAGCGCTGGGCCGGGAGGTAACGAGAGAGCCGGGAAAACGAAAGTGGGGGGAACGAGAGAAGGTGACGATTGGTGAGGACCGCTCGAGCGCGCGCCCGGCTTATATAGTGCCTCGTCAGGCCCGGGGCGGTCGATGCTGAGTGGGCCATATGCGCGAGGCTGGCAACGAGCATGATGGGTTGATTTCCAACGGCGGCCTGGCGCTCAAATGCCTCTCTCCTAGGGCCGGGCCGAGCACTGTGCGTCCGAGCGGCGGGACGTGCACAAGGTGCGGCAGCGAATGAGAGCGTACGGAGCTCAGCGGTCGGATGGGAACGCTTGATGCGCGCGCAGGGTGCGAGATCCCGAGTGCGACGAGCGTGCGGGAATGACCAGGGAGGCGCGTACTTCTAGACACTTCTCCGCGGCGAGGCGGTCTGGGCTTGAATGGACGAACATGAAAACTCCCACCGTCTCGATGGATTCCCACCGTTTCTGGCCGCAAGGGTGCCTTGTTCCTCGGCGAAACGACGGGTTGCAATCGACAGCGACCAACGGCGGGAGGGAGTTGGTAGGACGACGACGCCACGTGGAAGCCATTATCAACCGCGTTCATCTACCGTGTTCCTTGAGCAGGAACGCCGATTGGTCTCCCGTCGCAGCAGACCGGGACCTGGGATTATTGAGTTCATTGACTCAATTGCGTCACCAAAGATGACTACCAGGGGGGCAGCAAGCAGGGGATGGATCGAGAGAAACAGGAAACATGGGAATCTTGGCATCGACGCTGGGATGAGCGAGGAAGAAGAGCACGGTACTGTCACGAAACGGTTGAAGTCACATGTGACCAGGACAAACACATGCCAGCAGAAGTTGAATTTGTGGGTTCTTTGGTCGACGTAAGGACTCCAGGATTATAAACGAGAGTGCCTGATATTTACCATGGACTTGCAAGCTCGAACTTCTTTCGAGCTTAAGTTCCTGATTCCACCTCCACCCCCAACTGTACGAGAGCACGACGAAGTCCTCACGAGAACACGACGAAATCCTTACACGCATACTCACCCGGCCCGGGTACCGTGATCACGGGACTGACACGAGGCCGCAAACAAAGTCTGGCTTCTGAGGACGAGCGTGCGCGGACGATGGCGACCAGAGTCTGTCAGTGTCAGCCCAAGCTTGTATTACTGCAGCTCTTCGTTAGCACTTATTGCATGGAACATTCAAAGAGTCTGATCCTGGTAGGGAATTCCTCTTTGTAATCTATCATACGAATTTCCTGATGAATTTCCCCTTTCGCCTGCTTACGTGTGCCTTGGGACTTCGATTTCGTAGGTAAGATGAATGTATAGACGTACCGTGGTCACTCTGAATCGACGGTAGGGCGAACGCTTAACCTGTTCCGAAAGGATAAGGCGGGAAGTAAAACTGCAGAGACATCAGTAATGTGGCTTGCAAGGTTCAGAATCCCCGATTTCAAAGGCAGAAATCATCTTCGCTGACTTTGAACTCTTGAAGGAATCCCATGTATTCATGAAGCCTTGCCCTTGTCGCATAAGCTCTTCGCCGGGGAAAGCCAGCGTTCACTCTCGTTCATACGAGCCGCTACAGACAATCACATGGGTACAATAAGAAACTGTGAGATACTTACGCTCATGCTGCTGGGAGACAGCTCGGAGTGTGGGAGATCCTTGGGAGTCCGAGAGAAGAGATCGTCAGGCACGCCGCAAAGTGTAGGTCCACCGCCACGCGAACGAACGTCATTACCCGAAACAGCAGCCCACGGCGCCACGTGCGCAAACTCCCACCCAGCGTGCGCGGATTACGCCTGCGTGACCGGCTGACCTCCCCCGCCCGTGACGCGCGCTGCCCGCATTCTCTTGAACCACCATGGCCCCCTCCGCCGACTCCCTCAAGAAGCGCAAGATCGCCGTGCTCGGCTCCCGCTCAGTCGGTGAGCAGCCCGCGCCCCCATCCCTCTCACACGACACAGCTGACGGCTTCCCCGCGTTTCCCGCGTGCCCCGTACCGTATGTGCCTCGTTCGCCTGCTCCCTCGCTCGCTTGATGCGCCTGTGCTCGGCGCGCAGGCAAGTCGTCGCTGGTGCGGCAGTTCATCGAGAACGAGTTCCAGGAGTCGTACTACCCGACCATCGAGAGCTCGCACACGAAGACGGTGAAACACAATGGCACGGAATATCAGCTCTCTATAATCGATACTGCTGGTCAGGTGTGTCTCAGCGCGCGTCCCCCGGAATGCAGGCGCTGACATCGCTTGCGAAGGACGAATACTCGCCGCTCAACTCCCAACATGCGGTGCGTACACCTCCCTTGCACACGCTGTATGCCTTCCGGGCAACCCCTCACCTGTCTTCGCTTCCCCCTTCCCCACCGCAGATTGGCATCCACGGATACGTCCTCGTCTACTCCATCACCTCGAAGAACTCGTTGGAGATGGTGAGGATCGTCCACGAGAAGATAATCGATTTTTGCGGCGTCACCGACATCCCATGTGTGATCGTAGGCTCCAAGAGCGATCTCGCGCAAAGGTGCATATCACATTCCTTCATCCATCTTCGATTTTTCTCGACATCTCGTACGCAAACACGTTTTAGCCTCTTGCCCTACAAGTGAGCACAAATGCTCATATCACTCGTAGCCGCCAGGTAGACGCCGTCGAGGGCGAGAAGGTCGCGCATGAACACAACGCCGCTTGGGTAGAAACGAGCGCGAAGAACAATGTCAACGTTGGTCAGTACATAATATTACCATCTCAGGCGATCGTGCCACCTTTCTCCCCTGCTACCCCGCGCATTTCCTTCCCTTGTCCACGCGCGTTTCCTTCCCCTTGACGCCGCGCGCCTGTGCCGCACTGCTGACCCCGTCCGCAGACAAGGTGTTTGATCTCTGCCTAGCCGAGATTGAGAAGCGGACCTCGCCTTCACAGTCGGAACCGCCAGCAAAATCCTGCACTGTTATGTAATCGCGCGCACCCGAGAATTCCCTCTACGTGGTTCTCTATACATCGACGCGGTACCCTATACATCCAAATCCACGCACTCACGTCGCACCCTCGCATTGAATCCACCCTCGACTGCCGCTCGCATTCACCCTCTACCGCTCCCATCCAGCTTCGGTCTTCGTACCTCTTCTCGGTCCACGACTCCCTCTTCGATCCGCGTCGTCCACACTTCGATCACAACCGCCATACACCGTACTTACGACAAATGTTTAATTCCTGTTTGTCCTTCCCTTCTCCTTATAAAATTTTCTTCTCTTCCTTATTTATCCCTAGACTTTTCACGGCCGGTCCACTGTGGTTACGGCCGGTTTACTTAGTGTCTGCGACCTTCTTTTCTCGGCTAACTACCTCGTTTTCTCGGCCGACTACCCCGTTTTCTCGACCGACGTCCGTATTTACTCGACTGGCCAGCTACAGTTTACATAGAGTGCGACACGTACGTACCTACATCTTCGCCTGCTTCGTTCGTCGTGCGTCTCGCCCCCATCGCGGTGGTGTTCTCGGGCAGCGCGCCCAAACGCGGCAGCCTCTTGTATCGAACCCCGCCTGGTGCCTTCCCCGGGCTGGGTCTACCTAGTGTATGTACTGTACGGTACTCGCAATGTACTGTCTCCCATCGCCCACACATCCCGGCTTCTGCAGGTGTTCTAACGCTCAAGTAGGCGGTTCTGACGCTCAAGCAGGCGGTTCTGACGCTCAAGTAGGCGATTCTGACGCTGAAGTAGGCGTTTCTGACGCTCAAGTAGGCGGTTCTGACGCTCAAGTAGGCGTACTAACGCTCAAGTAGGCGTACTAACGCGCAAGTAGGCGTACGTATACATCATGCATTAATCGACCTGCCTTCGGTCGGTCGCTTCAGTAAGTCGGTCGCTTCAGTAAGTCGGTCGCTTCCGAAGTAGTACAAAACTCGCAACGCGGGCTGCCCGTCGCGTGAGGCTGCTGTGAAAGGCCCATCGCGCGACGCTGCTGTGAGAGGATACTTGAGACCCGGGAAGGAGGCATTGCATACATAGTTGAGCTTTTTGGATACGGAGAATAGAGATATCACGGAGAATAGAGATACGGAGAATAGATTGAGGATACGGAGAATATATAGAGATACGAAGAATAGATAGAGGATACAAGCGATACACACGACTGCTCTTTCTTGACTTTCCAGCGCCGGTTGTTAGCTTCTGCGTTCAGCGCCAGATGTTAGCTTTTGTCTCCAGCGCCAGGCGTTGGCTGCTGTGTCCAGCGCCGGTCGTTGGCCTTTTCACCGCGACTTCTCTGCCTCCTCCCCACTTCCCCATCCCGTCTCCTCCACACCACCACATCCCATATTCCTTTCTTTGCAGCGTTCAGATGCGCGCACTGCTCTGCGCGCCCCATCCGAACGCACGCCCCACTCGAACGCGCCGTGTCCCGCAGCGTTTGTTCCTCCCCCCTCCCCCCTAGTTCTTCCCCTCCCCCTCCCCCCTCCTCGCCGCCAGCCGCTCCCGCCTCTTCGCCACCGCCGCGTTCAGCTCGTCCAGCATCCCCACCGTCGTCTCCCACGACACGCACCCGTCGGTGATCGACACGCCGGGCTTGAGGTGCGCGCGGACGTTCTGGGGGGGTGGCGTTAGTGGAAGGTTGGTTAGGCTAGGGATGAGGGGTAGGTGGAAGGGAGCGTTTGATGAAAGAGAAGTGAGCGTTCGGAAGGACCGGTCGACGTGGGCGAAGGGCCGGTCGACGTGAGCAAAGGACCGGCCGGCGTGATAAACGCGCGAGGAAAAAGACGCGGACGCGGATGGAAACAAGATGAACGCAGGGACAAATCCCCTTCCCAATCTCGCCCAAGTCCCCTCCCATTCTCGCCCAAACCCCTCCCATTCTCGCCTAGAACCTCCCAATCCCCCCCCCCCCCTCTTCCAAAAACTCGCCCAAATCCCCCCCCCCCCAAGAACTCGCCGAAATCTCTCCAAAAAACCCTCGACAACCACAAACAACAAACCACAACCCACCTCGACCCCCACCGGCACGTCCTGCCGGCCCTCGTTGATGTTGCTCTCGATCATGACGCCCGTGATGTGCGGGGCGATGTCGAGCGTGTCTGGGTGGGATTGAGAGGTTTGTCAGTAAGCAAAAGGTTTGTCAGTAAGTGCATTGCCATTCGTGGTGGATGGGGGAAAAGGGTTGGCGGAAGTGGGAGAGGGGAAGGGTTCGTGGAGTGAGGTGGAGGGACGAGGGTTCGTGGAGTGAGATGGAGGGACGAGGGTTCGCGGAAGTGGGAGAGGTGGAGGGTTCGTGGAGTGAGATGGAGGGACGAGGGGAGGGGAAGGAGGTGAGGCGGTTTGTAATGGATCTTCGTGAGGGAGGGAACATGATCACCGACCTTCAACCTCCCCATTCGCCGACAACCCCTCGCCCGCGATCGTCTGGCACAGCGAGTGGAGCACCTTCGGCTGGTTGCGGTAATCCTTTTGCGAGTTGCCGTCTAGAGGGCAGGCGTGTCAGTCATAGGGTGAAGGGCGTTTGGGGACAGGGGAGAGGCGAGGACAAAGGGAGGCGAGGAAGGGTTAGTGAAGAGGCGAGAACGAGTGGACGAGAAGGAGGGAAGGGGCGCACGCGCCCGCCCCTTAGAGTCGACACGATGGGGGAGACATCGTCCACCACGTGAAGCCTCTGCATCGGGCGTCCGTTCGGGGGAGGGGGAGGGGGACTGATGGGTGAGGAGTGGAAGACGGGACGGGTGAAGAATGGAAGACGGGGCGGGCGAAGAATGGAAGACGGGGCGGGTGGAGAATGGAAGACGTGACGGGTGAGGAGTCGAAAACGGGACGGGTGGGAAGACGGTCCCTGCGACGGAATCCCACTCACGGCTGCAATCCACCATCACGCTCGCAAACCTCTCTTTCCCACCCCCACCCCCACTCCCGTCCTTCTCCCTCTCGCTCCTCCTCCTAATCTCCCCCACCACCCGCCTGATATCCTCCGCCCCATAGTTCGGCCCGCCCGTGCCGCCGCGGAGGATGACGTGCAGGTGCGGGTTGCCGGTCGTTTTGACGATGGAGGCGAGGCCTAGTGAGTTTCAGCGAGCGTTGGGGGAGGGAGGGGGGGGAAGAAAAGGGAGGGGGGGGGGTTAGTGCGGTGAGGAAAAGGGAGGAAATATTTTCGAATGGAAAGAGTCATGACGAACATTGGGGGGAGGGGGTTTGGTATGGAGGCAGGGAGGAGGGGGTTGGTAAGGAGGAAGGGACGTTATCAGTGTTTTTGAACAGAAAGAGTCATGACGAATGTTGGGGGAGGGGAAAGGGGGAAGGCGGGTCAAGTTAGAGGGGTAAGGGGGTGGAAGGGAAAGGAGCACCGGCCGCTCACCCTGCGGCGTCACGCCCATGAACGCGTGCGGGTGCGACGCGGAGTGCATCGCGTCGATCGCGACGGTGACGCTGTGGGGAGGCGTGAGCGTTAGCGAGCTGTCTGGAAAGCGAGAGGGTGAAGACGCGAGAGGATACACAACGGCGCGAGAGCGAGAGAGAAGAAGGACGAAGGGCAATGCGGAGGCGAGGAGGCGAGAGTGGCCGAAGCGGAGGAGGCAAGCGAGTGGCCGAAGCGGAGGAGGCAAGCGAGTGGCCGAAGGGGAGGAGGGAGGCGAGTTCGATTGGATGGGAGGGAAGCGGGTGGGGAGGACGGCGGGGTGAAAGGAAAAGAGGCGAGGTGGAAGGAGAAGAGGCGAAATGGGAAGGCGGTATGGGAGAGCGGAAAGGAATGGTGCGCTCATTATAGCCACGCTCGGCGCGCTCATTACAGCCACGCGCTCGGCGCGCTTCCTTCTCCCCCTCCTCTCTCTCACACCACACCACACCGCCCCCTCTCCCCCCCCCCTCCTCTCTTTCACACCACCCCTCTCCCCACTCCTCCCCTTCACACCACACCACACCAAAAACCCACACCCACCCCTCTCCCATAACCCCTTCACACCACACCACACCCAAAAAACTCACCCCCCATCCGTCCCGTTCTTGAACCCGACCGGGAACGAGCACCCGCTCGCGAGCTCCCGGTGCAGCTGGCTCTCCGTCGTGCGCGCGCCGATCGCGGCCCAGGAGGTTACTGGGGGGTGGGGTTAGTGAGGGCGTGGGGGGTAAGCGAAGTAACAAAGGGGAGTGGGGACGAGGGAGGAGAAGTTAGGAGGGGAAGGGGTGGGGGAAGGAAGGGGGTGAGCGAAGTTAGGGAGATGGGGACGAGGGAGGGGGTGGGGGGAGATAACGCGCCAGCGAGGGCCCGGTCGCGCTCGTCTCTCCGGCGAGCGCAGCGAGCGCCACGCAACACAAGCAAGCGCGAAGCGATTCAAAGTAAACGGAAACCCAAAACCACCACACAACATAACAGAACAAAAACTCACAATCGCTCAAAAACTGCGGGCTGACCGTGTCGAGCAGCTCCGCGCCGACGGGGACGCCGAGGTCCGTGATCGCGCACAGGAGCGCGCGCGCGGTGGCGAGGCCTGGGTGGGGGGTGAGCGAGCGGGAGGGGGGGTAGGGAGGGGTGGGTTAGCGTTGGCGAGCGGGAGTGAAACCCAGTACGCGATTGGGAAGACACCCAGTACGCGAGCAGGATGAAACCCAGTACGCGAGCGGGAAGAAACCCGGGGGAAAAGGGTGAGGGTGCGGTGTGGAGAGGGGGATAGCGGGTGAGTGGGTAGGGGGTTAGCGGGTGAGGGAGGGTTTAGACGAGTGATGGGGAAAGGGTTGAGAAGAGTGATGGGGGAGGGGGTTAGACGAGAGAGACAGATAGAGAGCGTATTCGGAGCGAAGCGACTGCGTCGCAGATACGAAAGAACGGTGGGGAAAGACAGACGGGGAGGGAGGTGTGGGAGGTGGGGTAGGGAGGGTAATGGGGGTAGAGGGTTAGCGAGCGGGGGGCGGCGCAACCAAAGGGTTAGCGAGCGGGGGGCGGCGCAACCCGAGGGCCGTCGAGCCAAGGGCCCGCAATGGGGCTTGCTCGGCGACCACATGGTCGACTTCGCTCGTCGACCACATGGTCGGCTTCGCCAGCGACTGTGAGGCCGCCCGCACCAGCGCCTCGCCCTCCTCTCCACCTTCCGCGCCCCGCATCCCGCCTGGTCGGCTCCGCTCGTCGATCGCATGGTTGGCTCCGCCCTGCGAGCGTCTCGAGCGCCCGCTCGCCGCCTCAACCGCCCGCGCGTCAACCGCCTGGTTGGGTTGTCTCCGCCCTGCGGGCGGCTTGACCGCCCGCTCGCCGACTCAACCCCCCGCTCGCCGACTCGACCGCAAGCCCGTCGACTCAACCGCCTGGTCCGAGCGCAGCGAGGGCTCCATCCCCTTCCCCCCCTCACCGCACCCCTCTCCCCACTCCTCCACTTCTCCCCTTACCACTCTACCCTCACAAACCACTCCCCCCCTCCCACACTCCCCCCTCACCACTCTCCCCCCCCTTCCTCCCCCTCTCCCCCTCTCCCCCTCTCCCACCTCCCTTCCCCCCCTTCCTCCCACACTCAAGTCTAAACCACTCTGTCGCCCCCTCCCCCCTTCCTCCCACACTCAAGCCTAACCCACCCCCTTACCACCACTCCCCCCACCCCCCTCCCACACTAAAAACACTCAAGCCTAACCCACTCACCCTCATTAATCCTGAACCCGCCATCGATCCCCGGGTCGTTGATGAGGCCCTTCCAGCCGACGGTCGTGCGCGGTTTTTCGCTGGGGGGGGTGTTTTGTGAGCGTTAGCGAACGAGTATTAGAACACGAAGGGTTTAATGGGGGAGAGGGGGAGGGGAGCGGGCACCCCCTAGCGGGGGTGGGGAGGAGGGAGGGAGGGAGGAGGGGAGGGGGGAAAGGGACACAAAGGGGGAAGGGAGGAAGAAGGGGGGCGGCAGCGATCGCTTGCCCACGCAGACGCGCAGCGCCCTCTCGTGGCTGCATACGCGCAGCGCTCTCTCGTCGCTGCATACGCGTAACGCTCCCTCGTGGCTGCACACGCGTAACGCTCCCTCGTGGCTGCATACGCGTAACGCTCCCTCTCGCCGCCGTCGCAGACGACCGCCCTCTCGCCGCCCTTCCCCCCTCCCCCCACTCTCCACTCCTCATCACTCGCACTCCCAAACCCTTCACTCCCCAGCCCCAGCCCCAACCCCCCAATCTCCCTTTCACTCCCCCAACAACCCAAAATATAATTGAAAAAACAGAAGAAAGAAACAAAAAAACCAACCAAACAAATAAACTCACAAATACGCGCGCATCACGACCACCAGCTCCGGCCATCTCCCCGCGTCGAGCGCGCCGCGCAGGCGGCGCGCGTAGGTGAGGGCCTGGTTTTGGTGAGCGTTAGCGAGCATTTCGGAGCGAAGCGACCCAATGAAATGGCAAATGTGTGGGGGGAGGGGGAGGGGTGAAAGAAGAAGAAGGAGAGAGGGATGGGTGAGTAAGGTGGAGGAGAGAGGGGGGGGGTGAGTAAGGTGAAGGAGAGAGGGATGGGGAAGGGGGGGGGCGAAGGAAGGGAGGGGGGGCGAAGGAGGGAAGCGCAGCGACCGCTCGTGACCGCACGACGACGAACAAGCACTCGCGCCGCACGACGAACGAGCACTCGTGCCGGACGACGAACGAGCCCTCGTGCCGCACGACGAACGACCGCTCGAGCCGCACGACGACCAAGCGCTCGTGTCAGAGGACGACGAACGAGCGCGCGTGTCGGTCGACGAAGCGACCGCTCGGGGCGTACGCGGAGCGAAGCGACCGCTCGGGGCGCACGACGAACGAACCAGCGCTCGTGCCCGACGACGAAGCGACCGCTCGGGGCGTACGGGCCTAGCAAGCGACCGCTCGGGGCGTGCGCGGAGGAAAGCGACCGCTCGGGGCGCACGACGAAGAAGCACTCGCGCCGCACGACGACCAAGCGACCGCGCCGCCCGACGAACCAGCACTCGTGCAGGACGACGGACAGAACGATGGGAAGGAGCATCGCGACCGCATAGCGGGAAGCGAAGCGACCGTATCCCCCAAAAAAACAACACTTCGGGACGAGAGAATGAAACACAACCACCACTCACCTCGTCCACATCATGGATCGAGCACGGGCCGACGATGACGAGCAGTCTGCGTGAGCGTGAGCGAACGTTAGGGGTGGGGGGGAGGGTGGGGGGGGGGGGGGTTAGCGTTAAGTGGGAGCGCAAGCGGACAAAGCACCCCCTAGCGGGCGTGGGGGTGGGAGGGGGGTGTACACGAAGCGAGTGTTAAGTGGGTGTACACGAAGAGAATGGGGGGTGGAAGAGGTAACCCCCTAGCTGGGGTGGGGAAGAGTGGGGGGTGGGGAGGGAAAGAGGAGGGACGCCGCGATGAAAACCCGCCCCGCAAGGGCAGCGACACGTGGACAAGACGAAGAAGGACGCGGTTGCCAACGAACCCGCCAGGGCAGCGACGCGCGGACAGGACAGCGACGCGCGGACGAAGAAGGGCGAACGCGACAGACGCACGAAGACGCCGCAAACACGAGCGAGGAAAGAAATCGAAGGTTGAGCGAAAGAATCAAGCGTAACACGCGCAATCATAACAAGATCGAACGCCAGCGTAACACGCGCAAAAAAACCAAACTTACCGCTGCTCCTTACCGCTCACCACCCCCGCCGCCTCCCTCCGCCCCCGCGCGACCGTGTCCTGCGCCGCGGGCGAGGCGGGGTGCTGCGCGATGAGGAGCAGCGGCTGGATGAGGGGGGCGTACTGGGGGGTGGTGGGGGAGTTGGCGAGGAGAGGGGTGGGGGAGGAAGGAGTAGTGAGGGGGGTGGGGGAGGAGTCGTCCACGGAGGAGTTGAGAAGGCCATTACGAGTGATAGGTTTGGCGACAGAAGGGTCGGCAGAAGGCGAAGGTTCGTGGGAAAGGGGGCCAAGAAGGCCATCGTTGGCGACCGAGGGCGCGGTTCGCGGTTTGGCGGGTGCGGGTTTATTGATATCGGTGGGCCCAGAGACGATGTTGACGTCCACAACCGACGGCGAAAGTTCGTACAGCGCATCATACGCCGGCGGTGGCCCCGAAAAATCCACCACCCCGCCCAGTTCGGCAAAGTTGCACGGTATCGCGCCCGGTAAGACGACGAGGGTGGTGTAGTGGAGGGTCGGGTGGGGGGTGGGTAAGGGGGGCATCGTGGTAGAGGACACGGTCGACGTGGTCGACGCGAGGGGTAAAGGAGGTAGGGAGAGAGGGAGGTGGGAGAGAGGGAGGTGGGAGAGAGGGAGGTGGGAGAGTACAAGAAGCATGTAACAACCGACGACAAGACAGGATGGAACGGGTGAGTGAGAGTACAGGAAGCATGGAGCGGATGATCGAGAATACAAGGATTGGAAGACAAGACAGACAAGAAGCATGGAAGACACCGATGAGTACACACACTCTCTCCAACAACAAAAAAGAACCCCACTCACGCCGATGATGCGCCGGTCCTGGCCCGCGTCGCTCACTTCGCGGGACGCGGGGTCCGCGTGGACGGCTGGGGGGAGGGGGTGTTAGTGAGGGTGTTTAGACGTGAATTGGGGAAGGTGAGGGGGTGTGTTGAATAAATTGGGGAGGGAAGGAGGACAGGAGGTGAGTCGGTTCGGTTGAGAAAGGAAGGAGGACAAGGGGAGCGGTGAGACGAGGGGCGGGCGAGGGGTAGAATAAGCCGGGACGGAGCGCGGGGTGTTGTCGGGGTGGGCGATGAGGATGGGGAGCGAGGGCGGTGATGGGTGCGAGGGTGCAACGGGGTGACTGGAGCAACGGGCGAATGGGATGGGAAGGGTGGTGCATTGGAGAGACGGTGGGGATCGACCGCGGCGATGGTGTTGGGGAGAAGATGGGAGAAGAGGACGGGGTGGTAGTAGTACGCCGCGCACGCAGACAGAGGCAGGCGACGAGGATACATACGGAATCGGAAGGGAGTCTGCGTCTCCGCGGGCATCGTGTTGTGCTGTGTGCGTGCGATGTGCAGTGGCGAGGAGTCGAGCCCGTTCACTGACTCGGCGGACTGATGGCGTCGATCACACGGACCCAGTCTGGCCGGGCGAATGATCGGCCGCAGATTAGATTAGATGGCGAGGCGGGCACGTGTGTCACTGTGTGGCTGGCGCGTCTGTTGTCCGGGACCAGCGCGTCTTGGATGGGACCCCCTCGTCGTGGACGTGACCAGCGACTCTGACGAGCAAGAAAGGACACGGACAAGCGTACACGCCACGACTACACCCACCTCTACATCTCCCGCCTCTACCTAACCCTCGGCCCCGTCTTCGTGCTCCCGCCGCGTGCTCACGCTCGCTAGCCGTACTTCCCTCGCACGCATGATGCCTCGGCAACCAGTCTCTTCCCTTGACTGCTCCCAATGCGCAAGGACCGAGCGAGCTACGTCTGCTTGCCTGTGATCGACGTCCGCATCGCTGCGGTCGATGTCCACGCCGCTGTGATCGACATACGCTAGCCTGCGGTCGACATCTGCTAACCTGCGATCGACATCCGCATCGCTGCGTTTGACGTCCGCGTTACCGTCGCCGCAATCGACGCACTCTAAGCCGAGTGCCCCCTTCCCCCCTATCCCCATGCCGTCTTCCCTCACCCTCTCCCTCCCATTACCTCCCTCCCTCCCCCTCGCATATACACACTCCTCCCCTCGCATATACACACGTCTGCCCTAGCCGTATGCCCACTCTCACCCGAATCGTACATCCCCTTCATCCCTAATCCAACGCTGCCCGCGCTCAATGCTTCTGTCCGCCCGGGGCCTCCTCTAGAACGCTGCGCGGGGTACCCTGTCTCTGCAGCCCTCCCGCCTCCCTCCTCACTCCCTCTCTCGCTCCCTCCCTTCCCCTCACCCTCACTTTTCACCCTCGCTTCCCCCCTTCCCCTCTCCCCCCTTCTCCTCCTCTCCCTCCCCCTCGCATACACCCTCCCCCTCCCCCTTTCCTCCCCTCTCCCCCCTTCTCCTCCTCTCCCTCCCCCTCGCATACACCCTCCCCCTCCCCCTTTCCTCCCCTCTCCCCTCTCCCCCTCTCTCCTCCCTTCCTCCTTCCCCTCACCCCTCACCCCTCACCCCTCACCCCTCCCCTCACCCCTCACCCCTCACTCCTCCCCTCCCTTCCCCCCTCTCCCTCCCTACCCCCCTCCCTTACTCACTCTTCCTCGCTTCCCCCCTTCCCCCGCACGCGCGGGCCGCCGCTGCACCTAGCGCGTCGCTGCACTCGAGCGCGTCGTGAGCCACTGCTGCTACTCTAGCAAGGCGCTGACCGCTACTGCACTAGTGCGGATCGCCGCCGCTGCACTAGCGCGTCGCGTCGCGTCCCACTGCTGCACTCGCACGGTGCGTGCCGCCGGTGCACTCGCGCGTCGCGGGCCACCACTTCTACTCGAGCGCGTCGCGAGCCGGGCCGCTGTTGCTGCACTCGCGGGACGCCGCAGACCGCCGCTGCTGCTCTAGCGCGTCGCGTGCCGCCACTACTCTAGCACGTCTCGTGGGGACCGCTACTGCACCTAGCGCGTCGCGTGTCGCTACTGCACTAGCGCATCGCTGGACCTTACTGCACCTAGCGCGAGGCGCGGGACCGCCGCTGCACCTAGCGCGCGTCGCGGACCGCCTCAGCACCTAGCGCGCTCGCGGACCGCTGCCGCCACTACTCGCGCGCCTCGCTGGACGCCGTTGCACTCGAGCGCGTCACGGGCCGCCTGTGCACTAGCGCGTCGCTGGCCACCGCTTCTCTAGCGCGTTCGCGGGCCGCCTACTGCACTCGCGCGTCGCGGCCCCCGCTACTGCACTCGAGCGCGTCAAGGGCCGCCGCTGCTGCACTCGCGAGGCGTTATGGGACCGCTGTTACACTAGCGCGCGTCGCTTAGAGCCGCTGCTGCACTTAAGGCGCGTTCGCGGGCCGCGGGACCGCCGATGCTGCACCTAGCGCCTCGCTGGACGCTGGTGCACCTAGCGCCTCGCGGGCCGCCGCTGCACTCGCGCGGTGCGGGCCGCTGCTACTCTAGCGCGTCACGGGTCGCGGACCGCTGTTGCACAAGCGCCTCGCTGCACCTAGCGCGTCGCAGACCGCCGCTGCACTCGCGGGCCTTGCTGCTACTCTAGCGCGTCGCTGGCCGCCGTTGCACTGGCGCGGACCGATGCTGCACCTACGTTCGCAGGCCGCCGCCGCTGCACTAGCGGGTCACCGCTGCTACTCTAGCGCGTCACTGGACACCGATGCTTGCGCGCGTCGCAGGCCGCTGCTGTTGCACTCTTTGAGCGCGTCTTGGAGCGCTGCTGCAGTCGAGCGCGTCGTGGACCGCTGCACTCGCGCGTAGCCGGACCGCCGCTGCACTCGCGGGCCGCTGCCGCACTAGCGCGTCGCTAGATGCCGCTGCTGCACCTAGCGCCTCGCTGGACCCTGCTGCACCTAGCGCGCTCGCGGGCCGCCGTTGCTACTCACGCGTTGCGGGACCGCCGGTGCACTCGCGCGCTCGCGGGGCTACTCGAGCGCCTCGCAGGCCGCTACTGTACTCGCAAGACGCTGGCCGCCGCCGCGGCACTCGCGAGGATGAGCGAGTCAAACGAGCAGCGTGGGACGGGTTGGTGAAGGAGGAGACGGGTTGGTGAAGAAGGAGACGACCGAGTGAGGCTGCGCTCGGGCGAGTGAAGTCGGGCTCGTTCGACCGAAGTCGAGCTCGGGCGAGTGAAGTCGGGCTCGGGCGAGTGAGGCTGAGCTCGCGCGACCGAGTGAAGTCGAGCTCGGGCGAGTGAGGCTGAGCTCGCGCGAGTGAGGTTGAGCTCGGGCGAGTGAGGTTGAGCTCGGGCGAGCGAAGCTGAGCTCGGGCGAGTGAGGCCGAAGTCGGGCTCGCACGACCGAAGTCGAGCTCGTACGACCGAAGTCGAGCTCGAACGACCGAAGTCGAGTCGGACTCGAACGACCGAAGTCGAGCTCGGGCGAGCGAGGTCGAGTCGAGCTCGGGCGACCGAAGTCGAGCTCGGGCGAGTGAGGTTGCGCTCGTGCGAGTGAGTGAAGTCGAGCTCGAACGACCGAAGTTGGGCTCGGGCGAGTGAGTGAGGTTGCGCTCGTACGACCGAAGTCGAGCTCGTACGACCGAAGTCGAGCTCGACCGACCGAAGTCGAGCTCGACCGACCGAAGTCGAGCTCGCGCGAGTGAGGTTGCGCTCGGGCGAGTGAAGTCGAGCTCGCGCGAGCAGCGTGGGGCGGCGGTCTGGAAGGGGGGGGAGAAATCGGACGAGGAGATGTAATTTCGCACGAGGAGATGTAGTTTCGCACGAGGAGGGAGAAATTGGACGAGGAGGATGCGACGCTGCCGAGTAGGACGCGACGCCGCGGAGCAGGACGCGACGCTGCTGAGTAGGATGCACGCGTCGCTGAGGAGGATGCGACGCCGCTGAGGAGGACGCGACGCCGCTGAGGAGGATGCAACGCCGCTAAGTAGGGGGTGAAGCCGCCGCTGCGGAGGACGCGAAGCTGCTGCGGAGGACGCGACGCCGCTGAGTAGGATGCGACGCCGCTGAGTAGGACGCGACGCCGCTGAGTAGTATGTGACGCTGCTAAGGAGGACGCGACGCTGCTAAGTAGGACGCGACGCTGCTGCGGAGGAAGCGACGCCGCTGAGCAGGACGCGACGCCGCTGAGCAGGATGCGACGCCGCTGAGCAGGATGCAACGCCGCTAAGTAGGACGCGACGCTGCTGAGGAGGAGGCGACGGCAGTCGAAGGGTACTCGGACTGCTTAGACTGACCGATGTGTAGCACGCCTACAGGCTGCCAATACCCATCGCCCACAGGCAGCCGTTATCCATCGCCCACAGGCTGCCGTTATCCATCGCCTCCCAAGTATCTCTCCAAATTAGTATGCGTGCACCTATGTCCTCTTTCCATAAGATCATCAAGATATCAGCTACATGACGCTTCAGTCTCAAGGACACATCGAGGTCTGATCTCAGACGCCACAAATGCGGATGATTGCTTGGTTCGGCTTTCATATGTCGGGACTGCAAACTCATGTCACCACGCCGCGCCTGTAAGGGGACCAGCCGGGAGTGGCCGAGTGGAGACGGTAGCGGAGACGAGGCTAACATCTAGGCAGCCATGGTCCCTGGGCAGCCACACCACCTAGAGGGAGGCGTGACGTCCTAGAAGGGTGAAGAGCGTCACGGTGGACGAGGGAGAGGATCGACGGTGATGGCGGGTCGTGACCGACGATAGAAGAGGGAGTAGGGTAGGGCGTAGCTCGGTAGAGAGAGGAAGGCAAGCGTACCGAACACCACTACACAGTGGACCCATGCGTGAGCCATACATGGGGGGCGCCCACGAGTAGGGTGCCCTGAAGGCAGTGCCGCCAGCGCCTACACGAGGTGGAGGGTAGTGACGAGGGGGCGGCGTCACTAGGAGAGTGGGAAGGCGTATCGGTCAGAGACGTGACCGGTGGCGGTGATCGATGGAGGGCGACACCAATCAGAAGGAGGAGGGGGCGCGGTGCAACGTCAGGATCGAGGGGGTTAGCCTCGATCGACGAGGTGGGGAGAAGGTGCACTGGGAAGGGCGCCGAGAGATGCCCTACGCCGGAGGAAGCGCAAGGAACGGCGCTGAGACCAGACGTACCACGGCGAGCATGGGCTCCGAGCCAGTGGGGGGAGGGATGACACGATGGATGACGGCATCAGTCAGGGAAGGGGGATGCGACCAGGACGAGTGGCCAGCGAGGCGAGGGGAGGTGAGCCCACAACGGACCGATGGGAGCGGAAGGCCTGACAGGGGGTGGTACTCCCGAAGGTACACTTCCCACTGCTGCCAGGGGGACGACCGACTAAGCCGCACCGGGGGACGAAGGGGAAACACACCAGAGCGAGGAGGCGAGAGGTGCCACGGCGTACAGGGAGGGCCGTTCCCCGGAGTACTAGCACCACAACCGCTGCAGAGGCGCGGGCGTAGACCAAGCCTGAGGACGCAACCCAAGCCAAGGGAGGCGGGCTCGCTAGGAGGCGGCGGAGGCAGCCGAGGGTGTGGAAGGCCCAAGGCGGCAAGGAAGGGATGGGGCGATCATCGATGGGCAACGCCCACCGTAGCCAACGACGAGCGTTTCTGGATTAGAGAACTCCCAGAGGTTAACTAAGAGCCAGGCGTAGGGGCGCGAGCTAGGCGAGCGGGGAACCAAGGTATATTAGCAGGGAACAGTAACCAGTAATGATACGCCCTGCGGCTGAAAAACGCGGAAAAACATACATAAACAAGCGATATATAGTCGACTTGGTCTAGATTGTATGGGCGGATCCGTATATACTGCACCGACGTCGCGACTGTACAACGGGCGCGTTGGGGGTATTTTATGACATAGAAAACCAGGAGCGCCACGCTTCCTAACCTTCAATACTACTAGTCCGCAGCACTATCCGTCTGCAATGACTGACCAAGGATAGCAGCGAGCTCTTCGGTGATGGGATCCGTATGCTCCTCGAAAGACGCACGGTACAGTCTGCTTAGACGAACCACACCACCCAACACCAACAACCACAACAGCAACGCGCGTCTAGCTTCATAGCTTCGTCCGAGGAGCGAGCGAGTCCGCTTGATTTGTATTGCTAGGGGATACCCTGCGCCTTATTGGCGGCTCACAGACGAGCTGGACTGATGCGAGACTTCAAGCGTGCAAGAGGCACCTCAGAATTCACACAAGCATTCCCAGGTTTCAGTTGGAATCTTCACAGGCTTATCAGGCGCTCAGAAGTCCGAGTTTTATGATGTACAACATGCTGGCAGCATGAGGGGTTTATTGGTGTATAGTAGGTAGTAGGTTGTGGAACCCCTGCCAGAGGCAGCAAAGGGGACGCTTGGGGGCGACCTCCGGGCTCCCCGAATCGTATGTAGGGCTCGGTATATAACAGAAACGCGTCGTCTCGGCCATCTAGACCGAGCGGTAACACACAAACCCTATCTCTGAGTCAAAATCCAACAATAGCGCCTTTCCACGCGTTCTCCTGTCCAAATAATCGCGCAAATACTCCGGTTCCTGGCGGTAGAGTGGCTGACTGGTTGGGTATCCTCCTGCGCAGCTTGGCTGGGCGCAATCTCCACACGGTTTGATGTTTACCAAGGGCAGTGCCTGCTTGGGTTCCACCGGTCTCCTCTGACTCGACGCAGGCTCAGAGGCCTGTCCGGTGAGGAGGACGCAGTCTGGACGGTTGAAACGCAGTGAACGGTGTCCTTGCCGAGGCGTGCGCAGCGTTTGGCGGCGCCAACACTTGGTCCGACGTTCGACTCGGCGATGTCCGAGATCACGAGCTCGGACCCGAAGTTCCGGTCTCGGACCCGAAGTCACGTGCAGTCACGTTGATGGTTCGAGTTCCGCTTGAGCGGTGCTCTGCGTGTCTCCGCATGACGGCGAGCGACAAGTAGACCTGTCCGAGCCCCAACAATGAAGTATGTTCTTGAAGCGGTAGGCAAACTGACTGAAGGCTTGTGGCGCAAGGAGCGCAGCTACTTGATTAAGTAGGGCCAGCCAGAAGACTCGCAGGATGTCATCGACGACGCTCAGACTCGTGATCCGGCGCCGAAGAGCTCGCTGCTATCCCTGGTCAGTCGTTGCAGGTGGGTAAGACCGCACGATAGTTCGATTGATGGTTAGGAAGCGTAATCTCCTTGTGTTTCTGTGCCATAAAATACCCTCGACGCGCCCGTTGTACAGTCACGACGTCGATGCAGTATATACGGATCCGCCCATACAATCCAGACTAATGCGACTAGGTAATCGCCTGTTTATGTATGTTTTCCGCGTTTTTCGGCCGACAGGCGTATCATCTCCCCCACACCAAGATATGGACCGTCCTCGGTCCTCTCTGTAGTGGGTAGACAACTCAGTGTTGTTACTAGATTGTCTCGCGACATCCAGTCGACTGTTGCCACAGTCTTTTGAGGTGTGAATCGGGTCGCTTTTGGCGGGGCATCTACCATACGGGTGGTATGATGTGCGGGTCAATGTGCAAGACGGCTGCACAGATCAACCCGGCGAACTGATTCAGAGGTGAAGGACACGCTCTGGCGCAATATGTGCAATGTGGAACAACGCTTTGGCATGGCCTGTTCTTGTTCTAGGTTGTATGTTTGCTTTTGACTTTACTACAATATTTCATGCAGTTTAGCCCGTTTAGACACATTCTTCGGCAGCTCAGGGTGCCAGAAGACGCCTTAAGGGAGCTCTCAGGTAGCTGGGAGCGGTATATACACGCAAAGAAGTGACTTGAAGATCAACTTCAACTTGTGCGCGTGATAAGCACGTGATCCCCGGCTATTGCCGAGTTCAACTTGCTGTGGACGCCTAGAGGCGATTTTGCTCGCAAAAGCGGCGCAAAAATTTGGCCAAAGCAGCCTGTATGTTCGTCTATCTCCCCCACACCAAGAAATCGGCGCCCTCGCCGGGTGTAAGGTGACTGAGGCGAAATTGCATAGACAGCGGGCCAGTGGACCCCTCTGCCGTTTTGGTTGCTTGTGAGCTAGCTAATGCCAAACTCGGACATCCTGAGGTCAATGTTCCAGTCCCCCACACCATAATCTTTTGCCTATGGGTGGAAGCGGTTCAATCGCTCGAATGGGTGATTTGTGAGTCAATTCCGGGGGAATTGACTCAGTAGAAATTCGCGCTTAAGCGTGGGCAGATGCGTCGGCTCAGGGCCTGATTCCATCAGTCCTGCTGTTTGGTCGCGCAGCGCTCGAAGTGAGCCGGTGATTACAGAGATCTCAAGGAAGGATTGTGTGGCCACTTCCTAAGATCCCATGGATATACCTGGTCTAGACCGAGGTGGCGCTAAGGCGCATAGTAGCGGCGTCTGGATCGTCGCATCCGAGACGTGTACGCCATATTTGTTGCGATATATGTGCAGATGTCACGGTAAATCGGTGATTTTGGGTCACTCAAAAGACGAGTAAACTTGCAAAAATTCGCAGGAGTCTCCTCGCCCTCAAGGCGGTTATTGAGTGAGGTAGACGAGCAAAGCTTTGCTTTCCCCGAGTGCCTACTGAACTCGCAAGAAGCAAGCTCGGAGCGCTGGATTCAGTGCAAAAGGTAAGGCCTTCCCCTTCAGATTGTGAAGAGAGCAATTTGTGCTAGTTAAAAGCACCTACAAGGAGGTCGACTTTCAAAACCTCGCTCAAGGCGATGGGTGGAGAATTCCAGCCCTTGTCAATGGTCTTTCAACACTGGTTGACAGGTGGGGAATTGTTGGGTGGGCCCCTTCTGACTTCGAAGATCACTGGGACTCGGGGTCCGCAGCCGTCTTCGTCCGATCTGGACCGACGAGCTATGCTCGGGGTGATAAGTCGCGCAAGATGGCAGCAACTGTTAATAATGGATATACGCAGGAAGCGAGGCCTTTGACGAGGCGGACAGCACTTGGCAGCGCTGATGCTTGGGTTGGCGTTCAACTTGGTGACGTCCGAGATTACATCCTCGGACCCGAAGTGTCAGGCTCGGACCCGAGGTTCCGGTCTCGGACCCGAGGTCACGTCTTCCAGATGCGATACACTTCGTGTTCAGTTGACCAGCAGCACGGTATCTGGCCGCAAGTCCGTGATCTTTTGCGTGAGGCTACCCTTTCAGGTGCAATCAGCACGAGATCGCTTGATATTTGCGAAGGGAAGCGTTATGAGAACACTCAATCCCTTGCCGGTTTGCGGTACTTCTCGAGGCGCGCCTGCAACGTTCTCGTCTTCTCGAAGGTCCCGCCGAGTACCAGTTCGACCCGGCAAGCTCAAGGGCTGTAGGCCGCGACTGATTTGATTTTTGACAAGGCAACGGCCGGCAGCTGATAGCAGAGATCACCCGAGCCATGCAGGAGTCAGACCAGCTGAATTAAGAAGTGAACTCGCTTAATTCACGAGCGCAAGGGTCATGAATATTTCCGAGTTGGAAGCCGCCTCTTGGGTGCACAAAGGCGAACTGTTAAGCCACTCATCTGTGAGACGACCAGCTTGTCCGGACCAAGAGTTCTAGCGATGGTAATGCATGAACTGAGGCCGGGTTGGGGTGCGCTCTGATGGTTGGTACCATTGGCAATAAATAGCCAGTTCCCTTGCGTCAAGAGCGCGTATATTGGCCATTCATGACCAAGAATTGCATTGGCAATGCATGCGACCGGGTCCGAACGGACGATCCAGATCTAACAATCGCCTCAGCGGAAAAGTTGATTTGCGCAAAGCGCGTTGGCTAAGTCAAGAGACCGGCGCTCTGGATTTCCCAAACCGAGTCAGGCTCAGTAGGTACAGACCCGAGGCAATATTCCCAAGACAATTTAAGTGCTGTCAATGGT